CACGACCACCTGAAAAGTAGGCGACATGCGTATTTTTTATCACCACAGTCCATATTACAACTATCAGCAAAGATATTTCATATTACTTCTTTGCGACACTCACAAATTAATTCTACTTTCGGTTAAAAAACTACACGAAAAGTCCATTTTTACATATTTTATACAATAACTTGTTTATTTATAGAGATACGACCTCGGACCCAATAACCATTATTGTTGTCCACATTTTTAGAATTCCAACGACGTTTTAACCGATGTTCTATCTTTTACCGTTTTCGAACTATCAGCGTTTTAACGCATAGCGCAAACCACCATGTTTGCCCCCTCCCCCCCACCTTATCGACCACTTTTGAAATAGGCGACATACGTAATTTTGATCACCACAGTCCATATTACAATAATCAGCAATAACATTGCGTACTAGTTACTTTCATGCATGCTCAAACCCCCTCAGCTCCTGGACTATACAGCGTGAAGACGTGCTATCACCCTTTTGATTCTAAATACTGATTAGTACCGTTTAAATATGATTGATAGGCCTTTTTGTGTCTCGCCCAAAAATCATCAATCTTTCCATTCATTCATTGATATTTATTGGCTTATAAACCTTAGCACTTTCTTAGGCGTCGGTTATTAAATCTTATATCTACAGCCGCAAAGTAACTATAATGATTCTAAGTATTTGTAAAAAATCCTCGAACACCAAAATAACTTTACACTTTCTCTGAGTTCTGTGCTATCAATGAAACCTTTCAATTACAAATCCGAAACAAATCATCAAGCAATAATCAGTGACCATTAGCCTGTTAATTTCCATAAATCAGCATTAAAGGATGTCAGCTGTTACAATCAATGTAACATCTGGACATGCATTTGCAGTTACAAGCCCTGCAGGAGACTTGCACGCTATCGATTAAAACTGTTTATTCATGGCGTCAAATGCATTGCATATTGATGGCGATCGATGGGCGATGCAAATACAGAGGTCTGGGAGGTCTATTGTCTTCACCGCAAGACTCGAGGGAGAAATTTGTATTAGTGCAGGGGTACTAGGGCATCATAGAGGAGGACATGTTAGGTTAAGGGGTTAGGATAGGTTATTGGGTTAGGTTTGGTTAGGTTATTGGGTTAGGGTTAAGATAATGGGATTTTAATAAACTTTCTTGGTTAAAGAAACGGCTAATGGTCTTAGACAAAAGCTACAGAAGACCCTTGACTCCATTCTATACTAATTCACTTCTGAGGACGGCTGCTGAGCTTACTCTTTTTATGTATTTCAATGTTATTGTTATTAACTTGTCAGCGTATTTGCTCGTTCTTTTCATATTTAAAACCGTTGCAAATAAAGAATTAAAGACAAAAAACTCCCAAATCTATTTATTAATAGATACACAACCAAGTGAGCAATGATGTCTTGGATAGTCATGTTTGGTTAAATAAATCATATTTCATTATCATGTGATTAGGGGAGCGAGCTGGTCTAGTAATTAGAGCGCGGGACTCCGGTTCCTGGGGTCCCGGGTTCAAATTCCGCCAAATCACTAATTGATTTTATCTAAGTAACAATGCCGTAACCCCTAGGTCTAGCCTGAAGTAATGTGAAAAACAATTCCGGACTCGTGCCTAGCGTCCTAGGAAAAAAATATTATGTGATTATTGTTATTGCTTTAAGTTTGAATTATTTACATGTTGTACACAGATTTAGTTTCATTGATAATGATAATTATTTAAATATGAAATTAGTACTAATTCATTATTGGAGAATCTGTTAAATACGCCTGACTTGGTGGCATTAATAAAATATATGAGAAGTTCCAAAACCATGTTGTATTTGAATATTGTTTATCTTCGAAGTTGAAAAATATAAATTTAAATACGCAAAATCATTGTAAAAGTCAATTGTAGTGTTTATATTTTCCAAACGTGGATTTGAATATTTTTTTATCTTCAAAGTTGCAAAATATAAATTTAAATACGCAAAATCATTGTAAAAGTCAATTGTAGTGTTTATATTTTCCATACGTGGAACAAGGTATGTGTGTAGGCTTCGAGAGGTTTAATATAAATTATTGTTGAGGACTTAAATATACAGAAATAGTAATTAAATGTATTTCATTTCAACAATATCAAGTACAACACAGATATTCAATACGGACAAGCATTGGGTGATAAAATTCATGAATATTCAGTAATACTTGATAAGCCTGGTGTCATTTACCTCGGTTTTACTGTATATTCAAATTGGGTGGAGGAAACCAATATATGAATTTAACTGTTAAGTGCTTTCTTAGATGAATTCATTATTGATATCGACACAGCAACAATGAGTGAAATGCTCTATTTATTAGGAAACAGTCTTCATAGCTCTTTCCACATTGAATACGGTATACTCATTATTATTTGAAAAAAGACAACTTAATTGTTACAAGTTCTTAATACCCCCGCCGCAGCAAACCTGCAGACTAAGCGAATTTCCATTTGACTGATTGGATTTACACTGAAATGTCTACTTAAAAATATAACATTTATTCTTGATTTAAATAGAATTAGTTTAACAAGTACTTAGGTTTGCTGCATCAAGGAGGGTAAAACTTTTTTTTGTTTGTAAAATGTGAATAGGTAGTGAGAAATAAAAACATTTTCCAAATTTGATCAAAATATGTTCACAAACAAGCAAACTACAACAGTTTACTTATTCCCCATAAGAATAACATGGGAATTTTAAATTTACAATTTTTTGGAATTTTCTCCGTAACTATTAGGCACATAATAACGCTTCAATATACTAAATTATTTGTTTTTTTAAGCTCTACAAAATGGTTTGGAAAGAAATTGCTAAATTTTATGTTTTTTTGGTCAAAAATAGGAAAAACCTATTTTTACCCCATAAAACCCCCCGTAAACCCCCGTTCCCATGGTCCGATCATGCTGGATCGCGAACTCGTTCGAATAAACGTACGTTTACACATTTGTACCAAATTTCATCCAAATCGGATCATTTTTGCTCGAGTTATCGTGCTGACGGACACATATATATATATATATATAAATATATAAATATATATATATATATGAGTTTGAACGGATGGTGTTTTTGGCCTCTAGGGACCTCAAAACGAAAAAAAAAATCGGTCCCGCGTCCAGGTCTTACCATGAGTACTACGGTAATAGCTTATTCCCTATATGGGAAATTCGCTAAAACTAGATAGCGATAAACGTTCTACAGTTATACACAAAAATATTGTATTTCGACTAAAGCTGAACAATTTGTTTGTAAAGTAAAATAAACTATCTAAACTACATTAAAAATAGGAATGTTATGACATACACTTTTTCACTCAGACTATAGTCCAACTTTTCGACAGAAAGGTTTTAATGTAAAGTTGTTTAGCCAAAAGTGTAAGTTAGTAGCAGCTTAAATATTTATTTGATTTACGAATATTAGGATTTGGATAATCAAATTTATTTTAACAATCGTATCATATACACTCAATCGCATTAAATGTCTTTTTCGGGATCTTGGAAGGTAAGTGAATTGTTTTTTTACGATTACTGTATAAAATAAAGATCAATGACATAGTTTTTTTTTTTTTTTAAGTCTATACCCAAAGTCAATAGAGCAACTGGGATAATAGTAGTGACATTTTTGTTCAAGAACATATTTTAGTCAAAACTGCAGCAAGTAATCCAAATATTCAACCACAGATTCAACTGTAGCTGCAAGAATAATATAGTAATGTGAGGGTAATGAGGAACTGGAAAAGGCATCGTAATCTCGTAGGGGATGATTTAAAACCACCCAAAAACGCTCGCCCAACACGTAACATTTAATGTTTAATTTTTTAACTCTAAGTCTCATACATTATACGGATATATTACACATTACGATTATGATTCTTATTTTGGTGGACATTATACTGTTGGGACATCACTAATCCCATGAATCTATAATTAGTTTAATTATTTATATTGAATTTTCATGAAAAATACAAAAAATTATTACTAGTCTAAAAAGCTAGACCATTAGTTCCATCGTTCTTTCAAAACATTAGGCCTACCACCTACCACCGTCATGTTTTTAAGCGTTGAGTGTATTTATTTTGAGTGTATATATTGTAAAAGATATGCATCTACAAATGGCTGTGGTGTAATTTGAGAGTCAAAATACAATGAGAATAACATTTAAGCACGGAATGTATACGTAATATGTTTATCTTGGCTACAATAGCAACCATGAGTAGTTCTCAGTCTGTCCTCTCCACTCAAGGGATAGTCCCTTGATACAGCATTTGCTGTCTCTACAGCAATTAGTCAATTGATCAATCATCAATAATTGTTTGCAGTTGTGATCTCTGTTACGGATACTGGGGTAAATATGTACCATCAGCTGTTCTTGATATTGTACTTTGAATCGCCTTTTGACGAAAATGGTTTAATGGTTTAGAAAATTTAAGGTACGAGCCTTGGCAGTGCCTTTAAAACTTCTACGAGTGTCTTAAAGGCTAATTACGCGGGTTGCGTACACTAATTTATCCACGACCGTTTCTTAATTACTAATAATCACTATTAATCATAACTCCCAAGAGAGGTTATGTTTTCGTGTATAACCTCTCATTACAAAAAGATGTGGTGCAACGACTATTGTCCCAACCACTCACACATCGTTTAACAGCTGATAAGTTGACGTTCGAATAATTACAATAATAATTTTACTTCTTTTCTCCCAATCCTTGAATCTCATTGGTCCGTTACTCGTGTTGTAAAGTAAAACAACAATGCTGTATAAGTGAATCTTTTCAATTAACTGAAATGAAACGGCTAGTTTAGAGTATTATACATCGATAGTTAAAACGTAACTTAAAGTAAAGAATAACTAGTAAAGAAAACCGCCTGTGCATTGTGGACACCCTGACACTCGATGCCGGATGCTTGTTGTTATTTGTTGATATTTATGTTTGTTGATGTTTTTATCAATGACTAATCCTATATTTTTGTTACAGGTCTACGATCCGTCCTCCGTGACTCAAACCAGAAAGGCAACCCGTTTAATGACGTGTCGATACAGGTAAGAGAAACTCCATCTTATTATTAACATTACTACTGTATTATTTAAATCCATCTGTTTATCCCCTGAATGTTTATGTGAAAAATAATTTAGATTCATATCTTACATCTTAAGTAAAAAAAAGTAGAACGCCCGCTACATAATTTTCACATACAGTAGCATAATAAGTCTGCTTCTAGTTAGTGACATGGCCTTACGTATAATAAGGCTTGACTATTTAGTCATGTTAACTGTGTTTTACATCAAAGTGATTGTAATCAGGATTTAAATATATTTGATGAGTTCCAATAAAATCAAAAAAGATTATATTAACATTTGAAATTGCAAATGCCTAATATAACGTGCAAGACCTTTACTTTTTTGGAACTATTAAAGAGTTAGATACCGTACCTTATCTAGCCATGTTAAAACTAACTATTTTATTTCAACACCTAATAATTATCATCCAGGTTATTCTGGGAGAACAGTATATATTTTACCACGCTTACTTTCACATTTCTTGATCATAATCAAAAATTTTGAATATTATAGTTTTACAACAAAAGGTAAAAATTAATTTATTTTACTACAAAAGTCAAACAAAAAGATTAAACTTAAAACTGGGTATTTATTGATAACTGAACTGTTGAATGTGTTTCGCTGTCTCTATTACATTGCTTCTATTGTTTTCTATTGGTTTCCAACGTTTATTTTAAAATTTGTTATTCTTTTCCTTCATAACTATCGTGTAAGTAAAAATATTCTTTACGGATTGAAAGATTGGCAAATGTAATAGAGCTTATTTATCTTCCTTTGAATTAGTAGTGAATAACAACAAACAACAATAATTAACAACTTTTTTACTACACAAACGGGTTTAGTACGGTTTATACTTATTATTTAAAGGCTTTTTAACTAAAATGGCGAACATACATACGAATGTAGGTATTTTAAGCCAAGTATTAATTGCTCAGAGTATACTAATTAAGTTCACCGAGCAAAGCTCGGTCCCCAGGTACTACTGTATAATGAGCGTATAAAAAGATAAAAACTCATCAATCTTAAAATTGTTTTCCCCAAGAGAGATATTTCTTCTCGATTAATTTGATTCAGATCGTTATCAATTCCATTAATGGATCCTTTTGAATGGAGATTTATCTTTCAGAAAGGTATCAATTTAGCATCAAAATATTTCATATATTCTAATCTGTGTATTATGAAAGTATTGTAGTGTATTATTTTTAAAGTGTATATTATTATTAAGTGTATTATTAAAGTAGTGTATTATTGCATTGTCTAACTCTAATTACTTTGTCTCATTCCAGATTTGCAACGTGAAGACACGTTTCTTTACCAATTTATTTGTGTTATGGTAACTGTAGGAAAAATATAATGTGCAACTCGAGTGCAAAGTGCAATTGCCTCACTCGAGAAACCATTCCTCACTCACCTACGGTTCGTGAGTAAGGATTTCTCTCGAGTGAGGCAATTACTCAGTTTGCTCACTAGTTGCACAAATAACTATTGTAATCATAACCGCACGTAAGCTTGGCGAAACAATTTAATTAAATCTCTCGAACATATTTGAAGTATATTTGTATGACCAATTTATACTTAACTTTTCGTTTCCTAAAGATATTAGTGTCAAGATAATAAGTGTAGCCTTATTTTGTCCGTCAAACCCTAAACAGTAATCGATTCTAAATCTTACAATTTCAAGTTTAAGCTTCTGGACAGTTCATCCGGTGTTGGCGGAATGTTTTCGAATTTCATATTAAAACATCTAACAACTCCACGAAAATAATTTCGGACTTTGACTAAAATAAATTTACCAGAGGATGAATGTGTACTAATGGTGGTAAAGGAAATATACAGCGAGGTCCAAAAATAACTGACATATTTTAACATAAATTTATATTTACAAAATGTTAACTACATGGTAACATTTGCATATGTATAAATAGAAAAACTCAAAAAAGTGAAAAAGTGTTTGTTGATATTCAATAAATCTCAATTTGGCCACCGTTGAGGCTCTGTCGCCATTAAAACATGTTAAATATTTTACTCCAGAAATGTTGAGAAATGTTTGGCGGGAGATTAAATTTCGATTTGACGCCGACAGAGCCTTAAACGGTGGCCATATTGAGATTTCTAGAATATCACCAAACACTTTTTTTTCAGACATAATGTAAATGTTACCGTGTGGTTAAAATTTTGTAAATAAAGATTTGTGTTGAAATATGTCATATTTTTGGACCAACCTGCATTTGAATTTTGTCTTAGGTGGTTAACCTCTTCAGTACTTATAGAGAAAGGGCATAATACATTATTTGATCTCAACTAAGCCACAGAAAACGTACTACTATACCCAGAATGCCAACCGCATGGTAAAAAGCATTAAGCGGTTTGAGAGAGCTTTGCCTGTCAATCCGTAGGCAGCGCCACCAGCGCGGTTGGCATTCTGGGTTATAGTAGTACGTTTTCTGTGACTAAGCGTAGCAATATCCGTTAGGATAGAAAATACATGCCCCGACGCCGACGTGGAGATATGTTTTGGAAGGAGTTCAAGACCACATTACGGGTACTTTTTGTATTGTGGGGTCTTTATGTGCAACAGCGTGGAGCCCAATATTTTGTTGGGTAAGTGGGTGAGATTTTCTCTTAGTGGAATCCTGTACTGGCCATTTAAAGAACTCTTTAATAACTGAAAATGCGTTACTGCTACGATCAAGTGGTTATTCTCAGCCATATGTTAACTAAATAGTTATTTCTGTAACTAGTGTGTGAAATGACACTTGCTGCACATGGGAGAAATGTTTACGCGCGAGCAACAGGCTAATGTGGAAAGTTTCTCGAGCGCAGCAAAGGCACTTTGCACTCGCTACACATTATATTTTTCCTACAGTTACTAAAGTAATATGTTTTTCAAACACTATACAACACGTTTTTAGGTTAGGTTAAATCAAATGCAAGCGTTGAACGAAATGGGAAACACTGCACCAGCTGATCGCAGTCGTAATATCTTTAAGTGTTGCGAGCTTATTTTCAAGCGTGCACGTATGGGAGTATGTTTATCTATGGTATTACGTTCTTATTAAACGCACACTGTTTTGTGTTGTTTGGTTAGAATACTGGAGTGCGGAAACAAAATTAGTGCTGCAAAAGTAAGTAAATGCAGCAATTAGCTACTTGTCGTGCTATAATCAGTGCAATGAAGCTCACTTTGTCATGAACTGTAGGAAAAAATATATACATACGATAGGGTCTATACTTTTTTTCATCGTTTTATTTTTTGGAACACACTTGTAAAAGTTCCGATTTAAAACAAAGCCTTTCCTGACTTTGGACAAAAACGTTGTTTATGCAACCGTACACTTGTATTTACAAAAAGGAGCAACAGTGCTCAATTAGTCCACAATCAACAATATAATCACTTTTGATCAAAATCTACGTTCAAAAAGTGATCATCCACAGAATAAGTCTCATAGAAGTCAGTGTTTGAGGACTGCTTTGTTTTAAACATCACCCCCGGCCCTGTGTCAGAAAGGATTTGATTTAGCAAGGACTTTGAGCTTAGCAATGTTACAAACAGCTTCGAGCAACTTATCAACTTGTCTTCCAGATGAACTTTACTTGATATACTTTACTTTATTATATGTTCAAAGAAACGACGGCTCATCGTTCAACGGAGATGCGTTTATAATATTCAAACGTAATCAAATTGCTTCTGAGTATTATTGGGCATTTTAATTTCAATGATGAGTACTCTTATTAAAACTAAACTTTATACGCAGTCTACTCTAAATCTAGAAACATAATCAGAGCTTTCAGGATAAATTAAATTAACCACAGTACATACATAGGCCTACCCGTTTGGGATCATTTGCAAATGAGGTGATTAAAAATGTAACCTCATCTCAGCCAAAAAGTATTTTATCATTACTATAACCATAAAAAGTACCTTTAGAGCCCCCAACCCTCCCTTAACTCTGCCCCAACGATCTTAGTACTTTTAGCATAGATTAAACGTTTAATCTATGCTTTTAGTATTTTGTTTAAGGATCATTCCCCTACAACTGTACCAAATTTGGCTTATACAGGAATTTTTTACCCCATTTGGTTTTCTGAGCTGGACTGATGATAGGGATATTAAAAATGACTTGGTGACCATAGCAGCAATTGCTGTTTTTTAGTTGTGTATACAAATTCATTTAGTCGTGGTCTTCCCCCAACAAAATAAATTTCAACACTGAATTACCATTCTAACCTAAAAACAGAACACTAAAATCAATAAAAATGCAAATGCCCAATGTTTACATCAGCTGGTATATTTAAAACAGCTTATAGAAACACTGTAGCAGTACTTCCATTAGAAAATGAATGGATCTTTGACGGCCTGTGGGGCTGAACAGGGGTAATTGTTGACACTTCTGATATATTACCCACCGTCCTTGAACCTTAAGCTTTAATATTAATCCTTAGTAGCCATGCTACCATTTTCCTAGCTCGAGATATTTCGTGGGGACCGATTCGCTTACGGAATTAAATATGTTCTGGCTCAAGTAATCTGTCATGATGAATGTATTCAATACTTACATCACTTATCTCTTTAAAAAAATGCACCCTGCTGTGTCGGTTTTATGGAGATGATATAATCGAATTAAAATTGATGTGCACAATTCAATTGGTCACTGTTATTATGGCACTTTGCAGGCGGACATTCGAGTGGGGGAGCCCACCACCTACGAGAGCGAGGATGAGCTAATGGGGATGGGTCGACGCAAGCAGCTGGGCAGAAGCAAGCGAGGGACCCCTCTGTACAGCAAGGAGGACATCAGAGAGCAATACTGCATCAACGACAAACAGCTGCATGGCCTTGAGGACATACAGAACACGGGGGGCTTGTTCGGCTGTCTGTCCTCCTACCATGTCGACCTTAGTGTGAGTATTAAACTTAGAACATTATTAGTATTGAACTTAGAGTAGTAGTAAAGTAAAGTTATTACAAAGTAAGTAAGTAATAAGTTAGTATTAAACGATTAGACATGGTAATTCTTCCGGTACTACTAGGAAGTAGGAATGGAGTTTCTTGTGATAAACATGACTTTGTTTTCTTATGTATTAGTGACTGTAATGATCAGAATGTCTCTGAGAAAGGGACCCAGCTGTTCCTGATCATTGATATCCTGGCAAATGAAACAGCTGATCTTAGCCAGTAGCAAAAGCTACAAAAAATACTGTCTATCCACTACCACTTCCATTTTTTACTCATCCTTCACTCATATTTGGGTTAAAATATGCACCTAGGTGGCGTACCAATCTCAAATCATTATTAATAGTTAATAATAGATATGATTGATTGGCTATTTTGAAACAATTTACATTTACATGAATCCTTCCCCTGTATCATAATCTTATTTCTTATTTCAGTTATTTCTGTACAAGCACTTCCATTTCACCGTTATTAACCATGACATTAATATTCAGTCAATCATTTTCCTCTCTTTAAAAACTATCAAACATCGTTTTAACGATCAATAAAATAATCAATCAAAATACAAAAAAAAATGTTTCCTAGACGCTCCCATGACGTCATCGAACATTCGCATCTAACTTATCGTAAACAGTTTAGGTTAGGTACTGTGATTTGTTTGTTATTGTTGATGTCACCAGCTGATTATTCGCTTCTGCTTGCCTGTATTGTTTAATGTTTACATTTCGAATATAATATAACAAAACAAGTACTTTTTTGTGCTTTCTTTCGCTGTCGCTCTGTGTTTACTGTTTAAGAACAAAACTAACGAGCATATCTAAAACATTGGGTTTATTAAAAAGCGTTTTTGAAAGGGTTTCTAGTTCCGAATCAACTCAGGTTTTGTTCTCATAATATCGTGATAGTTAGCATAATCAAAAATTACATTGAAGCAACATTCATTCAGAGCTATAGGTTAGTTCAGTAATATAATCCAAATTTTAAAAAATAAACTCAAGCCTTGTATGCAAAAAATGTTATGCAAACATACTAAGTATCCATTCAAAAATATCATTCAGTTCAACTAAGTTATCTACAATCATGACTATTCACCTACAATATTAGAGTTGTGATGAGTCACATTTAATTTGCTTCTCTTGGGATCTAGTTGTCCTATGTTAACTTATCATACCTGAGTTCCAGGATGTGATGTGCTTAGGCTTATAATAGCCTATGCCTCACAACATGCCTCCAGTCCTTGTGCTTTTCATGCTTAGTCACATATTTTAAGGCAACCTAATTGACAAACATGGTGTTTCCAGAATTTTGTGTTTGTTTTTGATACTTAAGACCAAATTTTTTCAGGGTATTTATAACTTATACCATCTCTATAAGGATAGAGATCGATCCTTACCTGCTAAACAAGTGATAGATGACCTACTAGACTAGTGCCATTATATTTATTTCTAAGTTTATTTGGACACCAAGAAAATACTGAGTTGAAAACTCATTTTTAAATCATAATTTTTTCAATTTAGGACTCTTCATGTAGTTCAAGAAGCCCGGGCCTGTTATCAGTTTGTGTTCGCCGGAAAGTGCCGTCAGATGAAAACTTGGCAGAGTTGTGTAGAAGACCAGCCTACGATTATGCACCATTTCCTCGATGGCCAAGGTACTTTCCTCCTGAAGAAGCTGTCTACTTCAGACGAAGGCCTAAGTCGCTGTGTAATGATCCGCACGGATACACATGGATGGCAGAGGATGAAGAGGCAATCAGAATGGTAGGTTATCAAATCAATCAATTACTGTAGCTTAGCGCAAAATAAAATAAATGTGCCATATAATTTTGAAGGACATCTGCAACTTCTAAAAGAATAAAACATTATGGTACACATAAAACAACATTTTTTTAAGCTAGTAAAATCTTAACCGTGGATATTAAGCTTTAAAAAAGTTCTATAGTTTTGAAATAGCCTAATACTGTAGGCCTACTTCCATTTTGACAAAAAATACTAATTAACTCTTAATTGACTCTGTCTAGGAGCACCCTAGACCAATCCGACCCGACGAATACGACATGTGTAACAACTATCCGAGAAGGGGACCACATTACATGAGCTACAGTACAGAGTATTTGGTTGGTCGACACATGCCTTGTCCTGCCCATCCACACCTGCCTCCACCACCACCGCCTCCTGCGATACCTACCATGCCTCACAGGTAAGCATAGGGAACAAGGAAGAATGCCTTAGGCCTCATTTATGCACAACGTTTTAGGTCAGGCAAATTGTCGGGCAGAATCAATGTCCCTGTTATGCAGGTTTTTCCCCGAGCGGAATCCACTGGTTTTTTATGATGTCCGCGGTGGGTGGTGCCAGTGCTACCAACTTTGTTCATTTTTCCATCATCAGTCGCAAAAGAAAGACCCTTGTTTATCGGTTTTGACCTATTCGTGTGTTAAGAAAAACAGACGAAGAGGAAGGAGGTGGGCTGTACACTTGGTGAATCAAAGTCGTAGGCTGGATGGAGCTTTCGCAAACTTATATGGTGTGCTGCAAAATGAATGTATTATTCCGAGGATACAAAAAATCAAAACTTAGTTATACGCACCATGTAAGTTTTTTTTCGTACAGTATATAACTTTTTTAGCTGTATCATAGATAAATCATACTCCCTTAGTAGATTTGTCATCCCTATGGAACAGCTGAAGCCAATTTTATTGTTAGTTCTGTACGTCCAACTGTAGAGGTTATGTTTTGTTTATACAATTTTTTTCTTGTTATTTCAGTCATTTAAAACCTCATTTAACCAAATAAAACGATGTAATTATAAGCAATAACTAGTCTCCTAGTTATATAACCAAATAGTAAAGCACAAATCATGAAAATAACCCTAAAATAACAGAAACAAAATGTTGTCTACCCCAGCAATCAGTGTGGACGTACATGAACTAGACACGAAAAACAAGCTTCAAAATGTACAATGGGATGAGGAGTCTACTTGTGTTGCCTAGTCTATGGCTGTATCCTCGATCTATTACAATGATCATCTATTTACAATGTTTAGGCGATTTCGATACTGTGGATGACAAGCACAGGTTAGGTTGGCAGCACTGCATTCTGCCCAACAGAAAACGCCGTGGCGTAAAAGGGTTCCATTTGATATTACGTAAAAAACTCCCTGACGGAATGCCGAAACTCAGCGGAGCTTAAGTCCTCCGCCCACCCCAGACAGAACGCTGAAACGCGACGGAGATTCGGTTGTGCATTTAAAAAGGGTCTCATTTTTGATCCCATGTAAAATAACTTAATCTGGCTGATGGTAAACTTTGTGCATAAAAGAGGTCTAAGTCCTAGCTAGGTAGGCCGGTGTTTTGTGGGTATAATTTATGCTGATAGTTGTGTTGTGATTATCATCCATACGTCACAGACCAAAAATAAACAAGAGAGGAGGAAGATGGTATGTTGGACTGGCTTAGAGTCAACAAAATCAAGGAGAATGTAACCTTATGTTACTGCTTGCTCTTTCAAAGAACTTAACTGAACGCACTCATGGGTCTTGCATTAAGTTACATATTTTTGCTAATCATACTACTTTATGTTTCCCTGTGCCTTTAAAGAATAAGACATTACATATGAACTCACTACTCAGAGTAACTTGCTCAATGGGCTAACACATGATATACTGTAGATTCTTTATTAACATATATTTTTTGAAAATAGTACAGTGTCATATTTGTTATAGTGCGTTTGTTGTTGCAGGCGAAGTAGTTGTAAGTTACTAAATGATAAAATGTAGCTTAAATTATTCCCTAATGTGTAATTTACTTGGGCTTCAAACATGTGTTGGATTTTTTTGCATCTTCCTACATAGCGCTATATAACTCTCAAAGCCTTACTAATGTTATTGGCCATACTGCCTAAAGACCTAAGCTATTAGAGCTATCTAGGTAGCTCCTAAGTATTAGCAAATTATTAATTTAAATAAAAACTGATCAACTTCCTCTTGTAATCAATGTAAGCCAATTTTATGTTAGAGATGACGTATGGCTGCTGATTAAAAGACGTAAGATGAGAAATCCAATTCAAGTGTTCCACTGTAAACAGCTGTTGAGGATTTTTTGCACTTTTTTCAGAACAAAACATGTCAGTTTTGCTCGTTCACACACCTTAACATCATTTGACGATGCAGTAGTCAGCATGGCTGGAAGTGTTAGCTCGTGTAGCCAAGAGAGACTTATTGATGGGAAAAAGTCCACGGAAACATTACAAGAACCTCAAAAAGTTGTTGTCATGGGTAAGTAGCTTCTGAGTGGTTATATTGCTCCTCAGACCAAAATGTTTGCCAGTTTGGTCCTGTGTAAAGTCACTTTTGATATTTCAAAACTGGACCCAGCTGTTCCTTAATCATTGTATTTTTAATGAAAGGTTTTGAATAAAACACAGTGTTCTTTGTCAGTAAAAAAAGCTACATAAGGTATTTCATCCCTCAAAACTTATCTTACAAGATCTACGTCTTAGTCGCGATCTTATAATAGTGATAGTCAGTGAGTTAGGAGAAGAGCTTGATTTACTAATTACTGTTTAAGTCAGCGAAGGTATCTTCCCGATCCTGACTCTTATAGACTGTAGGTTGATTTTGATTTGTAATATTATAATTTAATAAGTCTTTGGAATTTCCTAAATATTCAGTTAATTAGAGTGTTATTAATGATTCTGTTTCCAGAAAAAGTTAAAAGGGCTCCTATGAAGACTCAAGCTACGCAGACGGAAGTTTGTTTAGGAAGAAAGCCTTTGCCTCCAAATTACCTAACTCTTAGTCCAAGAACTGTACGAAGGGTAAGTGAGGGTGTTGTAGTTCTTAAAATTAAATACTTACCACTTACTTGAATTACCCGCTGACAGATTAAAGATTATTTTAGCTGAAAACCAAATCACCCAGCTTCTTTGTTAAGAAAAACATTTTAATTTAGATACAAAGGAAGCATGTTAAAGAAAATAAGAAATTTAAGATGTGTTCCCTACTCATCTGTAAACATAGTTTTGTATTGAGTTTTTTGCTGTCAACTGAAACTCTCTGAACTGTGTTGTGAACTAATGTTGTTTTTTCTTAGCTCAGACCATTTATCTCAGCTCGTTTCTGTAGCTCAGGGGAGGGGTTATGAATTTTCATGGCTTAAGATTTTTGTATAGACTATTCGGTTTTTGTTTTACAAGGGTCTATTCTTTTCTTTTGTGCCTTTGTTCCTATTTATTTTCTTTTACTTACACCCACCATCATGAAAAATTGTAACTGTGTGAAAATGCACATTTTTAATACTAATTCAACATATTGCAATGAAACAAAAGTCCTTGTAATTCGACTCTTGCAAGACGAGGAGGCTTAGTTACAAATGACCCCCATATGATTGCCCTTTCGTCTTGCAAGTGACGAATTGATAGGTTCCAACTTGTGTTCATCTCCCAGGTTCGAATGGTATCACAAGGTGCACAAACTAATGGTGACAAGAACAACCGAAGACTGATGAAGAGTTTCTCTGAGGTGGGGCAGTTTGGGGTAGGAGCAACAAACACCAACACAAACACAGCTGACTCCCATGAGCCTCTGCAACGAACCCAATCTGAGGAGCCTCCCCGGTAAGATGATCGATCGTCTCAGTAGCCCTATGGATATCTAAGAGGGTGAAATGATATTTTAAGCAATAGTATAGAAATGTTATACATAAAAGCTTGAGCAGATATTAAATAAAAATTAATTAAATTAATTAATACAAAATATATGAACACAACTCTTGAGGCATGTTTATTTCTTAATAAAAGGTAAACATTGAATTATTTACAATATGGAATTATTCCAGTCATATAATCAACATTGAAATCAAAGATAGATTTTTGGAATATGTAACAGCAGAGATGTTCACGATTTCGCCGAGACCGTGAAGGATGTTCTCAATGTCACTTTAAAAAAAGGTTTACAGCTGGTTTAAGACTTCTGGTGAAAAATAGTCCTGAGAATGGACTATATACGATCGGTTGGTGTAGTAGCGATTTTGAAGTTATCGGTTAAGTAGGTATAGGCTAGAGAAGAAATTATTCAGCTTTCAGTGTAAAGAATCGATTAATTATGTCATCGATAGATCTCCGGTATATATATATATATATACGTACCTATCTCAAACTATGAGTTTTTTTCTTAATGTTTATATCATACTTAAGCTCGGATTTCACATTTTGTTAACTAGTCAGCTAGAAGAAAAACAATATATAGCCATCCAATGAACAAGTTGTTAATCTCAATTAAACTTAATGAAAAATGATGACATAGGTAGAGTTATATCCAAGAGTGTCGTTAAACCTGTCCAGTTTTTTTCCTGGCATTCATACCCTCATCATTTTTACTCATTTTTACAGATCAATCAAAATTAGTTGCCAAAGCTCTCAGTATGCTTATGTCCAAACAAATTTAGTTTTGGCAGATTAGTATAACCACCACTTACTGCTTTAAAACTCTTAATGAATTGGGTTTCATAAAACAAGCTATTATTACAATTTGATTCCCATCTACACTACATACTTCAGTCCATTCAGTTTGGTGGATTATTGATTTTTTTTATTGGAAAAAAGGTGCTATTGCTTAAAATAAGGATTAAAATAGTTGACGTCTTTATTTCAGATCACCCTTTCTTCCAACAAGTCCAAAGGAAATCCTTATAGACTTTGAACCCCTGGAGAGAAGAGGTAGAAAAAGATTACTCGGCAAAACTGTATCTGACGGAGAGATATTGGAAGCACAAGCTAGAGAAAAGGAAGAACGAGGGGATGGAGCGACCCAATCAGATTGTGAGGCTTGTTATCAGAACACTTCCATTGACGAACCATCGGAGAAGCAGACGAGATCAGGCTCCTCAGCATTCTCGGGATCTGAAGCCACTAGTCCTGTGAAACAGTTAGTGAGTGCAATGTTTACATTATAATCTTGTTTAGTCCCACAATTGTCAATTTTCAACTCAATTGAGAGTAATTAACTCTTTTAAGCCAAGATATAGCGGACGTTATGAGTAATAAGGCAAAACATCTAACTGTGCAAGGATAACTTTTTTTAAATTAGGAAGACTGTGTGTGTCTTATCCTGCTACGTAGAAATCATGTCTAAACTAATATACTAGCAGGTTACTGGTATTGTTTGTGTGGGACCCCACCTGTCAGTGGCAGAGCAGGTAGAAGAGGCACTTCCAAAATTAACGTATAATTAAAAACTACAATAATGTATTTGTTTACTTTTCCCTATACTTTCTTCATATGTGTCTAACAGAACACTTATGTCATACTGGAGTGTGCTTGTATTTTGGGGTCTGGAGATTTGAATTGGTGTCCCTAAGATGTATAAATATTTTATTAAAATAGCCACATTAGCATTCTTTAATACTCAGTTGTGTTAAAAGGTGTTGAAAACAATTCAAATTTACTGTTGAACATTTTCTTGGAAAAAAGCATATAATAACTGTCAGTTATAAATGGCTAAATCGTGAATAAACGTTAACTAATGTTACTCTGACACTTCAGATATCCGCAGACTCCCAGGAGGAGGAGTTTCACGAGAACCTAATCTACGGATCGCATGGATTGTTCCGCAAGCAGAGCACGGGCGAGGATGCAGACAGCGGACTCATGTCCATGGCCGACCCCAAGCCCCCGGCCAAGGCACAGTCACCCTTCGCATCCTCGGATTCTCTCAACACACGTGATCATAGCGACGGCATCTGGAACGAGTCTCAGACTACGGTAAATCAATTTTAAAAATCAGAGAGTATGGTACTGATGTACATAAAAAATTATCCAATAGTAATTATAATAGTTGTTCTGGCAACACTACATTAACCTTCAAATCTCCAGTACCATTTTTATGTGGTCTACTGTAGTGGTAGTTATTCGAAGTAGGTTGAGTGATTTTGTAATTACTTTTCAATTATTATCTCCATATGTGTGTATTTTAACCCAAATATGAATGAAGGTGGGTTGTAGGATGGAGTCTGATGATCTGTGTAGCTTTTTTAAGGACTAAGATCAGCTGTTCATTAGTCAGGATAATTGATTTAAAGCTCAATGATCAGGAATAGCTGGGTACAGTTTCTAACCATCGAATTGCTACTGACCTTTCTCAGGATCGATCCTGCAGAATTTTGATTGTTAGGCGAAAAGGCGAGCACTGTAACCACTCAGCTAGCCAGTCAACGGAGTGATTTCCTCTTTTGATAACTACTTTTTTTGTCTGTGTGATCATCTCACTCCGTTCTACACTCATCCATCACTCATATTTGGGTTGATTAATTTATGCACCTAGGTGGCATCCTCATCTCAATTGATAATTGATATACTTGTACTTCACTCATATTGATGTGATTTTGATATTATGTTGATGTCTCATATCGATGATGTGGTTCGGCCTAATCTATTGCCCAGCGTTACATTGGTGTTGGACTGTTGTTTTGCCCAGATCCTACACGCAGACTCTGACAACAACGGAGGAGGTACAGGTGTGAGCTGCTCAGACCTCAGTTCCTCGCTGAGTCCGTCGGCCGCCATCATGAACATGACTCCCTCGTCTCGGAGGAAACACCTCCTAATGTTGCAGCATCAGCAACGGTCGTCAATGGACACTGAGGCCTTGGACGCTGAAGACTTGGATGCTGAACAAGTAAGTATGCTACTTCCTGAGGAGGTAGTGCAGGTATTGTTTTCCCTCAGTTTATACCGGTAAATTTTTCAATTCTCTGAAATTTTTGAATGCGCCTCATGTTTATGTTCATTGTTTATATTGTTCTCTTAGTACAAGTTACAAATTCGCCCATTTACAAAACTGCAGCTATTATCAAAGTTGAATCAAATCATTTGTCAAGGTCCCAGTTTGTTATCCAACCATTGTGTTATTTTGCTTTCTAACAACTAGTCAGCATTGGGTGGTAATAAGACAGGAAAATGTATATTTTAATAATGCCAATAACCAAAAACGTACCTATTAAGAAATTTAAACATTACTCGATCGTTTAGGTATTTGGTATATTATTGTTAGGTATCTAAATATAAATAGCAATCTTGAAAATGTTAGGTTAAATTTATTAATTTTGTTTAATGGTCAGCTATCATTACTACTGTATGCTTATTTTTATTATCAAATGGGTCAGGCGGTTCCTATATGTAAAGTGCATCAAGCAAAATTAAATATGTGCTAGTTAAATGTCAGTGGTCATTAAATCATTGAAATGTTTTCTCAGCCATACGATTCAACTGATTCACCAAGATGGTTCAGCATAACCTAGTTTTAACTCTGATGAAATATTTTCAATTTGCATCCTTGTAATAATAACAAGCTCTGGTAATGGAACCCTCTTGTCTGTGTTATGAATCTGTCTTGTCTGTCAGTGTAATATTTTGTTGCTGCAGCCTCCTCTGTCCCCGCGAGTGCGAGGCACCGTGGATCAGCTACAAACCGTGCCTACAGTCGCCGTTACCACACCTACTCAGGACCCCCGTACTGATCCTGGAAAACCAATCATCAAAAACACACTGCCTTATTTCAAAACGTAAGTTTTATGCTTGATGTATCCATAGGATACTTTTAGAGAAAACATTGCTTTACCAGCCGAAATAATATAAAAATAAGACTAATAATGTTTTATATGTCTAATGTAAACATTGTTTAGAGACTCATTTAATCTTAAAAGTGATTAAGTGGTACCTCAAAAAATAAGTACCATAAATTTAATTTCTGAACATTAATGTCTTTAAAAACTGTTAAAACAGTGAAAATAGTTGTCCAGTTACCATTTTGTATTAATTTTTTTTATTTGTTATAGTGGTATTGAGTTTTATACTTTCTGTTATCAGACGAATAGAACAATCACTCTCACCTAGTCACAGAGCAAGAAGAAGAAGTCCTGATTTGCGTCCACCAGAAGGAGAAACCCACCAACACAGTGGTTGGTAACCAATGAAAACACTTGTTTGAGAACACATTATTGTTCAAGTCACAAATTATAAAATCTTTAAACTATTTTTTTTTTGAGAAACTACTACTCTGAAGACTTCATATTAGAACATAATTTGAAGTGTTTGAAAATGTCCTGCTTTGTAGTTTAGCTAAAACTTTGAATGTCAATATATAACAGGCTGCAGCTAAAAGTTAGTTTTTATTACAGTACTAAGAAATAGCTCAAGGGGAGATCAGAATTGAATGAAATCCTGCAACATCATTTAGTGCAAGCGTAAATATTAAGACGGGTCTTATACTTACCTTTTTTCATCCATCTTATCATAGACATTTTCCTGTAAATGTTGTCACTAAATGCTTAAAAATGTAATATGTGGATGAGTGCTGTAAAGATGAGTTCAAACCGTAGTTAATTATTTTATTGCTAACGCTTTTCTTTTTTACCTATACTCCATTTTAATGACTCACTGTTAACCCCAAACTTATTTTTCAGACATGTTGGCGAGATCGGACTCTGGAAAGACAAACACAGATATGTCGGAAACATCAACGACGACGGAAGATTACGCCACAGCCACCGAGAACAATTCCGGGACAGACACGAGTTCTCGGCTGCTGAGAGGGGACTCTGGCCAATCAGCGACTGGTACGACGGCCACCAGTGTGGCTCAGTCGGTCACGGGCAGCTCCTTCGAGAGCGGCTCCTCACTGTACAGCCTAGCACGTGGTGAAGCCATCGAGGAAGTACAGCAGGTTTGTTAACAATGTTGAGCTACTTAATGGTTTTATTTTGAAGGAGATATGTGTTTTCAAAGCATATACTCCTCAGCAATAATGCTATGTATTATACGTTTTAAATTAAGAAATTCAGTTTTCTTATTGTGAAAGAATAACATTGACATCCTCCTAGGCAACTAAACTTCGTTAGAACTCATTGTGATCTTAACTTGGGTGTTTTATTGTAACCATCAAAGTTTTTGAAACATAGTCTTATGGTATAAATCATTTGGTATAAATTTTAAAATTAGTTACTGACTGCCTTTCAGCATTTTGTAACTTATTCATGATTAAATGTGTGCTTTTGTACAAAAATTTTGTTTACGACGGATACGTAAAACTATAACTATATTTTATTACAGGTGCCTTGTTCGCCCCCACCACCAGCGAAGGAAGAGAAAGATAAGACCATAGAGATGCCTGCTGAGAAGAAACAGAAAGACAATGATTCTATCAGTGGGGAAAGCAGTAGCTCAGGGAGGTAATACAAGTTGATAAATGATGAGAAATGTATTTCCTCAAAGTTCACATCATCTGTGCATAGACAATACAAATACAAACTTACATAGAACAACAATTAAACGGGAGAGGCGCAAAGCCCTAAAAGAAATTACCTTTTTAATTACCATTAGCTGGTGCGCTAGATCACAAGCTTTAAAAAATACACCTCTATCGTAAAATTCAGTTAAGTAGGACAGGTTGAAAAGAGACGTACGTAACAGGGAAAACCTTTATGTATTTTTTTATTTATTAAAAATCCAATCAGACAAGTGGTAATTTGCTTACTCTGCAGGTTTGCTGTGGCGGTGTATTATACTATCTATATAATTAATACGCTACATGAAACTTTGTCGGTTGAACTCCTCCGCCATTTCTTAACCGATTTTATCCATTGACGTCTCATTGGAATGAGCGTGTCGCATAGATTTGCAAACTGGTCTTACATTTTTGAAAAAATCCCTTGGGCTCTGCCCCAGTGGCTTTGAAAGTTCCCATGCTATCCTTAAGTACGCATTAAGTACATTTATTTACTACGAGTTTGTGTAAACATAACCCCCAAGACGGATCGTGTTCGTATGGTCGTATCTTAAATTTGTGTATTATTGTTGTTTTGTGTCGCTATGACGGATCGTGTTAGCATGATTGTAACTTAAATTTGTGCATTTATCGTTGTTTTGTGTAGCTATAATTTGTTTATTTGTTGCTTTTTCTTTTATGCCTACGACGCGACAACGAAACATAGACAGAAGGCGTAGTCGTGATAACGACCGCAGCTACAGAACAGTGGCGCATAGGTTACAAAATAATGCTCCCGAACGCTATACCCCAAAACGACTTTTCGTTCTCAATAATTGACCCTCTATCAATGACCTGTGTTGCCTGTACAGCAAGGCATTTTGAGAAGAATAAAACTGGTCGGAATTGTTTATCAATAACAAAGATAAACATGGTCTGAGTTACACACCGGTAATCTTTGAGTTGACTCTTTTAATCATTATAAATATGACTGTTATTCGTTTTTAAATGACTTCTGTAATACTTAGCAATTGCTCGAATTCGAGCAACATGTACACTAGTACTATATTAATATTTAAACTAAACTTTTCTCTCCTTGTAGCAGCAGAACTTGTAAAATGTAAAATATAAATCTATAAAAGAGTAAGTATGTAATAAATAGTCATAAGTAGATATGTTTTAACTACTCATAAAGGCTTATATCTGACAAATAAAGTCTAAATAGTTTAACAATAATTGTCGATGTGATTGTTAAGCACCGATTCATGTGTTTTAGTTACAGTGTTGACGGCAGCAGTGGAGAGAAGAGACAGTCTGATAGGAGCGGAGGGTGTTCTTCACCCGGTGACTATGAATCCCCTGTAGAGGAACGATCCAAGTCTAGGTAAGTGTTCACTCTGAAACGTACCCTTGGGAGAAAGGGGCTCTTTGTGAAGTAAGATACAGAGAATTGAAACACCAGCTATCAGGCTACCCTGGGCAAACAGCAGGCCCTCAGTTTTGCCAAATGGAGGGAAAGGAGGGACGAAAAATCCGGATACACCATACAAAAATATTACAAAAAGGCATCATTATTCTATTCCATTTTACTAAATCCAAGCCAAAACCCTACACAACACTTAATTTAGAACAGTTCCTTCTACCGGTAAAATAGTCATATCTGAAAACGAAAACAAATTATTCTGGATTGAAGTATAAAAGTGGCACAATAAGCGGCAATCGGAAACAACGTTCCTCGTGCGAGGCTGAATACACTGAAGCAAGGTTGTTGTTATGCAAGGAGAACGACATTTCCAGCCCTGCGCAGTGGTGCCGGTACAGCGGGACGGAATTCTCGCCCCTCACATTCAACGTGTTAACAGAGCTCTGTTGACCTCCCGCCTCATTTAGATACCAAAACCAAATACACCAATACATTAATATACACTTAACACATCACCATACATCTTACATCTGTAAAATACATATTTCTTCTGTTTCATGCATCTACCATTTTAACGATGAAAAAAGGTTGTGATCCTGATGTGAATTGTATGGAGTATTTTTATTATCTGACGTTTGAATAAAATATGTTTTAGCAAACCACGTGTTGTGTGACTTCTTTCATTAATCAATCTTTGTAATAGGTCGTGGACTGAAGAGGAACGAATTGAAGCAAAGAAAAGTTTCAAATTAGAGCTGTCGTCACCTCAAAAAGATCAGGCTTCTAGTCCACCCACAGGTTGGATATAACTCTCATGTACACCATTACAATCCTGAATTATGGATTTTTTAAAGTTTAATTTCAATTCACTAAAAACGCTTTGTAATGAAGTTCCAGTTGGTTTTAGTTTAATCTAAATCTCCTTTAGTGGCATTGTTAATGGGGTAGTTACATTTTTAACATTGAAAAGTAAAGAAAACTGGTTTATGGGTTCTGGTATTTAATTTATCTTTTACAATGAATAATATTTTAGTTTATATTAAACTAGTTTTGAGCTTCATCAATGATTGGTGAGATAAATTAACACACGTGGGTTGAGGGACATATTTTACACCTTTGCTTATGTTACTTTCATATTACATGCTATCAATGACTTCCATTCCTAGTTTCAAGAAGAAGAAGATTCAAGAATCAAAAATAAAAAAATATATTCACCTTAGAGTAATACAAGGATTACAATAGGTTTCTTCAGTTCTACATCCGCTTACACATTTCCAAAATTATAGGGGTTGACTTAATTGATGCAAGTCATTGAAGTACCTAGACTCTGTACCTGACTAATATTTTTATTTTAACACTCCTCTAAAATTACCATATGATAAATGTTTTTTTCTGATCTCAACCACCTATAGTACCTTTCTTAGGATAAAGTATTTTTCTTCCACCCTCAGTTCTTTATAATCAATGTGTGATATAATTCTTTGTTTTACAGTTGTAACTCCCCAGAGAGCCATGTATCCCATCAAATCTCCAGTCAGAGATGGGGAACAAGAGGTGCCTAAAAAACCAAAAAGTAAAAATGCAAGTCCCAACCAACCATCAGGGAAACATACACCAACACAGGTACTTGAATATGACCACTTTATTTTTTAAACAGAATTCTTGCAAAAGAAGGTATTTTTGTGGAGTTGTGTATACATTTAACCTCCGCAGGAGTTAAAGATACAGAAAAAGATCATTTTTAAAAGAAGTTTACCTACCTATTAAAAAAAACCCTCTGTGAAGATATTCCGCATATTCTACAAGTATGAGTTCAACTGAAATTAATATGCGTAGCGTCTGTGTTCAAACAGGGCCATTTTAATAAATGGGCCTAGGCCCACCGCGCAAGATTTTTAGGTTATTTAGGGGCACAAAATAAAGAATTCTCCCACAAGGTAGGTAGAGAGGGGTGCAATCATCTCTTGGGCCAAAGCGTACACATGCAAATCACAGGCCTGCAATTAATCTAAGCTAATATTTTTCTCACATGAACCATCTGAACTCATAAGGTGTTCAATTAGTTAATTACTCTACTTAACTAACCTTTGAATAGCTGTTCCTACCAGTTAATTACCTTTATAATTTTAATTTAATTTAAAACTGTAACTTAGGTAAATACTGAGTCAACAGTTTTGTTCTATTATTCTAACATTTAACTTAATGTTAGTCATTAGTATGTTTTTTTCACTTATTTGTTCAGTTTTATTTTTTTAAATTTCTTATTTTGCACAAAACAAATGCAAAAACAATACATTTTTTTACTGACACCGTTTGTAATAGTTCAGTTTACCTTACAAGGATTTCAAAACAAGTGCTTTCTGTCACTAGGTGGTGGTCAGTAATGGTATGGGAGGTGAGTCATCAGAAGACTCGAGTGGGGAGTGTGCCTGTGGCCGTCAACGGAGATCTAGGGAGAGTCCTAGAAGGAAGTCCGGGGGAAGAAGTCCCACATCACACAACCGGTAACTGTCCAAACACTTGTGTAACACTAAGTTGATACACATTTGTGCTGTTTACTTCCCGATGCTTAACTCAGCCAATTAAGTTAGGCAATTTCAATCCTGGAAATATCCTAGATAAAGACTTGAACATATCCTTATAAAATATAAAACACCTAGGCATAAATAAACAAAATTAATAGGCTACAGTTTGTCAATGCACCGGGAATCGTACAAGGATTAAACTACAGAACGGATTTATGGCATAATAGAATGATGCCAGAGTGGCAGGAAATTTATCATTTTTAGAATTAGATTATTTCGTGGTCCTGTTACCGTAATACTTTTTGTTATATTTTTTTCAATTAGATAGCTGTTCTTCGATGGATTTTATAAATTAAATAATTTTATTTAAATATTTATAAAAAATTTAACTGTTTGTGGGAGTGTTTTTAGTACAGTGAGTTAATCTGAAATTAATTATTAAGCATAACAAGGTGTATACTTGGGAAAAATGCATACAAAAACTATTTAAGCACTCGGAGCAGTCATTTTTGAATACCCTTGATCAGTAAAGGACTATTCAAAATTGAAAACATAAATGGTGACAAATGACTAACTGTACAACGTCACAGTACAAGACGGAGAAGCAACAGTGGTGATGAGAACAGTCGACGGCGGAGCTCAGTAGCTGCCAAGTCACCCAGTCCTGTAGGGGTGGAGGAGGGAGCTACACTGAAGGCTGGGTCTCGTCTCTTCCCTGGCCATGAGGCTGTGCGCAGTCCCGGTGGCAGTCCTAGCAGACGGGGAAAGTCTAAGGTAAGTCTTGGGGTCTAACTGCAGGTTTAGTCATTTTTGGCTTTGACATTAGACACAAATATTCTATTCAATAAGCTAGAGACGAGTCTCGTGAGAATTTTGCAGCTTGTAAATTACTAATGTGTTAAATACTTAATTTTCGTATTTGACATTTGAATAATACAGGGTGGCGCAAAAAGGATGGTCGGTTTTAAAATTAATATAACACAAATTATTTTACACATAAATTTTACTGACTTGTTTCTGGACACTTTCAATTGCCCCATTACAAAAAATAACCTTGTAATTTACAAAGTTGCTAGTGGGCTATGACAATCAAACAATAAAAATTTATAAAAAAATTTTTTTTAAACCATAAAAAGAACGTAGCAGACTTTGAAGCACCAATGCTCTTATGGTCTCTATGTTTTGTGGAGTAACTGCCGTTTGTAAACGTCCAGTAGATTTACCACTTATGAGCTATGACGGATGTTTTGGTGTGTTGGATTACCAAACTCATAACTCACCTATTCACCTTCAAAAGTTAAAGTGTTGGGGTCCATTTATCGCCACATAAAGTCATCTTAATTATCCGGTTAATTTGTGGCTACATAGGTCTTATCGTCTTGTCTTGTGTTAATTGGTCTTTTTGTGGTTATTTATATCCATTCAGTATTTTATTTGATGACATTAGAGAATTTTCAGTTACATGTGTTTTGTAGGGAATCTCAAGTCCAGAGTCAGCAAGACTGAAAGCACTGAGTGCAGAGAGTCTGCGTTCTGTCAGTCCTGGGTCAGACTCAGTGTTCTACAGTGAACACAGCAGTGCTACAGTTACAATCACAGAACAACCTGCTTGTCACCACTGTGGTCGCAATGTACACACGTCTCCACCAGTAAGTATCTGACACAATACAGTGACAATCAAAGAACAACCTGCTTGTCACCACTGTGGTCGCAATGTACGCTTCTCCACCAGTAACTATCTGACACAATATAGCGACAATCAAGTAACAATCTGCTTGTCACCACTGTGGTGGCAACGTACATGCTTCTCCACTAGTAACTATCTGACACAATATAGCGACAATCAAGTAACAATCTGCTTGTCAACACTGTAGTCGCAATGTACGCTTCTCCACCAGTAACTATCTGACACAATATAGCGACAATCAAGTAACAATCTGCTTGTCACCACTGTGGTGGCAACGTACATGCTTCTCCACCAGTAACTATCTGACACAATATAGCGACAATCCCATAACAATCTGCTTTTCACCACTGTGGTCGCAACGTTCATGCTTCTCCACCTTTAAGTATCAGACACCTTTTAATACAGCGACAACACCCAGTGAACATAGATTGGCAATCATCTGTTGACTAATCACATTGTATATGCTGCTCAATGAATATAGATATTTTAAATTGAAATGTTGATGTGACTGCAACTTGCATGTTTCTCCTAAAAGTAAATTATCTGTAACGGGTAGTCTTGGCTTATACTAAAGGCAGCTCCAGACATGCGCCATTCGCCAAGCACCGAGCAGCAACTCGCCGAATTGCGAGTAGTTTGGATAGTTTGGCAATTTGGCAAGCAGCAAACATTCATGTTCGTGTTTTTCGGTTTATTGTCAGTATTTTCGGACTCATCAAAGTAAACAAATATTTGCTATTTCGGAAACAAAGGAAAAACGAGCAATTACTTGGAAAACAACACATGCATGTAGACGTCTACTTTTATGAATAAAGTTATTTTCAATTCAATTCAATTCAATACTTGTTAATCGGCAAATAGCAAGACAACTAGATCGCCGAACGTCAAATACTTTGTGCTTGGCGACTGGCGCATGTCTGGAGCCGCCTTTAGCCTTTAGCGTTTGACAGTTATGGCAAGAAAACTATTCTCCTATTGGTATTTTTTTATAATTATATAACTATGCAAAAACATGTATGTAATGAAAATGGTAGCTAATTCTAATTATTATAATTATGGCTAAATAACATATTTTTGCCATCACTGAAATTTTACTTCAAAGAATTCTAATAATGTTATACACTATATTACCTATTATAATAAGTTGTAATTACATAATTTGATTAATTAACCTGTAAGATCTGAATCTACATGAGGGCCTAGGTCTTATCTTAGCACATACAATTCTCTATCAAACACTTCAAGTTTATGAAACTATTAAAATAGCAATTCAATCCTAAGTCACGATGACCACAAACCTAGCTTGTGTGGTAGTCAGCAGGTGCGGTGAGTGGGGAAAGCAACGGGACGGATCGCAGTGGGGGGATGAGAGAGCCCATTGTACAGCCCCCGGCGGGGTTTGCAGACTCTCCCCGCCCTGTACGAGCCACCACCCCTGCCCCCCGCCTGTACAAGAAGGCAGACAAGAGGTTCCGCTCGGAGGAGAGGAGACACGCGGCTCGGGTACACGCAGAGGCTGTGAGAGCCAAGTCTGAGGAGCGAGGGCGGGAGGAGAAGAAAGAGAAAGTCAGGTTTGTCAACTTAAATTCTACTAGAATAAATCCAATATTATATTTATTTTTAAAAAATTTCTTGATTCTGGCAAAGAAGCAGCATTTTTAGATACAGTCATATTTTTTGTTATCGAAGTTTGTGTTTATCATTTTGACATATTGTATATTCCACTACAATATACACCCTCCTTATCAGCATTTAGACAATTGAAAGTAAAAAAGTTAAAGTATTAAAATATTAATTTACTAGAGGACCCATGCTGCTGCGCAGCGTTAAAATAATTATTATATCCGAGAAATAATCAAATTTATAATTTTTGATTGAGTAATACAGTATCTTGAGCTTAACTGATTCAAACTATCAATATCTCAAATTAAATCCTATAATTTACTCATAAGTTTGTGTCTAAAACATATAGAAAAACATGAGCAATACTGGTGCTATTGATTTTTAACCATATTTTAATTATAAAATAAATCAAATTATGTGTTCTGGTCGTGTAATAATGTAGGTAAATATTTGTAGATGATTGATGGCAAATTTGTTCGTGCATACCTTCAATTCGAGACCTCAATCATAAAAATCGGTCGGGTAGAAGAGCCAAACGAAATTGGCAGAGAAAAACCAAATTTAACTTCCATAAAAAATACATGGGAAGCGAATTTCGTTTGTGTATACACCGAGTGGAATAATAGATAAATATATGCCAATGCTTTATGGCAAATCTGTGCTTGCATACCTTCAATTTGAGACCTCAATCATGAAAATCGGTCGAACAGAAGAGGCAAACGAACTCGGCAAAGAAAACCCAAATTTAACTCCCATAAGAAATACATGGTGGTCAAATTTTGTTTACGTATAAGCTGAGTGGGATAATAAATAAGTATATGGCAATGCTTGATGGCAAATCTGTGCGTGCATAATTTCAGACCTCAATCATGAAAATCGGTCGGGTAGAAGAGCCAAACGAACTCGGAAAAGAAAAACCAATTTTTTTTAATATATAAGATTATTGTTTTGGCAAAGTAATGCATATTGCAGTATATTATATACATACATATATATTATATACATATAATATATATATATACAGTATACTGGATTTATATATACACAGTAACAAATGTTTTTTCTAAAGCTGCAAAACATGAAGAAAATCATTTAGGCAATGGACAAAATTAAACTAAAATTCAACCTAGACAATGATTGATTGTTGCAACGCATCAAACACTTTGGCCAGTATTTTTGCCAGTTAAGCAATATGACAATTAAGATTTGGCAAACTACTGTAGAAGCTTTCTTTCCACTTCCTTTCGGGTTAATATTTAATTTCAACTTTGGTTAGTTTTTTTTTTGTGTGGTTTATTGTGGTTTGGTTGTGAAATTTATTTTTGTCCAGTGTCAACAATGAACCCACATATTATGACCAAAAGAGGTTTAAGCAAGTAACAACTAAAGCTGATAAAGAAAACAATGACCCATTGTTTTGAGCGTTGAAATTCATAGGCAATTTTAGGTTATGAAAATGATATTTTACAAAAAGCCGTATTAAGGATTACCCAAATGCAATTTAAGCTATTTATGATTATCACCATAAATTAAGACTAAGTTTGGATTATGAGTTATTTAGAATTTGTGCTTTACAGTTGTACCATTACTACTTTATGGTCCCGTAATGCAGTTTTACAATGTGTGTCTGTGTGTAGGCCTCTGACTCGATCTACAGATGCTAGTATGGAGAAGCTGCGTTGTAGTCCCAGCAGTCTGTGTTCAGATGATGATGACTGCGGAGTCTACACGGATGCCTACTACGCAGCCACATGGGTGTACATTGGAGACAGTGAGGAACTGCAGGTGTGGCAGCGGCCGAACAGTCTAGGTACAAAACTAAATACTCAATTTTTTTTTCTCCCCACAGTTTGTACTAGTTTTTGTTTTCATCCAGGATTTTTTTCTTGTTTTGACTACTATACTCTGTGTGGTTTTTCTTTTGTGAATTTCCATCTATTTTCTTACCTGAGGATAGGGTCAGATTCTACATCCTCAAACTTTGTGATGTGGAATAATTCTAATGGAAAATATCGCAATTATTATATAAATAACATAATCCAACAACATAATAATAACGATTATTGTTTCATCAAAATTTAACAATAAGGATTTTTTATACAGACTTAAAACAAAAAAAAAATGTCATACAATCCAATTATGATGGTCTAAATCTATCCCCAAAAAAATTTACTAAAATAGGCTAAATAGTTTCTCTAACAGTCAGTAGGTGGTGTTTGATGTATAAGTTTCTCCAGTAGGTGATATAGCTATTGACCTTAGTACCGATAGCGTATAATTTGTGTACATATTTCTTTCTGACAATGAAACAAAATTTAACTTAACTCATCACTTTTTTTATAAATCTAAATTTTAAATTGCACTTCTTTCTATAATTATATGAAAACATTTAATTTATTTACCACATATTTTAATCAAAGCTATGGTGAGACAAAATAAATGTATATGCTTTAGTTTTTAAATATTCAATAATTTTAACTGTGTTCTACAAAATGTTTACTCACATGTATTGTTTTTACTTTAAAATATTAAAGGTTTTATCCAAACATAATTTTATACCTTTTTTAGGGTTGGATCCTATGTTTTATTAAAGTTTTATTCTCCTAACACTCCCATGTTTACTCATTTTGAATTTTACTTAACTGCAGAATCTCTTCTGATTTGATAATCTTTTTAAAATATGTTGTAAACAATCCTATTTTTGTTGTATTGAATCTGAACGCTAATATAGTTTACAAAAGCAGTTTTTATGTGTTTGTTCTTCTTGAAACACAAAAATGAATTGATTATGATTTAAAGTACAATAAAACCTCACTAATTCGACAATCTGTGGACCCAGAGATTGTCGAGTTTGGGGGTTGTCGGGTTATCTAGAACATTGGAATGTTTAATGGGTTTTACTAAATTATAACTATAACATAACAGACTAGTTTTTACATATATTGGCCTATTTATTACTTAGGCCTACATGAGTATTTTTTAAATATTGAGTAAACAATTTTCAAAGCAATGCCAAATAATCAACAATTGAATAAAACTTAAAAAGTCAAACACAATAGTAAGACAAAGCCAACTAGACAGGCTGTAAACTGTAGAGTCACAAGGACTTTAGAGTTACAGGGTGTCGAGTTTGTGAGGCTTTACTGTATTGAACTCGCAAAAGACATTTTTTAAACAATTAAACAATAACAATATTAATATTCCAAAAATTGCAGAAGATGAGGAATCGTCGCGTAGAGACTCCGTAGATTCTACCGGATCTGAGAGAGAATTCCGCAGAAGATATCAGGCCATCACACATCGCATGGTTCATCGCAAGTCTAGCTTGGAGATGTACAAACGGCTGGCTTCAAAGTCATTTGGTGAGTTTTACAATGTGAAACGACATCCTTGCGTCCCAAATCCTAGACTTGAGTTAAATGTATTTTTCCTCAGTAAATGATGTTGTTTGTTGAGGATCAAAGTTAAATGAACAATGTTCATTATAAAATAAATCTTTCTCTGGTAGTTACTTGAGACTATGTATGGGTCGGTTTTAGATTTGGTTTTCAGTCTTGTAAATTTTTAGCATAAAAACCTAATTGAAAATTGATGGAAAATGTCTGTTTCGGTTTGTAGGGTGTTATGCAATGATTTGACAGCCATTAAAGCATAATCGGTGGGTTTTTCAACCTACTTGAACAAATATATTAATGTGCCATGATAAATTTTGTAATATTAGAAAATTGTCCATGTAGGGAATAAGCTTTGGAACTAAGTTAAATCTTTTATCAGTTTTCACAAAGAAATAATCATAATTCAGAGCCATAAAAACTTTTCTATTATTGATACTAGTGGTTGTCCAGTGGTCGAAAACTTAACCAAAAATAATGTACACACTTCCTCTATTTCCAACCAAGCTGTAAATTAAACATGTAATTGGAATTTCTTCCATTTGTTTTGATTTTATGTTTGAATTCCGTTGTTATTTTGTCACCAGCATGGCAACCAATAAGGCCCATGTTAATTTATTAAATTCTAAATTCATTTTTAGTGCTTATTTTTTAGCCTATTTCAGTTTATAAAGGGATTCAGCACATCTACAGGAAAATATTTCTCTAACAGTATGCGCAGATTTTCCCTGCAACGCACACGAGCTGAGAAAAAGAGATTTAATAGAAATATGTTTGCCTATTAATATAGGATTTTTTCAATGTTTATATGATTTTTAAGATGAGCTAACAAATTAAAACTGTTGTGATTTAATTAAACTCATTAAAAATTACTCATTAATGTACTGTGGAAATTTATACATATTTCTTCTGTGTTGGTAAATTAATTATTAACAGTTTATTTACAAAACAATTTTAGAAAAAGTAAACTTCCTCTAATTGCAGTAAAGGTCTCAATTGTTCATAAAGCTCTATTGAATGAAGAAGTTTGATGGTAGTGGAACAAACAACAAAGCTGATAGAGTTATGAAGTGAGATTGTGCCAGTTTGGAATGTCAGTGCCAGAAATAGCGACAGAATGTCATAAGTCAGTCCAGGTATACTGGGTCTCTCCCACGTTGGGGGGGGAGGGGGAGGGGGGGTGTCATCTGTATTTTGGTTTACTTCTCCTCTTAGGTCCAGTTTTGTGCCAACCTTCCCTAAGTCATGTTCCTAGGTTTTGCTTCTTAAAATGGTGGCCGGTTCGTTGTTGTTTTATTCTGATTTTCAAATTATTTTTATTTTTATGTTCAGTCGATATGAGTATTAGTTTTAGTATCAAAACAAAATATTGTATCACTAGTTTTTATTTTAGTTTGATTCGTGTGCACAAGTTTTAAAATAAAAAAATTTATAAAATTTTAAGTTCTAGGTTTTTAAATTTTTTACAGTGAAACTTAATAAGTAATAGTTAAAAGTGTTGTAGTTACAAAGTACTTATAACTATTAAATTGTTGGATTTTTTTGTATAATGAACTCTTTGAGTTGATTATTTTTAACAGTATACATTTGAGTTCTTAATACTGATAATATTCCAATTTATGTGTCGATATGAAAAATGTATTGGAAATTAACATCATTTGTTAAGTGTTATAATAACCAAACAATTTAACTAGAAAGTTTTGAAAGGTTTTATTTTGAATCATTTACCATTTCCATTTATTTCAAGCTCTTTAATACATTTTTAGCTGATTGGAGAAATGACAATTTACAAGGACGGCTTGAAAACCTTTACAAAGCCATGCTTGTGGTCTGGGCTCAGGAAACCCAAGCTTATTCATTTGTGTCAGGCAAACTTGATGGTTAGTATGCGAGTGTTAAAATAATATTCACACTAGCATAATATACAAGTATAAATTAAATTATAGTAGCAAATAAAGTAGGCCTACAACTGAGCACCCTGAATATTATACTTTTAGTAGAAGTTACATGTTTCGGACATAAGTCCATTTTCAAACTTCAAATAACATCAATTATTTAACTTTAGTTTTTCTTAAAAACTTAAAAACAAAAGTTAAGTATTTAATGTTATTTGAAGTTTGAAAATTGACTTATGTCCGAAACATGTAACTTCTACTAAAAATTTAATATTCAGGGTGCTCAGTTGTACTTTATTTACTACTATAATTTAATATATCAGCAGCCCTATTACGTGAACACCTAAATTAAAACAAGTAGAATTATGTTGTAGTGCAGTTAGATTGTTTTTAATCCGTAAATAATCAAGCATAATTTAATTTGTATTTCTTATCATTTCTAAGCTCACTCAATCTTATTTGTATGTGCATAATAAAAAACTGTGTTATTTCAATTATTCTGGAAAAAAGTGGAAATGTGTTGTTTAAAAAATAATCTAGACTGTGCTGCAGTGATCATGGATCAAAAGTGGACAGTATTGATTCATCTTTTGTTTATTTCCCAACTTTATATTTACCTTTTCCCTTTTGATTGCCCTGAGAATTTGTTCTTAGTATCAGATCTGTTTCTCAGTGTTTCCTGGTTTGTATAATAGTTTTTAATGATCTAAATTCAAATTCCTTCCCACCTGAAGACAAATTTGATATCAGATCGTGAAGTATTGTGAATATTTTTTATTTATGAAATATGCTGTTCTTTGGAGAAATATATCAAGCTAAGAAAGGGGAATATTGGTATTCTACTGAAATTGAACGGTACAAATTGATCAAATTAACTACATCGATCGGATGTGAATCATCATCATCGCTTCCATGGCTTGGAATTCCAGCTTACTGCTGACTGAACCACTCTTACAAAATGTACAGTAATGCGCCATTCAATCTGATAACAGACATGTATTTTAAAGGTCTACCTAAAACACTTACAACTTTTTACATTCAACGTAGTAGGAAGAGTTGCCAGTTCATGCCTTGCCTGTTACAGAGAGTGACAAGAAGGTACTAGTTCGTCGTGTATCCGGAGAGTTTGGGTTCCGGATCCACGGATCACGTCCAGTTGTGGTGTCCGCTATCGAACCGTCAACACCTGCCGAAACGTCTGGCCTGGAGGTTGGCGACATTGTCATCAGCGTCAACAAAGTCAACGTGCTTGACGCAAGCCACTCTGATGTCGTCAAACTTGCACATGGAGGTACAGTCATCAATGACACAAAGTTCTTTTATATTTGTATAATGTCTATTCCATAATTTTGCAAACCCTGTTCCATTACTGACAGTTAAATGGTTTTACACTGATACAACATAGCATCACTTCAGAGTCATAAAAAATATAGTCTTAGCCTAATCTAAAGTTGCAGCAAGTCTACTTGTACCTATGAAAATTGCCTGTAGCTACTGGAGTTTCAAGGAGCAAGAAGCCAGGTGTACATAGAGTTTTAAAATTGTGTGATTATAATGTTGGATAGCATCATATTTATTCCAAACACATATTAAAAGAAATAAAACCTAAGTAAGAATGGATTTGAATGCTCAGAGAATTATCCCTTAAAGTTCAATGATGTAATCATAGACCCCAAATTGTGGGCAACCCTCATACAATGTAATGTGTCAATTCTCATGAATTGTTTACGTTCCATAGGATCTGACACATTAGAGCTGGAAGTGGCCAGGACTAGTGATGTGTTCACCACAGGGAGTGTGACGAAGCCTCTTCTCACTGGGACTCTGTTGCGACTTTCGTCCTCCTGCTCCAAGAACCGTGGGACGTGGGTGCCTCGACACTTTGTCCTCAAGCAAGATCACTGCCTTTACTATTACAAGACTGAAACTGTAAGTTCACCATTGCCTAGAATAATTAGTTGGTCCGATAACTGAAATAGTAGATACTAGATAGAAAAAGTCTTCTTTTGCTGCTTTTTATACTTAATATGATGCTCATTGCTTTTATACTTAAATTCTTGCTTAGATAACTTCTTCCACAGAGATGAAATTAAAAAAATTGCTATGATTGTGGTAAGACTTTGATTGACTTTGACTTTGACTGTGGTTGTGTAGCCTAGCCACCTACACTGATTTTATTTTTGCAGACATTTGTTACAACATTGTTATTTTTTGTTGTTTGTATACTGCAGAATCTCAAAAATCTGACCTTCAGTTATCCGACATTCTGTGTTATCCGACCCTCACTATAGACAATGATACCACATGCTTGTGTAACCCAGAGTGTGTGCGTCAAGACATCCTTATAGCGACTGTGCTTGGAAAATATGTGCCATTTTTTTATGAACCTACACCTCACTGTTGTAATAGAAACACACAAGCATAGTGTATCCTTTTACGAAATAACCTACAACAATCCTTGCACAAGTCCTTACTTCTAAACTCTAAAATAGTTTGACTGGTTCAACTTGGACTTATGCAAGTTTGTTATATGTTGCAGGACACACAACCTGTAGGGGCAGTGCATCTGGCAGGCTACACTGTGTCTCGCACCCCTGACTCAGGCCGTCCACACAGCTTTAGGCTCAGTAAGAAGGGAGCTCTCACGCTCCACCTAGCTACACAGTCTGCCGAGAGAGTGGATCAGTGGATCAACGCTCTCACTTCAGCCACCGCTCCCATTGTGAGTGCACGTAAACCGCAGATTAACTAGATTTAAACAAATTTACTTTAGTCTTGTCAACAAATAAATTCAAATATTCTATTGGCCAAGATTAGTTAACATTTCCAAAATCATGTCTCAAAAATTCAATAAAATATAAAATACGTAAATTTCTCCACTTATTTGTCATTGGTGAACTGCATTCTGCCACAGTAAAATGTACTCTTTTTTAAGTGTACGTAACAGTGAGAAGTTAAAAAAAAATAAGCAGTTGGGATTAAATTTACTTTTTCAATTTGAATTGAAATGTAACTAAACTAAGTTATTTTATCTTCACAAGTAAAAAGTTTAGTATTTTAATAGTACAGGCTGTACAAGGACTAAGAGTCTGAACTAACTCCGCCCGGTTGGCGTAGTCTGTTTTCTTAACTCATCAGTTACCATAAATTTTTCGTATTCGTGTTTGTGACGTGTTTAAATGTTTATTTATTTTTATGTTAAATAATATGACGCTCTTCATGTATGAAGAAAGAAAAACATCCTTGTACAGCCTGATGTTATCTCCACATAGGAGCTGAAACTAGTTGTGTTTGCGACAAGATTGGATTGCCTAATAGTTGGTATTTGAACCTTTTTAGTTCAAATGTCAACAAAACCTTCTCAAACCACAGCAACACTACTGTCATGCTAGTGGCGCCACTTCATGTACCATTCTATTTACTATTCATTACTCTGTGGACTGCAGGAGGAGCCCTGGCAGGATGAAAAGTGCCTCAAGATCCCTCCGACCCGCGTACAGCAGCCGGAGTGTGCCGGGACATTGTGTACACTGGTCCATCATAGAGGCAAGGCGTGGCGGCGACGGTTCTGTGTCTTAAAAAATGCTTGTATTTATTTCTTCTCTGATATCAATGCTGATTGCGCCTCAGGTAAGACTGATTCTAAAGTACTTGGTTTTGTACCCAGTATGTATTAATAAATATACAATAGTTATTTTTATATAGTCAAAGTCGAATACAGTAAATTCTCAATTATCCGTGGTGCATGTACGTAAAAAAAACATAATTTAAATCAAGTTCCTAAATACAAAACCGCAATAAAAATCGTAAATCACAAATACAGTACACTTAATAATGTACAGTACAAAACGTGTACAGTAGTTCAGTATTACTGCACAGTATATCACACTGTATGTGGTGTGTGCTTGAGAAGTTTTGGGCGCAACCAGCGGCACTGCAGATCTTTGTTAGCGCACGAGTGAATCACGTGACCAGTGAGTAATCTGCACGTTTGTGGTCTGCCACTGTTGATTTACCCTACACTCCCCCTTCCCCCCAATACGCGCATCACTACAGCATTAGTTCAGTTTAACTCAATGATTCAAACTGTCTGCTTCGCTAGTGCAAACAATAGTGACATTTAATTTGTGATGCATTAAATCAAATCAAATCAAATCAAATCAAATCAAATCTTTTTATTGTCTTTCAGCTCTACAAAAGCAATTGACATTGTCAAATGGCATCTTATCATTAAAGCATTAAACATAGTCATAATAAATAACAGGAAGCTTGAGCTTAAATAAATTATTTAAAAACTTATATCTAAAACCTCCAAGGACAAGAACTTATCTACAGAGTAAAAACATTTTAATTTTAACCATGAATCAAGGACTGTTTTGAATTTTTTTATTGGAATCGTTACTGCAGAAGGGGGCAATTTATTAAACAATTGTATACTAAGATATTTGTAGCTATTGTGTGTAAGTGTAAGTCTTGTAATTGGTAAGTTGAGATGATGGCTATTTCTTGTGTAATGTTTATGTATGTCAGATCGGATGCTATACTGGTCTATATTCTCTTTTACGTATAATAAGCAATTTAAAATGTATAAAGATGGAAGGGTTAGGATATTTAGGGCCTTAAAATCTGCTTTGCAATCTTCCCTGGGCATTGTTCCTCTAATGCACCTGACTGCTTTCCTTTGCCATTTGAAAACGGTTTTGGCTCCTACAGAGTTACCCCATAAGAGAACACCATATTGTAGGTGAGAATGGAAAAATGCGTAGTAACAATTTAGAATAATTTGTTCACTTACATTGTTCTTTAATTTGTTAAATAAAAATACAGTTCTAGCCAATTTACTACATAAAAAGTTTGTATGCTCAATCCAATTCAGCTTCTGATCAATATGGATTCCTAGCAATTTTACTGATTTATTGTCATTAGAATTTATTCTAAGGTTAAAATGAATTTCTTCTGTTTTTGAGTTGTTAATCCTTAATTCATTTCCCCGAAACCACTCTTCAGCCAACTTTAACACCCCATCCCGTTCTTCAAGTGCTTTGTTCAGATTTTGACCACTTGTGAGGAATGTAGTATCATCAGCATAAAGAGTGGTTTTACAGGGAACAAAATAAGGCAAATCATTAATAAAAACAATAAAAAGTAGAGGCCCAAGGACTGATCCTTGAGGTATGCCAATTTTGATTTTTAACATATTAGATCTTGAATTATTTACCTGCACCAGCTGGAAACGGTTCACTAAATATGAGCTTAACAGATTTAATGATTTTTCAACTACTCCGTAAAAAGCCAATTTTTTAATTAGAATTTCATGAGAGACTGAGTCAAAAGCTTTAGCCAAATCAATTAATGTTGCAGACATATTAATTTTACCATCACAACCGTTAAAAATATCTGTGATTATATTTTCCAAGGCCTTGATTGTGGACAAATTTGATCTAAAACCAAACTGACTATCACAGAACAAGTTATTTTTTTCAAAATATGAATAAATTTGTTGGTGTAGACAGTGTTCTAATATTTTAGAAAGAATTGGGATTAGAGATATCGGTCTGTAATTATTTGGATCAGTTTTTTCCCCTTTTTTGAAGATTGGTATTGTAACTGATATTTTAAGACATTCTGGAAAAATTTCTTGTTCAATCATCATATTATATAGAATGGTAAGTCAATCAATAACATGGAAGAGTTTTATTGTATAATAATCTTATTTAAAGCACTTGTGTCTTGTTTTTTAGTGCCTTCGACCTTTGTTTAACCATTACCAGCAATTTGGCGGCTTATCCGCGAAATTCGATTATCCGCGGTATTCACGCCAGTCAATTCCGCGGATAATCGGGAGTTTACTGTAATCTTTTTCATGATGAGGCGCGAATGCACATTGAATGACATAAACTACAAACCAAACTAGAACCTAACAGAACAGACTTGCTTTAACAGGTGTGAGGATTAAACAAAAATACCACCTACACAGCAAACCAGCAGACTTAGTGAATTTCCATTTACCTAGATATTCACTAAAATAATCCCGTAAAAGGTTCAAAATTATTTCCTATTTAAATAACATGAATTATAATGAGTACTCAGGTTTGCTGCTTCAGGGAAGGTAAAAAAGTGTGCTTTTCATTGAAATGTTAATAGCTTATTTACTTAGCTACCGGTAGTTACAATTGGGTAATGTAAAGTGTTTTCTAACGCAGGTATGGCTTGCCTCCAAGGGTACAGAGTGCAGAGTTCAGCGTCAGGAGCAAAACGTTTTGCCTTCGAGCTTATTCCTCCAGATCCTTCACTAAAACATTTTTATTTCTACACTGACACAGAAATGGATAAAAAGAGGTAGATAATACCAATATGCTTTCAGTGAACATTTTATGAGTATAAGCTTTATAACATCAAAGGATATTGCATGAACGATTGCTTATTTACAGCCTTATTTAATGATTGCCTACTTAAAGCCTTTACATGTTTTTGTGTTGTTATTGGAATGAAAACTTGGGAAACTATGACATGTTAGTTATGATATACTCAGCTGAAAAATGACTTTTAAAATCTTTTTGTTTTGTCTTTTTTTGTTACAACCAACAATAGGTTCCATACTATCAATGTAGACTATAACCATAAAGTGTTTTCTTTTCCAGATGGCTAGCTGCCCTAGAGTACTCGATTGACCGATGGATCAAAGTAAGTTGAACATGAGAATCCTGAGGCCACTCTACGACGAACGAAATTGTGAACATGACTTCTTTGCCATCGGGAATCAGATTCCGACTCGAAATTACGAATCAAACAAGCGAATTGTATGTTTAAATATACACAGTTTTATTACAGAGTAATAAAATATATCTGGAGTATATCGATTGTTAGTTACCTATTTTAAGGACATGCTGCATGCATATTTCCAAGAAATATAGTTAGCAGTGATGTAAATTCTAAGTGTACCATGTGGGTAGTTAGGTTAGTTACACTCACTGTCGTCCAGTTGCTGGATAAACTCAGTAAGCCAACACCAATCGGGTGCAATATTTGCAAACGGGATTCAATTATCACTAAAGCGAATGTATTTTTATATTCTTTTGTATTTAGTTGGTTCCTATATTTGAAGTTAGTAGTCTTTCCACAGGGTCACAGTTTCTAATTGTTTTGAAGAGTTTACATCATATTTGTATGAATTTTAGTCCGATACCCTAATAAGTGATTCTTATATTCAATCGGGAATGTTTTACAGCGTTTTAAACCACCAAAAGGAATGGCGTAATGAAGGCCAAAGTTGTATATAAGTTGTGTATAACTTTACTGTGTGTTACATGTTTTCCTAATGTTCAGCGATATATTTTGATACGAAATAAATATGTTCAAAAATATATATGTGTGTTGATTCTACTCATTTGTAAATAGTTTAGCTGATTACATATCGTTAGTGGTTTTGCACATAGATTCTCCAAAGGTTATTTGGCAAGTGATATGTATAAATCAAAATCCTATTGATTTTTTACCAAGAAATGTTGCAATAGTATGTTCTAAAATGTCATCGTAAACATGTTTCATATTAATAATAACTAATAATTATAACCACTTTCTCAAAAACGTGAATGTAAAAAGTCTAAGCACCAAGTTATGAGTGAGTATAAATTTTCATTCAAAGTCCAAACATTAACACCGTATTTAAAAAAAAAGTTTTAAATCTTAACCAAAGGTTTCCAACCAACTTTTTTTAAATGAATAAAAAAAAAATTAAATCCTAGTCAAATGTGTAAAAATAAAATAGTTCATTTTGCCGACACGTGTTATTGATTTATTTCAAACTTGCCAGATAAACTTATTGTGTAAATCAACAGGCCTACTTAGTGTTTTAAGAGGAAAAAGTGATCAAATTCAAATGTAACATTTGTTGCATTTTTAAAGGATTTATTGTAAAGTTATTAAACATGTACAGTTTAAATTTACTGTTTTGTTTTTGGATATTTTAAAGAAAGCCTAGGCTTATAAATATATCTGTTGTTTTTAATTTGAATATATTTTAGATTTAAAAATGGACACAGAAGTAAACGCTTTAAATACAATTGCGGGTAACTTGGTATTATTAATGTGTACATTTTAACCTAAGTGAGAATAAGCCATGTGAATGTTAGTGTTTTAGAATTTTTTTCAACATGTAATTTTCAGAACTGATTTAATTATTTTACTCGAACAGATTATTTTCAGTGCTTCAACACGCTGTGATTATTATTAATTTCTCAACGTAGTATTGTATACCACAATGCTGTACCGGTATGAAAAAACTTGTCTGAACATGGTGCCTGTTGTAGTAAGGTGCAATTAGATCTAAACCTGCACATTGAAAGTGAAAGCTATAACTTTTGACTCCAAACTGCCAAATATAATTCCTGTCTTGTATGGTAAAAAGTTACACATAAAAGCATCCAGTTTTAGGGATTTTAGCTGAAAAATAAGTAGTTTTTTTTTGTTTTTATATAATAGTAAAAAAACAATGTGGTTTAGTGCAAAGTATGTTATTTACTAAATCAATATCTAAAATAAATTGCAAAAAAGTATGGTCCTGTTCATAATTTTTCCAAATTGAACGGTTACAGAGTTCAAAATCATTAAAAAGGTTCAAATATTTTTAATGTTTTTAAATTTATGACTTCATTACCATGAAAACTACTTTTATGTACAGGTTTTTGTATACTTTTTTTAAGCAAATTGTGATTTTAGTGGCTGTGATTGTTAGTGATACGCCCTTGTAGGAACGACCAGATATATGTATTACAGATACTGTATATGTAGATTTGCACTAGCTATGTGAAAATTATTAATCAAGTCTGTGGAACACTTAGAAATGTTGTAAACAGTGTGGTGCTGTATGACTAGTCTCTTGGAAGACAAGGTTCTTAGTTCGAAAATCATAAAAGACTAATCGTTAAACTAAACGGACATATTATTTGAGTAAGTACTGTTTGGTTAGCCCCCATCAATGACTTCCACGGATGGGCCTGGTTGATGAAAAAAGAGAGGTGTAAGTTGTGATTGCAAGTGTGTGTGTGAAGGACAAATAATTCTTTAGGGTTCATTAGGAAAAAAGACTTAACAGAGGCTTTTGGAAGCTTCTTTTTCATTTAAAAGTAGTGTCCTCTAAGAAGAGGGCGAGGCCTGGCGAGGTTGTTGTTCCTTCAAGGGTTTATCACTAATATTCACAGACCACTAAAATCACAATTCGCCTTCAAAAAACACAAATACATTATTCTGTATACAAAAGCTGTTTCCATAGTAATGAAGTCATATATTTCAAAGCATTAAAAATGTTTAAAAATTTTCATTTTTATCCTTTGTAATTCTGTAAGCGTTCTCAAAATTAAGAAGAGTACAATAATTCTTTGTTGAAATTTTTTGTAAATAATGTGTTTTGTAAACTACATGGTTTTTTAAAAATGTAATGAGGACCAAAAAAGCTACCAGTTTTTCAACTTTAACCCCCCTCCCCCTTCACACGGCTCTCGAAACTAAATAACTTTTTTTACCATACAATACAAAGAACTATATTGAACTATTTGGTGTCAAAAGTTAGCTTTCACTTTGTATGTTGAGATTAGGCAGTTGTTTTTGCTAATTGCACCGTACGATTTAGGATCTAAAGCAGAAAAATCCTTTATTATATTTCATAAGTTATTGGAGTAATTTGCATGTTTCACAAAAATTATCTGTATTGTAATACCAGTTACTTTTGATCAAAAGCAGACAAAATCATCCACTATTCATCCTAACCTTTTTATGTTTAAAAACAACTGGCACCAAACCTTAATTATTATTTTTTTTTAGAATCTATGTTTAAAATTACAAATAAAACATTGGTAGCATTTTGTTATCCTCCAAGTTTTTTTTTTATTTTTACAAATTGTACTACAACTTGTTAATTCTCCCTTTTTCTTTAGAATACCAATTCTAGTGTATTTGCATAAAACGTTGAGCCTTTATCTATACTCATTAGAATCCTGTAAGGTTTTTGTTCAAGTTGTGTATGCCAAGTCAGTAAAGGTTTCTGCGCTACATGTGACCACCAATGGTTGTTCCTACACATGACGGTAGTGTCGGAACCGTTCAATCAGTCTGTTAGTCAAACGAGAATGTAGAATAGTTGTCAAAGCACTAAGTCACTAGCGTAAGTGTAGTAATAAGTTTCTCACCCTCGAATTTGCCTGAGATAAAATAGCAAAATATAAATAAACAAGTAAAACATTTTTAACATTCAAGCTCTGATAAAGTATGTTATTTTTTGGGGCTCAATCGATCCTATTTACTCATAATGTTAAATTTATACAGTAACAATATGGATTATGAATAAAAAGCTCTTAAATTAGTACAGTATTATGTTATCGTTATCAAAAAGTATCATTGAGAATTATATTTAATTGGGATTACCTATACTAGGTTTGATTTTTACACACTGATTACAGCTAAAATATACTTTAAGAAATTGTCTCCTATTACTTTAACTATTAAAACTGTGTTTTAAGTTATTTTATCTATTGTGAAACAAAATTGTAATATCTAGGATGCAAGAATTTTAAAGGCTGAAACAAGTATAGCAATCTAAATAAATAAATGTAATGAGGACACAGCTGTAAATGATTATAGCTTAGGACTCTGTGTCGTTAAGTTCCACATTCAAATCCTGTCAATCACCAATATATTTATTTATAAAATTCTATGTAATTATTCTGGGCCCACCTTAAACCTAGAAGACAAAAAATGTAGACTCAGAAAATTAACTCTTCCCTTGCTAAGATAATGGGTCAATCTGTTAAAGAGAAATTCACTAAATCCTACATCATATAGGGCAATTTAAGTGTCTCATTTCGCCTATTTTATTTTAGATCTTTTCTTTAAAAGGTTTGAGGAAATGTAATGTAAACGTACCTTTGAGCAAATTTTATATTTTGCTATGCAAATTGTCCATCCGTTGTTACATTCAGAACAACTCATATGGATGTTAGATTTTTGAGCCAATTAAATACAACGAAGATGTTATCCAAATACAGTCCAATTGAATAGTTTAAGTAGGTGATTGTTATTTTTCAATTTTTATTTATGTGTGTATAATTTTTACCTTGCCGTACCATAAAAGCATGTTAAAGCTGAATTCTAAAAAAAGTGTCAGTGGAATATCTAAGCTAGTTCTCTTTTACTGTTTTAGTGTGAAATCCAAAAGGCCTGCCTCTCAGAGTAAATTTCATTGTTTAATTGTAAGAGACCCATAAAATGAGGATGTATTTCATAATTTCATGGAAAAATTTTCTACGGCTAAGCAACAACTTTGCTCTGAGAAGTGTGGTATGTTTTGTAAACATACTTCATGACTTCAATGTTGCCTGTTTTAATGTGCATTCAATGTATTAGCATGTTGTCTGATTCCAAAACAAATTTAGTGTGCACACATTTAATCGAAAGTTTAAAACAGCTTTTAAAAATAACCAATTGAAAAAATATTTGGTTCGTAACATGAGATATTTCAATGTAAAATACGCACAAAGTAGAGTTAACCAGCTTGTATGAGTAGATATGTGAAATCGAGAGAAAATTGCTTCAAAGGAATCTAACTAAATACTGCCATTGAGCTGAAAATGTCTGTAGAGATTTAATTACTGTAAAGATTAAAGTTTGTGTAAGTTGTAATGATTGTTAGTAAGGGAACATTAAATGAAGATTTCTAAATAAAGTCCTTAAAGTGCTCAAATAAAGTATGTTTGTTGATAAATACTATGATTGGTTTTATTCAGACACCCTTTCACCAAAAGGTTTTTTACCTTTTTTATTGTAACCCAGAAAAGAATCTAATATTTAGACAGGAACAATAAATAGAAAGAAAAACTTTTACAACCATATAGCAAAAAGTCCAGAGGGGGGACCGGGAAAATTGTAAAAAAAATATGCTGAAATTAGCGTTTTTATGCTATTTTGAGACATTAATATAACAAACCTAGCTTGATAATCCAGCGTTTATAAAATCTTATTTTATAAAGTGGCTTTATGTCCGTCAATGGGGTCAGGTCAGGCTACTTAGCTTTAACTGTATTTTTTGTGTCCGTGCCAACTTTTCACATCCATTTATAACACCCAAAATAAATGGTAAACTATTTTGAAGAATGCCTGATAACGTATGCCGTAAGAGCAATTTTGTTCATTACATTTTTGTTGAAGACAAATAAAAAACAAAAAAAATAATATGTCACAAAAAATAGGTTTATATTAATTCATTATACTACTCAAAGTTGTTAGTTTATACATATTGCAAGAAATTGGTCTGTTTATTACTTCTGTTGCAATTTTTTTTTTATTGAAGAACTTGCAGAGTAGGTACCCGTCCTTCGTACGGGGTTGGCATATAAGTTTAAATTGCTTATTGCAGTTATACTCAAGCTTTGCGTTTGCAATGGGTGAGGACAAAGTTTGATAAAATTTGCTTCTTTAAATTGGCGGTATACTATGGTATTACACATCTACCGCATAGCCATAATGTTCTACCTCTTCACCTAAACAATAGAGAAAAATAAAGTATTACAAATTTAAAAAATCACAAATTATTCATGACATTAAAAACATAAACATAACTGTAAACAATCCTACTTTGACGGTTCTCATTGCATATCACAGTTGTTTGTTGCTGCTTAGTTCAAATTAGCTGATTACATAAATGCAAAAAAAAATAGTGCTGCACCCTGTTGGTAAATCTTATAACTTTTTAATGCTTTTGTATATCATAGAACCAACTTTTTTAGTTGAAACAGCTGACTAAATTCTTTAATTCCCTTTAAATATGAATACTCACAAGGGGGCGGAGCCCGAAGGGATTTTGAGATAAGAATATGCCTATATGTTAATCGGGAATGTGAGCTATCATCATGCCAAATTTCAGGCCAATCCATCCAGTGGGTTTATGCGTGATTGACCTTCAAACACACAAACAAACACACAAACTTTCACATTTATAATATTAGTAAGATAACTCAGAAACTAATGAAAAATTGATAACATGTGCCAAAAAATATGTAAACTATCTTACTCGTTTTTTTTCTCATATAGCTAACATTATTCTAGAATCTCAATTTGTTACCTATACTTTATCTCTGGGTACGCCCCAAATACTAAAATTGAAACAAAAAAAACATAAATGCAAAAAAAATATAGTGCTGCACCCTGTTGATAAATCTTACAACTTTTTAATGCTTTTGTATATCATAGAACCAACTTTTTTAGTTGAAACAGCTGACTAAATTATTTAATTCCCTTTTAATATGAACTAGAGTACCTGTTGCTCAAATTCGAGCAATTGCGAAGCATTACAGGCGACTAAAAGATTATGGAAATACTCACAATCTACACAACAGTTAGATATACCCTAATCAAAATCTTTTGTAAATATCTTATCTTTTTTCAAAAAACTGATCTTGTTTTTTTAGTGTTTTCTACAAATGTTTCCCTCTCATAGCCGCATTAGGTTGTCTATGATAACGATTATAAATGAAATAAAGATTATTTCTATTTCTTCTACTTGGTTGTGTTCTATGACTTTTCCTATGTTTCCATTGTTTGCAAATCGGTTATTTCAATGAAAGCTCAAAAAATGTAGAACAGTGTTAATTCAGTTTAATTTTTAGCCTATATCAAATTGTCCAGGATTTCTCGCCCTTTTACATTCTGATAATTACACCAACCCAAGTTTCTTCTACAGATGCAATATGCCAACGAATATCACCTACTACCTAGTTGTGGTAAAAAAGGCAGAAACCAACCCATACAATGGATATAAGTTAACTCCAAAAGAAATAATTTTAAGAGTTACTGTGATATTAGGATTTTCCACTGATTTGGTAATAGAACATTATATTGCAAAACATGACACGATGCAGAAGAAAATTCATTTTAAAATCAGAAAAACCCATTGCAAATACTGTACTTCATTTTGACAAATTCAATAAATCACAATTTAAATATTAACAGCTGTTTCATTAAAAAGTAGTGTAGAATTATGCATATGGTCGTAATGTAAACAAATCTGAAGAGGCAACTTTAAAGGCTTCTGGGGTAGAGCCCCAAGGGAATTCACCTCGTTCCTCTCTTTTGATGGCTCATCTACAGACCAAGACCTTTCTTTAGAGACCCCTACCAAGTTTTTACGCCCAGCCGATCTCTCAAATTAGCTGTGACAAAAACCCCGTTTTCCTCCATAAGAATAACATGGGATGGGAATTCAAAGGCCACTGGGGCAGAGCCCCAAGGGAATTCACCATGTTTCTCTTTTGATGGCTCATCTACAGAGCAAGTCCTTTCTTTAGACACCTCTACCGAGTTTCTACGCCCAGCCGTTATCTCAAAATAGCTGTGACAAAGAAAAACAGTTTCAAATTAATATATAGATACTCATAAGGTTAACATGGGGAACTACAGAGCCACTGGGGCGGAGCCCGAAGGGATTTTGAGATAAGAATATGCCTATATGTTAATCGGGAATGTGAGCTATCATCATGCCAAATTTCAGACCAATCCATCCAGTGGGTTTATGCGTGATTGACCTTCAAACACACAAACAAACACACAAACTATGAGGATTATATTAAGGTATCTGCAATCTTAAAATGCTATGGGAAGGGAGGAAAACAGGTCCGCTAAGTAGGAAGTGGTGAAGGAAGTAGTCAAGGCGAGCTGTCCGGGGTGTGGGAACTGTTAATAACGATTAGATTAAGGTATCTACAATCCTAAAGTGCTATGGGAATGGAGGTAAACAGGTCCATGACGTAGGAAATGGTGTAGGACGTAGTAAAGGCGAGCCGTGTGGAGTTTGGGAGTGGATTTATGTATCTCCAATACTAGGACTGCTTTCAGAGTGAACTGAAGCTTTTTTCCGAGCAAAGCTCGGTCCCCAGGTACTATTAGTAAGATAACTCAGAAACTAATGAAAAATTGATAACATGTGCCAAAAAATATGTAAACTATCTTACTCGTTTTTTTTCTCATATAGCTAACATTTTTCTAGAATCTCAATTTGTTACCTATACTTTATCCTGCCCCTCTCTGGGTACGCCCCAAATAAGTTTATAATAATGAGCACCTAGCACATGCTAAACAGCTGTTGTTTGAAACAAAAAAAAAAACTGAAAACAACAAAAAGTCTGAGTTTAATAATTACTAGTGTACATGTTGCTCGAATTCGAGCAATTGCAAATATTACAGAAGATATTTCAAAACGAATAACAGTCATATTTACAACGAATTTAAAAGAGTCAACTCAAAGATTACCGGTGTGTAACTCAGACTATGTTTATCTTCGTTATTGATAAACCTAAAGCATTCGGGCCGGTTTTCTCCTTCTCAAAATGCCTCGCTGTACAGGCAACACAGGTCATTTATAGAGGGCCAATTGAGAACGAAAAGTCGTTTTGGGGTAGTGTTAGGGGGCATTTGTAACCTAATAGTTGAGATTGTCCAGGGTCAGGTGCTGACTGTGATGAGTTAAGCCTAATAAGGGGATGCAAACTGCAAAGTTTTCTTTAGAATTATTAGAGCAAAGGATGGGGGCCAGCTGTACCATTAGCATTATTTCATCAATGATAGATGTGGATAAGGATAAATGAATTTATCAATCTCAATCAGTAACAGTTTTATCTTTTAGCGAATTTCCCCTATAGGGAATAAGCTATTACCCTAGTACTCATGGTAAGACCTGGACCCGGGACCGATTTACTTTTTTCGTTTTGAGGTCCCTAGAGACCAAAAACACCATCCCTTCAAATTCATATAAAATATTTATGTATGTGACCGTTAGCGTGATAACTCAAGCAAAAATCATCCGATTTTGATGAAATTTGGTACAAACGTGCAAACCTATGTTTACTTAAACCAGTTCGTGAACCAGCATGATCGGACTATGGTAACAGGGGTTTATGGGGGGTTTTATGGGGTAAAAATTGGGTTTTCCCATTTTTGTCCCTAAAAACTTAAAATTTAGCAATTTCTTTCCAAACCATTTTGTAGAGCTTAAAAAACAAATAATTTAGTATATTGAAGCGTTATTATAATGGTTACGGAGAAAATTCCAAAAATATTTAACCCTTCCAGGGCTATGGACGGATATATCCGTCAATCTTTGTTTACTTTCCGGGCTAAAAACTGATATATCCGTCCCTAGAAATTTCTTTTCTGGGATAAAGACGGATAAATCCGTCCAAAAAACCAATTGATATACAATATTTATAATATGGTAATAAAAATTACACTGTATTATAAATGGGTTATTTTGTTTGTGGTCGGCAATGATAATTGCCGCAGCTGTTTCGGCTATTTTGCACCATAGAGTGTGTGTAAGTAGGCTGAATATTGCTGCCTTTTCACACATGGTTGTTAGTGAGTGATGTTTACATTTTTTGTTTTGTAGCCTACTTTATTTTTTATGTTGAGCACATTGAGCTAAAGTTACTAATTCAAACGATCTGAAATTTGAAGATGTTATTGAGATGCTTAATAAAAGTTTATCTGAGAGCGGTTTTAGGCTGGGCGTATGCTGAGACGCACGCGGCGCAACGCACGCAACACAGCACAAGGCAGAAAACTGTACCATCATGTTACCTTACGGCGCCGCGTAAGCTGAGACGCACGCGTGTATGTGACTGACACACGCGTGGGCCGGCCTGTCACAGTTTTCGACGCATGCGACACAACTTGGGTGCAAGCACGAAACACAATATAGACGAACCGATTCCTCAATTCCCTTGTCGGACTCGAAGTAGTAGGTACTTTCAGCCATCTTGACAACTAACCAGCTGTGTTCTCTGCAACTAAATACGTGTGCTGCGTGGCATGTCTCAGTTTGTAGCACAGACACAGATTTTCAGACACACTAAACACAACTCGTGTGAACGATGACAACAAACAAACGAACGTCGATGAATTATCTGTGGTGTATAATGAAGTAAACCATGCAGTTTTGAAACGTCATGATAGGACTATCAGAACGGAGCTTGATAATTTAAAAATATTGTATTTTCCATTTTTGAATCCACGTAACACATTGTACTTGTTCTTAAAATCCTGTTTAGAGCTGAAAATCCAAATCAAAGGGTCATAAACTAAACTTAATATTAATATTAAGCGATTTTGGGAAAATTTTATTCTTGATTTTCATCTTATTTTTGTATGTAGAATCTGGTTCTGCTACGTATTTTTTTGATACTCTGTATATTTAGCCATATAGCTTCGTAATTTAGGGAAATGCCTCAATTGCACTTATATAATTCCTATACGTTAATTACTAGTTCAGCACATGTATTAATATTTTATCAATGCATTATTCACATTTTATATTTGAAAACATTACTATGCAACTTATTTGCATTACATTGGTTTTCCAGCATCTCAGCAGGAAACGGTAATGGCGGCCGCATTCGTACCAACCTGTAGATATTTGCGAAAACGTTCGAATACACGTAGGTTTACATTCTTATGAGACGCTCCCCTTTATTTCTTAAGTAGTTTTTTTTTTTTTTTTAATGACTGCATTTTCCAATATGGCTGACAACTTAAATATTTTTTATGGAACACCCTGTAGCCTATTTTATGATTGTTTTGGAAAGTAAATGTGATTTCAAAAAGTTTGTATTCTTTAAGTTCTTTTTATTAAGCTACTCGTTTAGGCGTTACGCCTTGTTGCACTTAAAAAAATGCGAAACAAAAGGTCGGAAAATCAGCGAGGGTTAAAAAGTCACTTTTTGCCCGTGTGGTGAACTATATTTTTCGTCATATTGAATCATTAATTAACAAAAATAGAGCTAGAAAACTAAATGATTTTTATGTAAAGATAACCTTTCAAAACGACTTCCAGCTTGTTTTAAATTCTGCTAATGCAAATAAGCAAGTGTTTACTAAGTGATTCAATTATTTCGTCCATTACGATTGTGTTATTATACCATCGAAATGTCGAGCAATCGACAACAATAGGCTAAAACCATAGATAAAACATACTCCCTCAGCTAAAACCTTACCTAATAAATCAATCGATAAATAATTTCGATCGATACGATTGCAAAAATCGAAATTTACAACTGTTTACAACAGCTGAAAATCACTTACTACTTGGCGACTGCGTAGTAAGTGCATGTGTTGCGTGTGCTGCGTCTCAGCATGCGCTTGTCAAAAAATCGTGTGCTGCGTGGCTTGCGCCGAAAAACTTGGCTTGCGTGAGTTGTGTCACGTGCGTCTCAGCATACGCCCGGTCTTATACTTGGCAGTGAAAATAATAGTAGGGAATGTGATGGATAAATGATGAACCGGAAGAACAGTCTTACGGTAGTGAGTGGAAGTCTTGGTGGGGAATGGGATTGAGGACATGGGAGCGGAACTGAGTGGTTTAGATTTACTTCAGAATGATAGATACATTTTTATGGATAAATGTATAAATATTAAAATATTGAAAATAAAACATACAGAATTGAAAACCGAAAAAATATTAATTAAAAATCTATAACTGTACATTTTAAGCGGAGTCAATATTGTCATAGTCCAGTTAACAAACTAGATGGAGTTAAATGCGGCCGTGCCTGTGGACCACTGGTTTTAGAAATACAAGAAACGTTGATAATGTATAAGATTATTCATAATTATTGTACATTTTCCAGTCATTTAGGAATATCTGTTGGATGTAAAATTGATTAACATTACCAAATAATTTCCATTCTACCCTGAACAGCAACAGTATTACATTATAAGTGGCTAAAAAAGCTACTGCGAATATTATAATAACAAATGTTAACATTGTAAAAAGGTAAATAACTAAATGAGAGGCTTCATGACTTTTATTCCAGCTTGCGTTTGTTCAAGGAAAAAACAAATCAACATACAACAACAACAATCAACAACTTATGTGTCAGGTTCGGTTCAGGTTAACAACATGGTAGTTTTGTAGCCGACTTTGTTTGGGATTGTTTATATTATCACATCATTATTAATTTTGGTTTTACCTGATATCCGTTGAACGATAATAACAATTTGTTTTGTACTGTAGAAATAATACGAATAATAGTCCAGGAATGGCGTCGAACCTAACTCAGCAGCAAATGACGTCTCAGAACGTCAGGCAACAGTTAATTATTTTAGCCAGCTCAGGAGGGTCTCATAAAGATCAAGCCGACAAGTGAGTAACTTATTTATAGTTATTAATGTGTCTTAAATTACTATCCTGAGAGTGAAACTTTACGCTCTGGCACATATCAATTTCACTCAGCCAGCAGATGGCGGCTGCACTTTACTTTATGTCCTACAAACAACCGAATGAAAATATCAATTGTTCGATTGTTTCATTCGATATATCGTTTGGTTAGTTAGGTCAGGTTAACCTTACCTAACCAACCAAACGATATATCGATCGATATTTTCATTCGAATGAGTGTAGGACCTAAAGTAAAGTGCAGCCCAGATGGCTTTGGGAAATAGCCTACGTTAAATTTACAACTCGTGTTTCAAACTCCGGTGTAAACAGGATTATAGAGTAAACCTAACCTAGCCTATTAATATAGGCCTAATGAACTGGTGATTTTATTTAAGTTAGGGTTGTGATTATTTTGGATGCCTTGCTCTCAAACCCATCTACATTATGATTGAGATAATCATCTAGTGTTAAGTTTTTAGCCTCTGACAAGCTCAGTGAAAATAGCCAGGAGTAGGCCTAACTGAAGCGCTAACTTATGTTTCATCACGGTCACTGGTTAGTAACTCCCTACTAATTAGGCCTACTTGTTTTCTAGGGCAGGTCCTATATAACATAATAACATAACTTAACACGTTCGCTACTGCAATAGTACGAAATTTTTCATTCAAGTGGACCAGCGACGCACATATGCGTCGGCCGGGTTCCACCCATAGACTGCCGTCGCATATATGCGTCGGCTAGTCACATTAAAATAGACTGCCGTCGCATATTTGCGTCGGGGTTCTAATGTTATTAAAATGCTTATATCTTTGTAACGGTCTATTTGATGGCTCTGAATTCCCTGCAGTGGTCTACAGAGATGTCTGACGCACAACTGCGTCGCTTGGTCTGTGGATATGATGATTGGTGACGTCATATGATAGTTGGAAAAACTGGTCTTTACTTTTCTGCATCACTGTATGTATGTATGCAGTATGTATGCTGAATTATCCTATGTAGCTTTTATATTTGTTCAGTTATAAACTGTTCTTGATCAATCTTTTTTTTATTTTAGGCCTACTTACTTTCACCTCAAAACACAAAAAATGAACTGTCGCATATATGCGACGTTTGGTCTATTTCAAGAAAACTATGATAGTTTTCACTATCGTCTTCGCTGTAGACCGGGCGTCGCAAATATGCGACATTACAAAAGGTTATTAATAATACAAAAAAACAAGAATATATTATTTACAAACACGATTGTAGCGTATTACAATGTATATGATCACTGTTTTACAGGTTTTCGCCCGTGGTCTGTGTGTACTGTTATCCAAGTGACAGCCGGTCTGTGTGTAAGATTCAAATGTATACCTCGGTCTGTGGCAATGACCGCGGCGTCGCATATATGCGACGCTCAGTAGCGAATGTGTTAAGCTAACTTATATATTCATATAACTTTTCCATGAAGAGGGCTGGGGAGTAAGTTATATGGGAGGTCCATGGAATAACACCCCAGTAAAGACCCCTCTTTGCTAGTACTTAATAGGTTAATGAGTCATCATAGGGTCTGCACCCGATGTTTGAAATTTTCTACAAGACAATTTCAAAATCGTTTCTTCGATGTTTAACCAACTACTCCAATAGCTTGGAAACCTACTTAAAACCCATGGATGAAGGCCTACCGTAACACACTGGTAAGTTAGACTAACTTATAACCGATACTTTACCTTCCTAATCGACTTCCTAATCTAAATTCAAAACATTTAAGTAATGCGGCCACAAATCCGCATAAACTCCGACCTGCCCTCCCCTCATGCCTAAATAAGATCAGTGTTCAATTTTTTTAAGTTAATAGGCTATAACTTAAAGATCCCATTTCTACCCGGCCAATTAGACCTAACCTACCCATTAAGTAGTTATTATAACCAACTGTAAAATTACCTTTTTACCCATCTAATTACCCTAATTTCTCCCGATGATTAACTTACACACGTTGAATGTCTCCCCCACCAAAAACCCCGAATTCCCACCAGTCCCCTAGTGAGTTGGGGTTATTGCTGGTATAGCCTAGTAAGTTTTTACATTTCCGTAAATATTTCGCTTAGGCCTAACTTATTTGATGTTTGATACGGTAACGGAAAAATGAATTAAAGCAATACAGAGAGCAAAAAATAAATGAGCTATTACGGGATAACCATTTAATCTATTTCTCTTCTGAATTTGGAGACAGATGTTCCGAAAAAATTGACTTGTGTTGCTGTTTCCCCGCCAATCTGAAGAAGTCTAAATATCCCACTGTTGTAGGCAAAAACAATATTGACTCCAGTTATAATCTAAATGCATAACTTATACGTTATATAGCTTAAATATTGATATTTAATCTGATAAGGTAATACATCGCTGTCCTCTGCAGTGGCAGCGCTTTACCTGAACAGTAGGGCCTAGGGTGGGCCATTCCGGGGGGTATGGAATCCAAAGATTTGTATAAATTTTTTTACATAAATTAGATGGATTTTCTATCATTTGAGGCACTTGATTAGAAGTTGGGTTGGTTAAATAATGGTACGTTATTTTTTACTATTTAAATCATATCAAGAACTGCATTTTTTTTATAATAACTCACAATTCTGAAGATTGCAGTACTGTTGAAGTAGGCCTAACCCCATTTTAACCACGAACACAAACACACTTCACAATAACATCACCATCATTCTTTAGTAAATTCATCATAATCTTTAAATTTATGATTGCTAAAACCGTAATATGGCTACTCTAATAAATCTGTACGAATAATATTACAAAACTAAGAGTGTCAACTTATTATTTCATAAAATATTACAACTAGACAACCCATTTGCCAGTTGGTGTACAACATAAGGACACGGCGTGATGTAAACAAAGCCACACTAGCGCTCAGCACTCCCAGCGAGAATATCGAGAATCAACGTCTAGTGGGCCAGATTAAATCGGCCCACTCCGCTCCATATACTAATGCATTGATACCATATAAAATAAAATTATATTGTATAGATTATAATAAAAATAAAAGAGAACCATACTAGGTGGCGTTCGCAGAGGCATTCACAAAATTGAGCGGAGTCATCAAGGGTTCATATTATATTGTTTTTGTCATACTGCAGTAAAAACAGTAGTTTTTAATGAATGTGTTGCGGGTCTAAAGTAGCATTTTTACTCTTTAGGGAGTAAAAATCGTTTTTAGCCTCTATGGAGTAAAAATGAGCTGTTGTCAACTCAATTGTAAACGATTGCATGTATCGAAATATGTATCGATTCGTGCCTCGTAATCATTTTAACTTACAGTCTACAGTCTCTTCCCATAACATTTTAGCATTGCAGATACATTAATCCATTCCCACACTCAACACTGCTCACCTTACCACTACTTCCTTTACCACCCCCTACGTCGTGGACCTGTTTCCCTCTCTTCCCATAGCATTTTAGGATTGCAGATACATTAATGTAATTGCCAAAGACAGTTCCCACACTGTGCACTGCAAGACTTACTACTTCCATCACAGTTTCCTACGTCATAGACCTGTTTCCTTCCCTTCTCGTAGCATTTAAGTATTAGATACATTTATCTAACTGCCCCCCACTCTGCACTGCCAGCCTTTACTACTTCCTTCAACACTTCCTAAGTCGTGGGGCCTGTTTTCTTCCCTTCTCATAGCATTTTAGGATTAAAGATACATTAATATAACTGCCACAGACGGTTCTCACACTATGCTCATACTTTACTACTTCCTACGCCACTTCCTACATCGTGGACCTGTTTTCATTACTTTCTTCCCAAATTCGGTCCCAAATCTTTCCCACGAGAACAATCGTTTCAGTACCGCCCACTTCCTGCCGATCTGGTCCGGTTAAACCGATGTGCTGATAAAAATTGACCGGTTAAAGAGATGTCATTTCCGCTGAGTGTAGTCCGGTTAAACCGATGTCCAGTTAAAAGGTGTCCGGATAAGAGGGAGTCTACTGTACTTCTTTCAAAATTTTCTATGTCCTGGGGATGCTTCCATCCCTTCTCATAGCATTTCAGCATTGCAGAGATATATTAATCTAATTGCTACAAACGGTTTCCAGTTCCCACACTCCACACTGCTCACCTTACTACTTCCTTCGCCTCTTCTTACGTCGCGGACCTGTTTCTCTCTCCTTTCCCATAGCATTTTAAGATTGCAGATCTCTTGACCTAATCGTCATAAACAGTTCCCACACCGGACTGCTCGCATTTACTACTTCCTTCGCCACTTCCTCTACGTCACGGACATGTTTCCCTCCCTTTCCGTAGCATTTTACGATTGCAGATACGACTGCAGATGTTGGCGGTGGATCACTGCGGGATGGTATACTACGCTTATGTGCAGTCGGTGCTCCAGTACGGAATTTTGGCTTGGGGTGGCGTCTCATCCGCTGTGCTGGAGCCCTTGTTTGTATCACAGAAATCTCTAATAAAAAATATTCTTAAAAAACCACTCCGATATCCAACAGATCAACTCTTTATTGAATTTCCAGTATTGAATATTAGGCTACTATTCATTAAATCACTATTACTGTTTATAAAGTCAAACAAGCAACAAATATTTACAGAAATATCACATTGTTATCCCACTAGAAACCGGATAAATTTTGGCTTTTGTTTACCTAGATCATTCCTCAATTCCACTAACAAGAACGCTTTCTATCTAGCACATGTTTTATACCGTAACCTCCCATCAGACATTATCGAGGCAGAGGGTAGCAGTGTTGCTGTGTACAAACGCAGGATTGGCGAGTGGCTTGCGCGTATCGGGTGGGCGGCTGCAGAGGCGCTGATACAGTCAGTTTACACAGTATAATTATTTTCCATTACCTGAAAAAGATGTTTTCGCCACGGCTGATGCAGAATTCAACCATGTTTTTGTTACCGTTTTCAGTAACTTCTAGTTTAGTAGGATCCATTTTATTTTATTTTTATGTATTACTATAGACTTTCGTATTTGTTTAAATCAAATTAGGGGTTTCCTTTCTAATATTCAATTTATAAAGGTCTTTGTCTTTTTTAATTTCTAGTAGATGTAGGTAATAGCATCGAGCAAATTTGAACAAATTTTAAATACTTTGTATATGCCTAACAATGGTTTACAAGAACTCTTCCCCCGATCACAGATTAACAGTCTATCCGGGGGAATAATTCCATGTAATATATTGTTCTATTATTGTACGGTTTAATTTTTGGAATAAAAGTATTTTGATTTGATTTGACCTAAATCTAATCGTCATAAAGAGTTCTCACACTCCGGCCTGCTCACCTTTACTACTTCCTTCACAACTTCCTACGTCACGGACCTGTTTAGCTCCATTCCCTTAGCATTATTGGAATGCAAATACCTTATACCTTATCTATTGGTCATAAACAGATCCCACAGTCCGGACAGCTCGCCTTGACTACTTCCTTCACCACTTCCTACGTCACGGACCTATTTCCCTCCCTTTCCATAGCATTGTAGGATTGCAGATACCTTGATCTAATCGTCATAAACAGTTTCCACACTCAGGACAGCTAGCCTTTAATATAACGATACTTAAAAACGATTTATAACAGCCTTGACTACTTCCTTCATCACTTCCTACGTCACGGACCTGTTTTCCTCCCTTCCCATAGCATTTTAGGATTGCAGATACCTTAGTCTAATCGTCACAAACAGTTCCCACAGTCCGGACTGCTTGCCTTGACTACTTCCTTCACCACTTCCTACGTCACGGACCTGTTTCCCTCCCTTTCCATAGCATTGTAGGATTGCAGATACCTTAATCTAATCGTCATAAACAGTTCCCACACTCCGGACAGCCCGCCTTGACTACTTCCTTCACCACTTCCTACGTCGTGGACCTGTTTTCCTCCCTTCCCATAGCATTTTAGGATTTCAGATACCTTAATCTAATCGTCACAAACAGTTCCCACAGTCCAGACTGTTTGCCTTTACTACTTCCTTCACCACTTCCTACGTCACGGACCTGTTTCTCTCCAATCCCATAGCATCATAGGATTGCAAATACCTTAATCTAATGGTCATAAACAGATCCCATACCCCGAACAGCTCGCCTTTACTACTTCCTTTACCACTTCCTACGTCGCGGACCTGTTTCCTTCCCTTCCAATAGTATTTTAGGGATGCAGATACCTTAATCTAATCGCCATAAACAGTTCCCAGACTCCGGACAGCTCGCCTTGACTACTTCCTTCACCACTTTCTACGTCACGGACCTCAAGCTAGTGTGGTCATTTGATTATATTTATGATTCATACTGTTTCTGTTCTAATATCTGTGGAATAATGCTATCAGCTATTTCCTTATCTACTGCATTCAAAAGTCAACAGCTGATCATATGTCTTTGTTTATGTGTCAAATACTCTGCTTCCATAAGGATTACATTGAAACTTTGAGATCCTGTGGGGCGGATTCCTGAGAGACTTTTTTAACGCCATATAGATGTTGGCACTCACCGATATGGTCTTTATCACCATGCAAAATTTGAAAATGATTGATTCAGTCGTCTAGGAGGAGTTTGCGTATTACGAAATGCATAAGAGTCGACGTATAAGAGCTTCGCTCGCTCCGCTCAATAAAATTCTTGACTTGTCCTATTGCATTATCTGTATGCTTAAAGGAATAAATATATATTGTCTATTGTCTATTGTTCCCTGATAGTCAAGCGCCGCCGGCTGGCATTGCCTTGTCCATTATATTCTTACTAACAGTCATCCAGTGGTCGAAAACTCGACCAAAAATACCTAATGTACCGACTTCTTAATTTTCACTCCATGCTGTAAATAAAACATGTGATTGTAATTTCTTCCATTTGTTTTGATTTTCTGTTTATATTTCATTGTTATTTCGTCACCAGCATAGCATGGCAACCCATAAAGCCCATGTTAATTTTTTAAAATTTCAAATTAATTTTTTGTGCTTATATTTGAGCCTATTTGAATTTTTAAAGATATTCTGCACCTACAGAAAAATATCTTTCTAACAGTATGCAAAGATTTTCCCTGCGATGCACTTGAGCTAGAAAAAAGGTTTTAAAGAAACATGCTTGCCTATTAATATATAGATAATATTAATATTAATAATAGATAATATTAATATATTAATATATAGGTGCCTAGAAGGGCCCGAAATCCGTGGCCCTTCAATGTGTTACGAGATGATTGCATTGTATTTCAACAAAAGTTATGGTTGAATGTTCAAGATTAATTTATTTCACAGTTTATTCAATAATACCAACCAAATAACCTATAAAGTATTTAAAAATATACTTTACTGTTTATTTTGGGTGGGCCCGGCCCACTTGGCCCTTATGGAAGCGCCGCCACTGGTCCTCTGTGAAACTGTACCAGATATTTGTACCTTAATTTGCTTTGTAAATTTATAAGTTTTCTCAGTTGTTTTTAAAAATAGTGCTTTTACGTTTTTGCTGCACTATCTGAGAAAAATGTGATTCACATGACTGTGGTCTCATCCCATGTTGATGGACGCCCATAAGGGCAGGGTAGGAGAACTATGGATGGTGGAGTGGCGGTTGTGGTACAGAGGATATTTTTGCTATAACAACCTTTTGACATTTAGTAATCTAGGGAAGGGGGCTGCCGTGTCAATGGTGAGATGCTGTTAAGACATAAGGACCTTAAAGGATTGCAGTGAATATTATTTGTGTAATTTTGATTTTAGGTATAGAGCAATCCTTGAATCTATTCAAACATCATCAGGGAATGACATCATTGAGGCTTTGAAGACATTTATTGAAGCTAGTAAGTGTAATTTAACAAAATAAGTTACCGTAGCCTGCAGTGTCTATCAACTATCCCCTGAGAGATCAGGATACTTAAATGATTAAAAGGATTGTTAAATGGTTAAAAATGAATATATAGCCTAGATATGGTAACGGAAATTCCTTTCTAAAAATGACTAGGCCTACAGTTTGGAATATAACTTGATTTTGGAAAGAAATAACACAATATAAACTTAAATTACACATAGGCCTAGTATAATTTTATTATTATCAATATCAATTGAGATGAAGATGCCACCTAGGTGCGTATTTCAAATCCAAATATGAGTTAAGGATGAGTAAAAAATGGAGTGAGATGCCTTGTGTGGCTTTGTTACTGGCGAAGACCAGCTGTTTTATCAGGCAGGACCTTTAAAAAGTCCAATGATAAAGTTCAGCTGGGTCCAGTTCCGAAGCATAAAAAAGCTACCATACACTCTTCTCATGATCCGAACAGGTACCTAACTTTTTTATTACTAAAGCGAGCACTAAAACCACTCCACTGACCACCACGTAAAAAACCACTGACGTACTCAGCTATTTATTTATAATGCTATTTATATACACTGTACCCATTAACAATCTGACAGTTAATTGAGGTTAGACATAGACGTACATACCATTTAAATCTAAGCTATGTCTTTAGCCTCCTATAAATAATCTGTCAACATTGAGAGATTGTCAAACCTCCCTTTACCATCCAAACACTCATGCAGGAACTAAAATATCAATGCTTTTTGTTTTTATTATTGTAGAGTTAACTAAGATTAAGACCATTCTGAAATTAAATAATCATCGTTATTGTATTGCTAAGTCACAAGGACTGAATGATACTGATTTAATTGTTTTTGTTTTTCAGTTGTCAATGAGAATGTAAGTTTAGTTATTTCAAGACAGATTCTAACCGACATAAGCACACAGCTTGTGGAACTACCAGACAATATTTCCAAAGCCGTCTCACACTACACTTTAGATAAGGTAATTATTTTTTATAAAGTGGTTAGTTTTAGGGCTGGCACGTACTAGCCCGACCACGACTCCGTCCAGTCTGATATGGCTTGTTTTACAATTAGCGTAAATGGAACAGAGCGCACTTGTCGGACAACCTAAGTTTCAGAGTTTGGTCGGGTCCGAATTGTTGGCTATTGCAGCCAAAAATATAACAAATTGTAACGGCGCAACATGCACTACCTCTGACCCGACCAATAGTCCTAGATCAAGCTAACAGTGAGCACTTGTTTTTTTAATGGCGTTACTTCTTTTGTAACGTCGTAGTTAGATTTTAAATCGTAGACACTGAGTTTAAATGGCTATTAAAGACCTTCTTTATGGGATCTATAATCAGAAGATTATGCCAATAGAGGGATAAAGAAGGCATGAGGAGGGGAGGACATGACACTGATGTTTGGTGGACGTGAGTGCGCTACGCAGAAGGTTAATGAAAGAAATTATGGAAAATGAAAATGAAAAAAGGAAAAAACATCCATCTACGCAATGAAGCTTGGGTGGTATATATATATTACATTTGTTGTCGTGGTCGGATCGTGTATCAGGTAGGCTATCTTCTTGATTCCCATTTTCAACTGACTTTGGTAGTGGTACTAAGAAATTGACCTTGACCTATATCGTTAGGCCTTGATGCAACAGAGCGGTGAAAGTTTATGTTAGGAAATGTTAAAGTAAGTTAATTTTTTTGTTTAATTTTAATTTTGTTAATATTAAAAAATGTTTTAGTTGACAAAATAATTTGTTGTATATTAAAATTACTTTACTTAGCCTATTTTGTTTAGTTGAAATGTTAACTGTAAGAATCATTTGGCTCTAAACTTTGCCTAAATTAAAAAAAAAATCATTATTCCCTAGTATAATGTTGTTTCATCTTTCTTAATTTTCTATCCATACAGTACAAATACAAATCCATACAAACACAAATTGAGTAAGTATTAAACATTCTGAGTCAAGTTATTTATTTTTATCTGCTGTTTTAATGTAGGGATGCTTTGTTCTCTTTATTTAACCAAACATGTTTTGTTTGTTTTAAGGTTCAGCCTAGAGTTATATCTTTTGAAGAGCAAGTAGCCAGTATCCGACAACACCTGGCCTCCATCTACGAGAGAGAACAGAACTGGAGGGATGCAGCCAGTGTCTTGGTCGGCATCCCACTTGAAACTGGACAAAAGTAAGTTCCCTGGCTTTTGGTAACACTTTTATTTATTATTGAGCGAAGCTCTTATACGTCGACTCTTATGCATTTCGTAATACGCAAACTCCTCCTAGACGGATGAATCAATCGTTTTCAAATTTTGCATGGTGTTAGAGACCATATCGGTGAGTGCCAACATCTATATGGCGTTAAAAAAGTCTCTCAGGAATCCGCCCCACTGGGTCTCAAAGTTTCAATGTAATCCTTATGGAAGCAGTATTTGACACATAAACAAAAACATATGATCAGCTGTTGACTTTTGAATGCAGTAGATAAAGAAATAGCTGATAGCATTAATCCACAGATATTAGAACAGAAATGGTATGGATCATAAATATAATCAAATGACGACACTAGCTTGAGGTCCTTGACGTAGGAAGTGGTGAAGGAAGTAGTAAAGGAAATGTTGTTCAGAGTGTGGGATATGTTTATAACCAATAGATTAAGGTATTTGCAATCCAATAATGCTAAGGGTAGGGAGGGAAACAGGTCCGAGACGTAGGAAGTGGTGAAGGAAGTAGTCAAGGCGAGCTTTTCGGAGTGTGGGAACTGTTTATGACGATTAGATTAAGGTATCTACAATCTTAAAATTTTATGGGAATAGAGAGAAACAGGCCCGCGACGTAAGAAGAGGTGAAGGAAGTAGTAAGGTGAGCAGTGTGGAGTGTGGGAACTGGGAAACCTTTGTAGCAGTTAGATTAATGTATCTGAAATGCTGAAATGCTATGAGAAGGGATGGAAGCATGCCCACGACATAGAAAATGGTGAAAGAAGTAGTAAAGGCTAGCGGTGTGAGGTGTGGGCAATGTTTGTGGCAATTATATTAACGTATCTAAAATACTAAAATGCTATGGAAAGTGATGAAAACAGGTACACGATGTAGGAAGTAGTAAAGTATGAGGATAATGTGAGAACCGTCTGTGGCAGTTAGATTAATGTATCTTCAATCCTAAAATGCTAAGAGAAGAGAAGGAAACAGGCCCCACGACGTAGGAAGTGGTGAAGGAAGTTTTAAAGGCTGGCAGTGGAGAGTGGGGGAACCATTTGGGCAGTTAGATAAATGTATCTAATACCATTATATAGTCAATATACCAATATATAGTCAATTCTAATACTTAAATGCTACGAGAAGGGAAGGAAACAGGTCTATGGCGTAGGAAATGGTAAAGGAAGTAGTAAGGCTTGCAGTGCAGAGTGTGGGAACTGCCTTTGACAATTACATTAATGTATCTGCAATCCTAAAATGCTATGGGAAGATAGGGAAACAGGTCCACGACGTAGGGGGTGATGAAGGAAGTAGTAAAGGTGAGCAGTGTTGAGTGTGGGAATGGATTAATGTATCTGCAATGCTAAAATGCTACGGGAAGAGATTGTAGACTGTAGGTTAAAATGATTACAAAGCACAAATCGATACATATTTCGATACATGCAATCGTTTACAATAGAAATTTACAACTGAGTTGTCAACAACTGATTTTTACTCCATAGAGGCTAAAAACGATCTTTACTCCCTAAAGAGTAAAAATGCTACTTTAGACCCGCAACACATGCATTAAAAACGACTGTTTTTACTGCAGTATGACAAAAACAATATAGTATGAACCCCTGATGACTCCGCTCAATTTTGTGGATGCCTCTGCAAACGCCACCTTGTTTATAATTAATTAAGTAGGCCCACATAACATAGGTTTATCTGGGCACACACTCCAAGTAGTTATTGTTTGTGCACATTTGTAAATTTTACCTGTTGTTTCTTGCCTCTGGAAACATCAAAATTAAAAAGTAATTCGGTCCAGCATCTAGGTCTTTCTGTGCTACCTACGGTAATAGCTTTCCCTATAGGGAAAAAGCTAAAAGTGGTTACAGCATATCACTACTAAGTATTGATGATCGGATTAGGTGAGTCACGGACTTCGGGCTCAAGGCAGCGATGTCGTGGGTTTGGATCCTGGTCACTGCCGAAAACATTTTATCAGTACAGTTCATCTTTGTACTGTACCGGCTCACCCCTTGCTTTGCTGGATACGTTCCACGCAGTTAGTCTACGTGGACGGGCAAATACAAAGTTAAAAGAGGCCGCCAACCTCTTATAAAAAAAATTACCCCCGCTGCAGCAAACCTGCAGACTAAGCGAATTTCAACTTGTCTGATTACATTTTTACTCAAATATTTCCATAAATAAGACATATTTATTACCTATTTAAATAACATTAGATTTAACGAGTGCTTATGTTTGCTGCTTTGGGGAAGGTAAAAAGTGTTTTTTGACCACAGTATAGGAGGAAATAAATAAATTTGCCAAATTTTATAAATATATATCCATAAACAAGTAAACTACAATTTTCATTTTCTCCATAAAAATAACATGGGAATTTTAAATTACACTATTTTTGAATTTTCTCCGTGACCGTTAGGCATACAAGCGCACTTCAATATACTAAATTTATTATTTTTTTTAAGCTCTACAAAACGGGTTAAAAAGAAATTGCAAATTTTTTTGTAAAAATTAGGAAAACCCATTTTTATCCCATAAAACCCCCCATAAACCCCCGTTCCCATGGTCCGATTATGCTGGTTCGCGAACTCGTTCGAATAAACGTAGGTTTACACGTTTGTACCAAATTTCATCAAAATCGGATCATTTTTGCTCGAGTTATCGCGCTAACGGACACACACACACATATATTTGTACCAAATTTCATCAAAATCGGATCATTTTTGCTCGAGTTATCGCGCTAACGGACACACACACATATATATATATATATATATATATATATATATATATATATATATATATATATATATATATATTAATAATTGAAAACATTAAGTACCCTTTTAAATTCATTTTAATTAACAAACGACATGTTTCAACATTTAGAAATTTAGAAAATTTAGAAATTCTAGAATATGAATGAAATAAAACAAAATTAAATGTCAAAGAAGATTTTCATATACCGTACACACAAATTACAAAATATTTCCTCAAAATTTACTGAATACCATGAACATCAACAAAACAAATCCGATATTTGAAAAAATCCTACAGTTGCAATAAAACAGAAATATTATATAATATACGCAAAATTAAACAAAGAATAGATCAAGATCCTCTAAATTTTAAGTTAGCTTAACATATGACTATATTTAACTATATTATATATTATGACTAAAACACCATCCGTTCAAATATATAATAAGTATGGTTGTGATTAGGGCTACTACTATATTAATAATTGAAAACATCATAAAAACATTAGCCTAAGTACCCTTTTAAATTCATTTTAATTAACAAACGACATGTTTCAACACTTAGGTCAAAGTCATGTTTTTATACAAATACAATAACAAATTAATGAAAGGAATAAATATAGTCATATGTTAAGCTAACTTAAAATTTAGAGGATCTTGATCTATTCTTTGTTTAATTTTGCGTATATTATATAATATTTCTGTTTTATTGCAACTGTAGGATTTTTTCAAATATCAGATTTGTTTTGTTGATGTTCATGGTATTCAGTAAATTTTGAGGAAATATTTTGTAATTTGTGTGTACGGTATATGAAAATCTTCTTTGACATTTAGTTTTGTTTTATTTCATTCATATTCTAGAATTTCTAAATTTTCTAAATTTCTAAATGTTGAAACATGTCGTTTGTTAATTAAAATGAATTTAAAAGGGTACTTAGGCTAATGTTTTTATGATGTTTTCAATTATTAATATAGTAGTAGCCCTAATCACAACCATACTTATTATATATTTGAACGGATGGTGTTTTTGGCCTCTAGGGACCTCAAAACGAAAAATTAAATCGGTCCTGGGTCCAGGTCTTACCATGAGTACTACGGTAATAGTTTATTCCCTATAATATGGGAAATTTGCTAAAAAACATGTGAGTTGCTAGCACACGCATCGGCCAACCCTACATTTGAACACATCACAACTTAAAAAATATTCATAGAAAACTATTTTATATTTATATAGAAATGAATTTTATTATAAACACGAGAACAATTTCATTGTAAAATTAGAAAATGGTTGAATATTAAGTTCTACTTGTAAAAAATGTCAACCAAAATCTTAATCCTAGATCTTCAACTAGATTGTTGTTTGTATGTTGATGTGTGTATGTTTCTGTGAAAACGTTAACTCAAGTCATTTTTGTCCTATTTTGTTGAAATTTGGCATCAAGGTCTAATAGCATAAACTTGAATGAGTTCGCAAACAAGCAAGTTCAGGACATGGAGGGTGTTAAAGGGTTCAAAGTTTTTCGAAAATTAGTTTTTTCCAAATTTTTACCCTTAAAACATAGAAGTGCCCAATTATAAGTAATCTAGTACCTAGGGATTTATTTAGCTATCTGCCACCTCTAGGCAATTTTTTGATAGTTATTCTCCATGTAGGAAAAAATGGCACCACCATCTTATCTTCTCAGTTCTCACACCACTCTCGGTTGCCACGCCTGCAATTTGCCTGATGCCACGTCACTTATCGTTATCAGACCGTGCCATTAATGTGTTCAATTCAATGCAGATACTGTGTTGGTATTAAAGTATTGATTCCGACTATTTAAGTTGGTCTTTGGTACCTCGAGAATCACCTTCAGCCACATCACTTCTGTAGTAGATAATCTATTAAATTATATCCAGGGAGATCAATTTAGTAACCTTTTAGTTTTCTACCTACTGTGCCACCACCAATCATTTTCAGCATCATTGATCATTTAATTGTCGGTTTGCAGGCAATACTCTGTAGACTACAAGTTGGAGACATACATGAAGATAGCTCGGCTGTATCTTGAGGATGACGACCCAGTACAAGCTGAAGCTTACATCAACAGAGCTTCCTTACTACAGGTAAGAACACTTAGAGCCATAGAGTTGTTCCGTTCTAAAATTGTAATGACTCCTGACAACATAAAAATTTAGTTTTTGCCTGATTTGTTGATTGATTGGAGGACGATTTGATGCAGTACACAAATAAGCAATCTTGTCTTAGTTCGAAATAAAGTGGGCTCTTTGTGTTTAAAAGAAAGGGCTACAAATATCTCTACTGCTCTCCCATGGGCTGTATAAGAGATAGAGTAAAAGTAGAACATTGTATAAAAAATGTCATCAAATTCCAAGTGGAGACTAAGGCCCAGATTAAAATTGTTGCATACAACCAAAGATCAGCACGTGTTTTGCGGAACGGCCTGGATCACAACACCTTCATAAAGGAAATGGAGAGGTGCTTGGAGACCTTTTCTTATCTCCAGAGGGAAGAAGATCCACTAACACCAATAGCACCAGGAGAACAAACTTATGCAGATGTTGTTAGCCGCTCTTCACCAGTGAGTCCACATCACCCACCGCTGATTAATCCAGTGAGCAGAGAGCAGATGCCGACATCAGACGTCCCTCTTCGCCTCTCTATGAGTACCACCACTGACCACGGGAGCCTTCACCTACCAGTTACTCCGGAGTCTGACCGGTCATTTGGTGTCTTTAGTGGTGAAAAAAGTCAATCTAGTGTGAAAGTGAGTGGCAATGAAGATGATCGGGCAACCAAGGGTAAAGATAGCAGCTTAAGTCATAGTTTTTTAGAAAAACGGTCTCAAGTCAATATCATAGTGTAGCTTCTGGGCAATTGTATACTCCTACTCGATTAAATCTTCTTCAGGTAAATATTCAATGTTTGAGAAATAAGTTACTTGAACTTGAAAGCTTCTGTGAGGAAAATAAAATAGACATAATATGTCTCTCAGAACATTGGCTTACTTCTGAGGAATTACAGGTTTTTACACCACATGGTTACGTTCCCGGTAGTTTTTTTATTAGAAAAAATTTTTAAAACGGGGGTGCAGGAATTTTTGTTAGAGAGGGGATTGAATTCTGTAAATTTGATATGAGTAAATTTAGTTCAGAAATAGACATAGAAATTAGCTGTGTTAAAATAATTAAAGACAATTTGTATGTTATATCATTGTACAGGTCACCTCGTGGCAACATAGATATATTTTTTGAGAAACTTGAATTAGCCGTGAAGAAGGTTTTATCGAGGGGGACCAAAGTTATCGTCTGCGGAGATTTTAACATAGAAATGATAACAACTGATAACAACAACTCAATTTTGTTTTTGAACTTATTAAGATCAATTAATTTATACTGTACTTATTCCTCACCCACCAGAAACAATGCCTGTTTGGACAACATTTTAGTTAACTTCTCCCAAGATCTATATGAAGTTACCTCAGCTGAGGGTCACTTTGCGGACCATACTCCACTCCTTTTCACTTTAAAATCTAATATTTCATATACCAATAAAAACTGTAAAACATCACAACAAACTTCTTATTACCGATCACAGAATAATAATGTTATCCAGCTATTTACCAATGAATTAATAAAAGAGAAGTGGAGTATGGTCGAAGAGCACAAAAACGAGATAAATGTTAATACACTGTTTGATAGCTTCTTTAAAAGATATGTAGACCTTTGGCATTTTTGTTCACCATTATTAAAATGTAAAAAAAGCAAACCTACAACTAGTAAAAACAAAGTTAACTGGTATACCAATGAGTTAAGAGTTGAAAGAGACAAAATGCTGACTTTATTTCATATTTACAAAAATTTGTCAAGGAGTGGCTCTGAGCAGACCCAATTGGCTTATAACGCTTATCTCACATGTAAAAGAAATTATAGAAAAAACTTAAAACTAACTAAAAAAATAGCTTGTGAGAAATACATTGATAGTGCAAGAAACAAATGCAAAGCTGCTTGGGAGGTCATATCCCAAGAAAGCTGCAAAAGTTCCACCAAAGTCATCCCTCTTGACCCTGAGTGTGTAAATCAATACTTTATAGAATCTGTCAATGAACTGGTGAAAGGCATTCCTGACACTAATGTCAGTATCTGTGATTTAATGGGTACAAGACCTATAGCTCCTAACTCCTTTCACTGGACAAGTGTAAATCTGGTTGAAGTTTCAAAAATTGTTTCAAGCCTATCAAATTCAAAAAGCACTGATTTTTATTGGATATCCAACTATTTACTGAAACAGACAATAAATATAATTAAGGGACCACTTGCTTATATAATAAGTAGATGTTTAGAATCTGGCTATTTTTCTAATATGTTAAAATTGTCTAAAATTACACCGGTTTATAAGAAAGGAGACAGAAATCTTCCACAAAATTATCGTCCTATATCCGTTATTCCAATTTTTTCAAAATTATTTGAAACTGTTATGTACAATCAACTTAGCAACTATTTTGAAATAAACAGACTATTTTCTGAGTCCCAATTTGGTTTTAGACCCGGACATTCTACGATTTCTGCAGTAATGAAAATTGTCAGTAAAGCACTACATGCCTTTGAAAATAAAGAATCAGCCTTCCTATCCCTATTAGATTTAACTAAGGCATTTGATTGTGTACCGCCTATCAATATCCTTACTAAACTTAACTTTTATGGTGTTTCTGGCGACTCCTTGAAATTAATTGAATCATACTTAATGAACCGTAAGCAATATGTAAATATTATGGGTGCTCACTCATCATTGTGTGATGTCTCCTTGGGAGTGCCGCAGGGCTCAGTTCTCGGACCATTTCTCTTTATTGTAATAATAAATGTGTAACGACCCAAAACCCGTCAAGGGGTAAAAACCCGATTTTTATTTTAAGATATTAATTTTCTACGTTCGGGGTAAGCCGCGCCCGCGTTGTCAGCGGCATCGTAGGGGCAAGGGTCCTACGTCATCGTAGAGGGGATGACGCTAGTTACCTACCCCGCCGCCAGGGGCGATGGCGAAGAAGGACAAGAAGAGCGGACAGCGGACCTCATGGTCAGTCGTCCACCCGCTACCGAACCGTCAGTACGCTTGCTGTTTGGAGACAATCCAACAGTCTATAACCTCCTAAATTCTGGTCAATCAAAGATTTCCCCCGTTCCTGGTAGAATCATAAGTCATCAGGTTAGTGTGCTACCGAATTTATTTTGTTTAATCTCATTTTTAGAGAAGTTTTATTATTTTTATTTTACTGTGGCGCAGTCGCGCGCACCCCGCACGCTTTTTCACGTACGAGCACACTACCTTTTGTCTTAAACCAGCTTCGGAAATCAGTTAAGTTGCCGGAACGGTTTACGTACGACTTACCCCGTTACCCCGGACCGTCCTACGTAAATTTGGTTTAAAACCCCCGTATCGACTCTGGTGATCGACCGAGTCTAATTTTCCCGACAAGTTTACTTTGGTGATTACCAAGTATAACGACCGAATCACGTTTTAGTTCAGTTTCTGATTAATTAGGCTTATTCGCATTTCGATAGGTTATTCAAAATTCTAAATTTAACTTTACATATTTTTCGAGTGGCTATGATGAGCACTTGTTAAAGGTAAGCTTAACATTGTAAGCATTATTGTTGTAATTAATATTCTGAGCCAATAAACTCGAAACGATAATTAATTAACGAACACGTTAGAGTCCTGGACTATCTCATAGTAGGCTAAGCTATCTGGACAAATTTGAGGTGTGACAGAATTTCAGGTGAGACGACAATAACGCACTTTAAAATATAATTTTGTCTCTCAACCCGAAATTTCGTCATATCAAATGGCGATCCGAACAGGGACTATTGAATGTTAACGATATTTTATGGCGCCCGAAGGCATAGTCGATAATTAATTGTTTTGGCTCAGAATTTAATAAATATTACACATACGAACATTACCATAATCAGTGTTGTGTACGAGACGTTACAGTGGAATATTGGTTGTATACCGTAGAACTGGATACGATTAAACGTCAGTACTGTTGTTTAACGTACTACGTTTGTTTAATAGAATTACAGGATATTTATTGGAATTTAATCGAATTCGAACATAACCGTTTATACATCGCACTTATTTATACCAGTGTTTATAGATTTCCTCTGATAATTGATTGTTATTCTTTTATAATTATTTAAGTAGGAAATAGTTAACACTGCCTTTCGATTTAATTCATAATATTCTGTAAGAATTGTTCTGCTTCAAGAAGGCTAGTCGACCGGTCAGTTCACTAGTGTTGCGCTTGCCTATTGTTCTCTGTATGAATGGGTAAGAGATAAGAGCGGCCCGATCAGCTGTTTGATAACGGTTTGTTATTGGAGTTTCCCCGTAGTTCTTTCAATTCTAGTGAGCTTATTTCTGCATAATATTTACATCCGTTGCATTGCATAATATTTATAACGAAATTGACGCGCTTTAAATATTTGGGATCAGAACTGTTTTATAATAATATTGTTGATTAACATATTGTTATACTTCTGGTTGTCCTAATATTTAACAGCAATTAGAATACCCCAGTTTTATTGTATTGTAATACAATATTGTTACACACAGGAAATAACATTGTTTGATATAATAATACAGGATTATTATATTTTGGATTGAGCCTAATTACGACGGTTTACGTACACGTTAGTGATATAATAATATTGTTGGTTAACATATTATTGTATTGCTCAGTAACAATTAGTTCACAACGATCATTAGGCTAACGTATTATCGGAACTTTGTTTACTTTTGCGATTGTAAACATTGATTGTTGGGGTATTGTATCAGTGGTTTAAATATTATACTGAACATTTGCGATTAGCGACGAGCCTTACGACAGTTACACAGTCTTTTACGTATTTTTTCGACAACAACCATTATCGTCGACTGTTGTATTTCCAAATAATAATTTAAAAATGACACCTTGGGAATTATTTTTGCGCCTTTGGACTTATCTTTTCCCAGTTATGTATATGCTGACTCCAGATGAATCAGGGAAAAGGCCCCCGCGCAAAAACAATGAACCACCGCCAACTGCTACCGCTCCCGCCGTCACAACCGCTCCCGCCGTCACAACCGCTCCCGCCGTCACAACCGCTCCCGCCGTCACAACCGCTCCCGCCGTCACAACCGCTCCCGCCGTTACTACCGCTCCCGCCGTTACCATCACACCCGCCGTTACCACCGCTCCCACCGTTACCACTACAACTGCCGTCACCACTTCAACGTATGTCGCTACAGCAACCACCGCTGCCACTGCCGTTACCACTCGTGGGTCTACGGAATCGATCGTGCCGCGCACACCGTTTGACGAACCGCGCGTCGGGTGGATTTATAGACTGAGCAAAGAGGAGCTGCAGAATGAGATGAGTAAATACGGCCTTTCTACGGCAGGTACGGCAGATGAACTTAGGAAGAGTTTTGTGGATTTTTGGCGATCGCCATTCTCCGCAATTACCCGTACCGAACCCTACCGGACCGTTGAACCTCCACGCACTCTTAATATCCCGCCAGCGAATTACGGGTCGGAATACGCGTCTAAGGACAAGTTAGGCTTACATCCCGCCCTCGACGAACGTGACACTGTACGGGAGATACTTGGGTTGTCACCGAATGCGGACTCTACGCTAGTGAGACGGGTCCTAGCCTCAATGGTGAATACCTTGAGGTCCAACGACGCGACTCCCACGGGACACGCCACGCCCCCTACCACGAATCATGCCGATCTGTACTACGGTGCGGTACCACGTCCTAACGCCTCGGCAACTCGCGAGTTGCGAGATGCCGATCCATCGAGCCACGCTGGCCCCTCAGGCCGCCAATCGCTAGACGGAGCCTCTATTTACAACGTCGTTCGTAAGTGGAACCTTCGTTTTGACGGTCGCAAAGACCCGGTATCGTTCCTGGAACGCTTGGAGGAGCTAATGGAGGCGTATTCCTTAGCCCCAGACCAGGTCTTCAGGGCTCTGCCAGAACTGTTGACCAGCAACGCCCTATTATGGTACCGCAATAACCGGGAAGTGTGGGCCGATTTCCAGGATTTTCGTAGCCATTTCGAAATCCAATATCTACCTCTCGGTTATCGCCGTAACTTGGACGAAGAGATTCGTAAGCGGACACAGGGTGACCAAGAGCCGTTTAGAGATTTTGTAGTCGCGTTAAGCACGCTAATTCGAAGGAGAGGATCCATTTCGTCCCACGATAAGATTGACTTGATTTATACGAATATGCGACCCGAATACAAGCTTATGGTGCGACGCCAGGACTGCTTGACTCTGGCTGAACTGATTAAGCGTGCCGAGGAGTACGAGGCCTACGTTAGGGATAAGAGCACGTTTCGTCCTCCACCACCTCCGGCTATCTCTCTCATTCCTGAAACCGCGTACCACGGGCGAAGGCGTTCCGAACGTCCGGTCAATAACGCCGCAGTCACTGCTGAGTCAACGCGCGAACCGAGCTCCCGGACCTATCCGCAGCACCAGAGGTACGACCGCGCGCGGCAAGGACCGAGTTCGCGACCCAAGGCACAAACCCTATCCGTGCCCAACTCCCACACGAATGTGAGAGGGGTGGCACTGGAGAAAACCGTCCACGTCAACAACCAGTACGTTTGCTGGAATTGTGACCGTATGGGACACTTGTTCCGCGACTGCCCCGAACCAAGAACATGGAAGTGTTTTTATTGCAAAACCAAAGGCGTCTCGACCGCAAAATGCAATTGTAAGGCGGGAAACGCACACAGGATTCAGCTAAGGAGGGGGAGGCTGAGTCCAAATCCCCGATCCGGACCACAACCCCCCCAAGAATGGAGCGCGTGGCTCCAACGAATAAAAGATTTCCCTGTCTCGACCAATCACGATGTTGTTTCCCTCGATACAAGACCCTTCGTAACCGTAGAAATTTTCAGTCGACCGTTTAGGGCACTCGTGGATACCGGCGCTATGGTCAGCCTCATTGGTGACCGTCTCGCAACGTTTTTACAATCCCGAGGGGTCCCGCCTATAGACAGCGATGTCTATATAAGAATGGCGAATGGCATGCTGTCTCACATCACGACTGGATACCGAGTTCGCGGATTATTCGGCGGACTCGAATACGAATGGGACGCGTTGCATGTGACGGGATTGGCTTGCGATTTAGTCTTAGGAATATCGCAAGTTAACGACCTCGGCTTGGTGCGATTTGAACTCACTGTAGAACGAGGTCCTGGAGAATGTTCCGGACCCACCGACGACGTAGCTGCAGTGAGTAGGCTGTCGGTTGATCAGAGCGTGCGACTAGAGACGTTTCTAGCCAACGAACTCGCGCTCCTCGAGAAGGTCACGTCAGACCTGGAAGGCGAGGAGGAAGAAGAGCCACCCCATCGACCCGTGGTTACAACAGTCGCGCTGGTGGAGGTATCCCCAGCCAACCGTCGCAATGCTCCCGCAGATACGCCTCACACCCCGATTGCCACCGCGTCGTCTAACCGGCCAGTGCCACAGGAGGTACGCGACATCCTGTCCAATTTACCGTTGGAAGACACGGGGCGGCGAAGGAAAAACCAGAGGATGAAGGTGTTCAGGGGAGATGGAACGTTTTTCCGGGTCCGTACGAAGAAGCTGCGGACGATGAAAGACATATATTGATGCGACGTGCCCATTTTAAGACAAGTCTCAGTTTTGTTTTGTTAACGCTCGAGTGAGCTTCGCGGCAGACGCCGACAATACCCTAGGTTTGGGTATTCTTTTTTTCTTTTTTCCGTTTTCTTTTTTTTTCTCTGCGAAGTAAGAAGGGGGTGTAACGACCCAAAACCTGTCAAGGGGTAAAAACCCGATTTTTATTTTAAGATATTAATTTTCTACGTTCGGGGTAAGCCGCGCCCGCGTTGTCAGCGGCATCGTAGGGGCAAGGGTCCTACGTCATCGTAGAGGGGATGACGCTAGTTACCTACCCCGCCGCCAGGGGCGATGGCGAAGAAGGACAAGAAGAGCGGACAGCGGACCTCATGGTCAGTCGTCCACCCGCTACCGAACCGTCAGTACGCTTGCTGTTTGGAGACAATCCAACAGTCTATAACCTCCTAAATTCTGGTCAATCAAAGATTTCCCCCGTTCCTGGTAGAATCATAAGTCATCAGGTTAGTGTGCTACCGAATTTATTTTGTTTAATCTCATTTTTAGAGAAGTTTTATTATTTTTATTTTACTGTGGCGCAGTCGCGCGCACCCCGCACGCTTTTTCACGTACGAGCACACTACCTTTTGTCTTAAACCAGCTTCGGAAATCAGTTAAGTTGCCGGAACGGTTTACGTACGACTTACCCCGTTACCCCGGACCGTCCTACGTAAATTTGGTTTAAAACCCCCGTATCGACTCTGGTGATCGACCGAGTCTAATTTTCCCGACAAGTTTACTTTGGTGATTACCAAGTATAACGACCGAATCACGTTTTAGTTCAGTTTCTGATTAATTAGGCTTATTCGCATTTCGATAGGTTATTCAAAATTCTAAATTTAACTTTACATATTTTTCGAGTGGCTATGATGAGCACTTGTTAAAGGTAAGCTTAACATTGTAAGCATTATTGTTGTAATTAATATTCTGAGCCAATAAACTCGAAACGATAATTAATTAACGAACACGTTAGAGTCCTGGACTATCTCATAGTAGGCTAAGCTATCTGGACAAATTTGAGGTGTGACAGAATTTCAGGTGAGACGACAATAACGCACTTTAAAATATAATTTTGTCTCTCAACCCGAAATTTCGTCATAAATGATCTTCCCAAAAATGTAGGTGTAAATTCTATTATCTATACAGATGATTCCACGTTTTTTACTTGTAATAAAAACCTTGACCTCTTGGAGGCCAGAATAACCTCAGCTCAAAACCAAGCACAAGAATGGTTCTCAGCTAACAAACTGCTGTGTAATGAGACTAAAACTCAGAATATTTTGCTCAGTCTTTCACAAAATCAAAACTATCAATCAAAATCAATCATCGATCTAAATCAATCTGTAAAACTGCTGGGAATTCACATAGTCTCAAAGCTCACATGGAATTACCATGTTGTAAATTTGTGTAAAAAACTCTCAAGGGTCAATTGTTTGTTTTGGAAACTGAGCTCCATAATCTCTACTGACTATCTGAGGACTGCCTATTTCGGACTCTTTCAGTCTCATATTGCTTATGGTCCCATACTTTGGGGACACTCTGCAAATGTCTCAGATGCCCTGATTCTTCAAAAAAAATTAATTAGAACCATTTGTCAAGCCAGGCCTGGAGATCATAGTAGATGTCTTTTCAAACAATTGAAGATTCCTACAATTATTAACTTGTATATTTATCATGTATTAATATTCACAAAAACAAATCTAAATTCTTTTTTTATTAGACGTGAGGTACACAATCACAATACCAGGAATAAAAACAAACTTGAAATCCCGCAACATAGGTTAACAAAGTTTGGAAATTCTTACATGGTAAATTGTGTTAAATTTTTTAATAAGCTTCCTGATAATGCTCACACCACTCCTCTTAAAGGCTTCAAAACCAAGATGTATCAATGGCTTCTAGACAATCCATTCTTTACTATTAATGAGTTTATGGCCACCAACATAGATAATATATTTTAAGTTTTCAAATTAATGATAAGCATTAACGTTTGTTTGTTTGGATGAGGTTTACCAATTTTATTAATTTAATGTTTATGAAGCTGTTGTTTGGGTACTAGGCTGGAGTTGCAACTTTAGTTTTAATTTAAATATATTTAGATATTATTGATGATTATTATCGATATTATTGATATTATTTGATGTTATTGACTGTATATATTTATGTTGACCATGCCCATCTCATGTAAAAATGATCAACGGCAATAAATATCTTATGTCTTATGTCTTATGTCTTATAATCCTTACTAAAACTCTAATCAATTTTTTTTTAGTTAGGCCTATCTTAGTTATTTTAATGACTGAGTGACAACTTTTTTTTAAAGCCTCATTTTCAAATTAAATATTGCAGGCAGAGTCGAAGAACGAGCAGTTGCAAATCTATTACAAGGTGTGCTATGCTCGAGTGCTGGACTACAGACGTAAGTTTATTGAGGCGGCTCAGCGTTACAATGAACTGTCCTACAGATCCATCATACACGAAGATGAACGGATGACAGCTCTCAAGAACGCTCTCATATGCACTATTCTAGCTTCTGCAGGCAAGTAACACCTCATTGAGTTGTAAAACTCAACTAAACACGCCTCTGTATATGTATATGATCTGTCTACCTTATACATTTGTTGATGTACCTAATCCATGGTTACAGAAGGTTTGGGGAAATAAGATATCTCAGGTCCACCTGTAAGGACCGCTCTATTTGTCAGTCTCAACATTTACAACCTTATTAAAGTTATTACCAACTTATTAGGTTGACACTTTTTATTTTAATGTCCCACCTTTACATTCTAAGACGCTAGGTTCTAGCCCGGAACTGTTTTGCACATTACAGCAGGCGAGTCCTAGAGGGTCACGACATTATCACATAGATAAAATCCATTGGTGATTGGCGGGATTTGAAACCGGGACCTTGGGCTCCGAAGCCTCGTGCTCTCCAGCTCTTACCACTAGACCAGCTTGCATCCTGTTAGGTTGATACTACAGAATCCTTGACCCCTATTCTCTCAGTGCCCACTAAATATTATCAGGAAAATTTGCATGGAAATCTTCAAAACCAATTCTGCATTGGGGCATAGTCTGATTGACATTTTTCTTTTGTTTCAAGTGAATTGTTAGGGATGGTGAATAGACGTTTGTCAAGAAAATTAGTGCAGACGTTTCCAATCATTTTTGTAAAAAACTTACAAGACATTTTACTATCGACAATCATATTTTTTCAAGTGAAAACATCAGATTCTTGTGGTAATGTTGAACAATGTCTGTAATAATGATGATGTTACCTGCAGGTCAGCAGCGCAGCCGTATGTTGGCAACACTGTTCAAGGACGAGAGGTGTCAACAGCTGCCAGCGTACTCTATACTGGAGAAGATGTACCTGGACAGGATCATCCGACGGTCAGAGCTCCAGGAGTTTGAGGCTCTGCTTCAGCCTCACCAGGAGGCCCTCACTGGAGATGGTTAGTGTCGTCTGTCATCAAACTTGAATTATGAGGGAAAGTAAGCTGTTGTAATGATTACAGCATGTAGTGTATTGCGCTCTAGCTTGGCTTCTCTCAAGCCCTGCCACGTACAGTTTGATCCTTATGAATTGCACACTAGACCTCACCGAGATGGGATTTGAAACACCCATGGTGCTCTTTTTGCCAGGAGGAATGCCTTGGCCACAAAGTTGACCCAACAGTCTTTTTACGCTAACAATTCTGGACAAATCCCTAGCATAGTAGTTTTAAGTTTACTTTCAAGTTGCAGCACATGTTAAAACTTTTTTATTAGCTTGCTTTGTGGTCCGGTACAAATTTTGCAATCAATTTTATACTAACTTCCCGATGAGCTAGATACTTGAAACTTGAATAATAGCTCACAAATTGATGACAATGCAATATTATATCATTTAATTTTCATATTTCCCTTGGGCTACGCCCCATGGGCTTGTTTTTATTAGCTCTCTTTCTTACAAATTTTGATATCAATTTTAAACGAAGATCCCGATAAGCTAGATACTTGAAACTTAGCTCACAAATGGATGACAATGCAATATTATATAATTAAATTTTCATATTTCCCTTCGGCTACGCCCCAAGGGCTTCCAAACTTTCCATGTTTACATTTTGAAAGAATGTAAATAAATATATCAATTAATTTAAGTCAGATGTAAATACTTAAATTTGACAGTTAGAAGAGCAGAGGTTGAGAAGTACAGGTTCTGCTCCCGAGATATTCTAAAAATATAAAACAAGCATTTCAAATTCAAAGTAAAGATAAAACATCTGATTACAGATAATAAGGTTTTGATTATGTATTAACAGACCATATAAAATAGATTTTACATATTTACACATTAAAGACTAAAAATTAGAAAATAATTTATGTATAAAAATACTTTTCAGTGTGTTTAAAAACGTGGCTTTTTAAAAAGCATTTTTATTTATAAATTATTTAGGTACGGTACAGCTACAGTATAAATTTTGTTGTTGAGTTACGCTTCCATATATAGATATAAGGATTAGGCTAATTTAAAAGTAATAGAGTTCAGCTAGCTTACCTGAGAAAATTAAAAGTCCCGAGGGCTAAAAGATTATACAATAAAAGGTCACAAAAACAACACTGATATTTCGTTCTAATAGAAGACTTCTTCAGAAAGTAGGTTGAAGTCAAAACATTTATCTTCTTATTTAAATTAAGATAAATTGGATCAATTTTGTTAGGTATTTTGTCCCTGAGTCCTGTGTACCTCAGCTGCCACTGATTACCCACAGTATTGTGTTGTATTAATAGTCAAAGATTGTACACAAAGAAATGTATTTATGGTAGGGGTGTGCGAGTACTCGAATCTTCGAGCTTTTTGGTCGAGCTTTTCATTATTCGGCTTGGCTCGAGGCATTTTGAAAAAGCTCGAAGTTCGAGCCGAGCTTTTAATACTAAGTCAAAACACTTAATTTGGGTCATAATTGAAAACAATGTTATCACAATTCTACGTTGTTCATGCATTCTAGGTTTGATAAGCACGAACCTCAGCTCAGTCAAGACGCAATGATTATCGATCGTAATTTTGAGGAGATAGGAAAGAGACAAACGACCACATATCGCGTTGTCTTTCTAACAGCTATTCGTATCGTAATATACAACGCAGTGCGAGTGCGTGATTGGCTTGTTGTTATGACGACACACGGTTGCCGTGACAGCCTACAGTGCGCACTGAGCACTGCGCCTTGTGTGGGAGGGGAGATTATATCAACAAACAATTTCAGGAATCCTATTTTGGGACGGATGAAAGATAAGGAAGAAACAAAAAGTGGTCACGTGTGCAAATGTAGTGGGCGACACAATAAGGCTGTAAACGAGTATCGTCATGTCGTTGTTCCTTGTTTGTTTACTTTTTCAGATTCCTTATCAAACGCCCCTATCTGCTATCTCTCTTTCTCTCTCTCTCTCTCTCTCTCTCTCTAACAATGTACTGATTAAACAGATTGTGGTTGAAGACTTTTCTACTTATAAGTTTCCCTGCAGTTATTTTAGTTAAATCAATCCTATAACCTTTCTAATGTTTATCAAAATAATTAATTATCTGTTTTGTATTTTATTTCCTTTAAACCAACCCCTATTTACCATATGTATTTTATAGAATAAAATGTTTGTTTATAAAGTTTGACTGGCCACACAATATTGTACCTTTTTTATTTTGTATAAAGTAACAGTTACCTTGATGATTATATGTATCAATAAGTGGTGCGTGCTGTAGTGAATGCTTTTTATTATCAAAATAAGTAATGAATTATTAATTTTTGATAATAATACATGGGTCATTGAATACCATAATGTGATGTAGTTTCCTATTTGTAACTTGCAAATAATAATAATTGATACAGTAGAACCCCTCATATCCGGCCTTGGTTTTACCGGTCCTCTGTTTATCCGGCCCCTTCCAGGAAGCAAATATCAACATTTTTTTCTCACAGCTTACAGACGTTTAGATGCAAGCACTAGTCTTTGTGACTGCTCAAGTCATAAAATAAATTGTTCTCAGTATTTATCTGTTTGTTTATACATTTATTTGCTGGGTCACTATACTCAGTTGAGCTAGTAGGCCTAACCTCTGATCAGTTGGTTGATTATTTCCAAAGTGGGTTTAGTACAGTACAGTACGAGTACATTAATTTTTGTATTTCACAAAATGGTTAAGAATGTTGAGTAGAAATGCAAGTACCATTTAAGTCCTAATGATCTTTACTTTAAGTACAATTTATTGTCATTTTTACCTCTATTTAATATGTTTTGTTACCTGGAATCATAATATTTGTACATTCATTACTGACTTTAACCTACAAATATTTTTTTCCCTTTATTACAAACATATTGTAAAGCAATAGAAGAAGCTCTACAAGAAGTGACAACAATAGATAAGGGAATTTCAATTGGCTCCAGAATTAACATATTAGCGTTTGCAGACGATGTCGTCATTTTTGCAGAAACTTTAGAGGACCTACACCAACTAACAAAAATATTTATGGACAAAACAGGACAATTAGGATTAAAAGTAAATGATGGGAAAACCAAATATATGCAATTTTTAAGAAATCAAGGTATAGCCCAAGACCCACTGCAGGTAGATGACCATACATTTGAAAAAGTAGAACATTTTAAGTACTTAGGGGTTATCTTATCCAGGGAAAACAAAGAAGAAATAGAAATTCAAAATAGACTAAATCTGGCAAACAGATGTTTCTACGCTTGCAACAGACTGATGTCCTCTAAGTTACTGTCTAAAAACACCAAAGTTAGAATTTATAAGACAATAATCAGCCCAGTATTATTATACGGAGCTGAAACATGGAAACCAAATAAAAAAGAAGAAAAGAAGTTAATCACATTCGAAAATAAGATTTTAAGAAAAATTTATGGACCAATTTATGAAGGTGGTGAATGGAGGAAGAGACACAACAGAGAACTGAGAGAACTCTACAGAGATCCAGATGTGGTGTGTGAATTTAAGTGTAGAAGAGTTAGATGGGCTGGACATGTTTTACGAAGAGAGGAGCAAAATAAGTTAAAATTAGTTTTACTAAGAAATCCCGAAGGAAGACGACCGAGAGGAAGGCCAAAACAAAAATGGTGGAGCCAAGTAAAGAAAGACATGGAGCAACTAGGAGCAACTGAGGAGGATGCAGAGGATAGAGCAAGATGGAGAGGCTTTGTTGGTGCGGCCAAATATCTTCTTAGATATGCATGGCCCTGGGAGTAAGAGTAAGAGTAAGTATTACAAACATATGTTTATTTTTCTAAAAATAATCCCAGAACAGAATTAAATGAGACTTTTGATTGCATATATTGATTACCGGTACCTATTATTATTAGGTATGAATTGTCATTTTCATAGTAGGTTGGTTTATCCAGCCAAATCGTTATCCGGTCAGGGGCTTGGTCCTGTGGTGGCCGGATATGAGGGGTTCTACTGTAGTTAATTCTGGAAAATGAAAAATAGTGATCGCATTCATAAACCTGTTGTCAAAACAGCAACACGGGTGTAAGGGTTTATTGTTTCATAGGGGTACAAAGGACGTGGGTGTTTCAAGGACAAAGTGTTGGGCCTCCCGGTTTAGGGGGGGAGGGGTGGTGGTGAGACTGCAAGAAGGGGAGGAAACTGGTTTTGGCTATTTATTGATTAGTTCGCCGACCCTTCTAGATGACAATATTGAGTGACAGTGTTAATTCATAGTGTTCTTTATTTCATTTCTTGTTTACTTTGTGTGTTATTCTATTAATTTTAGTGTTTTGGTCTATTTCCTCCATATGTCAATTATATCTTTTTTAATATATAAGTTTACTTTTTACTTGTCTCTCCACCTTTTTGGATCCAAACCAAAAATACTATGTTCTTTTTTTGATTAATACGATTGATAAAACTAAAATATTTTGTGCATGGAAAACAACAAGAATAATCACGTGTTTTAAAATTTATTTTGTATTTATTTATACAAAATAGAATTAAATATTCATAGTAGTTACAATATACATAATAATGTAATCGACTTGCTAGTTGTTTTGTCGTCATTCAAGGTAGCGTTGCTGTTCTGTTATGAAAGACAATCTGATTGTCTCAGTCTGCACTGCATATCTCGTCAGGCCTTCAATTATCCTTTTATTTCTTGCATCTTAATTAAGTTCAGTTCAGTTCTTATCGTGATTATCTACTATTTGATGTCTTGACAATTCTCAATGTTTTTAAACATATTAAAATAACATTGTGTTTATTTAAAAATTGACTGAACATTATTATTATGCACTTTTTTAAGAAAAAAAGTTTAATAATTTAGATAAGGTGACGCTAGAAAAAGCTTGGCTAGAAAAAGCCCGAGCTCGAAAATTTTTGGAAAAGCTCGGCTCGGCTCGGCTTGAGGTTGAAAATCACTATTCGCACACCCCTAATTTATGGTTACAGGGCTGTTTGGTTGGCAGCCATTAAGGGTGATATCCACCTCCACTCAGGTGTGAATATGAAAATGTTTCATACATTTTTCACGAATATAAAAAATATTTTTTTAAAAGAATGAAAATCAATAAATGTCTTATTAGCATGTCCTATTAGAGGACCTAACCACTCTAAGGGTTTATGAGAAATGCCTCTCAAACCCCCTTCTATCTTCTTTGCTTATTTCTTATCACCGTCCGTTGCAACTACATACTCTATGTTTTTTCATAGTGTTTCACCTTACTTTACATTACCTTGAGGATGAATCTTTCCATTATGTCCCAGTTTTCTTTCTTCTCTATCATGACTGACCAGGTTCTCAGACTCTTTGACGTAGATCTGCCGTCTCTCACTTGCCTACCTCGAGGAATCATTATGAAATAGATTTATTTCCAAGTCATCTTGGCATTGAGCATCAGCACATTAACTGTTTAATGTAAGTAATAAATGTTAATTTTTGTTATGTAAGTAAGAAAAGCATAATTTTTTGTAAAGGTATAAAAGACACTAATTGTTGCTAGGATCCACTATTCTGGACAGAGCGGTGATTGAACACAACCTGCTGAGTGCCAGTAAACTCTACAACAACATTACATTTGAGGAGCTTGGTGCATTGTTAGAGATACCTCCGACCAAGGCAGAGAAGATTGCCAGCCAGATGATCTCGGAGGGCAGAATGAATGGCTTCATCGACCAGATCGACTCCATTCTTCATTTTGAAAGTAGGTTTACAATTATTTTCCATTCCATGTCAGCTAAAGTATAAAAACCTCAACTTTGACTACCCTCCCCAACTCATGTTACCACTTAAAAGAGAAAGAGTTATACTTAAGTAAAAGGGGACATTAATGTGTGATTACATTGTAATAGTATATTTCGTACCTAGGGCCGAAAATGAGGTTTTTGCCGGCTCGAGATAGTTTTTAAGTTCGAGACGAAGTCGAGGACTTAAAACAATCGAGAGCTGCAAAATCATTTCGGTCCGTGGTACGAACGCTATTTTTCACCACACTATACCCTAATACCACTATTCACCACAATAATAATGCACACTGATAGTCAACACAACTACAAATTTAAAGTTATGTGAAGAAATAATTTGAGGAATAGCAAAAATAATAATAAATAGTTGCTAGGCAGCGGTGACAATAAAACAATTCTATTGCAATGTTGCAATGGATACTGATTGTGTATTTAATATGCATTCATGTTTTAAGAAAGTAAGCAAACAGCTGATTTTGCAGCCCTAGGGATGTAAGAACCTGCTCGGTCCCCAAATGACGATGACAGCTGGCATGGCCAGCAAAACGTAACTTTCAGCCACCAATTAACGTATGTAAAACAGCTAAAAACATCATAGTGTGGTGAAAAGGTCCTTTAGTGTCCTTGGAGGCTAGCGGGCCATCTTAGATCATTTTAAACATCTGCTGGAGTTATTTATTGTCCAAAAATATTTTGTCGAACACCAAAGTGATTATTATTTTAATATCTAGTATTAGCCCAGTCAATAAATGTTTTTTACCGCAACTAAATGGTGGAAAGCTGGATTTTGTATATGTGATAGAACCACATGAGAGGTGTATTTTCCCAAAAGTCCCCACTTCTACCCCTTGAGCTTTACCCCCCACCCCCCTCCAAACACAGAAATTGCAGTGTTTTATTTAATTGATCATAACTCGAATGCTATGTAAGCTATCGAGCTGCGATTTGTTTTGTTTTATTTCTGATTAGTTTTCCTACAACTTTTGTATTTACAACATTTTTCTAAAACCAATACTTAGGGAGATATAAAATTTAAACTTCGTTAATAGCTTTGTTTCAGAGTGCAAAATTTTGTTTTTCTCTATGTATACTTTTAAATAGAAATAATACGCAAATATGGTTCAAACAAAAGTTTTAGTACGTTTTTCAAGGTTTACAAATATATTATTGGTTAGTCATCTAGGTGACCGGGTGAAGAGCTGGGCGTCGGCAAAGAGAGCGTGTGCGGGCTAGTTGAACACCTCTGCGCTGCGTCATCGCATCTAGCCCAGACAATAAACGCACAAACTGCCTTTTTTTGTAGCTAAATAGTGGAAAGCTGAGTTTGTTATATGTAATGGAACCACTTAAGACGTGTATTTTCAAAAAGTTCCCGATTCTCCCCCTTGAGCTTTCACCCCCAACCCCTTCCAAACCTGGAAATTACAGTCGTTCACTTTACTGGATATAATTCAAGTTCTATGCATGCCATCGTAGTGAAATTTGATTTGTATTATTTATAATTAGTTTATCTACAACTTTTGTACTAATGGTTTTCTTATAAAACTATGTCCAAAGCGATATAACATTTTAACTTTTTTTGATAATGTTTATGTTTTAGAGTACACAATTTTGTTTTACCCTCTATATATTTTTCCAAATAAAATACGCAAAATGTGACAAAACAAAATTTTAGTATGTTCTTTAAGGTTTATAAATATATATTTGGTTAGTCATCTGAAAAAAACTAATGTAGTGTGGGCGTCGGCAAAGACAGCGCATGCAGGCTTCTAAAGCATCTGCGCAGCCCCGCCCGTCGATGCGTCGCGTCGTAGGCACCGACATCGCTAAGTTCTCAAAGGTTGTATTTAAATGCTAAGGCTTTGTACTTTGTACTTTACTACAAAAAACAATCTGCATCCAAGTTTAACCGTGAACTGCAAAAACAATTATTATTTAGATGGAACCCAATCATTTAATTTTTTATAACTAGTTTTGGTTCAGGTAAATTAATCTCTACCTACTTACTTGTTATACTTGAAATACTTCATCTTTGACCAATGGAAGTTTGATAGATTGAGGTATAGAACACTAGGCCTTATAAACACTTTACAATTTACTATAAACATACTCTTTGCTCTTCCTTACGTAAAAATGTGCTTTCTGTTATCTACCACTAATGGGACTCGCTTTGTTCTACAAGATTTATACTAACTGCACTGCGCCTCGCAGTCAGTAAAGATCTAAACAGTAAACTGCAAAAAATACTTATTAGATGAAACCTAATCATTTATACATTTCTTAAATTTATTGATAGTTTTAAATCGTTTCTCATTTGAATTAATAATTAATTTAATTATTTCTGTCAACGGCTATACCTATTGACAAAAATATACATGGATACATATATTACATTACATAAAGCTAGGTAAGAAACATACTGAACCCAATGATGAAATGACCCAATTCGCCTATGGGTCTGAGGATGACTGGAGTGTCGAATCAAAATCTACCACCACTTACCATCTTTAAGTATATTTACAGTATTGTAAGTAAGTGTAAATTAAAGTTTTAAGTGTTAGGCTATTAGACGTATTTTATTTTATTTACTTTCCAATTAATTAATGTAATAAGGCATATATCCAAAAGTTATAAATAAGTAAGTAAAAAACTCTATTTGTGTCCCCATACATGCAGGCAAGACTATTTACGGGATACATACAGGCAGATTACTCAAATTTCCTTTCTTAACATATTGTGTAGATGTGTCAATCAAATTGTGTTTTTTTCATAAAAATTGGCAGAAATGTATTACGAATCTGCTTTACGGCACTAATATGTAGTCGATATCAATCACTTTAGAGACTCTATACTGTGAATCTTGGTGACGTTCTGTTCTCTAATATTTGATTGTTTTCATGTTATCTCAAAAATGAGTCAGCTTAATAGTTCTTTATTGGTTTGTGGTAGACATTATGCAAACGTTTAACATCGCTAATAAAGATGAAGGCGCTAATTAAGTGTTTTAAAATCTCCTCTATTTAGACTTAATAAAAAAGTAGTTGACATTGACTGGTTTTAATTTGTATTCCTTACGATGATTAAAAATGGCTTATAAATATTACCGACAGTTTTCTACTTTGTTCGTGATAATATTTTAACACAGGCTTACAACTCATGGCAGAGCAGAAAGCTAACCCTTGCTAGCGGGAAGCGTGAAGAGAGGGACATATCAATGATAGGACGCAGTTTGTATCAAGGATTAGTGGGTCGACGAAAACTTTTTACTGAACGCGAGGTTCTTCAGTTAGTCACGGTTTGGCTTGGAAACAGATTGTTTTGGTAGTAAAGTAGGCTACAAGTGAGGAAGTCTTAGGATTTGTATAAAAAAGGCGAGAACTTAGCGGTGCCGGTCCTTGTTATTATGCATCGACGGGCGGGGCTGCGCAGATGCTTTAGAAGCCTGCATGCGCTGTCTTTGCCGACGCCCACACTACATTAGTTTTTTTCAGATGACTAACCAAATATATATTTATAAACCTTAAAGAACATACTAAAATTTTGTTTTGTCACATTTTGCGTATTTTATTTGGAAAAATATATAGAGGGTAAAACAAAATTGTGTACTCTAAAACATAAACATTATCAAAAAAAGTTAAAATGTTATATCGCTTTGGACATAGTTTTATAAGAAAACCATTAGTACAAAAGTTGTAGATAAACTAATTATAAATAATACAAATCAAATTTCACTACGATGGCATGCATAGAACTTGAATTATATCCAGTAAAGTGAACGACTGTAATTTCCAGGTTTGGAAGGGGTTGGGGGTGAAAGCTCAAGGGGGAGAATCGGGAACTTTTGAAAATACACGTCTTAAGTGGTTCCATTACATATAAAAAACTCAGCTTTCCACTATTTAGCTACAAAAAAAGGCAGTTTGTGCGTTTATTGTCTGGGCTAGATGCGATGACGCAGCGCAGAGGTGTTCAACTAGCCCGCACACGCTCTCTTTGCCGACGCCCAGCTCTTCACCCGGTCACCTAGATGACTAACCAATAATATATTTGTAAATCTTGAAAAACGTACTAAAACTTTTGTTTGAACCCTATTTGCGTATTATTTCTATTTAAAAGTATACATAGAGAAAAACAAAATTTTGCACTCTGAAACAAAGCTATTAACGAAGTTTAAATTTTATATCTCCCTAAGTATTGGTTTTAGAAAAATGTTGTAAAAACAAAAGTTGTAGGAAAACTAACCAGAAATAAAACAAAACAAATTGCAGCTCGATAGCTTACATAGCATTCGAGTTATGATCAATTAAGTAAAACACTGCAATTTCTGTGTTTGGAGGGGGGTGGGGGGGAAAGCTCAAGGGGTAGAAGTGGGGACTTTTGGGAAAATACACCTCTCATGTGGTTCTATCACATATACAAAATCCAGCTTTCCACCATTTAGTTGTGAAAAAGGGCGTTTTTTTGCATTCATTGACTGGGCTATATACTGTGAGATTAGAAATTTTCTTTATAATTTTTTAATTGTTTAACGACTTAGAACGTCTAGGCTCCAAGGACTGTTCAGCTAAACGCCTCCTCCAGGTGGTACTAAATAAATGACAACTTAGGTGGCTGGTTACCTGTGATCGCACAGCTGTAGCAGCTGCCACACACAACCATCTTTTAGAAGGCTAAGGTCTCTTATTAACATTCCCCATTCTAGCACAGAAGGTTAGAACAGGTCAAAGTAAGTGCGAGTGCCCTATTTGAGTCCTGCTTGAGAATAAAGTCTTAGCACTTAAAAACCCACATTGAAGAATTTGAGGGTAATGTAAGGTGAAATTCCTTTAGACATACGTTAAACTTGACAATATTTCAGTGTTCCACAGGTGGTGTGTCATAATCATGCTTTCTTGACTAATTCCATTTGTGGGATCGATAACACAATACATCTGGATTTATTTTCAGCCCGAGAGATTCTGCCAACTTGGGACAAGAACATTCAGTCACTGTGTTACCAAGTGAACCAGATCATAGAGAAGATCTCCAACGCTGAACCGGAGTGGATCGCCAGAGCGGTGGACGACCAGATGATAGTTCACTGACCCGACCTCAACCAAATGTTCCCTCGCTGTGTTATAACAAATAAATAGACTTAACTTTCTGTCTACATTACTGAATATTTGTTAGTCAACTTTGACATTTATGGTGTGTTGACAACTTGTGGATGTGATCATAAGATTGAATACACAACTAAAACTGTGTTAGTCTTCATTCCGATTTGTTGATCCTTCTCTTAATAAAGAACGTGTTACATAAAAAACTAGCTTCAAAATTTACAATGGGAAGGGAAGTCTAATTGTTAGTTGGTCTAAGATATCGTGTTCATAGACCCATTAATATATGTACATACTTAAATAAAAATGTTAACGAATAGTAAAGTTGTGAGTATATTTTATTTGTAGGTATTGACACCAACAAGTATGTTTCGAGTGCTATGAATTTGCCTTGAATATCCCATTTAATTTCATTTAGCATGTTACAGGTTTTATCAATGCTCGGTCCTTTTTTTATAGGGGATATAAAATCATAACAGATATTTTACAAAAATAGTCTTTATTAATATCACAATGAACAATAACTATTAATCAGTAATAAATTCTCTGATAAAAACATTTGTATAAAATAGATCACCATTAAATGTTATTCACACTTGGTAATAATAATATTCAATACAATAAACAAGTGATTCATATATAGGCATGTCAATAACAGCAACCATGCTATAAACATTATAACAAAAATATTAAGTAAATAAAAATATAACCCTTAACAAAGTGTAAATTAACTTATAACCAAGTAGTATAAAGACATATTAGATAAACAGTAACAAACATAAACAAAAGTATCCCGGAATACCTTAATATTTTCTCTACAACAAAAAGATTGTGCTTTATTTTGAGTGGTGGACGGAACGACTACAAATAATTAAATCATCCTAAATAGAATGTTACAATGTTATTTTACATTCGGTAATGTTAACTTTATGATGGTGAAACGAATTAGAATTCAAAGATTTACAGTAACCTTATTGCAGTATTATTTTGCAACAGTATGTGGAAATTAAAACCGACGTTGGATATAATGATTCTAATTGGTGTTGCCCAGCTGTATTATTTCAACTGTAAGGCTACAGGTCGATTATTCACAATTCGCTGATCTCTATTGTTTTAACTCTGTTCTAATCCGTTAATTAATTTACATCAAAAGTATGATTGGTATGGTATTTTTATGACAATCCAGCATAAATTACTCAACAAAAAAGTAATAAAAACTAATAAATATTTTACAATAACATTTTTTAATTTGTTATTGAAGCAAGTAGTAAATTTGTAGCTTTTCAAATAATTACTTAATAGAAAATCAATAATCTTTTTAAGTAACAAATCGAATAGGAATTGAAATATTTTGAGAGGCACTCAAGTCACCTTTATCCATCCCACTTTCATTACTTCATACAAAATAGGCCCAAGTTGATAGCCTACTGTTTGGTCAAAGTATTTAGGATTTCAGTCCACATTAGCCTTGCCACCGAAATACTAGGATTCACGGGGATTCTACTTTCCTCTTATCAGGGCTTACCGCTGCCAACTTAGGTTGAACAATCAACATTCTAATGTATTCAAAAATACAAGAATAAAAGTTAAACTTAACGAGAAGTTGGGCATAATTGAATTTAGTGTGACCGTCTGATTTGGAAGTGTAACTAAGCTTATAATGGCGTAGTCAAATTAGAAAGAAAATGTTTAAATATTCAAATACTGATCTACAAACTGGCCTCAGGATGAAAGTGTCACAAACATCACAAGATACAAAAGTTAAATAACTCACACCCCCTATGTCCCCAGATATAATCTTAACTATAAAACCGAGAGCTTAGCAACAATATCACCGTTGGGTTGATATCCTAGGTTGTGTATATTGGTAGTGTTTGACCTTTGTCACAGGTAGGAATATAGTCGGTGTCATGGACTAGGCTTTTCCTATCTTCTCAGAAGTCTATCTTGAGCAATCTTCAAAGACTTGCTGCTTTCCAACCCAAACACGTCTAGACACTCGCGGTTCATGTTGTTAACCCTAGAAAAGAAACCAATATATAGATTTCCAAGTCTGTGATCATGTTAAACACATGAAGATTACATTTTTTCTAGAACAACAATAGTTATTTGTGCAACTAGTGAGAAAAGTGAGCAATTGACTCACTCGAGAGAAATCCTTACTCACGAGCCGTAGGCGAGTGAGGAATGGTTTCTCGAGTGAGGCAATTGTACTTTGCACTCGAGTTGCACATTATATTTTTCCTACAGTTACCATAAAACAAATAAATTGGTAAAGAAACGTAACATATTTTTACACAGAAGTGAACTTTTAATATAATATTTAATGTGAAGTGACAAATACAACAGTACAACAGCTGACCAGCTGATTTACAGCCAGTGCTGCCAACGTATTTCGCGCGCATACAACATTGTCTGCATGTTACGCGCTCACTATTTCGTGCCTTCACGTTGCAAATCTGGAGTGAGACAAAGTAATTAGAGTGAGACAATGTTAACATTGTCTCACTGATAAGCGATTTGGCCACTTTGCTTTCTCAAATCAGTGAGAGAACATGTACATTGTTAGGTAACTGTAGGAAAAATAACAACCCAATGGTGATTGATTTTTGTGGATTTAATTTTAAAAAAGATTGAATTTTTACAGAATAGTCCGTTAGCAGGAGGAAATTTAAATTTGAGATCAAATAATTAGTCTGTTGACAGTATGGAAAATTTAGTTAGTAAGTTGTTTGTTTTGTAGACTAAGATAAACAAAAGAACAAAAGGTAATAAAAAAATAAAAAAAATAAAAGGTAATAAAAAAGGTGATAAAAAAATCAATTTCTAAATAATTTTGTTTACTAGTTTTAAGGGTGTGCGAAACAGCAAAATTTGTTTAATTCAATGCAACCATTTGATTCAAAGAATTTTCTTTTTGAATCGGTGCATTTCAGATAGAAGCAACAAAAAATATTTAATTAATACTTGACAATGAAGTGAAATAGCAACAATAAAAATTTACCAGATTTGTGTTCTGAAAATGTTTGCTGGTGTGGTATTTATGGACACTTAGTAAAATTAGTATAAACAATTTGTTATTTAGACAATCTTGTCATAACAACATATGGCCCTAAATATTTTAATCAGTAGCCCTTAGTGATTAGAAGTTGTCTGATCTAAGTATTCTCTTCGTGTGAAAAGAAAATGGCCTGTCAAATCTAAATCACAAAATGTTGACCTACAAATCATTTCCAAGTTAGAAAATTTTAATTCTCAACAATTTAAGGAACTCAGATCAATAAGAGATACTTGTGTTAATCTTATAAACTAAAATAATAAATTAAACACGTTGGGGTCAGACTTACCTATTTCCTGATATGTTGGTGAGGAATCTCCAGTATGAAGGCCTTACATTATGAGGTTCCAGGACAGCTGCGTGGAACAAAATAGCTGTAGCAAAGGCATGGACAAAGACACTTCCACCAGGGAATGGCGGCAAATGGCCTTTATCCACTCCCATATTGTAGAAGATCTGTAACATGTAACAAATAAATATGATTGGGTTTAGGATGTATGAACAATGATTTATGAAAACCATTGTGATAAAACTTGGTAAAACTAGTTCAGAGGGTGTCTTGTTTTCCCACACACATAGCCTAGGACTTTAATTTTAAGGAACTTTTCCTGAATAAATGTCTATTTATATAAACTAGAGGTCGTCCAGTGGTTAAAAACTCAACCAAAAATACATTATGTACAGACTTCTCGTCCAGTGGTTAAAAACTCGACCAAAAATATGTTATGTACAGACTTCTCTATTTTCACCCAACGCTGTAAATAAAACAAGTGATTGGAATTTCTTCCATTTATTTTTATTTTCTGTTTATATTTCGTTGTTTTTTTATCACCAGCATAGCAACCTATAAGGTCGATGTTATATATATATATTTTTTAATTTGTTGTGCTTATTTTTTACCTATTTTAAATATAAAGGGATTCTGCACATCTACAGGAAAATATCTTTCTAACAGTATGCACAATTTTTCCTGCGATGCACACGAGCTGAGAAAAAAAGGTTTTCAAGAAACATGCTTGCCTAGCCTAATAATATATAGGATATTTGTGTTTAGGCCTAGTATTCAAACTGGTTATTGAACTTCAACCTAGGCAGTAGAGGAGTTATCAACTGAGCTAATTTTGCTATCTTCACAACAAGGGGTCATCTTATTACTGGGCAAATCTGAATATGTACAATAGTTAATATACATTTTTGAAGACTATTGAAATAGTAAGTAAGTAAGTATTGAAATAGAGGTCCATTGTAAAAACATTCTGAAATATAACAAAGAAAAAACATTCCCTGGTTATTAGTTGGGAAATATGTTTCTAGAGTTGTAGTTAGGGGTGTGAGAAACATTGCAAGACAGTGACAATTTTGCAAACAACAACATAACACTTCCAGCTACTGTCCTACCTGAATTGTTTTCCACATTGCATAAAGAGCAGCTGTATTGTCCCTGAAGAAGAAGAATGCGAGTCCGGCAGTCAGGCCAGCTGGTACTGCGTGAACCTCAGAGTCATGGTTGCGCAGTCTTCGTAGTGAACAACTTATCACCTGAACCATGATCCAGCTTATTAATCTGTTCTAATTACTTTATAAAACATTTATTTAGTATACATTTAAAAGCGAGCTTAACTGGTTGTCATAAACCAACTGATTTCAATTGACTTATTACAAAATAAAAGATTTTACCTGGCATTTACACCCCATGGAGCTATAAAGTAAAATGAGAAGTGAGCTAGAAAAGTGGAAGAGAAGCAGTATTGACAAAATTTATTGGCTACGACTCAATTATGGCAAGTGTAACAATGCCGAAAGACGCAACATATCATGTAAAATCTGATTTGATTATCAAAGTCTAAGTGATTTCAATCATACCCTTACATGGGATAAGAGTACAGTGGGATAGACTTGAATGAGTTTGTGAACCAGCATGATCGAACCATGGGAACGAGGTTTTATGGGGTGAAAATTGGTTTTTCATATTTTTTATCCAAAACTTAAAGTTTTGCAATTTCTTTCCAAAACATTTTGTAGAGCTTAAAAACAAATAATTAAGTATATTGAAATGTTTTCATGTGCCCGCAACTGTTATGGAGAAAATTAAAAAAATTGTAATTTTAAAAATTCCATGTTATTCTTCTTATGGATAATAAGTAAATTGTTGTAATTTGCATGGATATATTTTGATCAGACTTGGCAAATGTATTTATTTTATTATAAGCTATTGATATTTTACAAAAAACCCCTTTATTAACCTCCTTGTAGCAGCAAAACTAGGTACTCATTAAAACTAAACTCAAAGTGTTACTTAAATAAATTTAAGTTAAAATCATATTAGTCTGCGGTATGCTGCGACAGGGGTATTTTTTATGTATTTTTGCTACAACTTTTAAAAATTAATTAGAGTACGGTATTAGATTGAGTAGGCCTATTGTCGTCTTGAATTTAGAAGATGTAAAAAAACTTAAGGAAAGCAATTATTTAAGTTGGTCTGGTTAAACGGCGAAGCTGCTTGATCAGGTACAATATGTACAAAACCAATCTAAAATAGCTGCTAGAATCCAAACTCATGCCATCTACATAAATGTAAATCAATCACAATTCAATAAAATTTGTTCCAAGCCAAGATAATTTCTATTCAACGGTTACATTTGTAAAATAAAAATGACACTCACCCTAAAAAGACCACCAAACCCAGCAAAAAATGCACCAAGTCTTAACGTATCTAATTGGAACACATTGCGTAAGGCAACTTTCGGTCTCTTCATAATTTTATTCATTTGTAACAAAAGCTTCAAACTCAATTGAAGTCCACAACCAATACTGAACAGCTTAGCTCCATTCTGAAACAAACATTATTATTGTTTTCAGGTAAGACAAGCAGGGTGGCCAACTATCAAAATTTCTTCCCAAAAAATAATTTCCGACAAATTTACCTAAGTTTTTACTGTTGTAGAACACTACTATGCGACCTCACAAAGTAATTAAAATTAGGGACTTACGGAATCAGACAACAATGTAGCTACAATACTTAAAAATGTGGAAAAGGACAACTAATAAGTAAATATAAACCAAAATTGTAATACCTACTTAACTAGCAGTGTAATTATGGCTACAGAAACCAGAAGAATTACTTCAAAATTTTTTATTTTTTTTAGTAGATGTGAGGCTCTAAAAATTTTTTAAAAGTTGTCATATATTTTTATACGCTTTTTCAAAGTGACAAGGCTCAAGTGTGTTGAAATAACTCCAAAATAAGATCAAGTTTATAATGGGTTTTTTTTGTAGTTAGGGCCTAGGTAGAGATGTTCTGTCAACAACAAAAATAATCTAAGTTTGGTCAGGGACATAAAAAGTATAAGAAAGAACAGATGACTGACTTATCAGTTCATTCCTCATTATCATCCATATCTTCTTATAAACACATCAATGACACAACAGGCAATCAACAGAATGGATTTCCTTTTTTATCCCAACAAAGATGTGCAAGTCCATCGCTGTAAAGCCAATATGGATAGATTTTTACAATGCAGAAACACCAGGGTATATAATTCATGTGAATATGCGTGAATAATGAATGTTAAATAGACGAGATGATCAAGCCTACTGAAAAAGAGGTTGCAAAACGTGCCTATAATGTCACCTGCTGACCCAGAAGTTGCTGCTTTTAATTCACACAGCTGCCACCTGTCAAACTCTTTGTTATTGTTGTTTGGTTTTGTTTCTGTATTATTAAACAGTTTCACCCATTTTTTTAGAAAAAAAATGTGATTTTAGTGTGACAACTAATACGTTTTTGCGTACTTTCAGTCTGATTAGGTAATTTTCTTTCTTGTTTTATCCATTCTGTTTATAATAGTTTCTTGTTACATTTTTAGTTTTAATTAATCTAGTTTGGTTATAACTCCTGGTGAGTGATTTGCTATTGCAGTCTGTAACAATGGTCGGGTGAAAACCCGTGTTTTACATAATGACAGACCTGAAATGCTTTATCACCGTTTTCTTAAGATATGGAACTATGCAAACAATAAGCCCAATGGTGTAAACAGACCAAATTATTAAATTCTAAACTTCCATAATTTGTTCTATAAACATTTTACTGACAACGAGTATGAATGCAATTTGAAAGCGGAACTGTTAAATTAAACCCTAAGAGGAATCTTAAGCCCAGCGCATTTCCATCTGTCAAACAATATTTATATTTTCAACAAAAAGACGAATTACTGGTAGAAATTCCAAGCATAGAAATGAAAGTTGTACTAAAAATGACAATGTATTAAGTGCGATAACTAATTGTAATACATCATCCAGTAAAATAGCTTCAGATAGAAATCCAGCCGGGCTAAAGAATCCACTCTAGGACAAAAGTAAACAGTTGAGTTTTTTAATTGCATTTTTAATCATTGACAGTAAAAAATGTTGAACAAATCCCAGAATTACGAGGATTTATCCACCCATTTTCAGCAGTGGGCCCCATTGTAAGCATAGTTCTCCGTACTCACATTAGGGAATCTGTGATAAAAGATAAAATATTTTTTAAGCCTGCCAGATAATTTGTGAGTTACCTGGCTATTAGTACCAACAAACTACGACTCGTTGATTGATACGGACTGTGATAGAACACCGTTTACTAGGAATTTCAATTCCTTTTAGCTTACATAAAGTATAAAAAACTAAACAAGTAAAGTTTACTACGTCCCACACAAAAACAAACAACCTAAAAAAGGAATTTGACAGGTGGCAGCTGTGTGAATTAAAGCTCCACCGTACGGGTCAGCGGGTGACGTCATACATCTTTTGCAACAACTTTCAGCTTTGTTAATGACTAAGAAACAGCCTGCTTCTGAAGCCAGGGCAATTTTTTTAAAGGCCAATCATCAGGGACAGTTTGGTCTGGTTTCAAACCACTAAACAGATTTTGACTTTTCTCAGGATTAAACTGGCAATCTTCTAAATTGTTTCCTATCTTCACATACTGTTACTGTAAGTATGCTCCATATTCGTCAGACATGGTTCCAAGTCAGTTTTCCTATTTCTATTTCTAAAAATTACGAAAACCTTAAAAGGCTGTTGTTTTACAGCCGTAGATAACATTAAAAAGCACATTGCTGAAAGAAGTAGTCCCATCTCAAAGATTGAGTTTGAGAATTAGCATTTTTAAATTGGAAGACACACTGGCAAAAATGCAATTCTCTCTCAGGGATAACATATCAAAATTTAAATTGTAATTTTGTTCAAAATACCTTATAGGTGAGCACTATATCCGCTACAGAAATATAGCCTATACTAGACACAGTAGGGAAGTATTTTACTCTCCTCACCTTTAACCAGTAATGAAGACAGCTGTGGGGATGGGGACACAGGGGGTGAGAGCCTCCGTAGTTTAACACGCTAGACAACAATGTCAACCTAGGAGAGTTTACATCTCTTCCCTCTCTCTCGTACCCTTTCTCCTCGTATGGTCCAACAAAAAACCTAAACAACAAAATCAAGTTAGTCTGTACTGAACTGATCCACAAGCTAAACGAGACTACTTTATTCTTCAGTGATTAAGAATTTCTGTAATATTTATAGACTAAATTTTAAATTAAATATACATATAAATTAGGTGTAAGGGTTACCTTAAAAGAGAGTATATAGAGTCTTTTTCATTATGTGACGATCTGTACAGGTACAACAATAATGCACAAGAAAACGAAAATATGACAACTTCGCCATATTTAATTGGAGTTACCCATTTTCTCCAAACCGCCATTCGGAACAAAGTTTCAGATGCCTGAAAAGTTACAATTAGTTATAAAAGATACCTTTAGTAACAATGAATCCAACAATATTATGGCTATTAAACCCTCTACATTAATACTCTAAAAAATTAGTAATATTAGGCAACATCTACAAGCAAAGCCTCCTCTAATACAAGGCCGTGGCGAGATAAAAGTAGCAACACCGCTGTCCTGGCAAACCGAAAGAGCTGTTGCACTAATTTTTTAATGGGGCGTGATAGGCAATGTTTACATTTACACTTTTGTTATTTCTGTTATTACCATGGCAATAGGCATCCCGTTGCGATGTTGCCACACATCATCGCCGGGGCTTTTTTTTAGTGGAGGCTATGCTACAAGTCATTGCAGGTCTTGTAGCACAGCAGCGGGCACAGAAAATATATTTTCCTACAGTCAACTGACAAAGTGGGCTTCCTTACACTGAGTACAGAAACTTGCTAATTGCTGCATTTACTTACTTTTGCCGCACGATTTTTTTTTGCCGCGCACCAGTATTCCAACCAAACAACACAAAACAGCGTGCTTTTATTATGCACGTAATCTGTGTACGCTTGGAAATAGGTTGGCAACACGTAAAGATACTAGGACTACGATCAGCTGGTGCAGTTGTTTCCCATTTCGTCCAACGCTTGGATTTAACCTAACCTAAAACGTGTTGTTTACTGTTTGAAAGACTAATTTTATCTATGCTTTATAGTAACTGTAGGAAAAATAAAAATATAATGTGTAACACGAGAGCAAAGTGCCTTTGCTGCACTCGAGACACTTTCCACACGCCTGCGGCTCATGCGCAAACATTTCTATCGTGTGCAGCAAAGTGCAACTTCACTAACTAGTTACACAGATAACTATTTAATCTGATTCTGAATCTCAAACCATTTATGATTTGAATTTTTTTAGTTCATATTAATTGATAGAGGCAGTTCCCATCTACATTTAGTAGCCTATGTTTTCCAGATAGGAAATAGGGTGTAGCCATTTACCAAATTAGCAAATTCGACATTAATAAAATCAAAACTCATGGTGTAGTTTCTGGTACCCTACCAAGGCAGATATTTATCCAATAGTCAATTATAGTATTACAGTAAATAAAAAAAATAGATGTTTGAAAAAGCTCTTACCACATTTGTGACATATAGGCTGAGTAAACTTCTCCGTGATGGCCTTTCAACCAAGATGGCTCCAATACTTGACAAGAATGATGGAATGAATGACACTGTGAGAAAGTTGAAATTCCCAATAATTTTTCTGAAATTGAAAAAAAATATTAAGTTGATTAGTGAAATAAATGTGCTTTCCAAAATTAATGACTTAGTAGGCTAGTTGGGAATGATATTTTAAGCTCATAGTACTGTAGTGCATTGCCTAAAGTAATTGCTGTCACAAATATTCAGGGTAAGTTTTTATTCAACTGGGTAGGCACAAAACAATGAGTTCATAAGGAACAAAGCTACACAAAAGTTATTTACCTACTAAAAAAAACACTCAGGCTGATTAGCTGATAGGAACAAAACTCAGCTCAGCCACGAACAGATTATAATTAGATAGAAAAGTTCGACATACCTTAGACAACACAATGTTAGCGAGTATCCAAAAGCGTGACATGATAAAAACGCAGTTGACTGGATTATGCCTAATATTGTATACTTTATATCCTTTTTGGAAGGAATTTTTCCTTTCATCAACATGGTAAGCTGCAAAAAATAAAAACATATTAATAAAAACAAAACTTGTATGCCGTGGTTTTAAATCTCTAGAATTAGGCTAATAAACCCATCGCAAATAAAACATATTAGCCTACAACGCAAATCTATCTAACCTCGTCAGTATCATTTTCATAAACAATATTATTACTGTACATTATGTAGAAACATTGAAAAGTAGTAGGCTTACTTGGATATTAGTAGGAGATATTTATCAGTATATAAGCTAATTTATTTGTCATTAATTTATATCTTAGACATAACTGATAGGCTACAGCAGGGGAGGCAATTTCATTAAATGGCCCTCAGCTACATAGCAGGCCTAACGTACAGCAAGACACCACTTTAGGGTGTACAGTAGAACCTCGATAGTTCGACACTCTGTGAATTTAAGGGGTGCCGAATTATCTAAATGTCGAACTATAGGGAGTAAATGGAGTTTTTAATATACAGAAAAGTAAAAATAGCCCTACAAGTTTTATATTGAAATAATCCAAATTTATTATATACTAAAAAGCTTAACAATTTCACTGTTCATTAGTCTCAAGTCAACAATAGGCCTAAATGACAAATTAATGTTCAAGTCAACTTAGCCTACATCACAATAGTAACCATTAAATATCACTTGACAAAATATTTTGAGATCTTTGATTGTTTTTCTCTCTGATAACATGAAAGAACTGGTTCCGGTCATTGACAGCCGTACATGTCAAAACAGCTACCCCGTGTTGAACTATTGAAGGTTTACTGAATGCACCTATCATATGTTCCTTACTTCTCTGTGCTAAAATGGAATGTAAGATCTAGGGTACAGTTTCTTAACTGGGCTATGCTAATATTGATTGATACTAGCCTATCGAATTGAAAATATTGATTAATAGGCCTAATTGATATTTTTAAATATATCTATTATAAAATTTAACTATCATAACCTAGCCTAACCAACCAAACTTGCTGATGGTAAAAAAATCGCATGAAATTTTACTAATCGAATCGATAGTTTCATAGAATCATACACGAAGGATTTTCCTTTAAAAATTACAAAGCTTTAAGAATCATCTTTAACTTAGGGTAATAAGAATTAAGTTAGACTATGATAACTTATAATTTCATTCATAACTTAGTCCTACTCCCTTAAATTTGTGTTGTACATTCTAAAGAGACTTTAGAACTTTAAACATGGGTATTGTTAAAACAACAAAATTTATAAAAAATTACCACATAAGCTGTGACATAGATTCTGAGAGATGCCAGGATAGAATGTAGAAACAGTCCTGCTGTAGCCTCTGCACAAGAATTAGTCCAGGGATGAACATATTCAATGCATGATGTATCAATTCTCTGAAATTTACTTATAATTGTCATGGTTAAGCCGAAATAAAGAAACACAGGTTTGATATAAATTTTAAAACCTAAAGGCCTCAATGGATAAGCACTTCATAACCTGAATCTGATCATAAACATTATATATGTTGTTTTCCTTTTGTTGACTATAGGTGACTTGACTTGACTTGACAGACTTGACTGAGTGAGTGGGGGAGTGGCCAGAGTGACTTGACTAGAGAGAGACTGAGACTGGACTCCGACTCCAGACTCCAGGACCTGGACTAGTCGTGTCGATTTCCAAACTTCGATTCGACTTTCGACTACTCGACTGGTCAAGGTCAAAGGCAAAGTCATAGACTGTCAAAGTCAACAAACTCACAACTTCGGCACAACAGCGCTGCGAGCGAGAGCGAGGACTGCGTGTGAAGAACTGCGACTGCGAACGCGAAGCGAAGCGAACAGCGAACTGCGCTGCTGGGCCGCTTCGACTCTCTCCCTCTCCCCCTCTCGAGTGGTAGTGGGGCATCTGCTCTGCCTGCATAAGCATGTCATAAATATGGTGAAAACAAAAAAAAGTGACTCTCTCAACAAGCCAAGAGTGGCATTTGAAAAAATCATGACTGACGTGTGTGCTGTGGTGTGTAGTCGATAGCCCCTCCATCCTCACTTATCTTATCAGAACCTTTTCTTTGGTCTTGTTCCAGGATATGAATGGCGGTATTATAAATAATGATAGACTGAAAATATGGCTTGGATGTACTTTAGCTGCTCGGTAAATCTCAAATTCCTCAATGGTGTCCATATATTTACTTTTTTTGACAAATATGCATTACTTCTATTCTTTCTGTATATCGGTGTAACTGTGGTTTGAATCAATGATATGGTTGGCAAAAGCTGATTTTGAATTCTTTCTAGGTAAATGTTCCTTAAATCTAGTTGCAAAAGAGCGTGATGTTTGCCCAACATAAAAACTGGGGCAATCATTACATCTCATTTTATAGACTCCAGTGTTGTTTAATTGTTCGCTATTGTCAGTTTGTCTTTCTTTCCGGTGGAACAGGGCTATACAAGTTGCCCGGCGCCGAGAGGGCCGGTGCCATGGCCCGGGCCGTTGTGCCGAACCCGTCCAGGACGGGTCCAGTGACCTGTGCCCGGGCACTGTACCCGAGCCCGGACTGCCTGGGTGTGCCAAAGATTTAAACCACAGTTATACCGATATACAGAAAAAAAATTAGAAGAATGCATATTTGCCAAAAAAGTAAATAAATGGACACCATTGAGGAATTTGAGATTTACCTTAAGTACATCCAAGCTATATTAACAGAAAATATAATGACAGTTTTTGGTATGTATGTTTTTGAAACAGTGGTATCTGTTAAAAACAGATTTCATGAAATAGAGCTGGTTGGAAGGAAACATGATTATCTTACAAGAAATCGAGGCAAGTTAGCATTAAGTCCTCATAAATTGCGCCTTTTCGAAAAAAAAACCCAAATACGCCGGAACAAAATTCTATAATAAACTTCCAAAGGACATACAAGCAGAAGTAAATATAAAAAAATTTAAAAATAAACTCAAGAAATTTCTCATTAGCAGGGCTATTTATTCATTTGATGAACTGTAATTGACTTTTCTTTCCCTACTAATCAAAGTATGTTTTAACTGTTAGTTTTATGTTCTTTTACAATTTTTCCCATTTACTATAAGCATGTATGTTTTATTATAACTTATAAGAAATGTGACACTATTCATGTATATATTTCTAATGTACTTGATGAATAAAGATAATTTGAATTGAATTGAATATTTTAAACGAACAACCCTAATTCCAGTATAACATTATTTATAATATGGCCATTCATATCCTGGAACAAGACCAAAGAAAGGGTTCTGATAAGAGAAGTGAGGATGGAAGGGCTACCGACTACAGCACACGTCAGCGACTTGTCTTCTACCGGTGTCGGACCCCGTGTGTAATGTTTTAATGTATTGGCCAAGTAAAGTAAATGTTTTTTCGTACCGTTCGTGTGTTATGCGTTTTTGGGAAAAATTGGCGACCTTCACGTGAGGAAAATGTTTTTCACTTTTGTGGTCTTCCTTCCACCTGAAGATGTACTCCACGAGCACGAAACTGCAGTAGTGACAAACTACGCAAGGACCATATTGACAGATGTAAATTAAACAATTATTATTGTAGCAGTATGGTCCAGAGGCCACCGATAATGAGCCATAGATTGTTCGATTCCAGGTTCCATAATACTTATTATTATCATAGATAAAAAGTTTACCTTTTTTTTCATTTTAAAATAAAACAATAGATTTTTAAACTTGCGTTTACCTATGGTATGGTAACCAAAGAATAAAGCGCACATTTTTAAATCCACTCTAATATTAGTGAATAATTATTAGTCAGCAAATTAGTGCATTAAAACGTTAATAAAACTAATAACTCATTAAACATGTTTCAGATTATACAATGTGGTGTAAAAACTGGCACAGAATCATTATATATATTTGATATAGTTATTTCTGAACCAAGGCTCAAAGTGTAATTTCCGACGGCAAAAGTTATTGCATTTTTTCCTGTATCATGTATGTGTTCAGTCTAATGTATACAACTGCTTAATTTAAGATTCAAACATTAAAGCAATAATAATTAAGTAATTTCCCACTTTTAAATCCATGATGTATATATTATTTTTCCTATAATCCTGCGCCACTTCAGCTGAAATCGAACGGGTTGAAAAGGCTTTGTCGTCTGCTCCTGTTGTCTCCTCCTCCTCTGCCTCTGCGTCTTCTGCTATTATTCTGCTGCAGCAGCTGCAGTAGCTCGTTAGTCGTTAGCTTTAGCTTAGGTGGATAACTGATGGCGGATGAAAAGTGTCTTATTTCTTTTAACATTTTAATATTTTGACTGTAAACCTCTTTAAATTTGATTCCAAAACCTTAACAACAAATTTTAACGCAGTAAGCAAGAAGTTCGTTTCAGACTTGTTGGTAAACAAGTAAAGTTTCAAATTATAAATTCTTTTTAACTCTATCAATATTTTTTGTTACGAACATCTCGTCGTTGAATGTTCTAAGTGCTGTAAGTTGATTTCTAGACAAAAGTTACAGGATATGATGCCATCAAACCCGTACATTTGTGGGGATGGCGGTGGAAGCAGCGAGTGTGGATTAGGTGATGGAAATCCTCAAACTCGAAATCCACTTCTCTGCTATGTTTGTAATGACTACTACACTGAACCGTGTTTACTTGCATGCTATCACACTTTCTGTGCGAGATGTTTGAGAGGAAGAGTTATTGATGGAAAAATAACCTGTCCACTATGCAGGTAAATAACCTTTCCAGCTAGACAACTTAAGTATAATATTTAACAAATACCCTACACCAAACTAGTCCTATTGTGTTAGGAGTTCAAAAACCTTTTGCTTATTGAGACACATTAAAGGCGGTGACACACTATATCGATCTTTTCAGGGAGAAGGGAGGTAATTATCAGCAAAATTTCAATCCGGACATTTCCCCGAACAAGAGCAAGACCAGACTAGTTCTACCGAGCACGGCAAAAGCGAGTTTAGAGAGAGATGGAGAGCACGGAGGCAGTAATGTAATAAAACAGTAATTAAATATGAAATAACTTGTTACAGAATGATCATTAATACTTTAGTACTTTTAATACTAAATGGCGACCATACAAAGTAGGTATTTTAAGCCAAGTATGAATGGAGATGAGTGTAGGATGAGTGGCGCGATCTTGTAGTCTTGTTAGTGACTAATGCCGACATTCCTTAGACACAGCTGTTAATTAATAGCCCATAGGCCTACAGCTAATGGCAACTAAGGGACCTACAGTATATAGTGGAATCCGAACCACATTTTTGCCTTGGTATGTACGAATTGGTCTAATTATCAGGATGGTACTGCAGATAGTCGTAGTACTCATTTGTGCGGACCTTAATCCACACCAGGGAGTATTGCATCCACAGTGCATGTCTATAAATATCCACAATTCGTAACCTCCTAGTAGCAGGATTACAGGACGACACCACCCGTCCCAGTCAATTAATTGCCTTTAATAATATTATTGTTTATATTATTTTGAAAGAATTTAAGTATAACATCAATTACTGTACTTAATTATAGTTAAACATAATTGATATAATTTATTTAACGGATTCAACTTGTAAAATACATGTTCATTGTTCATCATAGACCAAACAAACCACAAAATTACAACATAGGGCCTAAATGAAATTTCTATAATATATAACGGTAAAATATTACCCAATATTTATTAATTTTACAAATTAATCAGTTTAATTTAATTTCCATATTAAATAAGAACTAGGCCTATCAACGCTAAAGCAGGCGGCCGCTCGGTGCAGCGCTAGCGACGGTGTACGGGGCAAAAATATACCGTGACACACTATCGTACATCACTCCGTACATCGGACCGATCTTTTCTTTGATCTTTCCCCAAAAAACCGCCTCTAGAACACTCGTCTCCTTGCTCGGCCTAATGTCTGGTTCGCCGTCTGCATCGGTGTACGGACCCCTGACACACTATGGAACATGCTCCCTTCGACCTCCCTTCCCCCTTCTCCCTGCTCGGTTCGGGGTCTTGTTTGGTGAAAAGATCGATAGTGTGTCACCCTCTTAGGCTAAATATCAACAATATTCAGTGCAATTCAGTTGGAATACATTTAATACAGTTATAGGGCCTACAATTATATCATAAATTGATTACAATTTGTATATAGCCTACTGTGGCGGTTCTAGGACCTTGTCAAGGAGGGGGCCTACTGGGGGCTTGGTGGGTGTGGAGCCCCCCCCCCCCCCCCAATAAAGCAGGGGGTCCAAGCCTTCAAGCCATGAGTTGAACTGACTTTCTATAGCCATTTTTAACACCTAAAACCGTGCCAAATTGACCATAAACTCCCATTTCACCTGTTGTTTGTCTTGAGCAAATAGACATTTAAACAATTCAAATATGACGATTGCATTCATGAATTTCAAAACACACTGTAGACTACGGCCATATCCTCCTAAAAGCCGTTGGGTGACTTTCTACAGCCAGTTTTAACGTCTAGAACTGTGTGCAAAACCTCCCATTTCCCCATTTATTTGTCATGAATAAGAAGATATTTTTAAAACTAACTACGACGATTGCATTCATAAATCGCAAAACATATTGTAGGCTATGACCATATCCTCCTAAAAGCTTTTTACTGACTTTCTAAAGCTATTATTAATGTGTATATCTGTGTCCAACTGTCCAAAAACCTCTCATTTCACCTGTTATTTGTCTTTGTCATGAGCAAGTAGAGATTTTAACGACACACTTGCATTAATGAATTTCAAAACAATGGTAGGCAAACTGTAGACTATGAAGCCATATCCCCTATAAGCCGTTTGGTGACTTTATAAAGCCCTATCTCTATCGGCAAGAACTGTGCCCAATTGTCCTAAAACCTTCCATTTCACCTTTTATGTCATTCAAGCAAGTAGATACATTTTTTAACCTTATGTTTTCCTCCATTTCATAGATCTGTCACAATATGTATAGTAGGCCTATTGAATTCAGTAATAGAATTGACTATATAAATTTTAACACTAGTGTTGTTTATATAGTCAATGGTAATTGCTACTGGTGCTACCGCTTGCTGATTGATGCCTGTGTAAAGTTAGTGAAATGAAATGAAATGAAAAATGAAATGAAAAAGTGCTTTATTGTACAAATTACATAATAGTCTACCTCCATATGTACAACATATACAACACTAACTTGCACATAAAATAAAATACATAGGTACTGCTAAAATAAAAACCTAACACTTATTAAACAATGGTCAATGTTGACCGTCTGTTTGGTTGGCAACATACATACCTTCTCCTTACCAAACAAAAAAAAAACAATTCCAACAGTACAGTAATATAAAAGAAAATACCCCCGCCGCAGCAAACCTGCCGACTAAGCGAATTTCCATTTGTCCGAATTGATTTTCAGTTAAATATATTTTAATAACATTAGGTTTAACGAGTACCTAGGTTTGGTGCTACAAGGAAACTAATAAAGTGTGTTTTTGAGTAAAATGTTGATAGCTTAGTACAAAATAAATAAATTTGCCAAGTTTGATCAAAATATATCCATAAACAAGCAAAATACAACATTTGACAATATTCTCCATAAGAATAACATGGGAATTTTAAATTTACAATTTTTTAAATTTTCTCCGTTACTAATAATCGAACAAAAATACTGTTATATACTAAATTATTTGTTTTTTTAAGCTCTTTAAAAAGGTCTAAAGAGAAATCGGGAAATTTTGTGTTTTGAGGGTCAAAAGTGAGAAAAACCAATTTTTACCCCATAAAACCCCCCGTAAAGCCCCGTTCCCATGGTCCGATCGTGCTGGTTTGCGAACTCATTCAAGTTTATCCCGCTTTACACCTTTAAACCAAATTTCATCAAAATCGGACAAAAATTACTCAAGTTATCGCGTTCACGGACGTATATATATATATATATATATATATATATATATATAAGTCTATATATATATATATATAAGTCTATATATATATACATATATAAAAATTTGAACGAATGGTGTTTTTGGCCTCTGGGGACATCAAAATGAAAAAGTAAATCGGTCCCGGGTCTAGGTCTTACCGTGCCACCTACGGTAATAGCTACTTCCCTATAGGGAAATTCGCTAAAAAAACAATAATTTATACACTTTTAACTTCATTTACAAAAATATTTTTTTTTATATATATACATAAGGAAAAAATAAATAAGTAACGTCTAACTATGGTATATGCAGCAGAGAGTCGTATTAAAAATTAAATTCTTGGATTAAATCCCATCTATAAAACCAAGCCTCCCTTAAAAATTTACAGAAAAAACTCCAATCCTCCCCATTTAAATATGAAATAAACTCAGCTTGAGCCAAGAAATGTCTACCCAACCATTTAAATCTGTGTAAAGTTAGTGGCTATCAGACAATTTGACAACCAACTATGGAACATCAGGAAATCAGCTGTTTCCCCGTCCCCGCTCGGCACTCGCCTTTGCCCTAGCATGTCAATAGCTGACTGCTGTAAAAAATAGATGATGCGTACAACTTTCCATAGTGTAATATTGTTTTATTTGTTGTGCTATTTTCCACTAAGTTTATCTATGTAGAACTAATACTACTCCTGCCATCGCTTATTAAGTTTAATAAAAACAACATTGATGTCTGTTTTATTAGGCCGGCCACACACAGAACCAGGCGGGTCGGGGCGCGACAGGGCACGACGAGACGCCTGACTTAAGCCCTGTCTTGTTGCTGTCACACACAGAATGAGGCAGGACACGTCAAGTAAAAAGTTTAGCCCCCATAAAGCTGAAAATTAATATGGGATTTTTTATTTCTGAGCCTTGAGAAGATTTGACTTTATACTTGGGAGCAGAATAGAAAACAAAATTTAAAGTCATACCTCCAGAGGGGTGGTTTTTGAAACCCTTAAGATATGAACGTTGGCCCTCTCTTTCCTCAGTTATCAATACCAAGATAAATTATTAGTTATTCAACTACTGTAGTAATATCATCACTAGTCTGTAGTCTTATCAAAGGGTGTAATCTTTGGTCGTATAAATTGTTACAGTCTTGTATGTAAATTGAATCAGTTGTAAAATGATCCTTATCAAAATTAGCCTTTAAGGGAATAAATCACATGACCGCGCATGCGCAGAAAGTTTTGCCCGGCAGCGACTTGCCTCGGGGCATAATTTTGGAGACCTTCGCATTTTGCCCTGAGGGCGCCCGGGGGCGTCTTTTCGACGTGCCCTGCCTCGCCCGGTCCTGTGTGTGGAGCTCCATAAGCGCTTGTGCAATTCCCGTCGCACAAGACGCCCCGGGGCAAAATGCCCTGTCGCGCCCCGCCTTGCCTGGTTCTATGTGTGGCCGGCCTTATGTTTAAATTTATTTCTCCAGGGTCCAAGGGGGGCTTTAGCCCCTGTAGCCCCCCCCCCCTTGGAACCGCCACTGATAGCCTATTTCATAACAATAACATGGACATATAATTAATGAACTCATAAAGCTTATGGTATGAAGCTGTGAAGAATCAATTGGCACATAGTTTTTTGTGATATGTGAAGGAATTATAAATTTGCAAAATTATTATTAAGTTATTACTGTTATTTTTGTTAGGCCAACACTTTTGCATTGAGACATTGTAATTGAAATATTAAATCTATTCCGTAATACTACCGTATATAAAAATTAGACAACAAATGTCAATGCTGTCAAGTCATTTATTTTGTTTTGTGAACAATATTTTTAACTCAACATTTTTTTGCACACAACTTATGATTTTTTCAGAAATCAGTTGCAATTTTGTACAAGTGTGTTAGAATTTTGAGGGGATTATGTTTGTGTATTGGATAAAAAACAGAATTCTGCAAGAACAAAGGTAAAAGGCCTAAACAAGGTAAATAATTCAATTTTCTAGTACTTGCCACTCGGAAAATAAATAAAACAAATTTCATAGCCTATCAAATTGTATATTGGGTAGCAATAGTGATGTCACTTTGGGTAGGCTAACATATATTCTAGCGTCTTGGGGTCCTGGTCAAAAACCAATGAGGACCTCTTTTGCGAAGGAGTGGGGGGGCGTGATGTCACTTTCTTCTCTTGAGGGAACACCAATACGGCAATGATACGAAGTACTGCCATTTGGTGATCGTGGTGTAGTGGATAGAGTATTTAGCTCATGTCCATGGACAGGATCGAATCCCACCGGTGACACTAACTTTTTGAGAAAGATTTTGCTTAGAATGTGATTACTTGTTAACTGAATATCTTTAGTTAGAATTTGATGCATTTATAATTTTATTTTATGAACAGAACTATTTTTTCGATTAGTAAACCTTTATTTGATTTTTATCTTATATCTCTTTTATATTATCAGCAAGTTTGGTTAGTTATGTAAGGTTATGAAAGTTAAACTTAAAATTAAAATTAATTTTTATAATTTTTCTTAAACTGACGTGAGGGGCTCTCCCGTAATCCCCCCCTCCTTCGCACTTGGTTCTCATTGGTTTTTGACCAGCCGCCTGAGACAGGCCTATTATTGTAATCAATCTTATGTTATTCCAGCCAATCCACCCAGCTAAAGGACAATTCCTCAGTTCCACAAACAGATCTACTGATGCGTCAGCTGATAGAGCTGTACAATGCAGAGAACCCTCCCTGTGCCAATTGCGATAAGCGTGATCGCTCCTCCATGTACTTCTGCAGCACTTGCGGTCAGTTGTTGTTTTAAACCAAATTGAAATTTGGGTCAAACTAAATTAAAATAATAAGCCTATAGTAACAAATTTAATTATGAGAATAATAATTACTTATAATTCTTGTAATTGAAATAAAATGGCTACCATACGAAAATAAGTACTTTAAGACAAATGAATGGAGATGAGTGTAGGATGAGTGGCACGATCTTGTAGTCTTCTTACATAGGTACTGACTGACTAAGGATGTTCCATAGACAGGTCTGTTAATTTAACACATTCGCTGCGATGGGTCCCCAGTGACGCATGGCGTGCCGTGGCACGAGACGGCTGCGTCACCGGGGACACAGCATGCAATGCATTGTTTGCCCAGTTAATATGGCTCAGGATCTAGCTGAGGACGGTTGGTACACGTTAGTATTGTAATTAACGAATTGGTCTAATTTTGAGGATAGTACTGTGGATAGTCGTAGTACTCACTAGTGCGGACGTTAATCCACACCAGGGAGCAACGCATCCACAGTGCATGCTTATAACCCTCCGAGTGTCATGCGTCGCTGCAGCGACTCACGAACACTGTTTACGGCAAAGGCTCTATGACTGACTGAATCGGATTGAACTGGATCGAGTTAGGTATCGTTCTTTTCGTTAAATTATAAGCTTTCTCCAGAGGTCTGTCTCAGCGCTGTAGGTTCTCCAAGCCGATCGTAATTGTAGCAGACAGCTGACGTGCGTATTTGTAAACAGTTTGGTTATCCTCGGACCGATGACTGATGTGTTTTATTACGTTTATCATTGTTTTAGTGTTAAAAATCAAAAGTAGTGATATACGTGGTGCATTATAAGAAGATTTAAGTGATTTTGAAGGGCTGGTTGATGATCCTGAAGAAGTAGGTAGTGATATTGATGTAAATTATCAGCCAGATTCCTAGCTATGGTTAGGCTATGCATTCTTAGCTAAACGCAATGTACTGAAATCTGTTTTTCACTCATAACTTATTTATTTGATAACTTACCTCACTATATGATTATATATTTGTAATCCTCATAAAATGTAGAACAAAGTGGCTATTTTCAAATATTTATAGGCCTACAATTTATACAATTTCATTGAGCGCGAACTTATTATTTTTTTTGAACATTTTCCAAAATATTTTTTTTTTACCTAAAAAAATTTTTTTAAACAAATGTTCCTTATGTTTTATATATAATATTGAAGCCCATGATTTTCCAAACAAAATGGTATATAGAACAGTATAATTAACATTGTTTTTAAGCTTCTCAGATCCGTTTTAATAAAACCTTGCAAATGAGCTAAAAATAGGCAGACATTAAGGCCAAAACAAGGGACACTCGGAGGGTTATATATCCACAATTCATGACCTCCTAGTAGCTGGATTACAGGATGACGCCTCCGTCCCAGACTAACTGAAAAAAAGGCTATTTCTGTGTCTTAACTTGGGCTAACCTGAGATGGCATAGACGATGGGGGTGGCATAGACGAGTGGTCTACATGGTGTTATCAGCTAAACACAAAATTTTGAAAATATTAAGAGATTCATCAAGCCCATTTGAATCAAGAAGTACACCCATCTTTGTTTATTAATTTGTCTTTCCGTGGTGAGGAAAGTCACCACCAAAGGGTCCTATTTTTATCATAGTTTGGTGTGTGTGAAGAATCAACCTATCTGTGACAAAGATAAATAATAGACAACTAAATAAATTTACACCAATTTCTCCAAGGGGCAAGTCGAGGTCCTAAGGCGCTTTATCCAGATGTGTCGGATTGTCAACCAAAGACCTTAGGGACTAAAGTCTCTCTACCAATCGACCACAGCTTGCACCTCACCAATAACCCATGCTTCATCTGTTTCTTTAGCACCAAACATGAACAGCATGATGCCTTGCCTATGGGATTAAATTCCTCAAATTAAAAAATTCTAACTTTTTCTATCTTAGCATGTAAATTAGTATTTTTATTGTATCCAAATTTGTTATTCAAAAGCAATATTTTGTTACGTTTTTGTTCAATCTAACCTCTGGCAGATATGTTAAAAAAAAACTATTCAATTACCGGTACATCACACAACTCAGGTAATAATCAGATGTAAATTTAATGTAAAAGTAACAATAATGTGCGATAAAGTTTGATTTGATGCCAGTATGCCTATATGTTATTTAATCATATTCTCATTACAGGCCAGGCTTTATGCAACCAATGTCGGGAAAACACACATCGAGCAAAGATGTTCTCTACTCATGACATTGTTCACATGTCTAAATGCTCAAAGGAAGTGCATAGGAGGGTGAGTGTCCCAAAACTTGTAAATAAAACCTTAAAATGTTTTATCCACCAAGTTTTAACTGGTGGAATACTTATACAGTACTGATCATTTCATATTTAATGAGATTTTTTGTTAATGAGATAGAACAAATAGTAGAGAAGAAACAAGCAAACTCTTAGTCTGAAACAGCTGATCAAATTTGTTTATTATCTTCCTTTATTTACAACTGTTATTATTAAGCCCAAAAGAGCATTTGTAGAAGAATTTTATGATTATTATATCAATTAGGGATCCAAAAAATTAGATTTGTTGAGGCCTGTTTTTGGGTGGAGTGCCCCCTTAAATTTTTTCCGAGATCCAAAGTTGAATTTTACAAACTATTTTATATATTAAGAAGCCTAAGAATGTATAGTAGAGATGTAAGTTGATAGGTTTTTATCAAGTTTTATACTATCCATTAAATTTATTTGCTTTATCTCATTTTTTAAATACTCCCGTGTGTAAATATCCAATACTCGCTATAGTTCGACACTCCATTAGTCCACAAAGTGTCGAGCTATGGAGGTTCTACTGTATCACATAATATTGAAAGAAACGATTGGTGTCTCTGCAGTGTTCTGTCCACGGAGAGCAGTACATCATGTTCTCCATGTCCCAGCGCAACATGTTGTGTGTCAATTGTTTCCGAGACACTCCTGCCGAGGCTAGGCTTCATTGTGTGGATATAGACACTGCTTACACTCAGTGCTCCAAGAAACTTGAATCCTCACTTCTGGTAATTATCAGAGTAAAGTATGCTTGCTTATTAATTAATGCTTAGTATGCTTTATTGTGCTTAGTATGCTTGCCTATTAATAATATTGGCATACCTAGCAAATATGTAGTCTAACACTCTATACTTGTAGGCTATATCCTTAACAATATATGCTGACCTATTCCAACTTCAGGAGTAGGTTTTTTTTTCATTAAAGGAAGTTTTAATGAGTTCATTCAGTTTCTCTTCTGTATTTTCCATGGCCTACCTGTACTTCTTCAAGCTAGCTGCTATCCTCCTTATTCTTAAAATAAAAAAATTCAGACTGCACAAGTTTAAGTCATAAGCATAAAATAAAATCATAGAGATGAATAGTTTTTTGCATGATAATTTATACTGCAGTAAGGTTGTTCAGTGATCGGACGGTATCGAAAAATTCAATGCATGGTTACCGTTTCTTGGGAAAAGTACTTATTCAAAGAACAAAAAATGTTGGTACTGGTAATTCGGTACCAACAGGGCTCAGGCCTATGGGCGGCACAGTTATGAGATGATAGCTGCGTTCCGTGGCATCTGATGAATTGGTGAGTGGCAACAGAAATAGCAATCTTCTGTGGGCTGGTGCGGTGAGCTATTATACAGTAGGGTGGGGTGTCAGATATGTAAATCTGTCTCTGATAGCTCCAGCAAGTTTTGGGAAAGGGGTGCCAAAATGGGAAATTGTACTGGTAGAGATTTACCATCAGTAGGTCCTGGTCAAAGTAAAGGGAAGTAAGTGTGTAATTTAGAGCTTCAAGAGGAAGGATGCAAAAACTTTACAACCATGGAGGTTTCCAAAATAGCAAGTCCAAGTGCTCTACTGCGTTTTCACAACCGTCCAAAAAAATGTTATTGGATGATCTTTACTTCATAACTGAGAGTTATAATTGTGTAATTGCTGCTTACAGTCAGTAAGAGATATCCAGACGTCGGTGCATGAGGGAGTGATGGCTTATCGTAATCTGCTGGAAGAACTTCAACGGAACACAGACGCCGAGAAGATGACGATCCACTCGTTCTCTCAAGGGATGCAAGAAGCTATCAACAAGACTCAGTCATCCATGGTATTGGAAGTTCAAAGGTTAGCAAACCACAGCAGCTGTGAATAGTAATGTGACAATTTTAAAATTCATATTTAAAAAAACTAAAGTAATTGAGTGTTTGGTAAGTCAGTGGTTCAGGCGGTAAAGTGAATCCTATGGTTCGTTTCTTGGTGCTATCACTTATTTTTATCAGTACAGTTCATTCTCCTACTGTCTGGGCTCACCCCTTGCTTCGCTTGACAATTGGGTACTTTGGTATTATACCGACCACACCTAATAATTATAAACTAATCTAACCTTACCTAAGGATGGTTGGGTTAGGTGAGGTTAGGAAGATTTTGTCATTTAAACTAATTTAAATATTATTTGGATGACGATTTATCGTTGTGGTTGGTATAGTACCAAAGTACTGATGGTTGATACATTCTATGCACAGGGGTTGAAAACTTCTGTTTAGAAGTATATTTTCTGTGTTTATTAATTATGATCCAATTACCTAACTGCAACTAGCTGCCTTGGTCATTTGACATTAATTGTGACCTGGCTGAAGAATCTGGTGTCCTTAGTGTGTGGGGGGAGCGTTGGACTTCAGACCCTGAGGTCCCAGGTTCAAATTTCCCCAATTGCCAATGGATTTTATCTAAGTGATCATGCCGCAACACCTAGGTCTAGCCTGAAGTAATATGCAAAACAATCCCAGGCTCGTACCTAGCGTAGGACGAAAAAAGTGTGTTACACACCTTTCATGCAGTATGTATTAAAAAAGAAATGGATCCAAACAATTTTTAAAAAATATTGAAAGAGTTTTTTATAAATTTAGCAATTTATTCTTTTGAAGATTTTACACCTCCCTAAGTTGCTATGATGGTTGACATTATCTTACTAGATTTATAATATGTATTTTGTTGTTTTTATCCTGTTGAACCTGTGTGATTATTTTGATAATTTTTACTGTACAATGTGCATAAAAATGAATACAGATATTTGATTTGATATATTCTATTCCTCCAATTCATCTTTTTCAATTATGCAACATAAGTGTTCGAAATAAAAGGAAATTAAAACCCTTCTTCATTAAGGCGAAATAAGAACCTAATGGTCCTGCCTTACAGTTATCTACTTACAGTTACAGCACAGTTTTTGAACAGTACTTGTAACCAGTGATTCGATGTACTGTATATTTTGGTTGTTACAGGCAGTTTGAGGGTAAGGAACGTCTGTTCAAGAACAGCTTAGTGGCGTTGAGTACAGTGTTGCCTATTCTACACATGCACCTGCTTCTCTGCCAGAGTTTCATGACCTCTGCCAACAAGTTCCAATTCCTTGACCTTGCTTATCCGATGATGGATCGACTCTCATCCGTGTCTCAGCTATCCCAGCCCCTCAGGTAAGTATTGATAAGTAAACGTAAATGTAATCTATTTGTTGGGAAAGCCATGAGGCAATTTAGGAAGTTTTATTTCTGAGAAAATTAAACTTTTTTCCCTCAATTATCCGACAGATAACTAGCCGGGAGGGTGCTGGATTTTTAAGATTGCTTTGTTTTAATGCACTTGATCAAGATTAAATATGACTATTATTTTCCAATGTGGTAGTATTAACTATTATGCACTAGCTGGCCTGACCTAATGTAGTTTTATGTCAAATGCTTGTTCATTAACAAGATGAGCTCGTTGGCATCGCTCAATCACGTCCTGATTGAAGTTCGTTCGCTATGCTCTCCTATTGGTTGGAGATCGTTCGCTGAGCTCACTCGCCTTTAGGTTAAGCTCGTTCGCTAGCACTAAGGAACACAACAAAAAAAGAATTATCTATTTCGGTGCACTATTCTCGAGTTATGGAATGCCATCAAAAAAGGGATTCATTTTTATCCTATACTCTAATACGAGCAATGTTTGCTTGTATGTATGTATGCTTGCTTGCTTGCAAAAAAGATCTCGAATACGGCTCCGACGATTTTCTTCAAATGTTGTAAATAGTTTATTTCTGGCCTAAAAACGAGTTTACTGCAGTTAGAACTGCCAACAAAAATCGAATTACGTAGAAAAATGAAACTGAAAATCACATTTTTTAACATTAGTCTTATGGGTTGCTAGGTAACCATGTTGGCTGAATTAAATAACAAGGAAAAAGTAAACAAAAGACTTGAAGTTGTGGCATGTGTTCGTAATAAGCCAACTACCCACAGTATACTAGCAAATTATAAATACAGTACAAAAGGAAAATAATCCCTTGTTAATATTTAGCAAAGATTATACTGAAGATTACTCGATATTATTGTAGTCAAGGGTAGCAGTGCGAAGTCTGGGATCTGTTTATGACGATTAGATTATGGTATCTGCAATCCTAAATTGCTATGGGAAGGGAAGGAAAAAGGTCCGCGACGTAGGGAGAGGTGAAGGAAGTAGTAAAGGCAATCATAAAATGCTATGGGAATAGAGGGAAACAGGTCCGTGACGTAGGAAGTGATAAGGAAGTAATAAAGGCGAGCGGTCCGGAGTGTGGGGACTGTTTATGACGATAAGATTAGGGTATGGGCAATCCTAAAATGCTATTAGAAGGGAGGGAAACAGGTCCGTGACGTAGGAAGTGGTGAAGGAAGTAGTCAAGGCGAGTAGTCCGGAGTTTGGGAACTGATTATGACGATTAGATTAAGGTATCTGCAATCCTAAAATGCTATTAGAAGGGAGGGAAACAGGTCCGCGACGTAGGAAGTGGTGAAGGAAGTAGTCAAGGCGAGCTGTCGGTAATGTGGGAACTTTTTATGACGATTAGATAAGGGTAAGGAAAAACCTAAAATGCTATGGGAAGAGAGGGAAACAGGTCCGTGACGTCGGAAGTGGTGAAGGAAGTAGTCAAGGCGAGCTGTCCGGAGTGTGGGAACTGTTTATGACGATTAGATTAAGATATTTGCAATCCTAAAATGCTATGGGAAGGGATGGAAACAGGTCCGCGACGTAGGAAGTGGTAAAGGAAGTAGTCAAGGCGAGTAGTCCGGAGTGTGGGAACTGATTATGACGATTAGATTATGGTATCTGCAATCTTTAAATATAATGGGAAGGGAGGTAAACAGGTTTGCGACGTAGGAAGTGGTGAAGGAAGTAGTCAAGGCGAGCTGTCCGGAGTGTGGGAACTGTTTATGACAATTAGATAAGGGTATGGGCAATCCTAAAATGCTATGGGAAGGGAGGGAAATAGGTCCGCGACGTAGGAAGTGGTGAAGGAAGTAGTCAAGGCGAGCTGTCCGGAGTGTGGGAACTGTTTATGACGATTAGATTAAGGTATCTGCAATCCTAAAATGCTATGGGAAGGAAGGAAAACAGGTCCGCGACGTAGGAAGTGGTGAAGGAAGTAGTCAAGGCGAGCTGTCGGTAATGTGGGAACTTTTTATGACGATTAGATAAGGGTAAGGGAAAACCTAAAATGCTATGGGAAGAGAGGGAAACAGGTCCGTGACGTAGGAAGTGGTGAAGGAAGTAGTCAAGGCGAGTGGTCCAGAGTGTGGAAACTGTTTATGACGATTAGATTAAGGTGTCTGCAATTCTGAAATGCTATGGGAAGGGAGGAAAACAGGTCCGCTATGTTGGAAGTGGTGAAGGAAGTAGTCCATGCGAGCTGTCCAGAGTGTGGGAACTGTTTATGACGATTAGATTAAGGTATTTGCAATCCTGAAATGCTATGGGAAGGGAGGAAAACAGGTCCGCGACGTAGGAAGTGGTGAAGGAAGTAGTCAAGGCGAGCTGTCGGTAATGTGGGAACTTTTTATGACGATTAGATAAGGGTAAGGGAAAACCTAAAATGCTATGGGAAGAGAGGGAAACAGGTCCGTGACGTAGGAAGTGGTGAAGGAAGTAGTCAAGGCGAGTGGTCCAGAGTGTGGGAACTGTTTATGACGATTAGATTAAGGTGTCTGCAATTCTGAAATGCTATGGGAAGGGAGGAAAACAGGTCCGCTATGTTGGAAGTGGTGAAGGAAGTAGTCCATGCGAGCTGTCCAGAGTGTGGGAACTGTTTATGACGATTAGATTAAGGTATTTGCAATCCTGAAATGCTATGGGAAGGGAGGGAAACAGGTCCGCGACGTAGGAAGTGTTGAAGGAAGTAGTCAATGTGAGCTGCCTGGAGTGTGGGAACTGTTTATGACGATTAGATTAAGATATTTGCAATCCTAAAATGCTATGGGAAGGGAGGGAAACAGGTCCGCGACGTAGGAAGTGGTAAAGGAAGTAGTCAAGGCGAGTAGTCCGGAGTGTGGGAACTGATTATGACGATTAGATTATGGTATCTGCAATCTTTAAATATAATGGGAAGGGAGGTAAACAGGTTTGCGACGTAGGAAGTGGTGAAGGAAGTAGTCAAGGCGAGCTGTCCGGAGTGTGGGAACTGTTTATGACAATTAGATAAGGGTATGGGCAATCCTAAAATGCTATGGGAAGGGAGGGAAACAGGTCCGAGACGTAGGAAGTGGTGAAGGAAGTAGTCAAGGCGAGCTGTCCGGAGTGTGGGAACTGTTTATGACGATTAGATTAAGGTATCTGCAATCCTAAAATGCTATGGGAAGGAAGGAAAACAGGTCCGCGACGTAGGAAGTGGTGAAGGAAGTAGTCAAGGCGAGCTGTCGGTAATGTGGGAACTTTTTATGACGATTAGATAAGGGTAAGGAAAAACCTAAAATGCTATGGGAAGAGAGGGAAACAGGTCCGTGACGTCGGAAGTGGTGATGGAAGTAGTCAAGGCGAGTGGTCCGGAGTGTGGGAACTGTTTATGACGATTAGATTAAGGTGTCTGCAATTCTGAAATGCTATGGGAAGGGAGGAAAACAGGTCCGCTATGTTGGAAGTGGTGAAGGAAGTAGTCAATGCGAGCTGTCCAGAGTGTGGGAACTGTTTATGACGATTAGATTAAGGTATTTGCAATCCTGAAATGCTATGGGAAGGGAGGAAAACAGGTCCGCGACGTAGGAAGTGGTGAAGAAAGTAGTCAAGGCGAGCTGTCCGGAGTTTGGGAACTGTTTATGACGATTAGATTAAGGTTTTTGCAATCCTAAAATGCTATGGGAAAGGAGGGAAACAAGGTCCGCGACTTAGGAAGTGGTGACGGAAGTAGTCAAGGCGAGTAGTCCGGAGTGTGGGAACTGTTTATGACGATTAGATTATAAGGTATCTGCAATCTTTAAATGCAATGGGAAGGGAGGGAAACAGGTTTGCGACGTAGGAAGTGGTGAAGAAAGTTGTAAAGGCGAGTAGTATGGAGCGTGGGAACTGTTTATGACGATTAGATTAAGGTGTCTGCAATTCTGAAATGCTATGGGAAGGGAGGAAAACAGGTTCGCTACGTTGGAAGTGGTGAAGGAAGTAGTCAATGCGAGCTGTCCAGAGTGTGGGAACTGTTAATAACGATTAGATTAAGGTATCTACAATCCTAAAGTGCTATAGGAACGGAGGGAAACAGGTCCATGACGTAGGAAATGGTGTAGGGCGTAGTAAAGGCGAGCCGTGTGGAGGTTGGGAATGGATTTATGTATCTCCAATACTAAGACTGCTTTCAGAGTGAACTAATGATTTTCCCCGAGCAAAGCTCGGTCCCCAGGTACTTAATATAGATTTGAAATAATTAGCAAATGAGCCACTATCTTGAGTAGATTGTGTGCTTCCACCCTCTATTTTTACTAACTATGGTTTTATTTCAGGATTTATTGTTAGGTTTGACTAATAAACATTACAGTTCTCGTAGTTTTTGTTTTGTAATTTTTATCTTTAGTTTGTGAACTATTCTTGCCATATATTAATACTTTCTCATGTTAGGAGAGAATCAAATTCCAGATCCCAAAACACCGCGACAACTTTACCAACCGTGATGGAAATGTCCGTGATAATTCCTTAAATAACATATAGGCCTATTTTTTATTGTATGTACGGGGAACGAGCTGGTCAAGTGGTTAGAGCGCGGGACTTCGGTCCGAGAGGTCCCAGGTTCAAATTTTATCTAAATGATATTGCCGCAACCCCTAGGTCTAGTCTGAAGTAATGTGAAAAACAATTTCAGGCTCGTGCCTAGCGCTCTAGGTAAAAAAAAAAATGTATTGTATAAAAATGTATTTTAATTTTATGTTATAGTCGTTTGAGAAAAATGTATTTATTTGTATTTGAGAGAAATGTCTATAAAATTGGAGATGTATGTAAAATAAATAAACTCACCAACTACCAAAAATGAACTTCAAACAAAGAAATGTAGTAATATACCATTGTTGTTAATGTTTCAGACCGGTTCAGTCCGCACAGATCCGCACCAACTACAGATCAGAGTTCGCTCACAGTCTGGAGCCGTGGATTGGTAAACTGGCAGCATCTCACCATCAACACCCCCATCCCCCACCTCGCCCTCCTCCTGAAAACCAGCCCCACTCTACAGGTCAGAAACTACTACAATACTAAAATATATATTTGAAAGCATAAAAAAGACTTACAAATATTGTGTCACTCAAATACAAGTTTACTAAAACAATCTCATTGTAGTGCATTGGTCCTACTTATGTTAAAAGCGCTTAGTTTAGAAAAGAAAAACATCAGTTTTGTTAATATCCTTAACTATACCCCATTCACAACATTTATGTGATTTTAGGGGAAGAAATCTATCCCCTCCACTTGAACCTACTTTTTAAAATAATAGCTCAACAGCTGAGGTTTGCCAAAATATAAATCAGCTGCACCATATATATTAGGTAAAAAAAGTAGTGGGGGAACTTCCCCCTCGAACCGTCGAAATTTTGTGAACGGAGTATAAACCACATTTTTAGTAAAGGCTAGCTCATGTCAAAAGAAAACATTTATCTCATGACCAATTCTATGATTCTGAGTGGCTATTACCTTAATTAGGACTAGTGGAATCTATACAGTAGGCCAACCACATGACTGTGTTAAAAGTAAAAGCCTACTGAATAGTTCCCACATGTCCTAGCTTCCTAATAATAATGGATTTTCTTTCAAAGTATAAGAGTAAGTAAGCATACATTGTTTAGGGCAAGGAAGTGGAGGTGGTGAAGGAACGAGTTTGCCATCCTCAGGAACAGTCCCTCCCCTCCACCCACCCAGCCGCAAGCAACACTCGGCACTCAAGGCCAAGGCACTCGAGGGGGAAGGTCCATTTTCCAACCACTGTCGCAGCTTCGACACTCAGATGAAGGTCAGTTTGATAATATCTTCTCGATTCCGATATAAGACTACAGTTATACTTGGCAACTCGGTTGTCACCACCTGGTTGCTTCAACAAAGAATAAAAATACCCCCGCCACAGCAAAACTGCAGACTTAGCGAATTTACATTTACCTGGCTAATTCTACTAAAATATTCCCTTAAAGTCATTAGATTATTTCCTATTCAAATAACAAGAGTTTCATCCCATGAGTAAAATATGTCTACATTTATTCAAGTAATTGAGTATTAGGCAGTTCTTCCAGCGGTCATTTGGGCAAACTGCAGTGAGAAATCTGGTTTTTATTTTGCTGGGATCACAGTTTCTGCCTCTATTAATAAGGATTCACATTATTTGTGGTTTTATGTTTTTTCAATTCTTTCTGTAAGCGGATGATTGGCAATTTGGTTGATTAGGGTTTGCATAATTAGAGTTCTACAGTACTGGTAAAAAAACAAAATTACATTTGTTGAAATAATCTTGATGATAATTTCTCAAATATATAATCAGATAATTGTTAAATAGAATAATAGTGAACAATTTGATTCCTGTACTGAGGTATTTTGTTATTGCATTTATTCTTTACAAAATGGTGTATTATGAGAACAACTCAGTTGGTAAATGTTGTAAATGTTTTTATTCTTTTGTATTTCACAGGAGCTGGGCATGAAGTTGAACAATGTGCGAGAACGCCTGATGGATCTGCAGAGAGACGTGACAGTGTTGCGTCGCGCCGCTACGCCACCGCTCGCCAAGCGTCACTCGAGCATTGCACGCGACTGTGAGCGGCTTGACGACACTCTACAGCGCTACCACGTGGAGCTTGACCGTCTCAGGTCTGTGTTTGATACTCTGTGGCAGGAACAACTGTATAGGATACACGTGGAGCAGGACATCTTCCGCACTCAGGTGTGTACCATCGATCACATTATTGATCCAAATTAGTCAATCTCAGCCACTGTCTCAACCCGTTCAATCAGTTGCTTCAGTTTGTACTTGAATTGATCAGGTTAGTATATGGATTTATTTTTATTTAGTTTTTATTTCTTTTTTTATTTTTTATGGATAGGTACACTATTTTTACAGAATGTCTTTGTGACATATAAAACAACTAATACAAGTACATAAGTAGTGAAAAAAAAAAACTGGAGAAAACAAGATTTCAAGAACAAGACGTAATAAAGATAACCTCAAAATGATGATTCACTATAAATAACTAGTAGAACAAAATTATAATATAAAAATGTAGAAAAACACATTTCACATAATAATTTTTTGTCTGCTTTTATGTTTAAGCCTGGTTTCATTGGCTCTGGTTAAGTGAGTCCGTTCATTCCCCATTTACAATCGTCTGTCAGTCAGTTTAAGAAAGAACAAGAAAACAATTGAAACCTTCACTTAGGGAGCCTGATCAAACGAATCACCAGCTGAGTCATGTGTCCAATACCAATAAATGATGAGTAGGCTATCTGCTGTAACACAAGCAAGCCTATCACAAAAAACATTGTGTCATGACAGACCCCTGAGTCTTGCCAGATTTGTGCATCATCCACCTCATTTCCACCAAACCACTCTATTAAAACCTGAATGCTATTCCTTTGACTCGCTGATCATTGTGTTGTTCCAGATGACGGACATTGTCAACTTGCGTACGGAGGTCAAGCAGCTGGCACACATGGCTCAACAGCTAGAGCCTTACGTCAAGTCTCTGTCTCAGACTAACCTGGATGACATGGCCAACCTACAGGCACTAATAGACCGGATCTCCATCATGCAGCAGGCAGCAGATCCACAGTGAGTTGAAGAATAATCCGGACCAATGTTATTTGACTTATTTGCCTCTTGGATTGAAAATCTATTCAGAATAAATAGGTTATGTTACCTGCACCTTCATCAATCCTTATAGTTTTTCCAATAACTAAATTTTTGTTGTTGTTTTTCCCATCTTAGGACGCTAGGCTCTAGTTTTTCAAATTACTTCAGGCTTTTGGGTTGCAGCATTATCACTTAAATAAAATTTATCATTGATCTGGCAGCAATTTTAAACCATCCAGTTTTGCATTTTTATTTCTGAAGTAATTAATTTGCAATTTATGTTTATTTTACACAATTGTTAATTTTTTATGTTATTATTTCTCTTGCTCTTCTTATGGTTTTATATTTATTCTTTTGTTTTGTTTTTGTTATGTTGCAGAGTTATAAAACAAGCGAAGAGATGGCGTAATCCGGTGTGCATGGTTGTGTGATAATTAATTAATTGGTAATTTAATTACTCATTCATATCATATTTACTTTCAAACATTTGTAATTAAGTTGATTTTTATTTTACTTGTTCTATTTTGTATAATCTTTTATTTTTGAATCAAATACAATTTGAAATAAAAATGTAAGATATATTGTTGTGTTCTGTTTGTTTGTAAAAACAATATGTTTATATAAGGGTTATTGTAGGTACTTTACATTTACAATTCATTGGTTAGAGATTTTAAAATGAGTAGGGCCTTTATTGAAAAAATTTAATTTAATTTATGTATAGAGTTGATTTTCTAAGATTGGTTAGGGTTTTAAAAATTTTGTTTCAATATATTATTTGAAACATTAACCTTTCATAGGTACACTTTTAGGATGGAAACCTTGCTCAAATCACAAGACTTCAGGGATCCTCCCCAAGTGGTGTCCCCTTCTGCTGAAGAGATGATGTTTTTGAAAGGTAAAATAATCTACTTAATTCATCTTGTTTTCCATTATAAATTTATAGTTGTTTCATAGTCAGAGATCTTATCCAGAAGAGGTGTGCCATCTATCCATTATCTAAACTGTTAAGGAGCAAAATAATTGGTGAGTCAGTGGCTCAGTCGGTAGCGCCACAGACTTCAGGCCAAAGTCACCCATGTCGTGGGTTTGGATCTTGGTACCAGCCACTACTTTTCATCAGTATAGTTCACCCTTGTACTGTGCAGGCTAACCCATTTCTTTGCTGGATACAGTCTATGTACAGGTTCTGTGACCCATGTGGATGGGCAAATGCAAGTTAAAAGAGGCCGCCAACCTCTTAAAAAAAAATAATTTTTAATTTAATTGACAATTAAAACTACCAACAAAAACTTTACTCAGGCTATTTTTAATTTTTTTTTTACATTTTATCAATGCTTGAGGAAATCTTAACTTTACACTTTTGTAAGGGAACGATCTAAACATATTTTTAAAATCTTGGTCCATCATATGTTGTTGGAAAAGTATAACGATAATTGTAAATGATGGAACTTGTGTCCATGCATGTACCACAATTGTTATAGCAGTTAGTTAATAAGTAGGTTTGAGTACCTTGTTTGTGAGTTGAGCTAACCGACCCACAAACAAATCCTTGACAAACATTTCAGCGTCAAACTTTTGACCATCAACTGCACACCCTGTATGGATATATGTGTTATTTTGATGCCTGATAGTTTGGCAGAGTGAAAGTGAAAAATATATTTTGTCATTAGATTTGTTCGCAGGGGAAGGAAGCAAGATGGAGGTGCCTGTGAGAGATATGCGGGTTCATGCTCCGGGCAGTCTGCTGGACTACAGAGGCATGGAGGGGCGACCTCGGAATGTCATCAGCCAGCTTATAGAGAAGGCAAGTGGTACCACACAGAGACTGGGCAACAATCACATGTACTCAATATGGTGATACAATATTATATGTGAGATAAAACAGCAAACCGACAAATACAAGCAACAGACCACTTACATAAATTTGAAAAAATCTCTAAAAGAATTACATGGTATTGTAATGCAGTAACAATAGTTTTATTTTAAAGTTAATATTGTAACAATCATCAGTTTTATTTAGCAACCAAATGAATAGTTTTTCTTTTACACACAATACAATGTTTGAAGAAACAAAACACTAATCACATGGTCACAATACTAAATACAATACACACAGAAATAAAACTGCAATCACAAAGATACAGTGCAACAATACAAATTCTACAGAAAAAAACACAATTTTCGGACATAATGGAACAGAACAAAAAAATGTATACCAATTCCTGCAGAAATAACACAACACTTTAATTTTTCAATGTGTGAATTGCTTAGGTATTTTGCCAAACAATTGAAAAAAGAAAATGGATATAAATAGTATTCTGGTGAATAGAGTTAAAACAAAGGTATGCTATATTTTTTGAAGCAAGGTCAAACTGTAAGTATTTTATTTCAAATGTTTCAGGTGCGCACCAAAGAAGATAGGAAAAAGTCTCCAGTCCAAGAAGAAATAAGAACTCCCTTACAACGTGAGCGAAGCAAATCTGAAGGGAGAACTAAAGAAAGCATTCATGGTAATACTATTTTCATAGAAGTTGTATTTCCCCAAAATCCGCTTACACCTTACTTCAAATCACTGCCAACAGAGTAAAACTGAAATACACAGAGTATTGTCCAAACTTTACCTCCAGGGAGTAAAATATTCAAGTCTTGTTGAGCATATAATATTCATGAATGAAAAACATGTTTAATAGCTCCATGTGGCTTTATCAAAACGCAAACCTGTGTATCTTAATTTTTCCTACTTTTATGAAGAAAAAACAAATGTAACCGAAACTGGTTAATATTATTTAGTAATACATTAATTTATATACTTAACTAGCTGGCCCGACAGACGTCGTTCAGTCCTAATGTGGTTTTATGTCAAATGCTCGTTCATTTTCAAGATGAGCTCGTTCGCATCGCTCAATCACGCCCTGGTTGAAGTTCGTTTGCTACGCTTACTCACCTTTAGGTTGGAGCTTGTTCGCTGCGCTCACTTGCCTTCAGGTTTAGCTCGTTTGCTACGCTAACTCGCCTCTAGGTTGGAGTTCATTCGCTGGGAAACTCCAGAGCCACTGGGGCAGGGCCGATTAGACAGATCACGAAATTGATGGTGTATAAACCTATTCCATGAAATTCTACACGTATGTACCAAGTTTTGTGGCAATCGGTCCAACGGTGTCCGAGCTCTTAACGTTCAAACATACAAACTTCCTCTTTTATAAATATTGATAAAATATGTATTTTTTTCTCTATAACACCACTTTATGAGCCATCCTGCTTAACCTACTTTTAAGATTGAGGTGTAATTTTAAATCTGATAATCTAGCGGAAGGATAAAATGGTAACTAAAAATTAATTTACTTTAGGACTTTGCCCTCCTAGTGTTTGATTTGGACCTCTTCCATTAATTCACTTCCACTAGTGGAATGTAGTTAGGTTAGGGTTTCCTAACTCTATACTAACCTAACTTAACCTAAACTAACCGACCTAACCAAAGTTTAATTCATGACCACTTCTATTGCTAATAATCTATTGCTCTAAAATATAGTGGTAGTGAATTAACAAAAAAGGTCCTTTGATTTATTTCCATAGTTTGTTTTCAAATGAGTAGGTGGCTCAGTCGGTAGCGTCATGGACTTCGGTCCCAAGGCAGCGATGTCGTGGGTTCGGATCCTGGTCACTGCCAATAATATTTATCAGTACAGTTCACCTTTGTACTGTACCGGCTCACCCTTTGCTTTGCTGGATACGTTCCACGCTCGGGCAGTTAGTCTATGTGAACGGGCAAATGCAAGGTTAAAAGATGAGGCCGCCAACCTCTTAAAAAAAAATGTTTTCAAAGATTCAGTGAGGCTGACCACTTTATAACGGTTTGAATGTAAATTTAAATGTCAACAGCTAATCCTTCAGTTCAATATTTAACTGCAAGTTGTAAATACCTCCGCCGCAGCAAACCTGCCGACTAAGCGAATTTCCATTTGTCTGAATTGATTTTCAAATCTATTAAAATAACATTAGGTTTAACGAGTACCTAGGTTTGCTGCTACAAGGAAACTAATAAAGTGTGTTTTTTTGTAAAATATTAATAGCTTAGTATAAAATAAATATATTTGCCAAGATTTATCAAAATATGTCAATAAACAAGCAAACTACAACATTTTACAATATTCTCCATAAGAATAACATGGGAATTCTAAATTTATTATTTTTTTAATTTTCTCCATTACCAATAACCGTACAAAAACACTTTGATATACTAAATTATTTGTTTTTTTAAGCTCTTTTAAAAGGTCTTGAGAGAAATTGGGAAATTTTGTGTTTTGAGGGTCAAAAATGAGAAAAACCATTATTTACCCCATAAAACCCCCCGTAATACCCCGTTCCCATCGTCCGATCATGCTGGTTCGCGAACTCATTCAAGTTTATCCCGCCTTACACCTTTAAACCAAATTTCATCAAAATCAGACAAAAATTACTCAAGTTATCGCGTTTACGGACGTATATATATATATATAAATAAAGATTAAACATTAATAAACTTAGTACCCAAGTAAAATTATTTATTAAAATATTAGTAAATATTTTAATAAATAATTTTACTTGGGTACTAAGTTTATTAATGTTTAATCTTTATTTATATATAGTAGCCCTATTTTTCTATTTTTCATATATATATATATATCTATATATATATATATATATATATATATATATCAATAAATTAATAACTTAAAAAAGGGTACTAAATGTTTAATTATTTATTTCATTTATTAATATATATATATATATATATATCTATATACATATATAAAAATTTGAACGAATAGTGTTTTTGGCCTCTGGGGACATCCGAATGAAAAAATAAATCGGTCCCGGGCCTACAATGTTGTTACAATGCGCAATTTGCCCACGGGTCTCCTTGTAGTATTTACTTCTGAATTACCAAATACTAGAGTGACATACCTGTGAGTATGACAAGGTAAATTTTAGAGTGTATGCTTCACTATTTCATTACAATACTAGGAAAAAGAAACAATAGTTTTCTTAATATATTGTTCTATATGGACATAATCATCTTAACTAATGTATATATGTGTATATGATACCTCAAAATTGTCTTTATCTTATCAATACGGATGAAAATTCCACAGTGTTCTACTATGCATACACATTTAATTTCCTAAGACGGTCTCACTGAAAGTATATCGTTATATTTTCATTTTATGTTGGTACTCTTTTAGCTTGGCATGTATTTAGCACTTAAGGTATAGCAAAACAAAAAGAGATTTGCTCTAGAGATGATTAAAATAATGAACTACTGTATCACTATACAACTCCCCATTACTCCAGCTTACTAGCCAGGTCTCTATTTTTGCGGAGGGGGGTCTCAAGAGAAATGTCAGGAAATTAGGGCGGGGGATATGTTTTAGGATTTGAAAAATTAACTAGTAAAATATTGGAAACTATCAATAATATTGTACTTGTTTACAGGAAAAAGCGAGGCATACCGAGTGAGCAGCGTGGGGCCGGGAGGGGGTAAGGTATCTTCTCTGTATCACACCATCAGCGGGAAAGTCCTCGGTTCTCGAGACTCGGGGTGCAACGAGGTTGGAGGCATTCCTCCTCCCCCTCCCTCGCGCGGAGACTCTTCTCAGGTACACACACAGCTCAATGTTACCATTGACTATTGGATACTGAAGTAGACATCCCGTCTATATGGACCAGCTGTAGCCTATTTTTTTTATAGTCCAAAGAGCCGTTCACGGAGGGCACTACTGTCTAAAATTCTATTTTATTTGTTGAATTTTGTTACTGGGATAGTTATGTGACATATAAAGTATGCTATAGCTTGAAGTTAAAATAAGTCTTCCTTTTTGACTTGGTTAAAAAGTTGGTGTATTCTACACAAAGCAGTAATTTACATCAGCCGCACTCTATCTTTGACTTGATTCAACATCAATTTACCTATAAATATTTAAATGGTGTAAATACCTGCTTTATTGTAGTCCTATAAATTGCCTACGACAACTAGTTTTGACGTCCATTTAACAAATTCACAAAACACGAAAAAGTTAATAGTTTAAGTCAAAACTCAACTTGTACAGGGCTTGCATCCTACTAAATCAGCAGGTTCATTAAATTTTAAATCATTCACACGTTATGATTTCGTGTTGTTTGTGTTTGACTACAACTATGTACTGTTTTTAAGTTTTGTAAATTTTTAAATTGTAAATCATCGGAAGAGGATGACTCCAATAGTGTTTCTAGTACAGCTTAAAGATTGCACTAAATTGGTTCCGAAACTAGTGCTGTAAGCAATTCATAGCATTACCACAAAGCAGGTAAACACCTCTGTAACTAGCAACAACTTTATCATGGGTATGGAATGTCCAATTATATCAATAGTCAAAGATATTACTGTTTACCTTACATTGATACGTATAGTCGATAGTCGTACAACATGATACTTTGTTTCTGCACATTCTCAATTTAATTTGTGAGCTCCGCAGAAAAAATTTCATTTTGCACGTCAAACATCACAAAATTGCTATGATTTAATAGTATCTTGAAGTTCATTGATTATCAAACACGTGTATCAAAATTGTTGTCACTGAGTTTGGAACCAAAACTCTAACAATATGTTTAATAATATGTGTTGGAGTATGTTTAAACATGTTTGAAATTTTAAGAATGCAATAGCAAATCTAAAAAGATATATTCCCAGGTATAGTAAAGATAAAAGACATCATTTGCAAGAATATTTCTTTTCTTTATTTCCTTACTACATTAACTCTCATAAAGTCTGTACAGAATGATAGCTGTATTGCATAATATTTTTAATTCCAATTATTACTTGATTTTTTTTGTTGGGGTGATATAATATTTATCATACTATCTTTAAATAAATGATCCTGACTGATGAACCAGCTGACCTTAGTCAGTAACAAAGCTACACAGATCATCTCACAACATTCTACACTCATCCTTCACTCATTTGGGTTAAAATACACACCTAGGTGGCGTCCCCATCTCAAAAAGTTGATATTTGATTGACGATTGATAATGTATTTATCATTACAGGTATTAAACATGGCCTCAAAAACAGACCACACTGCTGCTTTAAACAACATACGCGAACATCTGGAAAACCACTTAAAACAAAAGTTGAAACAAAGCAGTCGAGCTCCAAGCAGAACACTTCTCTACCAAGGTATCAGTCTATCCTTGATTTTAGCTGTACAAGTTTGGACAGTAGAACCCATCAACACAATGCACTTGCTCGTTATAAGAACAATTTGGCATAAGTTGTAAATAAGCAAAATATAAAATTGCATGTATATTGCGTAAGCTAAGTTCCCCTTTCCATACTGAGATATTTAGATATTTCCGTTTTGTACATAATGTAAAATATTGCCACCAACTGTAATGATAGTTTTTTGCTGTAGAAAGGCATTTTTCAATTCATTATACCATTTGGAATTTTAGCATGATATGTCTTACCAAAGTTTGGATCTTGGCATTAAGTTTTAAGTTGGATGCCAATGTAAAATAACTGCAGGAGAATACCCATTTTCACAAATACCGGAATATTTTTCAGCATTTTAATTTAGTACTTTCCATTTAAATAAAATTGAAGGTGTTTAATTTATAACCTACAATCTTTCCTTGGTTCTTGGTTATGCAGTGTACCGTAAGTAAGTTTAAAATATAGAAATACACCCTCCATTCAATAAGAATTGGGACTGGTTCACTGTGGCCTCAACAGAGCGGTGGAAGGGGGTCCGACCGTTTGGGCTCGATAGAGGGATCCCCTACCATTCGGGATAACTTTAATTCAGTCACCTGTGGGCATTCGTTGAGACAGGCGGTTAATTATTGTGCGGAGTGTTTTTTCATCGCGCCAACATTGAGCTTACCGTTGAGCAACCCTACACTGTGAAGTTTTGCTTCAAGTTTGAAAAATCTGTATCGGAGACCCTTGCACTCATTAAACAGGCTTATGGAGATGATGCCTTAAGTCGCACAAAAGTTTTTGAGTGGCACAAAATGTTTAAGGAAGACCGGGAACTTGTCAAAGACGAGCACTGCGTCGGACGCCCGACTGCTGCTTAAACCGAGGCTCAGGTTGCCAAAGTGAAAGACGTTTTGGACTCTGACAGGTGTTCAACCATCGCCCACATTAGTGAGAAGACTGGCCTTTCAGTGAGAACTATCTACATCATTGTAACAGGCTATTGTTGAGGCTATGGGAAAAGTCTGTGCAAAGCTGGTGCCCTAAGTCCTGACCGAGGAACAAAACTGTCCCTTGTGGAAATTTTGCAAGAAATCTAGGACTGCGTACAGGCAGGAAGACCCAAATTTTCTGGACAACATTATTGCCTGCGATGAAACATGGGTGTTCCAGTATGACCCGGAAACAAGTTCAGAGTGGCACACGGATGAGTCCCCACGTCTGATTGAAATCCAAAATCAAAAGCATGCTGATTGTTTTTTACTCCATCGAGGCGATTTAAGCAGCGACGACAGCGGCTCTCAGTAGCATGCTGGAAACTGACTTCCAGCGGGCTTTTGAAGTGTGGCAGACACGCCAAACTATGTCTATCAAGGAGGAATGTATTTTGAAGAGTATTAAGTGATTGTAATGATATCTGCAATAAAATTTAATTTTTCCAACCAGTCCTGATGATTTTTTTTTCAATTCAAACCTGAAGGTTTCTGGGGTAAAAAGAAATAATAAAACGAAAATGAAGAATGAAATTTTTGTTGTTAAATGCTGGGTTAGCAATTATATTTATATATGCCAGTTGTTATTTACATTTCAAATTTATATCTAAAAAACTATTTCAGACATCGTTATAAAATTAAATAGGCCTCTAATTTTTTTTAAAATTAATCTATTTTATCACAATTGGGACTACGGACGGAGGTAAGAAAGTCTCTATTGTCATAAAAAAGTCCAGGATGGATATTTGACATGATTGATGTTTTAGAAGGTGAAGAGGAGGAAGGCCAGTATCAGCGTATAGCGGACGCCACCAGCAGAGGTGGGGGTGAGACAGTGACTCAGGCTATGGTCCACCCTCAGCCCCCCTCCCCCTCCCGTCCCTCTCACACCACCACTCCACACTCCCACACACACTCACACAGCCACTCGCACACACACGCGTCGTCCTCTTACCCTCACTCTGATACCGAGGACTCTGTCTTCTACCCGGACACTCCCAGCTCAGGGTGCGTATCTGCAGGTTATCGATTTAATTGAGTTTATTTTCTTTGATTAGTCTAGTTTACAAGCAAATTGAATATTATATGTATTAGCATGGAAAGCATCATCTAACATTATTATTTCTGTAAATAGTTTGTGAGTAATAAATTGACTGGTTAACTGAAATGCCGACAACGGGATGTTTTTTGTAAGGATATAATTTTGAGTTGAATGAGTGAATGACTAAGATCAGCTGTTTTTTTTAATTAAGACAATTTATTAAAAGTACATTGATTCCTCTGAGGCCAGTTTTGAGCAGTTTATGATTGTTTTAAATTTAAGCTGCCATTTTTTTTTTAAGAAGATATTTTAGTTTAACTTTCAAGTCATATTAATATAAAATTTTAACAATACATGTTTATTAATAAAATTTTATAATCTTTTTCAAATGGAAAATTGCATTGTTGTTTTTAGACTTTTAAAATGTTGGTAGGTCTAATAATTCAGTAGTTTTTATAACAAGGAAATGCTAACTTTTTATGAAAATGTTTGCCTCAATCCTCACTTAATGGAGTTTTTCATCTTAAATTAAACTTTGAAAGTATTACATCATTCAAGAAGATTTCTTTGTTGAAATCAAGAGTTGTAGCTGAGATCTAACTGTGGTGTCTGATGCAGGCGGAGGTCGTCAATGGACCTGATGGATCGCCGCAAGACGCTGGTCGTGGTGATAGGATCGGGCAAGAGCAAAGCCAGGCTGATGCAGAAGCAACGGTCGTGGGAGACATTCCCACCGAAGAAACGGCAAGATAGGGATCGGGACAGGGACCATGGCGGGTCTAAGTTCTGTCGAGACCCAGACTCTTTCAGAGGTGGGTTTGACTTGGCTGGCTTGAAAAAAGCAGACAGCTTCGAGGGTCATGAGGAGGCTGTTCGCACTCTGGTGGCGGCTGTACAGGAGACACGTACCCTGCGAAAGCCTAAATCTCCAGCACCCTCGACACCCACGTCCATCTCCGGGCGGCAAGTCACGGAGTAACAACAGGTATAAGTAGGATCACACTCTGTGTTCGATTGATGATGTACTTGATCATTGAGTTTTGCGTATTAACCATAGCTAAGTGTGGAATGTCGAATTTCCAACTTGTGGCACTTAAAAATTGTACGCGTGTACATCGATACGACCATATCGTCCCCGGGAGTGTGGTTTCCAAATTTATATTTATTTGAAGACACCACTGCTAACCTATTACATTACGTAACTAGTTGTTATAATGTAGATCGTATTTTAAATCAATGAGCTTAATTTGACGAATCGTAAATTTGTATTGCTTAAGAAGGTCGAGGTTAGACCTTGAGAATGTGTGGTAGTTGGAAAGAAATAAATCTATATTGTAGCTTCGTAGAATGTGATATCTATACACTTGTTTTAGATTTTAAATATATATATATACAATATTATGAGACGAGTTTATATATACATAATCGTACAAATGTGCGATATCACTAGATGACGTGTTGGCAAGATTATATATATTGTTGCTAACAATTGGGTTTAAGATATAGTTAGTATGTCAATGAATCGACAGTATAGAAATCAAAGTACTGTTAAAATGTATTATGTTTCTCTCTATTTCAATTTTTTGCTAAGTGATTTTTTTGCCTTCAGGCTTGATGAAAATAAATAACAATTTTTAATTCCTATATTAGGAAAGTTACCTTTTTCGAACAATTTATCTTTATGATGACCTAGGTAATGTAAATTATTAGGTATGTAAATTACCATAAAAATTGTCTTGCTTCCAAAAATGTCTTGTACAAGTATTTTAGAAGTTATTTTATAATCGTTGCTTTAAAATAATATTTTATAATCGAAAAACTTAATTAATGGAGAAATCACATTTATATAGTGTCATATTTATGTTTACGAGTGTTTTTTTTTCTTTGGGAGTTCGTGGATATAGCTTGGTAGTTTGTGACGAGTGTGTATCCCCAAATATTTTTGTGTCCCCAAAGTTTGTCTGACTTACTACTAACATGTTTCCAGTTCCAATGATGGCAATAAAAAACAGTTTTAGTTCAATTTACCTAGGATCATCATGAAAGATTTTGAATGATTAAAAATCATATTTAAAACCTCATGTTATGTATCACTCTTCTAGGGCAAAACTAGGCTTATTATGTAAATGACAATCTAAGGCTTGTGACAGTTCATTACCACAGTGTTAAAATATAAAATCACAAGGTTTTTTTTGCAAATATTGTTCATAGTCATGTACAAATTAACATACAGGTTTTATAGGTGCAAAACTTTGTATCTGGAAACAATGTATACCTTTTGTGTTCGACATAACCCATACAAAAAAGTGTATTTAATAGTTAATTCATTTTGAAAAAAAAGTGTTAATGAATTTCTATGAGCTGAGTCGTGCTAATGTTAACATTAACAATGGTATTGGCTGGTGGTTTTGACGTATGAAATCTCATTACTGTTTTATATTTTTATTTTATTAATTTAATAGTCCCATTGTAAAATTTGATGCTCGTTTTTTGTGTCTAGTTTATGTTGGTGACACTGGGCGCAAGTCTTAATGCAATTTTGTTTCTATTTAGGGTTAATTTCATGATTTGAGCTATACTGTTTGGTTATATAACTAGGGGACATGTTATTGTTTATGGCTAGATCGTTTTTTGGTAAAACAATTTTTTTAATGACCGAAAAAACTAGAAACTAATTGTAAACAAAAAACGACCCCTACCGGACGGAACTAATAATAAAATTGTCTTCACCTGATCCATAAGGTCTACATTTTTCCCTAAAAATAACATAGTTGTGTGTGCTAAAATTATATTTAGTTCCTTTTTTTTACCGACTACTTTGATAGGTCATAACAGTTGCTATAGCTCACAATAAGACATTCCATTAGTTTGACTTGTTAAACAGGTTTGTGTATCAATCTGTTGATGGTTTTGAAAAAAACAGGCAACAACTTTTACATTGGGATGGAATGTCCACAATAGTTGTATGAATAGTCAAAGGTGGCGTCCCCATCTCTTATTGATATTGGTGGGTAAAGTGCTAAATCCAAAATAGAATCTTAGATCAATTCCTCTTTACAAATTGATTTACAACCTACTTTCATTTAACATAATGGTTAAATACCAGTTCTTATATTGTGTTATATTTTACAATATTTATTTATTCTAACCTAGTAAAAACTATGCAACGTCTCAAATTTCTGATGTCTCCTAGTTTTGCCCTCTACGCACTCGTTGTTGAAGCTGTAAAACTGCCTAATAAAACCTTTAATCCGCTCAATTAGATGATCTCAATCTGATAATTTTAGTTAGTATTAACCATTGTCAATTTTACGGTGAGTAGGAGTTACATTTAAGATAAGTCTCGTAATTTTACTAAACATTTTATGTTAATTGTATTTAATTAATAAGGATTGATGAATATAGTTAACAGCAGACATTGCACACTTTTGTTTAGGGTTGGTTAGTGACATTCCTTTTTTGTCAGTTTAGTGCTTTAAGATATTTTTTAATTTCTAACATGCTATTAAACGATCAGTTAAGGCTCGATCAGACGACGCTGATTTATGAGTCGCTAATATCAGCTATTAATGCTTGCTAAGCCTATTAGCCTAATATTAACTGAGATATGGCAGCTTAAGTGATACGTGACCACTGGAGGTTAGTTGCAGCGCATGCTGGAAGCGGTCACGTATCGCTAAAGCTGCCATATCTCAGTTAATATTCGTCTAATCTAAAAAAATGAGGTGTTAATCGATATGTAATAAAATTGCCTTAAAAAAGATATTCTTGTAAACATTTTGTAAAATCAACGGTTTTTGAGTAATTTAAGAAACAAAATTTTAAATTACTGACATTTTGTTTTATGTTTTAGAAAAATTGTCATAATTTTTTGGTAGCTTTGTCTAGTTGTCATAAATGTTTGTGTAAAGTTTCGATTTCGTATGTTTAACCATTCTATAGAAAAAATTAATAAGTGAAAAAAGAAAAATGGCGGCTGTGTGAGTAACCAAGGACTTCCGGACAATTTATATGATATTTAGATACGTTTCTTACTCAGCAACAATGCCCTGAAATATCGGTAGAGTTCCGGGACAGCCTGTATAGTCTGTAAGAACGAATAAAGATGTACTGCGACTGCAACATATTCTGCGGTTAAAAAAACTATTTCTAGATAATCTTCGCTCATCACACTACACGTAGCCATCTATGTACTTAATACAATAACGGTTTTCTCAGTTACATCCCATTTCTAGCCGTCGTACTTGACAGATTTTTACGATTGAGCTTTAATCTAGCAGAGTGACAAATGGTAACTAAAAAGGTAACATCCATAAGGGTTTCGTTCCCCTAGCTTTTGATTTATTTCTGGAGTTGGCTTTCTACAGTGATACTGACCAACTTTTTTTACAACGGTTTAAATGTTAATTATAACTTGTGTATTAATTTATAGATTTAAAAGCTGATACTTCAGTCGAAAGTTTAACCGCAGTCAGATTGTAAAGAAGAGACAAAAAAACAAATGTTAAATAAGTTACTTTTAGTGGTGATAGTTTATGTAGCGGCATTTTGTGTTTACTATTACGTCCGTTTATTGTTATGTTATTTATCTTAAATTTAATCTATTTACACCAAAATACAAGTGTTTAATTAAAACAATAGCTTATTTTCTAGAATTATAACGCCAACAGTTAGGCACAATTTATGAATGTTGTCTTAAAAATAAAAAAAAATAAAATAAAAATCCCCAAAACTTTATTTTGTGAGGTCAAAAGCATGCATATAATTTCTGATAAGATTTTGTGTTTCCCAGCAAGAAAAGGACTTAATTTTTGTATCCACATAATGTATCAGAAAACATTGTGTCAAAACTAAACTTTGAAAGAAAATTGATCAAAATCTAGACAACTTGAACGTTGATTCAGTGGTTATACTCAAAGTTGTAATCCATTGAATGACTCTTTATATAATTATGTTAGAATTGTTAGCACAGTATCATAACTTAACATGTTTTCTGTAAATTACATGTAATATATTGCAGTTTCTATCAATAATCAGTCAAAGAACCATGACAAATTACAACCAATCACGTTTGTGTGAGACGCTATGGTGGGGAGCTTCAAGATGAACAGGTTGGAACACCTCATTTTGTTTATGTTACAAAAGGATGACACCTTCTTTTTGAACCAGTGACAGGATAGATTTCTAATCAGGATTCAAAGTTACTTTAAGGATTGTTTGTGACATAGGATTTTTTTAAACAATCATTCACTGGGGGTGTGGTCAATGTAAAGGTCAATGATATTACTGGTATGATGGTGCTGGTACTGGATCAACTTGCAACTTGTACCATTTTCTTGGATTCACATGACAACTAGCACTAAATAAAGCGCTAAAATGATTAAACATGTTCAAAGTCACTAGCAATTAAATATACTATCAGTGCTAACTTGCTAGCTACTAATATTTGGTGTAGCTACTAGTATTCGCTAGTTTTACTCGCCGATAGTAAATTAGCACTAAAACTAGCGTTGTCTGATTGAGCCTTCACTTTTGTCTGTTTTTTTTTACTACTTAAACATACTGCCTTAATTTTGCTATTCTTAATGTAACCTGTTTTGTACCCCACATTTTAGCATTAGAAAATAGCAGATTTTTGCAAACAATAAAACATTTTTTGTGTTCAGTTGAAAAGTTAATCCTGCTATTCAATGTGTTTTTAAGCTCTTAAAAAATGGGTTGACTGTATTAAAATATTAGGATCATAATTAATTAATTGGTTTTAATCCATACATTGGTTTCAATGTGGCATTAATCCTTGCAATGCACAGTAGATTCTTGATTATCGAGGGTAATGGATGAAAGAGTAAATAAATATGCGTTATTAGAAAACAATTGAAATTCCCCAATCTCTGAGTGATTTTTTCAATGTTTTTGTGTTTTCTCAGTTTTGGATACATAAAATAATATGTGTTATATGTTGTGCCCTTATGCATAGCTTTGTGCAAAGGATTACAAACCAAATTATATATTTTACAACAATTAAAATTTAGTGTGCCTCAACCGACTACCTACAGCAAAGTCAAATTTTTTGTTTTTATAATCTGTTAAATTTCTCAACTGCTGGGTGATTTTTCACTGCCCAAATTATCCGATCCTTGTCAATCAAGAATCTACTGTAAAGATTTTTTTTTATGTGAAGTAGCCTAGCAAGTTCTCAAACTAAAAAAAGACACTTACAATACACTCATTATATGTACTAACAATCATATTTTGATAATTCGGTTGGAACATAAACGTATAATGAGTTCTTAAAATAAGGTGAATAGAATAGCTACCAGGTGGTTCTGTAATACGATTAATTACCAAACAATGCGTCCATAATGTTTTGTTACAATAGTAATTTTTATACGGTAAACTCCCGGTTATCCGAGTCTCCATTATCTGAGCCAGTCAATACGGGAAGTAAATAAAAGAAACACTTTAAACATATACTTACGCTTATACTGTTACTCACAAGACGGTAAATATACAAAAAAGATGGTAGGTGGTGATCGATTTTGATCAGACACTCCAATCATCATCAGGCCCAATAGGCGAATGACATGACCCTTGGTGGTTGTGTGTTTGTGTTTATTTTTGCCATTTTAATATAATGTTTATCATTTATTGTTGATTTTCATTGTTGCTATGAGTGAGAAACTTTCAAGGGGTTTTACAACATTTTAGCGATAACTGTACTCAGGGCCGTCCCTAGGGATGGCGGCGCCCGGAGCAAACGTGGTCGTGGCGCCCCCTCTCCCCACCAGTATTAGTCGCATTCGCATATTTTTAATACTATGTTAATACAAATAGCCGTGGAATGGCGCCCCCTCAGCCGCGGCGCCCGGGGCAGCTTGCCCCCCCTTTTGGACGGCCCTAACTGTACTTAACCTCCGTACTATACGAGTTCTCCCGTATCCAAGGTGGTCCCGGTCCCAATTACCTCAGATAATCGGGAGTCTATTGTACAATCAGTGAAATTATATTGTACTGAAGAGCTAGTTGCAGTAATGCTGTCCACTTAAGCCTCTCCAGACCTCTGTATGTCTTAAGAACTGACAGCACAGAACAGCAGTACCCTATACAAAAAATATAATACGGTACTACTTTTTTTCAAATCGGATTCATTTGTGAATATGCTCTGAATATTTATTCCCAACTTATTACGGAGCCACCTGATAGTTGTTTATTCATTTTTATTGAAATGTGAGTTTTTAAAAACCATGAAGTCCCTTTAGTTCTAATTAATTTAATGATAAACTACTAATATCAGTACAAGTACAAAATTAACTACATAGCATACAAACTATGATACTTTCAATATTACTCAATCTAATAATAAAACCAAAACTATATTTTTAGTAGGTTATTCGTTAAATTATTTCAGTCACGGGACTTTAAACTGATCCTGTTAGCAAATTTCCCATATAGGGAATAAGCTATTTTTATTTTTTGTCATAAAAGTTATAAAAAATAAAAGTTGTTTTGCTTTTCCTACTCTAAAAAACAGGATTTTGGTTTTGTATCTATGTTTGAATTAGCGGAACTACAATGTTCGATAGTTGTATAATTTTTTCTTTTTCTTAAATCTTTGACTATCTATCATTATCACAGCACTGAGTATTTTAATGAATCAAAATGAATTAATGCAATATTCATATGATATAAAGTGTATGAAAATAGTTTACATTCATTTAATAAAATAGTGCTATAGAAAACAATGATAACACAGTCTTGTGAATTTGGATTTAGTTATGTTCAGTATTTGATTATTTCTTAATTATCACATGTTGAAAATGCTGTTATTTGTGATGTTATAAAGTGAATAAAAGATTTTTATTGAATGATGCTTTATTTTAATTTTAATAATGCAGTAGGCCTACATATGGTAGCAGTATTTTTATAGTTGTCCCTTGATAATGTGACACTTTGTAATCCGATGTCCTCAGTAGTCCGACATGCCACCGGCACAAGCCTGCATCAACATAAATCTCCCCTTTTCCGCAAAGTTGTTATAGTGCGATTGCATCTACTGTTTGGTATGTACGTTTTCATACTGCCCCCAATGCTTGATATATATTTATATTAAATTGATGATGATGATGCTATTTTATCTAAATGGTATTTTATTAGAAGTGCTGTATTCTCCACCGCCTAAGCCGCAAAAGCAAAAGGTCTTGTACAAGAAAATATTTAATCGAATCAAATCCCCAATTTTGTGTGATTCTATAAATTATGACATATCAGTTGTAGAATTACTATATCACTTTATCATTTTATGACTTATATTTCATAATTTATTGAATCACAACAATTATCAGTAATTAAATAAAAATGAAAAACAGAAATTTCAAAGACAGTATTTTAATGCTTAGTTTTCAAGTAGGTCTATGTAACACAAATTAGTTTCTTCAGTTCAGACCAAAGCATTTAGTAACGTAAACAAAAAGAAAAATTCGATTTAAAAATATTTCAAAACAAAGCAAGTTAAAGTAATTTAAAAGAAAAACTTATCTTACTGCAAGGACATATACTAATTTATAAATTTTCCTTCAAATCCATTGCTAGAATGATATATAAATAGTCTTACATAACTAATCTTACAAAAGAGAAAACAAAAACAAATTGTATGATAACACTTCTTAGTTTTAAGATATTAGACTATATTTTAAATTAAACTAGTGAAACTTCTCTTAATGTCTTATTTCAAACCCAAAAATCTATTAGTTATTTATCAACATCCATGCAAAAAAAGGCACTTTGCTTGAAAAAAACCCCATGCATGACGTTATTATAGATTTCCCTCAAATCCATTACTAGAATGACAAATAAATAGTCTTACATAACTAATCTTACAAAAAAGAATACAAAAACAAATGTTATGATAACACTTCTTAGTTTTAAGACGTTAGACTATATTTTAATTTAAACTAGTGAAACTTCTCTTAATGTCTTATAAACCCATAAATCTATTAATTATATATCAACATCCATGCAAAAAGGCACTTTGTTTGAAAAAACCCCATGACATTATTCTTATTCTAAATAACACTATCTCAGTTGTAACTAAACACTCTTTAAACTTCGCTGAACTCAAACTCATCCTGAGGCACAGACTCCACCCACTTTCTGGTGCTGTCCTGCAAACGTAAAAGACATGTTGTGATAACCCTTTCAGATATACAAGATTAGTATGACCAAACCTCTCCTTGCAAGTAAGTCAACACACCAGCTGAAAGCTATAGCGGACTTGTGCTGCAACCTGGTAGTCAAGTTTAAACTTACTACTCTAGGGTTTAGGTTGATCAGTGGCTAAGCAGACATCTCTATAGAACAAGGGGTGGGGGAAGCCTACAGTGGACGGCTCGGGTGGAATCTTTAGTACTGTAGCTGCACCTGAAATTGGACTTTTAAGCTATCCTGTGTGTCCATGAAAAACTTGTTTGAAATATTATTCTGACGAGGGGAAAATAATAAGTATAATTAGACACTGTACAATAAACAGTGGGACTTTTCTAATATGACCTTGGCTTATATGACTCCTTGCATTATGCGATCCTGCTATTGCCTATCGGAGATAATGTTATCGCGGTAATATTGTGACGATTTCTCATGGTCATGTGGACATCATCACCGCTCCTGCGATTGCGCCAATAATCTTTTTTATCCCCCGCAGTTCATGGAAACATCGATGTCTTCCACGATCGTAAAAAAAAAATACTGATTGTCTCACGCAGTCACGGGAACAATATCATCATCTTCCGGACCACGGCAAAATCTGACCGTCCTAGACATATCTCACAGTCATGGAAAATAATCATCCTCGGATGATTCGTCCTTTTCACTGTTCCGACTATGGTCCCGGTCTCGTAGGTGACAAATTAGTAAGGTTGTACTGTACTACAAAGAGTACTGTACTTTTAAAGAAAAGAGTTCAGTTGGCTTACCTGATAAAACCTTTTCCTTAAAATTATAACATGAATAATCCAATAGGTTTATGATATTTAATTTTGCTTGGAGAGCTATTGTGGATCTAAAAATACCCCCGTCGCAGCAAACCTGCATACTAAGCGAATTTCCATTTACCCGGCTTGATTTCTACTAAAATATTCCCTATAATTTTTCAGATTTATTTCCTATAACATTAATTTTAGTGAGTAGTTAGGTTTGCTGCTACGGGAAAGATGTTGAGGTGTGTTTTTTTCAATTGAAATATTGATAGCTTAGTATGAAATAAACCAAATTGCCAAATTTGATTAAAATATATCCATAAACAAGCAAACTAGAACAGTTTATTTATTCTCCATTAAAATAACATGGGAATTTTAAATTTACAATTTTTTTAATTTTCTCCGTAGTCAAATGAACATTCAAAAACACTTCAATATACTAAATTATTTGTTTTTTTAAGCTCTTCAAAATGGTCTAGAGAGAAATTTAGAAATTTAAAGTTTTTAGGGTCAAAAATGAGAAAAACCCATTTTTACCCCATAAAACCCCCCAAAAACCCCTGATCCCATGGTCCGATTATGCTGGTTCGCAAACTCGTTCGAATAAATGTAGGTTTACACGTTTGTACCAAATTTAATCAAAATCGGATCAATTTTGCTCGAGTTATTGCGCTAACGGACACATATATAAATATACAGAGTGTCCCGGAACTCTCTACCAATATTTTAGGGCATTGATCCTGGGTAAGAAACATAACTAAATATCATATTTAAACTGTCCGGAAGTCCTTAGTTACTCACACAGCCGCCATTTTGTTTTTTTCAGTTATTATTTTTTTTCTAAAGAATGGTTAAACATACAAAATGGAAACTTTTCACAAACATTTAGGACGACTAGACAAAGCTACCAAAAAATTATCACGATTTTTCAAATTCATAAAACAAAATGGCGGCCATTTAAAATTTTTGGAAAATCAGTGGTTTTTTAGTTATTTAAGAAAGAAAATTTTAAATGGCCGCCATTTTGTTTTATGAATTTGAAAAATCTCCATAATTTTTTTGTAGCTTTGTCTAGTTGTCATAAATGCTTGTGCAAAGTTTCCATTTCGTATGTTTAACCATTCTTTAGAAAAAAATTAATAACTTAAAAAAACAAAATGGCGGCTATCTGAGTAACTAAGGACTTCCGGACAATTTAAATATGATATTTAGGTACGTTTCTTACCCAGGATTAATGTCCTAAAATATTGGTAGAGAGTTCCGGGACACCCTGTATATATATAAATATATATATATATATATATGAATTTGAACGGATGGTGTTTTTGGCCTCTGGGGACCTCAAAACGAAAAAGTAAATCGGTCCCGGGTCTAGGTCTTACCATGAGACCTACGGTAATAGCTTATTCCCTATATGGGAAATTCGCTAAAACAACTTTATAGTAGTTTTTATAGTAACTTTATAGTAGCTTGCAAAACAAAATTGCAATGTTTTGCTTTAAAAAACCTCAATAAGCAATAGCACACATAGGGTGTAGTAACTTATTGTTTATAAAGCTATGCCATACTCGATATCACTAGAAAATAAGGCCATGCTGCAGCATGGGCAGCGCAACACTACGTCACAGTGGTGGATAGTTGTACTTAAGTTCCCAGACCTAAATATAAAATTGCAAACAGCTCATCCTTATATATAACACGTGAAGGCGATTTCTACGAAACAATACTCCTCCGTTAATAATGGACGGATTTTTACAAACGACGTGTCAAAATAAAGTATTTTTTGTGTAGACGCCCCCTTTCACCAATTCCTGTAATCAAAATCCTCGGGCTTTGCCCCACAGGCCATCAAAGTTGGAGTTTCTCCCATAAGATTAACTTGGGGGAATCTAAATATTTAAGTTGGTTTCTGTCCCCACCAATTTGAGAGAACGGCTGGGCGTAGAAACTTGGTAGAGGTGTCCAAAGAAAGGTCTTGGTCTGTAGATGAGTTATCCAATGAAAAACTAAGCAAAATCCATTAGAACTCTGCCTCAGAAGCCTTTAAAGATCCCTCCACAGAGTTGTTTACATTTTGGCCATGTGAATAATACTTTTTAATGAAACAGCTGTTCATTTTAAATTGTATTTCAAACAACATTTATTGGGAGTTACTGAATTCTACCAAATAAGTATTCGCAATGTTATTTTCTGATTTTAAAATTGACTTTCTTCTTTATCATGTAATGTTTTGCAATATAACGTTCCATTACGAAATCAGTGGAAAATCCTTTTATGAAAGCAATTCTTAAATTATTTCTTATTGAACTATCTTATATCTATTGTACGGGTTAGTGTCTGCCTTTTTCACCACTGTTGCCTACATTTTATCATATTATTCTACACATATCAAATATTTATGTAGAAATATCTGCTCTTATCGTGTCTAATAAAATCCAAACATAGAAACCTTGCCTAAAATGGTACCCATCTAGACAAATTATTTGCACCTGCCTATATTACGGACTTTGGCGCACTGGGTTGGTAACATTATTAAAAATAACATGACATTTTGGCAGTAAAATATGGTACAAAGAGAAAATACTATTTATGTAGCTACTGTCATGACAGAAAGGTCATATTCTTTTTAAACTAGATCACAAAATCCTTTATAAGATACGTTGATAACAATATGTAAACGTCAATATACACGTATTAGCCAATTTACAGGATTTTTGATTTTTGGAAATGTCCCATTGCTATGTCATTCGTATTATTTGTTGCCAATGAAGTTGCCAAGACCATATGAACTAGGAGGCCCCTAAAAGTTCAAGAATAAAAGCCAACTTCACTTCAAGTATTCCACTACACCTAACATTCCGTAGAGATATTATATTGACAACTTTATGTTATTGACAAGGCTGAGACAACTAACTGACATCCCCCATGTCAAGGAATTCCAGAGTTAACAGTAACCCCACAATCAATTTTTCAAAACTATGCTAGAGGGTTCATTCATTGGCACAGAAGTACAATATGAACTGACGCGACGTGGCGAAGGAAAAATCAAACTTACACTATAACAGATATACCTCCCTTTGAAGTTAGAATATGTCTTCCCAAAAAATATTTTCTTTTCAAATAAAATCATATTACACTGATGAAATCACAGAAGTGTTTAACTACAAAAGATCCACCAATACGATTTTAATACTATTTAAAGGTTCTTCCAAAGGAAGAGATACCATATAACATACTAATAATAACTCCGATGACATACAGTATAGGAAATATTTTAATCATTGAATGATCAACCAAATTTGGCAACTAACGCAATTAATATCATTATTAATTTTACACTTATTACTCTTTAAACAATGCTAAATGCTCAAAATATGTATAGTTCACCCAATTTATCGCAGTTAGATGAATTAACGTAACCCTTCAAAGTAACCGTCGATTTCAACGGGTTTCACCTAGTTTACCTAAAACATTGAATCTATCGACAAGTGTGTTGTCAAGGATCCTGCAACATGGCCTTTTTTCTAGTGGGGCCTTGGCCTGTTTCGTAATAAACTACAGCTACAAGTTGTAGCTTGTAATTTCCATTAGATTGGCATTGGGCGATCAGCTAATTTACTAATATTTGTTTGTAGTTAGTTGTTTTACTTTTGGGAGTTTAAAAATGAATATAAAGGTTTTACAACTTTATAATAGTAATTACACCAAACTCACAGTTATATAGAAACTAAAAAGTACTCCTTTGAAAATTCCATGGGCTTAGACAGAAAACCCCAAAGAGTTTTCCCTAAAGCCAAAGGTATTGAGTGACCAATGTTAACACCTCTTTATGTTGCTAGAAACACAAACTGTAGGGTATTTTTTTAATAGATTTCTAATTTTATATGGATAATAAGTATAAGCCTTAATCTGTATCAAATAAGCATCCTGTTTTTCTATCAGGCCGAAAGAATGTATTAAGTATTAATTTAAACTAGAACTAGAAAGAAAACGTTGGTATGGGGAAAATACATTTAGTCATAATGGCGAGAAATATTACCTGAGATTTTCCAGCAACAGCTTGGGCAATATCCTCACGAGTGACGTTAATTTCTTGAATTATTGCTTGCTGTCTTTTCTCCATTTTAACTATTTTACTTCGTTTCATAAGCTGCAACCACAAATTGATAATGTATTACTTCTTTACACAGTAAATTTATTAAAAATAACCTTAATCACATACCACTCTTCTTACAATTCTACATTGATATCACAGTAACCTATACAGTAGACTCCCTCCTATCTGGACTCGTCGCGACCGAGGCCAGTCCGGATAACGGTTTTTCCGGTTAAACCGAAGTCCCCAAAAACTCGTTAAAACGGACCACTTAAATGCATACTGTAAACAGTATTTGACTTAAATGTAGGAGAGCATTGTATTTACACACGTGATCACTGGTTTCAAATCTTTCCCACAAGAACAGTCGTTTCAGTACCACCCACTTCCTGCCGATCTAGTCCAGCTATTCCGAAGTGCTGATAAAAATTGTCCGGTTAAAGAGATGTCATTTCCGCCGAGTGTAGTCCAGTTAAACCGATGTCCGGTTAAAAAGTGTCCGGAAAAGAGGGAGTCTACTGTATGTACAACAGAAAACTTAATGTGAAAGTTTGTTGTCCAAATAAACACATCTATGCTTAGACAGCCCATTGGAAAGGCCTAAATTAAGATGGTATGACCAAGTCAAAAAGGATGTGATCCAATGCGGAGGAGAAATCCGGATGGCGGAGGATAGAGAAGAGTGGAGGTGGCTAATCTACGAGGCAAAAATCAACTGAGATTTGTGACGCCCCATCAGTAAGTAAGCATGCTTAGACAGAGTAAACTACCGTCCAACGAAGCCAACATTAAGGATTGTTTTAAAGTAAGCACAGTAATGGAGGACCAGCTGTCAGCATTACCCGGGTTGGCAACATTTAACATTGTAACAACAGTAGTTGGTCTATAAAGAACAGACCAATGTTTGGAAATGGGTTTTTGTTTTTATTGTAAAAAGATGTTATTACTGGGGAAAATGTTAATAGGTGATATCTGTTGTTGTTTTGTTAATTTTATAAACCTCTTTTTGGAGGACAAATTCTCTATCATCACCTTATTATTATCTTTCTGGTTATTGAATTTAGCATACAAAATAAAATGCAGTGCTCTTTCAAACAAAATAACATACAGATCACAACTTTTTTAGCTGGTTAATTAAATAATTTACTACAACAATTCAAAAGGGAAATCATTTTTGTTTTTGTTCTTTCAAATGTTCAGAGATTAAATCCTGCTGTTTAAACTATTAACATTTTCCTCTCCACTCACAGAAAACTATCTGAGCTAAAGATAACCAGTTTTACAGGGTTGCCAAGGTCGTTGGTACAGAAATCCGTTTGGAATAGTTATTCACACATACTGTTCATGAATATACACATATTTTATGACAGTGGACCTAAATTTCTTAAAAAATGTGTGCAGTTTATTTCAATTTTGGATGTTAGGACCAGAGACGGCCTTAGACATGTGCGAAAGGGGCAAAAATACACAAAAAATATTACAAGTCTTTTCAAAATTTTGATTTGGAATAATCCCCAACTAGTGTACATGTTGCTCGAAATTGAGCAATTGCAAAGAAGTAAAGTAGTTACAGTATTTAAAAACAAATAATTAACTTATTTAAAAACGAATAAAAGTCATAATTTCCGATGAGTTTAAAAGACTCAGCTCATAGATTACGTGACTAACAGTTACATATAATCAACATTTCTAGTAAATATTTGATCATTTTTCACAAGCTGATCTGGTTTTTTAGTATATTCTACATATCTTTCCCACTTATAGCCGCATTAGGTGGTCCAGGTTGATCTTCGTCAATGATAATGTAGTCTGCATAGTACTACCCGTTGTCGCTAGTATGTTTACAAATTTCAGTAATTTTTTATAGCGATGACATTTTGTTTACATTACTTAAGAACTGCCTGATTTTCTGCATAACCTCTCTGTCATAATTTTATTTGCTTCAATTGACATTAATTTGGCTACCTAGTTACTGTTATAACGTAAGTTATATTTACCTGAAAAAAATGCAGAATTGAAAGGCCAAATGTCGTTCAGATGGTTTTTTGTTTCCCTTAAATGTGAATAATGCAAATCCTTCAGTGAGAGTTTTTATTAAGGTTTCTTGGATGTAGTCATTTTATTTTAAAATCACTTGACTTTTATGAAAACATATATTTAATGTCCTTGCCGTACCAGTTTAATTCAGCCCTAGAGTGTTTTCCTTTGCCAATCATCATAAAGTTAAGTCAGTGTTAACTACAAAATAGTAACACTTTGGCTAACATCCCTGTTCATTGTTTGTGGGAATCTTCATATTGTAAATGCTCTTCATTATTTAGGATGATAACGATAGTAAATGGTTTTTTTTAATCTCTATTTTTTCTACTTGGTGGTGTTCTATGACTCCTATGTTTCCATGGTAAAAAATTGGTTCTTTCAATTATTGCTCAAGAAATACAGTACCCTGTCAATTCATTTTTCTTTATTGGTAAAATATATCAAATTGCCCAGTCTTTCTCGATTTTTTACATCGGAATAAAGTACGAATGTAAATTAAAGTAGCAAATATTTAATTTCAACCAAATCAGTAAATGTAACCTATGCGTTTCGTTGAATTGGAAAATAAATAACAGCAATTAAATTATACAGCTGATCAAAATGTAAACAATTATGTTCTTCATAAGGATAACATGGGAACTTTCAAAGCCACTGGGGCAGAGCCCAAGGGGCTTTTTCGAAAATGTAAGGCCAGTTTGCAAATCTACGCGACACGCTCTTTCCAATGAGACGTCAATGGATAAAATCGGTTAAGAAATGGCGAAGGAGTTCAACCGACAAAGTTTCATGTACCGTATTAATTATATAGATAATCCTGTTGCTTGTTCTATTTTTCTGTTGTCATACCAAGTAAAAAATCACGATCGCTGAACATGATCAAGATGCTGCCCTACTCACGAGAGTCGCTGCAATTTAAAAAATGATTATGATTGTTGTCGTGATTATGAGAGATGACGACGGATGTTGCTGGGATCACAGAAATGTATCATCCTATGAGCATGAACAACATCATTGTGGTTGGGGGGGGGAGAACTTTTTAGTAGTAAGGGGCCGCTTTGATTGTTTACTCAGGGCCCTGCACTACCCCAATGAATGCTGACTCTTTTCAGAACACAAGAAAGTTTATTATTTATATTTTCTTTGTGAAACCAGGAGGGGTTGTGTAAACTTTTTTTAATACAAAATAAAGAGAAATGGATTTTTTCAGGATGAGTACTCTTACCTCCTCATTCTTTAAGGTCTTCAGTTGTTTTTTAAGACCTCGTAATTCATTTTCATGGTCGGTTTTAACTTTTTCTTCTACCTTTAATTCTTCTTTCAGCTTATTAGTTGATTCCTCTTGCCCTTTTTGGATGTCTTTCATTATGGATGAGTGTTTTTCCATTTCACTATCCATTTCCTAGAATTTTCAAAATGCAGGATTGATAATATGTAAAAACAGCTTGTTCCCTAGGCCTATTTGGAAAATTTGCTGATGGGACTAAACTCAAAGACATTCAAACTTAGTAAAATTAAATTCAAAGCATGGTGCTATTTTTTGTGTGTTTTTGGATGAAATAATTAGTTTATATAACCCTAATAGCCTCATGCAGAAAACACATTAGTCAAATAGCAATTATTTTTATTTTGGTAAAAATAACAAATAACTAAAAGGATCATCAAGACAAAAATGTAAGTAGGAAGTCTACACCTATATTTATATTTTCAGTTTTTTCCTTCCCAAAGGTTTTGCTCTAAAGGGTTTAGTTTTTTCTGTTGACTATTTTTCTGTCAGTACTAAGACCTGCATTATTTTTAAGATGAGCTATAAATTTCTTTTATTAAACTTAAATCACAAAGTACTTTTTCCTACAGTCACCCGATAAAGTGGGCTTCCTTGCACAAATTATAGTACAGAAAGACTTACTTTGGTGCACAGTTTTTACTTTGGTACACACCAGTATTCCAACCAAACAACACAAAATAGCGTGTTTTTATTATGCACGTAATCCGTGAAAATAAGTTGACAACACTTAAAGATATTACGACTACAATCAGCTGGTGCAGTGTTTCCCATTTTTTTCAATGTTTGGATTTAAACTAACCTAAAAATTTGTTGTACAGTGTTTAAAAGACTAATTATTTATATGGTTTATAGTAACTCTAGGGAAAATATAATGAGTAACACGAGTGCAAACTGCCTTTGCTACACTCGTAAACATTTTTCTCGTGTGCAGCAAAATGCCCTAGTTTAGTTAGGTACACAAATAACTATACCTGCATTTTTGCCATGTGGTTATTTTTCATATTATTTATCTTCTGATTATGAGTTTCATCAAGAAGTTTGATTGACTGTTCCACAAACTGTTTCTTCTCTAGCATTTCCATGAGTTCTTCCTGCATGGGCTTTCCTTCTACAATAAAAAAGTCATGCTTTTCTAAGTGAGCTTTCATTGCATCTATTGTTCTTATATATTCTTCAACTGTCTTAATCTGGTCTTCTTCGCTCTTTAGTAACTATAAAGTAAAAAAAAATCATCGCATAAAGTATCTAACATAAATATTGTGCATTACTTAAGAAACAACAATCAGTTACAAATTCTAAAACTTGGAACAATAAGACTACTACAGTATCACAGCATTAGAAAAGATATTGACATATTGTATGACAAAACCTGGACCATATAATAGGCAAAGTAAAATCGTTTAATATCTTTTTATTGGTAGTGGAGTTTTTATCTAATCTTAAATCATTATACAATTTTACGATTTATCTAAAAAAAGTACTATACAGTAAGTTTAAATCAACAACTTCTAAAGTCCTAAACAAAACCTTTAGAACTTTTTTAAGATTTGTGCTATGATTTTAATGGTAGCCAACTAACATTTGATTTAAGTTAAACTATCAAGTTACACTTTTCTAAACTATTGCAAATTTTTATGAAGATAAAAACAATTGGATTTTAAAATGTATAAATTGTACCTTGTCTTCATTTATTCTCACAGTTTCCTTACAGCTTTCGATTAGTTGTTTGATTTCTTCCTCTTTCACTTTAGAATTTTCATTAAAACTGTGTAGTTCTTTAAGTTGCAATGTGTGCTGCTCTATTTCAGTAGACAAGTCTTCATTGATTTGTTTTAGAGATTCATTTTCCTTAAGCTTGCTCTCTCTGCAATGGACAAGACAGTTGGATGGAACTAGTTCAGCCATTGGTGTAAAGTACCACATTTTACTGTTGATAAAACTAGATATTATTTGATTCCCATGTTAAACTTATGGTGGTGTTGAAATTATATTTTTTTCTTTGGATTATTCCAAGCGATCTTAATGAAACTTTATATGGATGTTAAAGTAAAAGAGACCCCCATTATGGAAAAAATTAACTTCTTCCAATTGAATATGGCGGCCATTTTAATTTTTAAATTTAAATTAGGCCTACACTAAAAATCTGCTGATTGAAAAAAACCAGGTAGAAAAAGGCTAAGCTAGTCTGGCTGCACCTATTTTGCCTTATTTTACAACTAAATTGGTGATATTTAGGCTATTTTAAATGCAAAAAAAGTATTCTTGAAATTGTTTCACAAGATAGGACATTTTTTTATAATTTAAATCTTAAAAACTGAAATGGCACCCAGAATTAAAATAATTATGAATAGTTAGACCAAGATGATTTTTTAACGTGGGGGCTCTTCTACCTTAAAATACAAAATTTCATTAAAATCTGTTGGAAAATCCACAGATAAAACTGTAAATGTATGTAAACTGTGATGTTTATGTAAATGTAAAAATTCAACAAAAGCAGTTCTTCGTTTTATCTTTATTTTGACCCAGAGAACCATTTACCAGAGTTTAGATTCACCTTCGGCATACCCTGTATAAGTAAATAATGATACAATATCCGCCCCATTGGCTCTGTAATTCCCCACGTTAACCTTATGAGTACCTATTCATATTTAAAGGGAATTAAAGAATTTAGTCAGCTGTTTCAACTAAAAAAGTTGGTTCTATGATATGGAAAAGCATTAAAAAGTTATAAGATTTACCAACAGGGTGCAGCACTATATTTTTTTTGCATTTACGAAAACATCTAATTTGAACTAAGCAGCAACAAAAAACTGTGATTCGCAATGAGAACTGTCAAAGTAGGATTGTTTACAGTTATGTTTATGTTTTTCATTTAATGAATAATTTGTGATATTTTGCGAATTGTTGATAATTTATTTTTCTCTATTGTTTAGGTGAAGTGGTAGAACATGGCTATGGTAGATGTGTAATACTAAGGAATACTGTAAATTAAAGAAAAAACAAATTTTATCAAACTGTGTCCTCCCTTATTGCAAACGCAAAGCTTGAGTTAACTGCAATAAGCATTTTATACTTATATTCCAACCCCGTACGAAGGACGGGTACTCTGCTAGTGATACAATATAAATTACTGATTTCTGTGGAATACATTAACTTTTTGACCAAGTCAAACTGAACGGATACAACTTATTGTAAACTATAGCATTTTGAATGTAACATTTACTAAGCTATCACATTAAATAACCCTAAAGGAGAATATAGAGTTTTAGACAGTAGCACATATTTTTACAACCATACACAGTTTAAATTCTTCTCGGATATCTACATATCTACAATCTTTGTTTTTTGGTAATGAGAGTTGTAATTCATGCAGCGCTGGTTTCAGGTTAAACCCTATGAAATAATGCTGCCCCTTTATCTAGCTAGCTGCTTTTGGTATTTATTTTTCTAAATGTTATTATTACCAATAACTATAACTTTAGCTTACACCCAATAATTACTTTTTTACATGTAACAACTAAAAGGTAATTGGATTTACCTTTCTTGCTTACACAAAACTTTATTTTCTTCTACTCGAACCAAAATATTTTTCTTGGTCAATTCGAGATTTTCAATTTTTTTCTCAACATCAGAATTGTTCTCTTTCAATATATTTAATTTATCCTCTAAAGCTTTCATCTCCTTTTTAAGCTCACAAACATTATTTTCTTTCTCGGTCAATTTGCTGATGTTAAGTTTAATATCTTCCTCTAAATACAAAATACTTTTCTTGTAATGTTCATTTTTAGTTTCAACATTTTCATATCTCTTCAACGTTTCACGTAAAGTTCTTGCTTGATCACAAAGAACTGGTTTCTTGTCTTCATACATTTTAATCTCCTATTGTGGTTATGGAATCAAACAATAAGCAAATTATTAAATAAAACTAAAAAACAAATAATGATTTATACAAATATTTGATAGGAAACTAAAATACAGGGCAATTCAAAAAGAATGACCCTATTTTAACTTAAAAATATTATTGATCTTAGTGCACAACCGCCACCGAAACTGGAGAGGTTTAGAGTTTTGAAAAATCTGCGCTAGATCTACACGAGCACTAAAACCTTGAGTGTCTAGACAGTCTGAAAAAATTATGGCGTCCACTCAACAGAAGGCTTTTTGGGTTCTTCAGTTTAGCAAAACTGAATCAATTAACTGTTCAATGAGCGTATCTGATTTGTTTTGGTGATGAACCACCTCTACCAAAGAATATTCGTCGGTGGTATAAACAGTTTGTAGATAGTGGGTGCTTGTGCAAGGGGAAAAGTGCCGGTCGACTTACGCACAGCTGAAGAGACAGTTCAACAGATTCGGGAGAAGTTCTAACGGAGCCTGCGAGCATCGACACGGCGTTCAAGCCGAGAACTTGGAGTAGCTCAGACTACTGTGTGGCACGTGTTAAGGCAGCATTTGGCCTTACGACCATACCAATTGGAACTCGTACAAGCGCTCCGTGCTGGTGACAAAAGGAGACGTGTTGACTTTTGTAATGATGTCCTAGAAGACATGAAGGAAGATACCTTTTTGCCACGGTTGATATTTAGTGATGAGGTTTCATGTGAGCGGTAAAGTTAATCAACATAATATTCATATATGGGGAACCGAAAACCCCCATCAAACAGTGGAGCATGAACGAGATTTGCCTAAAGTGAACACTTTTTGTGCGGTTTCACAAACGAATTTGTACGGACCCTACTTTTTTGAGGAAAACACAGTGAATGGTGCATCTTATCTAGCAATGCTACGAAATAGGTTATTACCTTAACTAATTCCTGACTCAGACAACTTCATCTTTCAACAAGATGGAGCACAAGGATGTACGCCATTTCCTCAACACCGACTTGCCTCTATGTTTGGATAAGATGCACAGGACCACAAGACTTGGCTATGCATTCCTGGCCTCCACGGTCCCCTGACATAACACCGTGTGATTTTTTCCTGAGGGAATACGTTAAAGATCGTTTTTTTGTTCCTCCCTTAGCACGTGATATTGAGGAGCTGAATATCAGGATAACTGATGCAGTAGCTACTATCCGAGAAGACAATCTTGCGAACACTCTGAGATGAATTTGCCTACCATCTAGATGTCGTCCGAGCCTCAAATGGAGGGCACATAGAACACTTGTAATACATATCATCATAAACTTGATGCTTTTGTGGGTAATTTGATGTGAAATTGGTTTGTGTGTATTGTTTTTCAAAATAAATATTACTTTTTGAAATTGGATCATTCTTTTTTAGTCACCCTGTATAGCTCTCATAAAAACAGGCTCTTGAGTTTTATTTGACGTAATTACATGTAAATTTTTGTGCAACAGCATTATAGACTGTGAGGTTCTGACTAGTTCCTCAAGTAGGCCTAAACAACAAACTCTGATAGCCAAAGCAGGGGCATATTTAACTATTTCCCGCCCTCTCTCCCACCACTCATCAGCACGCTTCCCGACCTAAGATTACCTCAATAAATGCCCAGGTGGCTGATTTTGTAGAATAGTAATCGGCAATTGTGTGCTGCATCAACAAATCTAATAAAATTTTGAGCCTTTTTACAGACGTTTTTGTTTTGCCGTTTTCATGCAAAACGCAATTGGTTATGGGTACATGGAATGCAACGTTGTTGTATCGGCGCTGACATGTGAGCGGCAAATCCTTCTACAGCCGGATGACTTCGAAAAATGAATCTGCCTAAACGGTCTTTTTCAAGGCCATTAGTAACGATCTCGATTAATATCGAGGGAATATCGAGACACAAAGAAGTATTACTGTCTGATATGTGCAAGACGTACGAATGCGACTTCCTCCTTGTGCAAGAAACACACCAGGGCATTTTAAAACCTAGACCCAACATAGAGGGAATGAGACTGATTCCCTCGTCACCCATTACACGGCCACCAACCTGCAGAGCAACGGCTTTGGTCCCGAAAGAGCTTTGTATCACGGACACGAGTCCTGAATGGATCACTCTCAAGCAATCGGGTGGCAAGGTGGGATGCCACGTTGACTAACCCTCCCATACCAGCCAGGGAGGAACTGGCTCCTGGTGGAGGCCTTCATTACACATTGTGGAAGACCCTAAATCGAATTAGGGTCGAGGTACCAAAATGCAAGATAAACATGCAGAAATGGGGTCTCTTACCAGACGAAGGAAACATCTTGGGCGCGTGTGGTGCTGTTCAGGATCCTGCTGGCCATCTGCTGATCTGCCCACGCCTAGTCTTGCACATTAGATGATCTTTTACATGCGAATGACAAAGCCATATCGGTAGCTAATTTTTGGAAAAGCAAAGTCTGATTTCCAGACACGGAAAGTAAGAGTCATAACTACGTTTTGCGGCGCGAAAACGGCACACAAAAACGTCAGTATACAAGCGTTCTTATAACACTCCTGTTATATCAGTCAGATCAGAAATACAAGAATCACATGTACTTTTATTTACAAATCTGTTTTATTTTCAAATTAAATGAATCAAAACAAAAAAATTAGTTACTAAAAAGGTAAGTACAGTACTGTAGATCTGTTTCAATGAAAAGGGTTATAAGCATTATATGTGCATGACAAATTCTTCTTTACAGAATAACATACAATTTTGCATAAGTTTTTACAGTTTCATTGTAATTTTAAATTATGTTTACTTTTGGACTAGTGAAATAATTTGTTAATGTTTATTATTTAATATGCGTGTGAAATGCTTATGGAGCAACGGGTACACTAGTATATATTAAAACTGTTTGTAGGTAGCGCATTTCCCCATACTCTGAACCTAGTTATCAGTTTGCTTCTTCCCCCAAACAAAATGACCTGCAGGAGCATGGGCTCCAGCAGAGAGGGGCAGGTGGTGGCCTTGCCCCCCCCCTTAGAGCAGAGATTTTTTGTAATATTGGTAAATAAATACAATGTTGCAAATGTGAGCATTTCAGCGGTAAAGAAAATTAGTACACCAGGGCCTCTGGCCCCACTGGCTCCTGGTATGTCCAGCTATGTCAACCCCCCCCCCCCCCCCCCTTATAAAACTTTCTGGCAGCGCCTTTGTGCAGAAGCCCATAACAAATTAGTTGTAATAATGATTTTGTGATTTTTTCCCACTATGGTCCGTGCTCGATTTGTAATTTGGTGCCAGAACTGTAACCTATTTAATGTGATTAGTACCTATTTATGCCAATATTTTTATCTTTCCGAAAGTGAGGTGCCGGCACGCCATTCCCCTGCAAATCAAGCACTGATTATAGTTAAGATAATTACATCATTTTGTTTACAAATAAACATATGCTAGTTGCAAATGTAGACAAGTTCACCTTTTAGGATAGCACAAAAACTCTTTGATTATATAAGTACCAGTAAGTAATAAAAACTACTCACCCTAACTTTTTTCTCAACACGTTTATCAGCTTCCTCTACAGTTTCTTTCAGCTGCTTTGACAAATTAGTCAGCTCATTCCTTTTTGATGTCAAACCATGCATCGAATCCTTTTTTTCCTCCAATCTGATTTTAAGATTGCAGTTTCTGAAATCAAACGTTTCTTAAGTTTGTGTGAAAAATTGCATTTCTACCCAATATAAATAATCTCACACACACTCATCCCCAATCGTACTTGGCTTCAAACACACCTATTGTGATTGATTTAGTTTAGAGATAAACTGTATTCGAATTCAATAAACTGATCTTATAAATACCTAGTTAACTTAACAGTTAAAATACCCCAAATGCAGCAAACCTGCAGACTAAGCAAATTTCTATTTGCTGATTGGATTTTCGAATATATATATTTAAAAAACATTAGTTTTAACAAGTACCTAGGTTTTCTGCTACAGGGAGGGTGTTAAAGTATGATTTGCCAAATTTAGTCAAAATATATCCATAAACAAGCAAACTACAACTGTTTACGGTACTTATTCTCCATAAGAATAATGTAGGAATTTTTTATTAAAATTTTTTGTTTATCCTGCCCTACATCTTCAAGCTTAATTTAATCAAAATCCGACAAAAATTACCGCATTCACAGACACACATATATTTAAAATTTGAACGAATAGTGTTTATGGCCTCTAGTGACATCAAAATGAAAAATTATATCGGTCCCGGGTCTAGGTCTTACCGTGCCTCCTACCGTGATAGCCACTTCCCTATAGAGTATTTGAATATTAAATGTTAAATATCTCCAAATAATAATGCCAGAAGCATAACAAATTGCATTGCATAATACCCCCGCCACAGCAAACCTGCAGACTAAGTGAATTTCCATTAATTTGCTTGATTGGATTTACACAAAAACTCTCTCTTAAAAATATCACAAAATTATACAAGTACTTAGGTTTGCTGCAACAGGGAGGGTTTAAAAGTGCTTTTTTGTAAAATTTTAATACAGTATGTAGTTTAGTATGAAATAAATTCATTTTCCAAATTTGATCAAACTATGTTCACAACCAAGCAAACTAAGTAGGCTAACAGTTATTATTTCTCCATAAGAATAACATAGGGATTTAAAATTTAAAATTTTTGGAATTTTCTATGTAATCATTAGGCGCATATAATTTGTTTTTTAAGCTATACAAAATGGTTTCGAAAGAAATTGCAAAATTTTATGTTTTTAGGGTCTAAAATGGGAAAAACCAATTTTTATCCCATAAAATCCCCCATAACTGTTCCCATGGTCCGATCATGCTGGTTCTCGAACTTGTTCGAATAAATGTAGGTTTACGCGTTTTTGCCAAATTTCATCAAAATCGGATCATTTTTGCTTGAGTTATTGTGCTAACGGATATATATATATATATATATGAATTTGAACGTACGGTCTTTTTGACCTCTAGGGACCTCAAAATGAAAAAGTAAATCGGTCCCGGGTCCAGGTCTTACCTTGAGTACTATAATAGTTTATTCCCTACATGGGAAATTTGCTAAAAACTTATCAAAAAGTTAACAAAAATCTGAGTGTTTGCTCCTAGAAGGAGAAGGGAGAGGAATATAACTCTTCAATGGGAATTTTTATTGTAATTTTCCCGCGTAATAATGCCTTAAAATCTGTCAGACTGACTACCAAACATCCCTGAATAGACATACAATACATACATAACAATTTGAATGAAAAATTTGGCTTCCGAAGACCATGAAGCAAATCATAATAATGGTCCCTGACCTTTGTCTTACTATAAAGTCTTCAATAATAAATATGTCCCTCTATTGAAAATGTGTCAACCTTGGGTTATTTATAAGTTCTAACTACAGTCATCTCTTCGTTGAATACAATTATGATACTTGAGAAATGATTCAGCAGTCCAATATTTTCACACTTACATATTTTCTTCTGTGTTTATCTTGAGTTTTAACTGCTGAATACGGGAAGCGTTGACTTTCTTTGACTCATTTAACTCTTGATATATCATTGATACACCTTCATTAAGCTGTAAACAATGTAAAATTCATTAATACTACTAGGTCATCTCTGTGTAAATTTCAATTTATAGAGTATTTGAATCTTGCAAGTTAATTCTAAATAGGCCTATCAGTCTAACAATTCACAATTCACATTTTTCGTATAACCCTTCAACAAATGAACAAAGAACAAATAGCCCCACCATTTATTGGCTACTAGTTCAGACCTTTAACGCCACATTTCCTCCAAGGTAAGTTAGTAACATTTTTTATAGATCTAGAAATTTTTGAGACAGTATCAGTGTCAGAAAATAATTACATGCAAAATAGCTCACCTGTTTATGTTCCTTGAGGGATGAGTTGTAGGATTCTATCAAATGAATTTTGTTTTGTTTCATTTTCTCAATTTTTTCCTGAATATCTTTACATTTAACAAGCATTTCCTCATTTTTAAATGCTAAGCTTTGAATTTCGCTCACCATATCTTCTCTGTCCTTTACCATAACATCTTTTAGTTCCTTACCTGAAAGTATAATAAAATTAAAAAAATAATAAAAGTTTCAAAGTACCTAACTAAATGTTTTATAAGTAAAATTGAAGCTAAAATAACTAAGTTTTGTTTCCTGTGTAGCAAGGGAGGAAACTTTGACCTTGGCATGCGCAAAACAGGTGCAGGGTGGCCGCTATTGCGACTCACCACGCAATCGCCAGTCGCCAGTGCAATGTTTACGACGCAACAGAAGGCACAGCCGCACAAGAGTGTATGTAATCTGTGCTTTTTATCGATTGCTACATTAAACTAAATTTAAATCTATTTGATGATAATTCTGAACCAGAAGCCCCAAAAAATCGATTGCTCGGTGAAGTCTTCGGTTGAACATACCTAAATCAACACTTCACGATGTTATCTGTAAAAGATAGAGTCTTTGTGCCTAAAAAGATTCAGTTAAGACATCAGATAAACCCGCCGATCGCCCTAAGCGTACAGACCTAGCCAGTTTTACGCTCATATAAAATTGATGAAAATCTGAAGTTTATTAAATTTTTCTAAATTGTATCAAAGTATGAGAAAAACTTTCTTCTTTTCCCTTCAATTTGACGTTTTAACTCGTTTAATTATCTTGAATAGTCCCCGAGCAATGAACGTTTAAAATCCCGGCATTCTTTTATAAACCCCCTGTATAGAGGAATGTTGTAGCTGAAAAATATATTTCAAAATATAACACATAGAGATGTTTTAATATTTCTTAGCTTAAGTTTTTCTCAACTGTGATGAGATAATGATAGTTCATAAGGCAGCAGCAACAATCCATCCTATTAAGCATAACTTACATCCCATGCAAGTCTCAAAATACATTCAAATTTTATTTTTCTCTGTTACTTGTATTGATTTTACATGTATTTATCTTCCTGGGCTCAAAAAACAATATTTAGGTAATAAAGATACCGCAATCCTGGAAAGATGATATGTGCACTCAGCTATATTGATTTACTAGCAGAGTACCCGTCCTTCGTACGGGATTGGCATATAAGTATAAAATGCTTATTGCATTTATACTCAAGCTTTACGTTTGCAATGGGGGAGTACACAGTTTGATAAAATTTCCTTCATTAAATTTACTGTATACTATAAGTAATACACATCTACCATAGCCATAATGTTCTACCACTTCAGCTAAACAATTAGAGAAAAATATATTATTAAAGATTCGCAAAATAGCCTATCACAGATTATTCATGAAATTAAAAACATAAACATAAGTGTAAACAATCCAACTTTGACAACTCTCATTGCGTATCACGGTTTTTTGTTGCTGCTTGGTTCAAATTAGCTGTTTTCATAAATAAAAATAATAGTGCTGCACCCTGTTAATAAATCTTATAACTTTTCATGTTCATGTTTTTGCATATATCATACAACCAACTTTTTTAGTTGAAACAGCTGACTAAATTCTTTAATTCCCTTTAAATATGAACTAGCTGTGTACCCGTTCTATGCACGGGGATCTTTTAGTATTCAGTTGAAACCTTCATATTTAAAAACAGCAGTTGGTTTGCATATTTTCAGATATGCTGGCCAAACTATTAAACTTAACTTCATTTTATGTTGTTTGTTGTTGTTCCGGATCGGTATGACAATCAATAAAAGGTTAAATTACCTGTGTCCGCCGGTCGATCCTAATGTATCCTATTACAGGAGATGCATTTCGGCAAAATTAAATCGCCATTATCAGTCCTAATATAAGGTCTTGAGCTTCCCCATTAGGTGCGTCTCGGAGTTTTTGAAACACATACACGAACTGTACACTTATACACATGACGAATAAAACATAAATACACAGTATGCCTACTTTTATTTTTACTATGGAAATGTAGACGCGCGTCGGTCTTGTGCCGAGTCTCGACTGAAAACGCTCATTTAAAAAATGTAAGTTTCCCAGCCATATACAACGCTGATTCAAGGTCTTTTTCTGGGTTATCAAAACTCAATAACAATTGTATACGTAAAGAATCTCTATTTTCATTTACGGATACCCTACAAATTATTGCACTTGCGATTAATTGAATCCTTTATGTAAGGAAAAACGTTTTTGGTTTGGATTTGCTTTCAAAACATGATCGGAAATGGTTGCGTTATTTGTAAACAACATTCAATGTAAACATATCAGTGACAGCTATAAGAAATAATATTGATTCGAACGGCTGTTCGTTATTTCATAGATGAATATTTGATAAACATTGGGAAAACTTTACAAAAAATCGCACAAAATTGGGTTTTTAAACGTCCGTCATTTTATTTACAAAGTAGTGACACCATATTTTAATGGCTAAAGACAATCTCGCCAATCCAGTGAATACATTAAAATGGTTTGAACTTGATACGTACTCTCGTTTTTCAGAAGGCCGCGTAAAATGGCTCTTGGGGCGTGACAGACAGGAAGACAGACAGACAGAAATTTAGATGAGACTTGTTTCGGTTTCTTTAATGTATAAAACGTAAAAAAAACCTAAAAGTTTATGGTTCTGAGCAATGTACAGACAAAACTCTAATTTTAGCGAATTTCCCTATAGGGAAGTAGCTATTACCGTAGGTGGCACGGTAAAACCTAGGCCCGGGACCGATTTACTTTTTCATTTGGATGTCCCCAGAGGCCAAAAACACCATTCGTTCAAATTTTTATATATGTATATATATATATAGATTTATATATATATGTGTCCGTGAACGCGATAACTTGAGTAACTTTTGTCCGATTTTGATGAAATTTGGTTTAAAGGTGTAAGGCAAGATAAACTTGAATGAGTTCGCGAACCAGCATGATCGGACCATGGGAACGGGGTTTTCCGGTGGGTTTTATGGGGTAAAAATTAGTTTTTCTCATTTTTGACCCCCAAAACACAAAATTTCCCAATTTATCTCTAGACCATATTAAAGAGCTTAAAAAAACAAATAATTTAGTATATCAAAGTGTTTTTGTACGGTTATTGGTTATGGAGAAAATTCAAAAAATTGTAAATTTAAAATTCCCATGTTATTCTTAAGGAGAATATTGAAATGTTGTAGTTTGTTTGTTTATGGATATATTTTGATCAAACTAGGCAAATTTATTTATTTTATACTAAGCTATTAATATTTTACTAAAACACACTTTATTAGTTTCAGTTTCCTTGTGGCAGCAAACCTAGGTACTCGTTAAACGTAAATAGATTCAATTGAAAATCATTCAGAGAAATGGAAATTCGCTTAGTCGGCAGGTTTGCTGCGACGGGGGTATTATTTATATAGATACTCATAAGGTTAACATGGGGAACTACAGAGCCACTGGTGTGAAGCCCGAAAGGATTTTTGAGATAAGAATATGCCTATATTATGTTAATCGGGAATAAGAGCTGCCATCATGCCAAATTTCAGCCGAATCCGTCCAGTAGTTAATGAGTGATTGAACTTCAAACAAACACACAAACTTTCACATTTATAATATTAGTAAGATTTTGGAACCATTACTTCTAACATTAAAATAGCAAATCAGTGGTTGTACAGTAATGATATTTGTCTGAGCTGATGAGGCAAGCTGTTACAAATGCTTATTCAGTGGCAAAGTGGAATCGGGATCAACTGGGCTTGTATCCGATCCAAATTATCAAACTATCCGTATTATCGAAATGACTTTAAAAATGCCCTGGACACTCTATTTGAGCAGTGGTGTATATACATCGAGCAGTGCCCCTCCACCCCTCCCCGCAGTACATGTATTGGTGCCCCCCCCCCCCCCTCTCACCAAAACATCGTCACTTATGTTTTATTTGTTTATCTCAGCAAAAGCTGTGATTGCGGAAAAATCCAAAAACTCTTCTGTTTCTTGCACCCCAAACAAAAAAACTCTTGCGCCCCTGAGCCCAGGCCCATTTGAAGTCCTGGGTAGATTCAATGTTTTAGTACGACTTACATTTTTTAGCTTTTTCATCCAACAAGGCTAAACATGATAGTTTACTCCTTGTGATTTTGTCTTGGACAGCTTTAGATTTTTTCTTTATTTGGTCAAACTCGGATTCAAGCCATTGTTTGCTTTCTTCTATGCTTTCTCCAAGAGTTTTCCCCTTCACCACATTTTGCTCATACACATTAATAAATTCTTCAACTTGCTTTAATCTAAAAACAAACCAACTTGATAAACCTATTAAAATTATTTTTTCAAAAGATAAATTATTAAAATTATAGCTAACTTAACTAACAAGAGTGTTAAAAATCATTATCAAAGTGTTAAGTCATCTAGTGTATTGTTAATTAATGGTTTGCCTTTTAAAGGTATAATTGAAATAAAACATTAGGCAATGTGAAAACTAGTATAAGTATTGGGGTACAGTTTCGCAGAGAACCTACGATGTATTATCAGATGAAATTTTCATTTAATGTAACACTTTTGAGTCAATTTGTAAAACAGTTTTGTAACTGAAATTCGCTCATGAATAACCTTATTTATTTAGTTATTTGATATTGATTTTCTGTTGTATTATGGGTATTTTAAAGAAGAGAACGGGGGGGGGGGGGGGGTTTGTGAACAGAATTACACCATTTACCTACATTTAAGTTCTGCCTACACCTAAATATGTGTTTAAAAATTTTTTTTCAAATTGTTGATGTAAGGTGCGAGTTAGGTTACCTATCAAGGTTTTGTAGGTTCTCTATGGTACTGTAGCCAATCATTGGAATTATTACAACTTGAATTTTGGGTTCATTCATTGATAAATTTTACAATATGCAGTTATCGTTTTTACAGTAGGCTACAATAACTGTATTAGGTAAATATGTCCACCAATTAAAATGGGTACAATGATAAACTTACTGGGTACATTTTAACCAAAACAAAAGACCTATTTTATAACTATCACTAATGTTAAGTAGTAGGCCTGGCCTAGCTAACAATCAACAAACTTTTATATTTTAAACTTACTTTTCCACAACTTTATTTCTTTCCTTTAGCACATTCATATATGTTAGGCTGCACTCCTCCTCATCCATTTGCAGTTTTATACTTTGATCACTTTGGCGCTTTTGAATTTCCAAAAGTTTTGTCTTCTCTGCTTCAAGTTCTTTGTCTTCTTTCATCAACTTTATACGCTTCATTTCAAGCTGCTTCAAATTAAGTTCAACAAACCTATTTATTTTACGGTTTTCCTTACAAATGGCCTCAGCCCTCGATGACATGGCTCCATCCTGTTCAACCAAATCAGTGTCCCTTTGGCCTAACTCATCCTCGTAAATGCCTGAATCATTTTGTGATGTAAAGCCCCCAGTGAGTTGAGACAAGTCGCCTCCTTGTGAAAAGACGTGGCTATCTGGGTATGAGGTCATCCTAAAAAAATAGGTACATTTGTAATAGGACTAAACGCAAGTAAAACTTTTGCTGAAAATGCAGTACCGTATCGATAACTGAAGACTAAGTATGATAGGCTATCTCGACAATTGAAGTTACCTAGGCCCAACTTTATGTTAAGTTTTCTTAATTTTAGATCAACGACTTCATTACAGAACTCAGGCAATACTTAACTTAAGTTAGCAAGGTTTGCTGAACTATGTTATATTTAAGAAGTTTAAGGTAATCATTTTTGACAGACAAAGTAGAAGGCCTAACTTAAGCCTATTAACTTGAATGTACTTAGACTCCATCACCCACCCAATCCAGCAACCTGTTCGTGAGGCAATACAACCGTACCGACTACACAGTAAATAGCACAATGTCTCTCCTTCAGTAATTAATTCTTACCTTCTCAGTGCACCCTCGGGAAATTAAATTTTCTATTTTCAAATTGTAGGAAATAACGCCCTGATTCTGAAAATGATAGTTTTTTTGCACAAATCATCGGACAACCACGGAAAAGCGTAAAAAATATTGTCAACGCCGAAATTGGTCACGTGGGTACTCAAATTAATTGGTAGAGCGAGCTGAACAAGAATGTATATGGATATTAATGGAGAAATGGCGGAAACAAGGTCGGAAAGACAAAAAATAACTAAGTTACGACCGGAAAAGCATTGGTTAGCTTACGTTGGGTTAGGTTACTAACAATAAGCCTAACCCAACCCTACCTAACCTAACCTAACCCTACGTAACCAAACCAACGCTTTTCCGGTTGTAGCTTTGAATTTGAATACCCAGACGATCGATTTATGCTAAATTGTTTCCCCCCCCCCCATTTTACGACACTTTTTCTGTAAGTTAAATATCCATCTAAGCTTAATCTAGGAAATTTTTATATATTCTTGTTCAGGTCGCTCTACCGGTTATTTGAGTAAGGCCAGGGACACACTTACCGGCGAAACCGCCGGACGCCGGATCCGGCGGCGCCGGAGCAAGTTGATATACACAGGAAGGCATGGGGCAGGCCACACTTCTCCGGTTCGGCGAATCTGCCGATCCGGCGGGAAAATGCTCCGGCGAAACCGCCGGATATTCTCTACCTCGCTGGACCGCCGGATCGGTGGTTTCGCCGGAGCAGTGGGTAGCGGGGCATTGTGCCTTATGGAGATGAACACACTTACCGGCGATACAGCCGGACTGCGACTGCCCCCACTCCTCAGTCGTGGTTCAACCCTCGAGGGTGGTGATTGTTAATGATTTTTATGCAGTGCCCAAGTGGTGTATTTAGTTTTGTTTTGCTATTTAGTTAATTTAGTTTTTATTTTTAGTCTGTTTATCATTTTAGTCTGTTTATCAGTATATCATCATGGTAGATGTTGATATGGATTTACTTATTAGTTTGGTTCATGAGAAACCAGAACTTTGTGATAGGTCTTTGTCTTTGGAAATTAACAAAGACAAAAACAAAACGAGGGACAGCAGCAGCTGGCGACAAATTTGTGCCGCACTGAATCCAGCCTTTCCAGCGTCTCATGTATATGTTTTGTCCTTGTATTTGCACTGTAATCTTCGATAGTAGCTAGTCGAATGAGGGGACAGACATTCGAAAATAATTAAAAAACTTATTTTCTTCATTTCTCAACTGTAAAAATAGAGTGTAAAAAGCTCCATGTAGCTGTCTATTCTCTAGAATAGGATGCACCCAAACAGTTCGGTGGTGTTTTCTCTTCCTTCTGTGGTTGATCAAACACCACAGCAAGGCCAACTTTTGAGGTCCCGACAGCACCATTTCTAAGACTAAACTGTACTAGAACTGTACTAGTCTAAGACAAAACTGATTCAGAGTTCATTGCACTCTATTTATTGTCGCTGGCTCTGGCAAAATAGTTTTCGCCGGAACAAGTGTGTTCTGACCCTCAACCTCTGGCGGATCCGCCGGATCCGGCGCTCGGCGGTTTCGCCGGTAAGTGTGTCCCTGGCCTAAGTAGGCCTACCCACATAACCTATTTCTGCAAAAACGTTGTTTTTCCCATTTTGCGCTTTTCTGTGGGTTTCCGACATTTTACCCTGTCCTTTGCTGTGAGGAATTGGACAGGTTGTAATTGGGTCATAATCATATAAGTTAAGTTAACTTAAATCAATTTTAAGTTAATTGATTGTAAATCCCCATCATGGCAAATGCGACAGGCTGTCTAAATTGAACTACAAAGAAACTATCCACATTATAGGCCTAGTCCCATCAATCATATTTAGACACACACAAACAGCACTAAACTTACTTACTTGGGTGTATTTTTTTTTTTGCCCAATAATAGGCCCTAACTTCTTAAAAGATTATAGCCTAATTATCAAAAATGACTGTGTAGAATAACAGAATAACAAACACTATCCTGTATTATTAGGTAGGCCTAAATGCTTAATTATATCCTATCACAAGAGACATTTTTAATTTACAGAGTTTACCTTGATACCTTGAAGTTTGCGGTGCTTTTCCTTTCCTTCTAATCCCTCAATCGACCGACAATCCCTCTCACGTTTCAATTTCAATTCAAAGTTCAACAAACAAAGTTAAGCAATTAAGCAATAGCAGCGCAGGACTAATAAGAAGAAGAGTAGAGAATAGAAGGGAAGGGAAGGAGTAAGTTATACTCAAGTTCACTGTGTTGGAGCGTCCAGGAAGCGGAAAAGGGGAATTTATTTCTACTTTTACATCAGCATTCAATTTAACATTTTCAGCCAGTAAAATATCCAATCAAAGTATATATTAAAATAAATGGCTTCTTTTTAGCGAATTTCCCTTATAGGGAATAAGCTATTAGTCTATGCTTTTACTATTACTGCGGTTTCATGATAGGGCCTAAACCCGGGGCCGATTTACTTGTTTGATTTGAGGTCTTCAGAGGTCAAAAACACCCACCGTTCAAATGCATTTAAATAATCATTTTATAAAATTATTTTTTAAAAGGGTACTTAGTTTCAAATAATGTATTTATATATATATTTATTTATATATTAATAAATCTGCCTATAAGGTACAAGCTGGAAGCCCCTTGAAGCTGCTTTGCTTCTGTTCTGGGTCGACCCAAAGATGTTGTGGTGCGAGCCACGGCACGGCCACCTTTAACTCCAGGCCGCGGCCTGGTAGAATTGGCAACGTTGCAAGTAGGGTTGTTTAGTGACAGAGATGTCCCATAAGATAGCATGGTGTGCAGGTGACATCAGCTCATTAATGATGAACTTTAATAATTTAAATTTATAAACATAAATTTATTAAAATATTGAAAATAAAACATACAGAATTGAAAATAGAGACATTAGGAATTAGAAATCTATATCTGTACATTTTAAGCGGAGTCAATATTGTCATAGTCCAGTAACCAAGCTTTCGTAAATACACAAATACCATTAGCTGCTTCCAAACAAAACAGCTGTTACAACTCCACTTGCGACGTTGCTTAAGAGATCTAAGCAAACAGAAACAGTGAGTTTTCCCATTCTAATTCTAGGCAGCAACAATATATAGTAAAGCAAATAATAGGCTAGTATTCGTGCTCTTGGCAGATCCCCTATGGTGTAGACAAAGGGGGAACCTTGTAGAGGAGTCATCTGCAATCCAAGATAGCCATTTTGCAGTTAACACTACCTATATAGATCATCCGGTCATCGCCGACCCCCAGTTGTAATTAAAATTAAAATTTAATTAAGTACATACACCTCTCCCCAAGGAGAGATGTATAATCAATGGTCTTATAGAGTTAACAAGTCGAATTGAGAATAACTCAAGGGCTTTAATGGATATTGGCATAGATAAAACATACTCCTATTGGGTTCTTATTTTAGGCATGGGAAGAATGAAACAAACGAGATAAACAATTGTTTATCCTTCCCACCAAGCCCTAATAATTTCTGAAGCAACTTAGAATATTAATTAAGTGATGACCTTTTATATTCGTCGGGCGCTATATGTATTAAAACCCAATCTACTGTGCTACTAGTCTAGTCTGTATTACGTCACATAGTAAGCGTAAAAGTGAAGAAAAATACTTGCACCTTGGCCTCCGAAAATCGCAATCTATTCAGATCAGAATTGGATAATCCGATTTCTTATTCTTTCTTATGTTTCTGGATTCTGTTATTGTGAGTTGTTGCTTGCTTACTTCTTTTTGGGGTTATGTGAAGTTTTACAAATTCTGAGCTTTTTGTTGCTTGCTTTTGCTGGTGGTCATCCCTAGTTGGCGTTCTTTCCAGGACTTAAGGTCAGAATATTAGAATCACTATCATGGCAATCGTTTGGCAGATGTGACTATGAACGTACAAAGCAGGCCTACTTCCATTTTTCTAAAGAGCTGTCTACACTGTCTACGATCCATACCTACCGTAACTTAGTCTCTTGTAGGCCTACCTTTGAACGAATGAAGTATTGGCCTAGTCTATTCCAAGTTTCTTAAATTTGGTTGGCCATAGCTTAAATATTTAGTATTTGTGCCTTATGCTAGTTAAAATGGATTTAGACTAATGGCTGCACTTTAGGTCCTAGGCCTACACTCATTTGAATGAAAATATCGATTATTCTATTCTTTCATTCAATATATCTTTTGGTTAGTTAGGTTAAATTTATAATCCCTTAGCCAAGTATTTTATTGAAAATAAGTTAGGCTAGGCTATGTACTCCCTATTTGCTTCGAACTAAAGTTAATTGACTCAATAAATTTAGGCCAATGTTTAGTAATATATCTGGATAGGGCCTAGGCCCCATATAATTTCTGTCTGATCAAAGAGATAGCTTGCTATGTAAGTTATGCCTTTAACTTGTTCGCTGCTGACGACTCCGATCGGAGTCATGCCGTCCTGGCACAGCGTGCGTACGACTCTGGTCGGAGTAACGGTGCATACTTATACTAAGTTAGTTGGTCTATTGTGACCTCCGCATCTATCTGGGATCAACTAAACTAGGCCTATGTCAGCATGTTGTGCTGGTCCTATATTTGGTGTAGGTTGGTAGTAAATTTTCCTGTCAAATCCCGTCTGGCAATGCTTTTTGTCCCGTTTTCAGAAATTTTCTCTCATTGAGTCACATTACAAAGACACTGGCTACGGATCCAGGCAGTGTTGCTATCTGTGAGTTTTTCAGTGAACTACATTCACTCAGAGTAACACAGCACCTTCACCACTGCTGACTGAAATATTTTAATGTTATTGCGTTCGCTGATTCACTGGCACGCCGAGGCTGCGTCGCATTTCTGACCGTACTGCCAAAGGGGTTCTCTTAGCGAACGTGTTAAATAAGCTACCAAGGCTTTGTTATATCTATAGTCTTTGTTAACTTATTCATTGTCAGATTATTTAGGCTATTATTGTATTCTATTTTATTGGTTATTGTATTTTCAGCTTGTTTTTTCATCTATGTAGCTTATTTTGTATTCTATTGAGATTGAATTATTGTTTAGCTTGTTTTTTCATCTATGTATTGGCTTAGCCGTTGGCATGTATAAATAAAATAAAAATAAGGCTACCTTTAGTTTATTTAATATTATTTTGAACAATGTAGGCCCAACTTACACTCAACAAGTACGCTAATTTACTGTAGATTTGATGTTGGCCTGCATCTTAGGCCCAAGTTAGTTTATGTTAATTATTTGAGCCTAGGTAGCATAAGTTAAAACTTAAATCATACCTAGCCGATTGGATAGCCTTTTTCATAACCCGGTTTTAATTGGATATGTTCTCCTTGTGTGATGTTTCTGAAAATCAAGATTCATCAAGTAGGCTTGGCCTTTAAGTAGGTAACATAGAAGTTAAAGGTAATGCTGATTAACGTATTGAATTAAAAAATGACTGTTATTTTTTATTGTAGGTATTACATTGAAGCCCATTTAATTTCCCAAACAAAATGATATATAAAACACTATACTTAGGTAAGGGTATTTTTAAGTTTCTAAGATAACTTAAACCCTGCAATTGTGTAATAAATGGGCCAACATTAACCTTTACTATAGACACTTGAAGGGTTAATGATAATTTCATTTCATTAACTTAATTAATCAACTATCTTAGCAAGACTTGGTTGTGTTGTTAGCCTAGTGGTTGGCGTCTCGGACTTCGGTGCGGGAGGGATGGGTTCAATCCCCGGCACATCCACTAAACATTTGCTCTCGTAACTCTCTTGTGAAATGCCACTGGCGTAGAAAAAAAAAGACTGATGCTACTGATGGTGCTAGTTATCTAGTGCCGCCAACTTATTTTGCCAAGTAATTTTCTTAAGTATTGTTCTAAAAATTGATTGAATAGTTTTTTTAAGTTCAAGTAAATTCAGTTAGGATAAAATATAAAACAAATTATAATAACTTTTAAAAGGTTTCTTATATTTGAGGTAAAAACATTCTTTTTTCGTTAATCATCCTTGCTGTTTCATGGTCACTTTTTTGATAATATTACGTTAATGATAAATATATCACATGGAAAAAATGATTAGGCCTACAATTAGCATTCAGCATAAAACAATGCACAATTATAATAGGCTACCTCAATTTATGTAGCCTAATATGTGATTGGATATTAGAAAAATTTAGGCTACATCGTTTTCCATGACAGCCTTTTTTGAATTCACAACATCATTTAGCATAATAATAGTGTAATAAATACTATTTTAACATGATGTCTGTGATTGATATTTAATCCCCAAAAGGCTTAAGTTATGTCAAGCATTTTATTCAACTCTTTTTTTTCAGATGATGGCTCGCAGTTCCAATATGAAATTAATGTAGTCTAATTTTATTTTCAAGCCATAAAATGACCATTCATAATTTGTATATATTTAATAGAAATGGAACACTTTTATACTACTGTGAATGGAACCGTCTGAAGCAATCTGGTATAACTAAGGAAGAGGTAATATTGAATGTTTATAAATAGAATAAAATAGTGGCTGACTATAACTTATTTAAAACATAATGTGACATATATTAGATATAGTGATTGCGGGAGAAGTACGATGTGAATGTGAACACAACTGTTACTCGAACGGATGTTCAGATTTCATTTTACCATGATCGATTATGTTTTCAATGTTTTGCGGTTTCGAGTTTCAATTAGGATACATAATTAATTTTAGTAGATAAACAAAAGTAACTTTACCTCCAGAAATGGATTTAGGCTACAATTGCCGTGCCCACAACCTAATGCTAACAGCACTTAGCGGTCATCATTGTCTGGGTAGCCGAGTGGTTGGTGCTTGCCTTCACATCTGAAGGTTGCTGGTTCAATTCCAATGTGTTAGTTTAACTTACAATAGCAAAATGGACGAGATTAAAGTCATTTTGGGAACTTATTATTTCACAAAAAGTATTTTTGATTCGTAAATAAATTTGTGTAGATATTAGGTGCAATGAGATAGAAAATGTAGTTTTCACATGGGCAAAAAGTGTCTTTTCAACCTTCGCTCATTTTCCAACCCCGCTCCATTATCCAAGCTTTGCTCCAGTCAACTTAAGATTTAATAAAAAAGATTCATTTTGCGGCTTTGTGAAGAAATATAGATATATTTACAGCCATCATAGTTTTTAATTTACAGACCTCTCAGAGCCAAAACATAAGTCATGCCTCAGAAGTTTGTTTCTTAGCATGTATTTTTTTCCTAAGGGATTGGGAATGAAACAACCTACAAGTCACATATTTGTTTAGAAGGCTAGGTAATTTTGTAATAGTTATTAAAGGTCCGTTTAAACCTTATCTGTTAAGTTGCGGCTCCAATTTTAGTGGAATGTCAAAAGATTGTTATGGCTGAACTGGCACTTTGTTTCTGGTCTATAGTGTTTTTTATTAATTGTTACTGTAGTACTGTTAAAATCTAGTACACCACCTTCGATATTTGTATTCTAGAAGGAATAAGACTTACTTATTCTCAGTTAAAGCATGCTAATTCAGCAATTATTAGGCCTAGAGTGCGGCTAATTTAAGCAATAGGCTATTATAGTGTTTCGAGAATTCTGAAGCTATAAGCAGAGCAAAAGCGAACAGCATTGGTCGGTTGCACTCAATTAAATTCAAAGTAGTTTTATTTGAACATTATTTTAGTATCTTTATCATTACAAACATAAGAGAAGGCACAATAAAACACGGAATAAGGGTCAGACGACCAATGATATGTTTCTTTTGCTCTAAAATAAGCTGTATTTACCCTAGTGTTGCAATAAAAACTGTTTTTAGATGTTCCTCAGCATCCAGCATTTTAAATAATCTGGCTCACCAGAGTCCCAAATGTGCCAGTAGGTAAAGTAATCATTTTTTTTTATATAATCTGTCAACAATGTATTTACGTTCCTTTTGTTTCGCAGGAGGCAAAACTGATGTATGGAATGCTTTTTTCTATAAAATCTTTTGTTACTAAAATATCACCTCTTGATACTAACAAAGGTTTTATTTGTTATAAAACTAGTAAATACGCATTGCATTACTTTGAAACTCCCACTGGTTTAAAGTTTGTATTAAACACAGATGTCAATGCACAGAATATTCGTGAATTGTTGAAGGAAATGTACATCCAGGTAAGCTATGATCTCATTTTTTCTTTTCTACTTACCATTTCATGGATAGAATTTAAAAAACTGGAAGAAAATAAATGCACAATGAGGCTGATTAAACTTAAATTCATTTCAATTTATGAACTAACGAATATGTAAAATAAATGACCTGCTGAGAAAGTTTGTGCTTAGAACAGAAAATTTCATCAATAATTATTGTGACTTTTTACTTTCTCCCCCATTTATATGGTCGCCATTTCATTGAAAAGTAGGCCTATTCAAGTAAAAGTATTGAAGTAGCCTAACTTATACATAGTATATGGAGAAAGTATTTTTTCATCAAAATTTTTGAATTTTGAGTGGATATATCTGTTTTGGGCCCCCCTGGACCCAAAAAAAAGTGGTTTTCGAAGTGATGCCTGTGTGTGTCAATGTGTGCAGAGCTACAGACCACACCTGTAGTCCGAATTGATGAAATTTGGAATGTAGTTAGCCACATTACCACAATGAAAAATCCATGGTAGCCTATCTCCATGCGCCTTTTTCATTTTTTTTTAAATTTAGATTTTTAATGTTTTTTTTTATAAAAACCCATAAAATAGGATTTTCTTGAAAATGGCCTGAACGATTTTGATCATATTTTTAGTGTGTTGTAGCTTTTAAAATTCTGAACAAAATGGTAGAACTCCCATATCTGTAAAAAATACGGTTCAAAAGTTATTGTAAATTATTATATTTTGCCATAAAAAAACCCATAAAATAAGAGAAAATCGTATTTTGGAACAAAACTGTTTTTGATTAAAATTACCTTATAATTTCAAACAACATAATGCAACCTCCCCCCCATTGCTGTAAAAATTATGGTTCAAAAGTTATTGTAACTTTGTTATTTCCCATAAAATTTAAAAACCCATTTAAAAAAACGGAATAATGGATTTTTGAAAAAAACCTATTCTGATTGAAATTCTTCTGTTATGTTCCTTATACTGTAATTCTAAACAAAATTGTGTATCCCTTCATTACTGTTTAAAAGTTAATGAAACTTTTGTGATTTTACCTATGCAATATCATAGTTACTCTCATTGCTTACCCATGATAAAGGTTTTTGACAAGCTAATGGGAGAAAGTATATGTGTTAGATTGCTGATACCGTTTATTTTTTACTGATGTTGGAGTTTTCAGTGAAGAATTAGAATTTAAAATTGCTTGTAATATTTAAACCAAAGAAATACACAGTAGCCTATGCATCTAGGTAGCATTTTAACTGAAAGATTTTTTATCTGATAACATGGAAAAAGAAATTATCTTGAGGACAGAAGAAATCTATCTATAGTGATATTTTACTTAAACTTGTTGTTTTCATTTACATTGTAATAGCTAATACAACATATTTTCCTCAGGTGTATGTTGAATACATAGTAAAGAACCCAGTCATAGATTTGAACGCTCCTATCACCAGTGATCTCTTCAAGCAAAAGTTGGATTCTTTTATTAAGCAGTCACCAGCATTCGTGGCTAGTAAAGTAGCTAACTTTTAAAAAGACTCAGCTAGTATAGTAAGTAATAAGTGATACCCATGGAACAAGGTGAAGCCCAGAGCCCTCAGGCGGTGCCTGTGGACCACGTCTTTGAGGATGAAGATGGCAATGTGTGTATTGTAACTTATGCTGACTCCTCGGATGTAACGTACATGCCGATGGTACCTGTGGAGGCAACTGAAGAGGTGGTGTTATGTGATGCCTCACAAGAGGAAGTGAAGATTGAATTGGACGAAGGTTATACGATCATTTATCCAGAAGGATACACTGAGGAAGATATAACTACAGTTGTTGAAACCAAGCCGAAGAAATCTACAAGAAGAGGCCAACATCAGTGTAAAATTTGCAACAAGACGTTTTCTCAGGTAAAATTGCATGGTTTTTACATCAATCATGTTATTGGGTTATATAAAAATCATATATCATTCTCTTACAAGTTTTGACTTGTAGGCTTAGTGTGTGACGAACATTTGAGGTAGGGACAATAAAATACAACATTGTCTCCTTTTGTTTATCTACTACTTTTTTCTGCTAAAATAATCACACATTAAATTTGTCCACATAACCCAGCATGCAACGAGATAGGCCAAGGATATTGAACAAGTTCTTAAATTAGCTATTGTTAAGATTGTTGGCTTGGAATATTAATCACTGCAATGCTTACCAATATATCAGTTAAACCTCAGAGGGTGATCATAATCAGTACGTAATATGTTGAGTGTAATTTAGAATTCAGAAAAACCTTACGCAAATAAGATAATAGTGTTTTAATCAATTCACATAACATGGTGTCTATAAAGTAAAATGAAATAAAACTAGTCCAGAGTAGGCCTACTTGCTAAACTTAACACCAAAGTCTAGTACAAGACCGAATAAACCTCTGCGCTGCCCACTGCTTTGCATTGTTTCAGGTTAGTCTATTTTGCCAGAGGCGTCTATCGCTGCAGCTGCCAGCATCTGTAACTGAGTGTCTAGCGTCTATCGCAGACCACTGCTCCTGGAGCAGACGTAGACGCAGTTGCTAACGATTATTAAGAAGAAACAAAAGTTTTGCTGTTTGACTGTTCTTAATTCTTTTTAAGTTGTGTTTTTACCCAGTTATTAAGTTTAATGACAACTCACAATCAAAGTGGGGATTTAATAGCAAAGAAGATATTAAAATGATTGAATCCATTTGAGTACACCCCGCTTTCCCAAAACGGAGGTGATATTTCTATTATTAATTTATATAATATCCCTCTTCAGGCCTTTTTAGAAGCCTAAAACGCACTTCTTCACTGGGTTCGCACAACAGTTCTAAAATCTCTTCATCATCCAATTCCTCGGATAATAAATACTTCACTATTTGCTTTTTTACAGCTCACTTCACAAAACAGTACTCCTTTCGTCACCAGAAAACCACTCACTAATAAAATAATCGCAAGGAACATATGCTTCTGGCATAAAAGCCCTGAGCGATGGACGCTGAGCGATTAACAATCTAGCGATCATCGCTAAGCATCATACGCACCAGCCACTTCTGGCAAAACAGGCCTTTAGATAGGTTTCTGATACTGATACACCTGGTTCACACTTTTTGAGGAACCTGTAATGTAAAATAAGGTCTTAGATTGTTGGTTAATTGTGAGAAAAGCAATCACTGCAGGGATCTAAAACACTTACTCGGTCAAGGCATCCTTGCAAAATGCCAAAATATTAAAAATTCATGCTTTGAAACTTTTTATCATATTTTATATGATAAAATATCATATTTTACCTGATTGGGTTTTCACTTTGATTCCTTTGCAGACTGTAAACCTGATCACTCATGAGCGTATACACACGGGGGAGAAACCATATGTCTGCAATGTGTGCAGAAAGCCGTTCTCCCAACAGCCAAACCTGTGGAAACACATGCGCACCCACACTGGGGAACGGCCTTACCAGTGTATCACATGCAAGAAGCGCTTCACTCAGCAAGCCAACCTCGCCAAGCACATACGCATACACACTGGTAAATACAGCATATGATCAACTGAAAAAATGGGAAAAAAGATTAATATTTGAATAAAAGATTAATAAGTGAATATTTTTTGGTACTTTGGTATTATACGCCAGTACGCCACCCTTACATAGCAAGCTGCGGCAGTTAGGTCAGGTTGGATTATCATAAATAGAAAGTGTGACTCATCTGGTATCGCTCGATTTATAACGAAACGAAGAAAGTCCTACAAACATGTTTATGATAACCCAACCTAATATAACCGCCACAACTTGCTGTGAAATATGTGGCCTCCCTATAATACCGAATTACCTATTTTTTAAATTAATATACCATTACCCTATCAATATGTTTTTCTTATAATTTTGTAATAATGTACATCCTCAGTTTTAGTGTTACATTAAACAGAACATTAGCTGCTATTATGTTCAAATGTATGGTTAACATGTTTTTTGCCTTTCTAAATTGTTTTCATTAGCTATTGACCCTATCAGATTTTTTATTTGGTATCATTAGACCACCACACTCAGTTTGATATCAAGCTATAGAAGTCTTGGAATAACTGTAAATGCTTTAATTTTCTTTCTTTCTTATGCCAAGCATCACAACTTATCTTTATTATAGCCTACATTGTATAGTGACTCAAGCAGGCCTGGCTCTACAATACTACCGTGGTATACTCCCAATTATCCACCATAATGAGTGACTGTGTGTTAGTGGATAGTGCAAACCTAACCGAAAATATCCGGTAAATAACTAACACTGACTTGAATATAATGGTTAAGCTTTAATATTTACATAATAACAAAATGTTTTTAATGCATGGCACATGTTACTTGATTTCACCCGCAATCTAGACAGTAGGCTTCCACGGCCACAGCAGATTGTCAAATCTAGGTCTTCGGTTGATGACTGCGTCGTAGAAAGAGTGAGACTAGAGGCTAACGTTCCGGATGAATAACAGCTATCACTCTTCACAGCAAACCATTATTCAACTGTTGAAATAGAGTTTTCCCCGAAGATGGATAGCTCTTAGGCATCCAGAACGTCGGCCTCTAGTTCCACTCTTTCTCAATGACGAGGTCATCTCCCGAGGACCTGGATTTGACATTGTTTCACTCTCATCTATTTAAAACAAATATTATTGGAGAGTCTATGTAAATGCCTAGCAATAACTTAAAAAAACACACAAAAATATATCTTATTATGTCATCTGTTGTAATTATTCATCTGTGGTCTATTATTAAGTAAATATAGCTCGTATGTTTCTTAGTGAAGCCTGGGGGTAGGTGGTTAGAGTGGCTCTGAACCGGTTTTGTAGGGGTGGGGGTACGCCGAAAATCAGTTTGCGCTCTCACCCTGTCCGAGCAACATCGCGGATACACTCTTTTTCAAAAACATTCGGGATGCCAGTTTGATTATCTTAAAACCTAATTTGTTTATTTTTAAGTTTACAGTGGTGTAAAAATATGTATGTTTAAGCCATAGTTTCGTATAATAGTAATGCATTATTTGTACTTGATTTGCCCACGAAGAATCTCTGGCTTATTAACGGGTAAATTTTGGAGTATTAAAAATAGCCTACTCTAAATTTTAATATAGAGAATTTTATGAAATATGCCACCCTCCGTTCATAAACACTTTCATATTCCTCTTAATGAGGTAAAAAATTAGATATCCATATAGCCTACTTATTTAATATATCTATTATTATAATCTATACAACCTTATTTAATACGCAAGCAGGTTTTTTGTGACAATTACTCCTCCAAAACTACTGAACCGATTGACAGGTTTTTGGTGAGAGAGCGTGAGGTGAAGTTGTGCAGGAAACTTTCTTTTTTGGGAAATAATTTGAGAGTGAGGCCCTGGGGCCCTTTAAAGTTTCGTATTTCTCCATAAGATTAACATTAAAAACATTGTTATGAAACTCCAGCTGTTGTCAGAAATTAAAAGGGAGAAGAACATATATTACTGTAGTTGTAAACAGCCAATAAGTTTGCTAATTTAACAGTTTGCTACAAACATTAACAAACGTCAAAACATCAAACATTTGAGTCAAACATTTGACTTGGTTGAAATAAAATATTTACTATTTTAAATTGGGTTGGCGTAAATATTACAAAGAAAAAAAGCGAGAGAGCCTGGATAATTTGATATAGTAAAAAGGAAACTGAATTAAGGCTAAACATCCCTGAAAAAGTTGTGTTTCTGGCCCGATAGATAGCAGCACCTCTGCGGCAAATTTGCACCACTTATAATTTCCGTATTTATTATCAGATTTTTGTTTTGTAAACGGTTTTGTAAATGATATGAATAAGACATTCACGCTATTTTGCTAATGTTTTTTAAAATTTATTTACAAAAAAGTTTTATAAAGAATTTTTTTTGCTATAATTATTTTTTTTTTATCGCAGGTAGTCATTTTGTAAAGAGAAATTTTAAAAGAATTTTGCCGTTTTCAGATATTAATTCGGCCAAATGGTTGTATCGGAATCCTTTTTTAAAGAAATTATCATTATTTCTCTCGCGCTCCGGTCCCCTCCCCCCTCCCCCTCACATAGCGCAGCTCCAGTGCCAGCCGCTCTGCCCGGCCCTGCAACGCGACTGTAGCTTCGTCATCTCACACACACCTCACATTCATACTCTGACCGGACACATGGACTCTTGATTTTAACAGATACTAGTTTATGATTTAAAAACAAGTATTTTCTTTAAGTCGGAAAGAGACAATAAAATTGAAGTTTTATCTGTACATTGCTTAGAATCATGGAGTTTCATAGCCTAAGAAAGCCTATGAATAAAGCCTATCAGTAATATATAAAAATTGGATACTTGTGTCAGGCAATTAATATTACAGTAGGCCTAATCATAAATGTTGTTTCTTTAACTGAGAATGCTCATTCCGATGACTAAAATAGCGAGCTGTGTTAGCGCTAAAACAGCATTGCGAGAGTTGGCGCAAAACACTCTCGCACTCTAATTTTTACGTGTTCTTTCTGGACTCCAAAATAACGTAATAAACGTAAAGCTTTAAAAACTCACTATATGGGTTTCTCAAAAAAAAACTTTCACTTGATGTTGTGCAGTTCAGAAGTTATTAATCTCCCTTGGTTTTACATTTTTTAAGTTTTCGAAAATCAAAGTTATTTTCCATTAACAGTATTATTTGTAAGCAACTTTTAATGTTAACATATTAATGACAGTTTGAAGAAACCACCGTTATCCAAACAAAGGTTTCTTAAGATTACGTGATCTCTAAACGATAATCGGTACATATATCTAGCAAACATTCGGAGTAAATGTGACAAAGAACGCACAAATCAGGGGTTTCGGACGTTAGTAATTTTGCTTCCTAAATAGGAAAAGTACCGATATCGTTGTGGAAATGTAAGTAAGTAGACACCAAAAATGGCAGCCAGTGGCACATTGGAAAAGTGAGTTTAGCTACATCTGTACCGTTACGACCACAGCGAAATCAGAAAGATCTTCCAAGAACGCAGGAACATCCACGATCACCCACTGCAGTTCTGTTTTTATACTTTGCACTTTACACAACTGTCTTTGAAGCGCCGTCAATGAGTGGAAACCTGTTTTGTAAGCAATTGGTGACGATGATAAATAAATGTAAGTTTCCCAGCACTAATATACAGCACTGTTTCACAGTATTTTCCCCGGTTATCAAAACTCAAGAACAATCGTTGCACTTGCGATTAATTAAACCGGTTAAGTAAGGCACAACCAAGGCCGCACAACGTTTTTAATCTAACTTGGTTTGGATGTGCCACGATTACTAGAAAGGATGTGCTAACAAAACTTGATCGGAAATGGTTGCGGTATTTGTAAACAGCTTTTAATGTAAACATATCAGTGACAGCTAGAAGTGAGAACTAATCCAAACAGCTGATCGTTATTTCATAAAATGTACTAGTAAACATTGGGAGAAAATTTGACAAAATTCGAACCAAATTGGGTTTTTGATGGTTCGTTATTTTGTTTTCAAAGAAGCGAGGCCATGTTTTTATAGCCAAAGACACTCTCATCAATCCAGTAAATACGGAAAAATTATTAGAACCTTGATCGGAACTTTAGTTTTCTGGGAGTAGGCCTCGCAAAATGACATTTTGGCACGAAATAGACAAACAGACAGACAGAAATTGAGATAAGACTCGTTTCGGCTTTCTTATGTTATGAAACGTAAAAATAACCAAAACCTGCATGATTCAAAGCAATGTACAGACAAAACTGTAATTTTATTTATATAGATTTATATATTTACCAACGGATTTACACCAATTTTACAGTTTGATTTGGGCCTAAATACGATTATCATAAAATTATAAATTTGATGACACTATCAAAACTTTTAAATAATTATTTTGTTTGCAATTTGTTTTGGTTAAAGCGTAGCAAAACCCCTAATTCAATTCCGTATTATTGTTCGTGTATGGAAGCGCGGGAAACCGTCATCCACCGGTGTACAAGCAACACCCCAGCCTTGTTGTGAGGTGGAGGGGTAGCAAATGTGAGTGTGACCTTGGAATGAGTCACAGCGGCCCTGTCCTGCACCTGCTTCATGTCTCTCTCGCGTTTGTTATAATTACTGTAAATGTTTAAACAACGATACCGACTGAACCAGTCAAGCGATTTTAAAAATTTAAAAAGTAAAATTAATTAAAAATTATTGTCATTAAAATGACTACCTGCAATTTTCATTTTTTATTTTGTAAAACAATTATTTAACTAAAATTTTTTTAACCAGCAACTTAATTCAAATTTATCTTCAATGGCGTGAATTGTTATCTTATACCGTTCACAAATCAGTTTTCAAAATGAAAATCGGATGAAAATTCCGCCAATAAACACCAACACAAAATGACTCCATTTTGGTGCTGCGACGTGGTGGCAGAATTTGGAACTAAACCTGGGATGTTTAGCCTTAACACTGTGCTGCATTTCTTAATAATCATTAAAAGAGCCGATTTGCAAACTATGGAAACATGGGAAAGTCATAGAACACCACCAAGGAGAATAAATAGAAACAAGTTTTTTTTTTTTTTTTACCTAATGCGGCTATGAGTAAGGCTATTTGTAGAAAACACTAAAAAACAAGATCAGCTTTTGAAAAATGATAAGATAAGATACTTACAAGAAATGTTGATTATATCTATCTGTTGCACATCTTGAGTATTTCCATAATCTTTGAGTCAAATCTTTTAAAGTCATCAGAAATTATGACTGTTATTTGTTTTCAAATAACGCCTGTGATACATAGTAATTGCTTGAATTTGAGCAACAGGGACACTAGTTTATTGAAAATACTCATCACACAACTGTCGTGCGAGCAACCTGAACCGCCTACGTACCGCGGTCCGAACTCTGAAAAATGTCTTTAGTCAGACTAGTAGCAGAATAGGACGACACTGATGTCAACTTCCATTCTCGCGCTTGGCTCCCCACTTGCCACTACAGCCCCTCACACCCAGGCTTCACGAAGAAACGCACAAACTATAACAGCAACTCTATAGTTTGCCTGCTGATGATGGGCCTCCTTGGCCGTTGCTGTTTAAATTACATACATTTAACTTAAATATAGTAGCTTGGGAAAACCTGCTTATTGTAATTTGACAATTGTTGTTTAGGTGAGAGGCCATTCTCATGCGAGTACTGTGGCAGAAGCTTCACACAGCAGGCGAACCTCACAAAACATGTGCGTCTGCATACGGGCGAGCGTCCGTTCCAGTGCCGCTTCTGTTCCAAAACATTTGTCCAGCAGTCCAATGTGGAGCGACACGAGAGAATACACACTGGCGTAAAACCTTTCAAGTGCCATATATGCTGTGACACCTTCGCTCAGAACGCCCACCTCTCCAAGCATCTTCGGTCTATACACAAGGTCTCACCAGCCAGCAGTTACAACGGGCCTACTTATTACTTGAAAGTACAAGAGGACGACAAAGTGGATGTGGCGGAGGATGGCGACGATTCAGAAGAAACTATACACATGGTCTCAACAGGCAGCAATCACAATAGGCCTACTTATTACTTGAAAGTACGGCAGGATGACAAAGTGAATGTGATGGGGGATGGGGATGCGTCGGGAGAAATTGTGATCATTGAACAGTGTGCACTGGACTCTACAAAAAAAATTGGTATTCCAGTGATATACTGTACAAAAACTCATAGAATTATCAAAAGAGTGGATTAAATTTGTGTGTGACGGTAAACAATTATCTTTAGTCTCATTTTGAAATTACTAGTTTGCATGTATCCTTGGAATTTGTAAAGTTAATGTGTAAATATTAGAATATATTTTCTGGTATTATTATTTTTGGTTTTTATCTACGTCAATGATTTTCTGTTAGCTGAGTAGTTGTAGTTCTCACCTTTCAAAATATTAAATAATTCCAGTGGCGTAGATAGACAAAAATAGCCAGTTGCTCTTATTGAGGTTTTTTGTACACATTGAATTATTTCACAATTCTTTTTTTTTTTTGTAAATTTCACAATAATGCCATTCCGTTGTAGCACTTTAACTTTTTTAATTTATGATTAGGCCTATAAGGTATTTTAAAACTGTACATTTACTGAACTTATGTCAAACATGTAGGGTAAACTGTTGCAGTTTTTCTATGCCCCTCTTACATTATAAAACTGCATTATTGGTGAATTGATTATTTACTAACCCTTTGAACTCTGTGGGATTATTCAGTGATTTAATAATGCTTCTTTTTATTTTGTTTTCACCTCATTATCTGAAAACCCAAATTATTTTAAATACTTAGTGCCGACAAAATTTGGTTTCTGTTATTTTGGGGTAGTTTCATGATTTGTGCTTTGGTGTGTGATTAGAGAGTTTTATTTGGGTAAACAAGGTTTTAAATAACTGAAATAACAAGGAACAAATTGTAAACAAAACACGACCTCTACAGTGCACTGGACGGAACTAACAATACTAGGTGTACAATGCAGTTGTCTACTGGTAGTATTGAGCGGAGCAAGCGTATTAATTCAATACTTTTCCAAAGTAAATGTAATCTGTTTTCATAAATGGGATGTCTGCTTGCAGTATCCAGAGTCAATTTTAGATTTGGTTCTCATAAATTTATGTTTACTTTGTAGTATTTAAAGTAAATGGTACTATGGGTTTAAATAAATGGGATTTCTCTTCGCAGAAATGCTGCATCTGTTTGTCATAAAATGAGACTGGTGTCTAGTTGCAGTATCTTAATTCTATGGCCTATTTGGCTGTCACAAATGTGATAATCTATTTACAGTATCCAGCCAATGGTACATCTGGTTCCCTGTTAATTGACTGCCTACTTACAGTTTGTGAAGTCAATGGTATATTTGGTACACAGAAATGGAATGCCTACTTATTTGTAGTATCCAATGTCATTAGTAGGTCTAGTGTACAAAATATAATGTTTACTTTCAGTATTCAAAGTCAATGGTTTATTTGGTACAAATAAATAGAATGCCCATTTGCAGTGCTATTCAAAGGCAATTGTACGTCTGGTTTAAGTAAATGGGATGTCTACTTGCAATATCCAAAGTTAGTTAATGGTTCACATAAAAAGAACCATCTTTTTGCTGTATCTTAAATCAATGGTGCATAAGCCAACATTTAAATTTCATTTTGTAGTAAATTTTACTTGTTACTTGCAAATAATGTCAGGGCGACCAATCAGAATCAACTAGTGATGCGCGATTGCTAGATGTTCAAACAATCAAAATGATAAATAACCGAAATCAACCTTCTTGTTGGTCCACACCCCTTCAGGGGTTTCCCAAAAGGAGCTTTAGTCGGAGACCAATTCTTAAAACAAATTACAGTAAGTTATTAGCTGCTCCAACGCAATACTTTTTGTACAACCAAAAATCAAGAAGAGAAGCATGAGTCTTTAAGAAAAATTTACGATTTGTTCTCTCAACAAAGCCATTTTGAGATGGTGAGTATGGAGCAGTTTGATGCTGTACTCCAGAAGCTTTGATAAAATTTTCCAGCTCTTAATTAACAAAATCACTTCCATTATCCCTCCAAAGTTCCATCAATCTTTTCCCAGTCTCATTTTCTACTAGCAATTTCCATTCTTTAATTTTAGAAACAATTCCATCCTTTTGCCTGAAAAAAATGAAGTTGTATACCAACTCTGAAGTTGCGCTAACCATAATATTAGCCCAATGTATGGTAAGAGCTTTGCCCCAGTGGCCCTTAAAGTTGCCATGTTAACCTTATGGAATAATCTATACTTATTTAATACGCAAGCAGGTTTTTTGTGACAATTACTCCTCCGAAACTACTGAACCGATTGACATGTTTTTGGTGTCATTGGAAAGAGCGTAACGTGAATTTGTGAAGGAACCTTTCTTTTTAGGGAAATAATTAGAGAGTGAGGCCCTGTGGCCCTTTAAAGTTTTGTATTCCTCCATAAGATTAACATTGGAAACAAACATTTTTATGAAACTCCAGCTAGCTGTTGTCAGAAATTAAAAGTGAGAAGAACATATGTCAATTGTAAAATTATGACAGAGAGGTTATGCAGAAAATCAGGTAGTTTATGGTTATTTGGTGCTATTAAAATAAAGACTGGAATTTGCAAACCTACTGGTGACAATGAGTGATACCATGCAGACTACGTTATCATTGACAAAGACCAACATGGACAACCTATTGCGGCTATAAGTGGGAAACATTTCTACAATACACTAAAAGCCAGATCAGCTTTTGCAAATGATAAAATATTTACAAGAAATGTTGATTATATTGAACTGTTAAGTATGTTGTGAGTATTATCATTAGTTACGCAATCTTTGAGTTGGCTCTGTTAAACTCATCGGAATTTATGACTTATATTTTTGTTCTTGAATAAGTTATTTGTTTTTAAATAACTTATTTGCAATTGCTCGATTTCGAGCAACATGTACACTAGTAATATTAAAATCAGCTGAACTATGAATTCAAGGATACAAGTTGCAAAGGGGTTTTTATCGAATTGGTTTACTTTCATGTTTCTTATTATAAAGTGTAAAAGAGTGTGTAAGGTAAGGCAGGCCGAACACCTATAAAGCACGGCTGTGAAGCACGGCACCTATAAAGCACGGCTCTTCACCCCGCCTCGCCACGCCCGATATAGCTGCATGCGATGTAAAAACTACATCGATGTAGCTGCATACAGCACGGCACTGCAAGATGTACACAACAGAAAAGTACCCACTGCTTTCGAAATGTGCTGTCACTGCACTTCACATGGTGTTGATCCTCGCGCATGCGCACATCGTTTTGCCGCAAGCCTTTTGCCCGAAAGACAAAAATTTATAAGGCAGTACAAAGCGCCAAGCGGCGCTGCGTTGCCTTACCTTGCCGTGCCTGATTATGTGTGCAGCACCTACATTTGAAATAATAGAAACCTTATATTTGTCGCATAAGGCGCCTTAATACAAAACGTTGTGCCATGCGCCCGGCCTAAGCTCATCCTAGTGAATGAGTCTTCAGTGTCTGGTTTATCAGTGAACAGTAACGAGGCAAACCGCCTAAAAATTACTCATTAACAACTATTGAAGGAATTTAAATTTCGAACATTGACAGGCTATGTAACTTGATCCCAAGAGTTTGAGAGATCAACGTCAGTTGGGATTCCTGTATTGGTGTTTGTTTGGTGATTTTAGACAATTATTACCAACTGTACCACATTTAGGGGTCTCAATCCAGGATTTCGGGATTCGTCTCAGCCGATCCTGGGATTATATAATTTTATTATTTTATCTTTTTAGCCATTTTAAATGAGCGAGAAGTTCCCCTCGTTAAGTCCTTTAATGTTTTAAACTGGCCTTATCAGTGTTACACTGCGGAATTTCGCCGGAACTTTCATCACTAGTCTTTCTTATTTACAGTGTATAAATGTTGAGATGTCACTATAGAATATGATAAATACATTTTTTTTATCATGAGCAACTGCACTCGCATGTAACCTTCATGTCACGCTAATATGGAAACTAAACTTAAATCAAAATATAAAGATATTCCCGCCGCAGCAAACCTGCAGACTAAGCGAATTTCCATTTACCTGGCTGGATTTCTACTAAAATATACCCTGAAAATTGTCAGATTTATTTCCTATATTTAAATAACATGAATTTTAATGAGTACCTAGACTTGCTACTACAGGGAATGTATTGAGGTGTGTTTTTTATTGAAATATTGATAGCTTAGTATGAAATAAACAAAATTACCAAACTTGATTAAAATATATTCATAAACAAGCAAACTACAACAGTTTATTTATTCTCCATAAGAATAACATGGGAATTTCAAATTTACAATTTTTTTAAATTATCTCCGAAATTAACATTGTACTTGGGCATACAACGCTTCAATATACAAAATTATTTCTTTTTTTAAGCTCTACAAAATGGTCTGGAAAGAAATTGTGAAATTTTATGTTTTTAGAGTCAAAAATGGGAAAAACATATTTTTACCCCATAAAACCCCCCATTAACCCCTGTTTCCATAGTCCGATCATGCTGGTTCCCGAACTCGTTCAAATAAACGTAGGTTTACACGTTCCTACCAAATTTCATCAAAATCACATCATTTTTGCTCAAGTTATCGCGCTAACGGACACATATATAAATATATGAATTTGAACGGAGGGTGTTTTTGGACTATGGGGACTTCAAAATGAAAAAGTAAATCGGTCCCGAGTCCAGGTCTTACCTTGAGAACTACGGTAATAGCTTAATTCCCTATATGAGAAATTCGCTAATAAAAAGATAATATGGGAAGAATCACGAGTAGCAGCGTAAAAATTTTATTTTGACTGACAGCAATGAAACAATATTAGGGTAGGCTACTATAAAACAATAAACCATCTGCTTATGTAGTAGCGTGTGTATGAAAAATGTAATTTAGGATTGTAAAAGATTTAATCATCACACTAATAACCAAATACAAAGATAAAGTTATAGACACGCATTTAGTGTAACAGCAGCAAACATGAGAGCTAACAATTATTGTTAATGTTATTTGTCCTTCAATAATTTCATGAGATTCTGACCTAAAGGAGCAAGACAAAGGTGCCATAGCTCCTCTGTGTCTTTGCCATTTCCTGCAAAGTTGGTTGATAATTTGGTTGTCAGATTAAATGTCCTGCTTGTAAAGACCAAAAACGGCAATTGAGTTAAAAACTCTAGGAGGAGTTCTGTTCACAAAATAACCCCTTACAATTTAATGTATATTTCATGTATATAGATTCATAGAGCTTTAGTTTTTTAAAAACACATTTGAGAAAGTTAAGTTAGTCTTTTTATGGTTCAATAAATATTCTTTTATCACACAGCTGTTCGACAATAATTATCAAAACTGCAATTCAGGAAACAAATCAGGTGATAACTGAAGAAAGTAATCTTTATCAAGGAAATTGGTAAAATGTTCATTGTGCTGCCATTTTATCTCATTTAACAAAATATTTACAAAACTTAGTTTAAACTGTATAAAGATTCAATGTTGCCGGTGCATAAATGGGCTGGTAATATAAAATCAAAAGTAAAATCAAATGTCTGAACCTCTTTTTGGAACAGCCCGTTTATGACACCTGCTTCCCTTGTTAGATATAACATCTTCATCAAACAAGCAATGTCAAAGACGGCCATGAGAACTTTGCCTAAGAAAGTGACAAGGGTACTGACAGAAAATATGAATTGCTGCATAAAGTAAGCATAGGTTAAGGGAACCTAATGATCATCAAGTGGTTAAAGTGCTTGCATAGTAATCAAAAATTGCCGGTTCGATCCTGAAAAAAGTCGGTTTACTTTTCGATGGGTCGAAACTGGACCCAGCTGTTCCTGATCATTTACGCTCTAAATAAATGATCCTGACTAATTAAACAGCTGTTATTGGTCAGTAACAAAGCTACACATATTATCTCAAAAAAATTCTACACTCATCCTTTACTCATATTTTGGTTGAAATACGCACCTAGGTAGCGTCCCCATCTCAATTGATAATTGAAGGGTGCAATACACTTGAAAAACGTGTTGGTTTGATCACACATCCTAAAAATATAATTAACAATCTTAGCACATGCTTTCTGTGACTGGAGTAATGTTGCAAATCGTTGCCCGGCTCAATTTCCTGAGAATTAGGCCGCTCGCACACCTCTAATAAAAACCAATTTTTTTCCAAGGTAATTAACTAAAAAGGTTATGTCATAGAGCTTTATTTTTAGTATAACTAACACAATCGTGGTCATACGAGGAAAAAAGCATATTCAAAGTTGATAAACATTATTGTAAAATACACAATATGTACAAAAAATATTCAGGTAAAAAAGCACACAGCTTAAATAAGTAGCGCAGGGATGCGAAAAAGATCCTATGTTGGGTGAGGCACCACTACCCAGCCGTCGCTCCACGAATCTTCTGGTCGAGAGGAACTTGATTGTCCGTCACTGCCACCGCCACCGCCGCTGCGTTGCTGCTTTAGCAACTCTAACTGAATCTTGAGGTTGCGGTGAAGTTGCAATAAATTTTCCTGTAAAGTATAAGATGTAAATTATAGTCTAACCAGATTTTGTAATTTATGTACGGTATACAATTTCTTGTATAGCATATTAAAAGTCTTTGAGATATTAATAGTAATTGTAATCAATCATTCTTGAGGTTTCTTTTAAATTATTCTAGTGAGTGTAGCCTACGAATTGAGTGTATAAATCTGTAATATATACATTATTTTCAACCAAAAGCCAGGGGAGTTGGTTTTTTAGTTCACTCAAATTATATCACAGAATGTCGTTTTGTCAAGATTTGGTTTGAATGGGTCATCCCAGTGATCAAGTGTTTCAGATTACACAAACCGAATAGACCAGCTCATGTCTAAATAATATGTACAATATCCAAAGGTTTCCTGAACGAGATAATGTAAAAGTAAGGTTCTGAACATATTAAATTGAAGGTAGCGAAGGACGTTTGAGTAAACTAAGAGGGTACCAACATTATGAATAAATATGTTTAGGCTTATACTTAAGGTGGTATTTTGATCGTTGAATTTTTTAATGTACTATTTATCCAAGATTTAGTCAGTATTTAGTTCTATCAACAAACCAATCAATAACTAGCCCAAGTTTCTGCCTGAACAACGCAAAATCCGAACTAACGTAAATTGGTTGGGATTTATTACGGTTGCAGACACAAAATCTCTAATACTAGGTTGTCAATTTTTGTGACATCACATTTGTTCTGGGAGAGAAGTTTTCTGGGGGGTGGTGTTCCGCTTCTCAGTTAAAGTATTTAGATGTCTAGATATTCTACCTTCTCTGTCTCCAGTTGGCGTATCTCCTCCTCTTCTTGTTGCTGATCCGCCGTTAGTGACAGCCGCTCTGCCAGCTGTTTCATGTGTTCTTGTAGAAAGGCCATCTCTGTCTGCACTTCCAAGAACTCGTGAGCCAACTGTCAACACAACCATTGCACATTATAAAATTTACCTAACTGTTCTGTGAATATAAATGGACAAATACAACAACAAACAACAACAAATAAACAATAAACCAAAATGAGGGGGTTACCCCTTTAAGCTCTGGTAGAACATTGGACAGAGGGATTGTCGATTTTGCTAATTAGGGGAGGAACTCCCAGGTATTTTGTTGGCTAAATGTAAGGTAGTTGGGCAAAAATGAGTTTGGACGAGTGATCAATTAGGGAAACACTCTACCAGAACAAGACCATACTAAATTCATTGCGGAATTAGGAGGGGGAGGGGGGTTGCTCTAGACAAGATCTGGGTATGAGTTTGGGGAGATCCAACATATTTTATAGGTTGAAATGAATTCTTCCCTCAATTAATTATCGGTATGGATCGAATAATTTAGAGGTGAGCGAGTTGCACATGTACATCAGAATCCTTCCCTCAGCACCATGGTTTTTCACAGTCATCCAAAAAATTGCTGTTGGATCTCATTCTCATTTAATATACTAGGGAAGGATATTAGTATTCAGAATGGGGAAGTTTTCTGATTCTTTGGCACAATCTATACCAGTAATAGAAAATTATTAGTTAAAATCAAGTTTTTTAATAACTTCCTACATTCACATCTTAGGATGCTAGGCAATAGCCTGGAACCATTTTACAGATTACTTCAAGCGCTGTATATAGAGGGTTGCAGCATTATCACATGAATAAAATCCATTAGTGATTGGCGGTATTTGAACCCTGGAAATAAAGCCCTGATCTCTACTATTAGACAACCTAAATATTCCAGAAAAATTAAGCTAAAACTTCAATAAATACTGCTATTGTTGAATATAAATCAAACTTTTCCAAGCAACCTCAAAATATTAGCTATAGCCTAAGTCTATATCTTCTATAGGCAAGCATGTTTTTTGAAAACCTTTTTTTCTACCCTCTTGTGCATCGTAGGAAAAATCTATGCATAATGTTAGAAAGATTTGTAAAAATCTGTAAAAAAATTTGAACAAAAAATTTAACATAAGCCTTATGGGTTGCCATGCTGATGACAAAATACAGGGTAACCCGGAACTCTACCTAATATTTTAGGGCAATTTTCCTGAGTAAGAAATATATCTAGGCCTAAATTACATATCATATTTCATTCATTCGGAAGTCCTTATTTACTCACAAAGCCGCCATTTTGTTTTTTATTACTTAATTTGCACTAATAGTCTATTTATGACAACTAGGCAAAGCTAAAAAAATTATAAGAATTTTTCAAATTCAACAAATAAAATGGTGGCTATTTAACATTTTTTTAAAAGATAAATTTGAGTTAAAGTAATAGTTATAGTTATAGTTTGTAAAATCATTATGTAAATGATTTTTCAAAAGTTTTAAATGACGGCCATTTTTTTTTTTAATCCTCATAATTTGTTTTGTAACTTTGCCTAGTTGTCATAAATGTTTGTGCAAAATTTCGATTTCGTATCTGTAACCATTTTTTAGAGAAAAAATCTGTGAAAAAACTAAATGGCGGCTGTGTGAGTAACTAAGGACTTCCGAACAATTTCAATGTGATATTAAGAGATGTTTCTCACTCAGGAACAATGCCCTAAAATATTGTTAGAGAGTTCTGTGACACCCTGTATAAAGAGAAAATCAAAACAAATGGAAGAAATTCCAATTTCATGTTTAGTCAAGTTTTCGACCACTGGACGATCTCTAGTAGATATTAAACTATTTAAATCCTAAACGATTTAATAAAAAAATATGAATTGAATAACCCCGTCGCAGCAAACCTGCCGACTAAACTACTAGCTAGGTTTGCTGCTACAGGGAAACTAATAAAATTTGATTTTTAGTAAAATAATAATAGCTTAGTATAAGATAAATAATATTGCCAAGTTTGATCAAAATATATCCATAAACTAGCAAACTACAACATTTTACAATATTCTCCATAAGATTAACATGGGAATTTGAAATTAACCTTTTTTTAAATTGTCTCTGTAACCAATAACCGTACAAAAACACTTTATATACTAAATTATTTGTTTTTTAAGCTCTTAAAAGGTCTTGAGAGAAATTGGGAAATTTTGTGTTTTGTGGGTCAAAAAATGAGAAAAACTAATTTTAACCCCATAAAACCCTCAAATCCAAATAACCATGAGGGTGGCTGAAAATTAACTTGCACCCCCTTTAACTTTTTAACTATTTGAGATATTTGAAATCGGTTTGCGGCAACTTGTTTGGATATGAAGGGCTACAATAATTATGGTCAGTTTTGAAAATTTTGCCCTTAGGGGTAGCGGGGGTATAGTCGAGTTTGGTATCATTTTACAGGTCTTGATGAAACATAACAATTAACATAAAGAAAATAGAAATTGGAATATGAATAACAAAATAACAGCTAAAAATGATTAAGACGATGGTTATTAAAAGTCATTTTGAACTGCCATTTTGTTATTATTTGTCCGATTTCTATTTTCTTTATGTTAATTGTTATGTTTCGTCAAGACCTGTAAAATGATACCAAACTCGTCTATACTTGCTATTTGAAAATATTGAGCTACCCCCAACCCCCGCTATCCCTAAGGGCAAAATTTTCCAAACTGACCATAATAATTATAGCCCCTCATAGCTAAGAAGGTTGCCACAAACAGATTTCAAATATCTCTAATGGTTGAAAAGTTAAGGGGTGTGCAAGTTACTTTTCAGCCACCTTGTATAACTCTATATATAAAAATTTGAACGAATGGTGTTTTTGGCCTCTGGGGACATCAAAATGAAAAAGTAAATTGGTCCCGGGCCTAGGTTTTACCATGTCACCGATGGTAATAGCTACTTTCATGTAGGGAAATTTGCTAAAACTGAATCACAACACATCGGACTGTCACCTGCTTGTGCTGCTCGAAGATCTGTATGGACTGGTGACAGGTGGTGTCTGGAGGGATGGGGTGCAGTTGAGGGTCCAACATGAGGTACACGTTTTCTACCTCCTGGGGACAGCTCTGGCCTGTAACAAAACCAGGTCATCTTTAACTCAACTGTTACCAAACTTTAAGCCACACTTGTCACACAACTGTTCCATTTCCAGTATTTAGTCAAGGCCCCATTAGAAAAAAGGCTATGCTGCAGCGCGTGCAGCGCAACACTACGTCACAGTGGTGGATAGTTGTACTAATGTTCCAGATGTAAACAGCCAGCTTATTTACCTAAAACATATGGGATATGGCAGTGAATCTATCCACAAAAGTGATGTCATGGATCCGACAGCAAGCCCTTTTTTCTAGTGGGGCCTTGATTTAGTACTACTTTATGTAAGATTAAACATGTGAGTTTTATAAAAATTACAAGCAGTGTACATAAATTAGGGAGGAGCATCAATAGGTCAACTATTGATGTACCGATCGTTGCGAAAACATAAATGTTTTGGGGCTAAAACACCAATGTCAATCAATGTTTTTTTCAGTTTTTGTCAACTCTCTATACTGCGGCAGCTAATTAACCTAAAACTAATACAATTCAGTCAAGGAAAACATCGATATTTTAATACTTGACCAAAAGCATCTATGTAACAAAAACATCGGTAATCTACCGTCGATGTAAAAAACATCGATGTTTTTGGGGCTAAAACACCGATGTCAATCAATGTTTTTTTCAGTTTTTGTCTACTCTCTATACTGCGACAGCTAATTAACCTAAAACTAATACAATTCAGTCAAGGAAAACATCGATATTTCAATACTTGGCCAAAAGCATTTATGTATCAAAAACATCGGTAATCTACCATCGATGTAAAAAACATCCGATAGAAAAACATCGATGTTTCAAAAACATTTACTATCGATGCTCATCCCTGACATAAATTAGGATCTCCATCAAGTTCAAGCGGTCTCAGCCAAGTAAACCAGTTCATATCTAAAACCAACATCGTGTTCTTTACTTCATATACCATTCTAACTCTATCCCACCTCTTTGGGACGGTTCTGTCATAGTATTCGAAAACGTGATTCAGAAAATTTGAAATTTCACTCTCACACCGAATATAATTACATTCTGTGATCTCAGTCGTCTACTACTATTGAAGTCCATCGTCAATAGACGGATATGAATGGAGTAAAGTGTTTGGACATAGAGAATGTGCGCAAGATGTAGAGGTGGCCTCAAACATTAGCTCGGTGTTTGCCATGGTTCATGCCAACTGCTGTTATTCATCAGTCTCATTTAAAGCAGTGAACAAAGTTAGACGGAGTGACTTAACAAGAGAGATAATCAAAATAAAAGGAAATATCTATACAGGGTGGCGGAAAAGTAACTTGCACCCCCCCCCCCCCTAACTTTTCAACAATTTGTTATATTTGAAATCGGTTTGCGGCAACCTTCCTAGAAATGAGGGCCTACAATAATTAAGGTTGGTTTTGAAAAGTAGCTCAAAATTGTCAAATAGGAAGTATCGTCAAGTTTGGTATAATTTTACAGGTCTTGACAAAACTAAACAATTATCACCAATAAAATAAAAATCGGACAACTAATAACAAAATGGCAGCTAAAATTATTAAGACAATGGTTATTAAAAGTATTTTTTAACTGCCATTTTGTTATTAGTGGTCCGATTTCTATTTTATTAGTGATAATTGTGTAAGTTTGTAATGAAATATGTGAATGAATGTATGAATGGTAAATAATTTTAAGAGTGGATTCACTGCACATCCCTGCCATTATTCTTAGTGCAAACCTGCCAGAATTTATCTAGTGTGAAGAATTTCATAAACAGTACACTGTTATATGTTTTACCTACGGCCGTTTTTTAAACTAGCTGTTTCACTTCAGTTCTTTGTATTGAAAAGATTAACTTAACAGCATTGTTTTATTTCTTAACAACACGGTTAATGGACCGATATATAGTTCCTATGCATAGTATTGGATTTACTAAACTGAAAATCACAAAAAAAAAAATATACTTATTTTCATGAATAAACAACCAAAGGAGTTAAACATTCTGGTTTCATAAGAGTGGTTTTGTAATACAGTAGAACCTCTTTAATCCGAACCCCCGTAATCCGAACATCCACTAATCCGAACACCTTATTGAACTGTACTCCATACACAGTACAATAGTTATTTATTGTATACGTACGCACCGTAATTGTTTCTATTGTAATTTACAGTACTGTTTATTTACTATGTTTACTACTGTATTAAATCAACACTGTATTATACTTTATAAAGCATTTTTTCACTCTTCTTGTAACAATTAAGCGCCATTTTAGCTATTCTTATGTAAAAACAACAATATGTTCTGTAATCCGAACTACCCTCGGTCCCAATTAGTTCGGACTAAAGAGGTTCTACTGTAGCTAAAATATAATTTGACAAAATCAGAAATCTTTTAATAATTTTTTTTTTATCCAGAAACTTGGCGTATTTTTTTTTAATTTTAGGTTTTAAAATATTACTTTTATATTTAACAAATCATATAAATAAATAAAAATATAAATAACTCATTATATTAAATTAAATTCTTATTTAAAAATTTTACAAACCCTATCATGCATAGTTTTTTATTCACATCAGAACTGTTTACCGAACTAATTACATCAAACTAAAATAATGAGTAGATAAGAAACAGAGCCAACACCATTCCCTTTACCTTGTATTAAAGGATATTAATAGGATTTAAATTGCAGCAATAAAACAATGTGAAGTTATAGAGGTAGTTAAAAGAACAAAACTGATTGAAAAGGCGAATGGGAAATAATGGCAAGAATGAAAAGTAACTCACGTTCTACTAGAACCAGCATGCCACACATCACTGAGGGACTGAGGGGAGCGTACTAAATGTGGAGGCTGACTCATCGCGCTTATTTAGAGGTCTTGCCTTCCTTCTGGTCTCACACACACACACACACACACACACGCACACTGCACTATTTAAGTCTAATAAATAATAACTATTTAAGTCAAATAGTTGACCTTTTACAAAATCAGATAAAATTTTTATTTTTATTCATTTTTGTCTCCAAGACTATATTTATCTTTTAAATAGTGAATTTATGAAGGAAAGGTGTGTAATCTAAGTAAAAATACCTTAACATAACATCTTGCTGTAGCTGCTGTTTGTTTTATTAAAAAAATACGTAGTTGGGAACACAAAATTTGTAGTATCAAGCAAATACAAGGGTCGGTTTCATGAATCTAATTTCTGAAATTTACATGTAAAATATTTTATTTAATGGTTGCTTTAATAAGGTTGAATAATTACGTATACTAGTGTTTCTGTTGCTCGAATTCAAGCAATTGCTAAGTATTACAGGTGTTATTTTAAAACGAATAACAGTCATAATTTCTGATGACTTTAAAAGATTCGACTCAAAGATTTTGGAAATACTCAACATTATTACTGGCATTACAACAGTAGTTGGAATCTCATGGAATAACAGATCGATACAATCACAATTTCTTGTAAATATCTTATCATTTTTCAAAAGCTGATCTTGTTTTTTTTGTGTTTTCTACAAATAGCCTTATTCATAGCCGCATTAGGTTGTCCATAATAACGATTATAAAAAAGAAAAACCTAATTTCTATTTCCTCTCCTTGGTGGTGTTCAATGACTTTCCTATGTTTCCATAGTTTGCAAATCGGCTCTTTCAATGATTACTAAGAAATGCAGCACAGTGTTGATTCAGTTTTCCTTATAGGATATCAATTTATCCAGGCTCTCTTGCTTCTTTCCATTGTAATATTTACAAAATTCAAATAGTAAATATTTCATTTCAACCAAGTCAGTAAATGTTTGTACCAAACTGTTAAATTAGCAAACCTATTGACTGTTTACAATTAACATATGTTCTTCTTCTCACTTTTAATTTCTGACAACAGTTGGAGTTTCATAACAATTTTGGTTCCCATGTTAATCTTATGGAGAAATACGAAACTTTAAAGGGCTCCAGGGCCTCACTCTCTAATTATTTCCCTAAAAAGAAAGTTTCCAGCACAACTTCACGTTACGCTCTTTCCAATGACACCAAAAACATGTCAATCGGTTCAGTAGTTTCGGAGGAGTAATTGTCACAAAAAACCTGCTTGCGTATTAAATAATTACTTATATATCTTTGTGTGCAAAACACAAAAACCAGTAATGTTCTAATTTACAGGTTCTTCTAATTCTTTTCTAATCTCTATTCTTTTAATTTAATAATCTACCACAGAAGAATCAATTACAACTTTTTTACTCTATAAAACATTAATTGAAACCCAAGAAGTCAAAATAAAATTTAAACATTAGCCTCAATTTAAATCTATATTGAACAAATTTAAGTCACTTAAAACAAGCCAAACTTATTAAATCCTTCACATTTTACAACCGCATGGTTATAGCAGAAATGAATCAGCAAATAAGACAAAATGGCTAATTTCACAAATCCGCTGTTCTGACAAACGTTCACAGTTGGGCAGAAGGTGAGTCGATGACAGGTTTATTTGCGTTTAGCTAATGCAAGATCCGTGCTCGGTATGGAGATAAAGAATGATTGTTGATGTGCCTGGTTTATATCGGCCGGTGACTCACACTGCACGCTGGCCAACTGCCACCCCCCTCCTCTCTGGGATTGCCTCTATGGCGATGTTCTCCTTCATTTGAAAATGTTTCACACCAATTAATCTCTTTTGCTACGTATCAAATATTTTTCAAGTCTCTATGAACCAGGTGAAAGATTCAGTTACAGTTAGTTTAGGCAATATTACAAACAACATTTTTGTTTTTCAGCAGATTTGAGATATTTCTCATTGTACAGAAATTGTACTCTTAAATTATATTTCAAGTACTATAAAGAAGAAGATAAATTTAAAACCAGATGTGAAATAGTGTAATACTGATTAATTTTAGTTGTCTCTAAAAGTACATAAACAGATACATTTTTCATTAACTCTTAAAACAGGTGGAAATCTGTACTTTAATGATGAAAGGTCTGCTATTTTCATCATTATTCTTTGCGTTATATTATAATGACC